TAATTTGATTAATTGAACTGAAACGACAATACAGAAGATTGTCAATTAAATATAGAAACAGTAACAGAAAGAAATATCAATACATTAACGACGACATAAAGAACAAAAGCAATATTCAACTTACATTTATACCTTTGTCTCAGTATAAAAGTAACTAGAAGAAACATTAGCTTCACAAATAGAAAAAAAAATAAAAGAAAAGGATTCTACTGTTAAGCACCACGAACATATCACAATTTTGAGACAATATAAAGCATTATAGTGCTCGATGAAAATTTTCAAGTCACGTGATGCATCCAATTAAATTGATCAGCCTTTTAATTATAACTTCATATCGTATACTTTTTTTTTTTGAAAAGGAATTTTAGGTTGATGAAAAAAAACAATAGGGAGAAAAAATTCTGTGATAATCTATTGTATTGTTTTATTTTTTATTTTATTTTTTTTCTGTTATATTTGAAAAGATTGTCATGAGCTGACTTATAACGTCATTGTTGATAATGTTATGATTGTAGTCGTATTTACAACTAAGTTAATAGAAATAAACTATCATTTATTTAAATAATAAAGAGTTTATTCGAATAAACTAGTGTATTGTACTTCACAGCATAATATTCATTCTACACTCAGTTTTAATAATAGTCATTGTTAGAGTATTCGAGCATTAAAAATAATTATATACATTGTATTATATAATAATAATTCAATAGATTTATGACTGTTTGTTGATTAAGAAGAAAAATAATATAAAAGAAAAAAATATAAGAAACAATAAAAGTCTGTGAAAACTTTGTTTAATTCTTTTTATTTCAAAAAAGCTGTCTTTTTAAAATTATACAAAATGGATCCTTATTTATATCTGTTATGATTGTAGTCATTCTTATAACTAAGTTAATAGAAATAAACCATCATTTATTACATAATAAAGAGGTTATTCACATAAAACTAGTATATTGAACTTCACAGCATAATATTCGTTCTACACTCAGTTTTAATAATAGATATTGTTAGAATGTTCGAGCAATAATAATAATTAGATACACAATTCAAACAGGATTATGACTGGTGTATTCAATTACATAATTGTTCTTGAGTGATACATATCAGATATACATTGATAATATCGAATATTGTTAAACAATAAAATCTTATACAATGATAATGATAGTAACTCATAAATAATTGGTATTGTTGCAGCTAGACATATTCACTGAGAATTAATATTGATGTGTCGCAGTCCAATAATAATGATTCGTTAGGTTTCTAGGAACAGCGACAACTCAGGGAGAAAAAAGAAATAAAGATATATCTTATTGATCGCAGAGTTATTCGGAGACAATGTTTTATGTAAAACACTTTATTATAGTAAAACTTGCTTATCTGAATCATATTTTCATTGATAACACTTACCTTGTAAAAACATATAAATAACCCTCAATTTCTCCATATAATTTTCGTTGTACAATTTTTGTATTATCTTTAATAAACTATACGAAGTTTTCACAGACTTATCTTCTGTCTATTCTTCTTCCATTTTCTTTTGCTGATCAAAACAATATCTTCTGGAAACGGGTAAAACTTCTTGATTTAATATTATAAAACCATAGACATATCCAATAGATAATTATGAATCTTGTTTAACCTTGATAATGAAGAACCTGACTGATCAATTAATCTCAGCTGTCAGTTATGTTTCAAATGCTAATCTGATTCAAATAATTAGTTACCAATGGTATCTCAAATTAAACTAAATATTTTTTTTTTAGAACTTCAGAATGATCTCGAATTGATACAATATTGTTTCTTTATTGAAACATATATCTCTATCATCTTCTAATCAACTCCTCAAGTTTCTATTCTATAACTCTTTAGAGATTGTTTATAATTGTGCATAACCATACTGAAGATAGTGCTTCTTATAGGTAATTAATTTTCAATATTAAGTATTTTATACATTGATTAGCAACTATTCTTCTTTCATGTTTAAGACATCTATTACATAACATCTCTGTAATTTTATAGTTTCATTCTAACACAAGTGTGTCTCATATACTAAAGTAGATTAGTATCGTGTACATGAAGTGCACCACTAATATATGATAACATCATCCCACTTTGATAATGATTGAATATCTATACTATATTTTGTAATACATCATCATATATACAACACTGTTATATTCAATTACATAATTATTTATACAAGTCATACATATTATATATACATCCATAATGTTGTATATTGTTATAGAGGGAATATTCACTGTGAATTAATATTAACGCGTTGCTTATCCCAAAGATAATAATCGTGTATATTTTTAATATCAGCAACAGCTCAGGCAGAAATCTGCATACTGCATGCAGAGTTATTCGGAGACAGAATTTGTGCACATTTGTGCATATTTATGCATAAAGGCTTTATTATAGCAGTATTCACTTATCTAAATCACACTCCTATCAATATGACTTACCTCATAAAAACATATAAATAGCACTCGTCATTTTTCCATATTATTTTTCTTCTTGTACAATTTTTGTATTATTCATCTTTAATAAAACTATACAAAGTTTTCACAGACTTGTCTTTTCTTCTTCCTTATCTTTATACTCAAAACAGATAAGACAAAGATAACAAAAGAATAAGACAGAATAAATCTGTGAAAACTTTGTATAAAACTTTTATTATCAATAAATTTAAAAATTAAAGCTTAAAAACTGAATTTTCCAAAAGATGAGTGCAAAATGGATCCTTATTTATATCTTGTGGAGAACGGGTTACTTCGCGACAGGAATAGAATGAAGATATCTTGAAAGAAGAATATTTTCCCATAGAATTGTGATGGAACGTAAATAAAAAATAAAAGAGAAAATAGAAGAGAGAGAAAGGGAACAAAAGGAAGTATAGTTTGAGACTGTTTTTTATTCAATTAAAAATAAAGAATAAAAATTGAAGGTTAAAAGAAAGTTAAAGATTATTTTGTGTCTACACAACTGCTTGTATTTATATTAATGAATCCTGAATCAAAGGAATAAAAATAACCGTCAAAGAACATGAGTCATGAAACAGTGTTAGTATTCGGATATACGTCTTGTTGATTCAAGAGACTGATCTATGGATTATCTATTGGGTGTTATAATGATCTGATCAAGTTTTAAATAAAAAATTTATTGTTTAATCTGAGTATATGTTCCTGATATCTTTTATGTTTTATTTTATTGGATCAAAGACGACCTGAATCCTTCGTCAAGGTTATAAAAATAAATATGTAGAAATGATACGATGTCTTATAATTGATACATCTAGACAATTGGATGTCAATGTCGTGAGCTGACTTATAATGTCATGTTTCATGATTAAACATGCGGATCATAAATTCATTTAAGAAATTCTATCCTAACTCTCTCTTGATCCGCTCCATCTAATAATATTAAAATCACTAACACTTTGTTGTCAACAATATACCTAATTCGGTCGTAACTAATACTTTTCTGATTCACATCCTATCCTCAGACCTCTTTAACAATTCTTATAAATACCCCATCAGTTTAAATTCATAAATAAAACAATTGACTTTAGAACTATTGTTCGGTCTCGTTGACTCTTTTTTGTCTTAATATTATTTTTATTTTCTGATATTTTTTATTTGATATTTTAAAAGAAATATCACAGTCAATTAGTTTTATATTATTTACAAGATGTTATCTACAGAGTTTTATTTTATATTCAGACTTATAGTTTATCCTTTATTATGTAATTCATCTACTATGATATTACTTTGGCTTATATCCAGAGCTTGTTCTATAACACTTCTGTCTATTTTATTTTATTTCTCTTTTATTTCTTTTATTTATATTTTAATTCTTAAACTTACCTAAACTACAACACTGTGAATTAATATTAACGCGTTGCTTACCCCAGAAATAATGATTGGGTATATTTCTAGTAACAGCGACAGCTCAGAGAAAATAAAGATAAAAATATATCCTATTATAAGCAGAGTTGTTCAGAGACAACATTTACACATAATGCTTTATTATAGCAGCGTTCACTTATCCAAATCATACTTCTATTAATATTACTTACCTTGGAAAAAAATTATAAATAGCCCTTGTCATTTTTCCATATATTTTCTTATTGTACATTTTTTGTATTATTTTTATTTCAATAAACCGTACCGAGTTTTCACAGACTTATCTTTTCTGTTTTCTCTTTCCTATTCTTTTACACTCAAAACAAAAGTGATTGACATTAGAACCATTGTTCGGTCTCGTTGACGTTTTTTTTTTTTTTATTTTATAATATTTTTTTATTTGATATTTGGCAAGTAATATCACACTGCTTAAAAGTAGTTTAATAACGTTAAACTAATATTGATTTTTTGCTAACTCATCTTTACTTTGAAATTACTATTTGAATTAATATTGATGAATTTAACTATGCTAAATGAAAGATAGTATAGTATGTAAGAAGCCTTTATTATTATTGCTATTGTTATGTATGAGTATGTTGATAAAGATAATTCAAGAATGATTTTTGTATGTTTAAGTTATTTTGGACAACTTATTATAGTAGTAGCAATTTAATAGAGGCAGTAATGATAGAGACAACAATGAAAGTAGTAGTTATAGTAGTAGCAATTTAATAGAGGCAGTAATGATAGAGACAACAATGAAAGTAGTAGTTATAGTAGTAGCAGTAATAGTAATAGTATTATTATTAGAAGTATTTTTTTTTCTTCTTTTATTTTTTTTTCGGTTTGATTTTGGAACTTGTTGGGAAACAGTAATCAATCCATAGGCTGAAATACAACCCAAGATACTCAGATTGGTCCCTTCTGCTTCTACATCCACTTCTGCAGGCTCACCTTTCTTGGACCATGCCACGGGATGTACCATGTTTTTCTTGAACTCGCTTTCGTCCACAAAAATGCATTTTCTTTTGTAAAATGTTTCATCATTCATTGCATCGATATATTCAACAAATTGTCTGCATTATTCAAGAGTGTCGTCAGAGTTTCGGTTTATAAATTTTGCTTGTGTGCGAGTCAAAGTGAATTTCAGCTTTTCAGTAATGTGACAATATATAGTGAATTCATTAATTGTTAAGCCATAAAAAGTCTCACAAAGGGATTCTGTAGCATCTTTTACAATACAAGTAAAATGCTTTTCAACAAATTCATTTGAATACTGCGAGTGTTCCTCTATCAGTTTAACGTTATTTCCTTTAGCTTAACTTCGAAAACTGGTTTGTAACCAGGTAAGATGGTTCCTCCATTTATTCTCCATTGATCATTAAATCCGTAAGCCGCTTTTAATCCAATGCCATGCCAGCTTCCTTTGCAGCTTTAGAAACTTTGTAATTTTTGTTCTGCAACAGAGAAAATGTGGTACAGTGTGGTTGGTAAATTTTGTCCGTTCTGAAAAAAATAAATGGCGCTACGTAGAAAAGCCGTTTGTTAGCAAATGATGTCGTCTTCAAAAGTTTACTTTGTCTTTCTGGTCGAAGTCAAATTGGCGTTAGTGAGAAATTATTGTCGGCTATGATATAGTAAGATATTTATTTCTTTAACTAAATAATATGATAAAAAACACTTTTTTTTATGAAAATGAATACGATAATGTTTACAATGAGGGGGGAGAGAGAGAGAGTTTTTGATCCGATGGGAGGTGTGTTGACCGATATTAGTAATACAAGCGTAGTACTCGAAGCCATAACGAGCCAAAAGTCCTATTTGAGTCTCAAACCAGCAGAGAAGGAAACTACAGCAAAATATACGACAAAAAGGGCTGTAGAAGTGGTTAAACCAATAGACAACAGCGTCTACAAAGACTACAATTGTCTATAATCTTTCCGAGCTCAGACTGTATAGAATACGTTAGTGTACTGTTGCTAAGATTAGTTTGTTTGCAATCAATACCTTCACATAATAAACAGCCTCAACAATCGAAGGCAAGTGTACAAGCTGATGAATTTTTTCGACCAAAAAAAAACGTTCGGATGCTGTAGACATGTGAATTCCATCGGAAAGAAGCTTCATTTGGAAAAGTGTACATTTAAAGCCTATCAAAGTATCTGCATTAAATAACATGTTTTTTTTTTTTTTTTTTTTTTTTTTGAGTATGCGACACACAAAATGAGGGCGTACCTTCAATCAACAGACCAGGACATGTAGGGTTTTTTGCCCCGTAGTACAGTTGATCATCCACAGAGCCTTTCATCTGCTTCATTAGCTTTGTATAGTCGTCTTCGGGCTGATACTTGCTGGTCGTTTCCGATTTTTTCACATCAACAAAAAAGAAGTAGAATTCTTTGCTTTTGACCTTTGCACCAATCATAAAGTCTAGCTTCTTTCCATTTTTTTTCAGACTAATCGATCCTATCTGTGAGTGGTTAGTATAGTAAACAAAAACAATTGGGTATACATTCACATGGCATAAAGAATATCTTCGCTTACATCTTTCAACAATACTCTTTGAATAGCGGATATTAAATACTTTTCAATAAATGTAGCTTCGGAGGTATCCGCAACAGAAGCGCGGTACTGCTTTTTTTATCTGACAAAGTCTTTGACCATGCTCATCATGACCAATTTTCCTTCTTCCTCACTATTGTCATCGTAATTATCGTTATTATCATCATTATTATTATTTCCCTCCTATTTGCAAATATTGTTAAAGAAAGCTATTTTCTTAAACTGGTTCAACTTACACCAGCTCTATTCTTGCAATACAAGACTACCCTGGTAGGTGCATGATTGATTTTAGGTTTCGTACCGCTAGCTACTGACTTCAAAGCTTTACGAGTATTGTTGTCGAAGCATCCGGTAACACATTTTCTAACATCAAACTTATTAAAAGGGAAAATGTGTGAGAGAGAACTAGGTTGAAAAGATTTGGTCCAGTTGAAGTTAGTGTCTGAAGAGAAGGATGGAAAATAGCTCTTTAAATACCTACAGAATTCTCAAACAGTTTATGTCATTATTTTTATTAACTACGGCTATCGAATGCTTTCTGAATCTCTTGATCACTTCAGTGATATTGATGTTTTCGACAAGAACCTAAACGTAATGGTTAGACGTTCTTCAGCTACAGATATCCATGCGCCCATTTACCCCCCTCCTTTGGCTTCCACTCCTTCTTTCCTCCACACAGAAAGTAATTTTTTTTTTCAATCGCTTCATCTCAGCAGAAGAAATATATGAGTCTGACAATTCCGGGCTTTAGCTAAAAGTATATGAGTAAGTATAGATTTGGTTATCGCAAATAAAGATCTCTTTGAGCATACATCTTTCTCTCTTTACATTTATTGTAATGTGGACATCACCGTTAATGCTGGGTTGGTTGAAGGTGTTGGGCATTTTAAAGAATACGATCAGAACACTAAGAAATATGAAGGTGAAGAAGAGGTCTTGCTGTGCACTCTCTTAAATAAAAATAGGGTGCTTGGCTTTTGCGACTTTACTAACTTGACATGAAACACTTGCAATTTTTTTTAAGTTCAAGTTAAAATATCGTCTTGGAAGAAGTGTTGCCTTTTTTTTTTCCTGCTGTTTGCGATCGCAGATTGTTTCCAATCCATGTATGTTTGCATCAGCACTAGGAAGGCTTCATTATCGCCGTCATCGTTCGTCACTTGGCGCGTTTTTTTTAGAATTAAGTTTTATTTGTTTTTTATGCAATTAATTAGTGTTCGATACCTTGACATATAATTCAAGGGATCTCGTAACAGTAGTTCAATGAAATAAGCTGAGACCTTTCTTTTACTCGTAGCTGTTTGCTATATGGTAAAATGGAATATCTTGTACAATATGTTAAACTCATTTATTTTAAGGATATACGTCAGTAATTTGTGATCACCTTCCTATTTCAGGTGACATATTATGCTGAAGATATGAACGCTTTTATTCTTTGAGGTTATCATACAAGGATCAACTGAAGTTATTCCACAATATCAATACATATTTTTCTTCCATAAATTCAAACGTGCAATACTTACTTGAGTAAGCATTTGTATATGTTAGCATCCCGGTTGTTACTCAGCGCAATCTTAATAACATACAGTATGCTATAACCATTTTTAAAATAAACGAGTAGTATCTCTTTGTTTTTTAATTGAAAGCAATTGAAAAAATAAGAATTTTATTATAAATTTATATAGTGAATAGTTTCAATAAGGTTCACAAATGAGAGTAGCTTATTTTCAAAAGCTTGAGACCAAAAGTGACAGCAGAAGCAATTCTAGAAGCAGTGGCGATTCATGTAGTATACCTAAGCCAAGCCTACAAATCAATAAAGAAACTAAAAGCATATACAGTTCAGCTAGAAAAAAAACTTGTTCTTTTTTTTGGAATAGAGTAAATTATTTTGATTCAACATGTTATCTAAAAAAAAAAAGGAAAAAATAATACAGTAGAGGAAAGTATCAATCCGGAGGCTACCAGACTCAAGAAACAGCAATATATGCTACCGCAAGAGTATGGAATAGGTCAGGACAAGGACAGCCCCCAAGCCAAACCAAGATTGAGCCAAACTAGCTTACCCCTGCCTTACAAAAGTCCTTCAACAGGAGGAAGCGTTGGTCACCTTACGGCCAAGTTTTTGTTCCTCTTGTGCATCTGAATCGGAAACAGTATCAATCTGGAGGCTACCAGACTCAAGAAACAGCAATATATGCTACCGCAAGAGTATGGAATAGGTCAGGACAAGGACAGCCCCCAAGCCAAACCAAGATTGAGCCAAACTAGCTTACCCCTGCCTTACAAAAGTCCTTCAACAGGAGGAAGCGTTGGTCACCTTGCGGCCAAGTTCGGTTTTCCGTACAAAAAAAAAAAAAATAAAATAAAGTAAAATAAAAAGGTATCACCATAAATCAGAAGCTGCATTAGAGATGAAAATATACATAAAAACAGTTGGAATTAGTAGCACTATAAAGAAACATTTAAAAATTAACTACTTTACATTCAATTTAAAAAAACAGCTGGTTAAAAGAAAAATAAAACTGGAAAGAGTTTTTTTTTTCTCTCATGAAATAGTGTGATCACCACAAGTATTTTTTGATTGGATAAAAAGAAAATGACGTAAGTTTTTTTTTTAATAATATTCCTAGCCTTTTTTTTTTTTTTTTTTTTTTTTTTTTTTTTTTTTTTGAAGTGTCCCATTAATTTCAGGAAATAGTATACTTAATACAACAATAAATCGATAAAATAAATTTTTTATTTTATGACACTTTTAATTGTTAGTGATCAACGTTTTGGAGAGTAGAAGGTGGGAGGAAGATATTCCCGGCTGTCTTCTGTGCTGGCCACCAGTCTTCGTCTTCGTAAAAGGCGGCACTTCTGGTCAATGGCTCCTGCTTGCTTTACAATATAATTCTTGTAAGCAAAAATTAGCGCTAACACTTCTTCACAATTATCCATAAATTCATCGAAATCTACAGTATCGCCAGGGAGGTAAACGTCGGCTTCTCTAGTTATAAAGACGGCACTTTCAAGATATTGCGCGCTAAATAAATAACCAGAAAGGCCGACAAAATCCAAACCGATTACTGGTTCACCAGAATTCAAGCTAAAGATACTTGATAGTATACTCTTGCTGGTACGGATATTCTTATTTTGTTGGATTGTAATAAAATCATCATCTACATCCATTTTCTTGAATTCCGCATTAGATAATTCAATTGTGATTGGCATGTTTTTCGTATTGACTGACTTTGTTTCAACAATCAAATCTATTTTTCTGCCGGAAATATAGGTGGAGGTTTCTCCAAATTCTACTTCGTTTATCATTCTGTCGAATTTAGTTGATGCTGACGTGCTTTCTCCGATTCTTAACTTGATTCCTTTGCCGCGAAAAGTAACAGCCAGCACATTCTTCCAATAGTTCAAATAATTGATCTCCGTTGTATTATTCTTGCAGTCGCCAAATGCAACTTCATTCAGCATTATTTCGAACATTTCTAAAATCATGTATTCTTCATCTACCATAACATCTTGAAATGTTCTACCCAACATCATTTCATACTTTCGTTTCGCAATGGCCAATCTTAAACCATCAATTCCATCGTCCTTGTAGGCATTATTTAAATATGCAATGTGATTTCGAATGTCTACCTCTTCAACATTTAACGCTTTATTACTGAAAGCTTTATCAATGTATTTTTTTGGAATGTGATTGGTAAGCGAATTATTGTTCATATGTAGGCAGTTGATGATGCCCGACAAATTGCAATGGTAATATGACCTTTGTAGTTTAGACATACTCTTGTACTCTGTAAATAATTCATAGCAATGCTTATAAATTATATCCTGTAATGTATTTCCACAGTATTTAGGTTTGATATCTTTGATATCAACAGATTCTCCTCGATAAACTTGGTAAATATACGGATATAACGATCGCAATGAAGGGTTTACAGCATAAACACTGGTTTCTTCTTCTATTTCATTATCTTTTTCTTCCTCCAATTCGTGGGCTTTTCTCTTGTTATTGACATCATTGATTATAACATTTCCACTATTTTCACCAACTACACCAACAGTGGAATTAACAATATTAATGGTTCTAGCAACCTCTCTATTTTTTTGTTTCTTCATATTCTATAAAGTAATTAGAATTAAGAGAAGAGAATTATTTTTATTGCATTTTATTACCGATTTATTTGTATTGTCATTATATAAATTTCCAACATATCCTTTTATTGCATTTGGAACATTTTTTACTTTCTTAATATTTTGGAGTTCGTCGTGATAACATTGTTTTAGTTTGTTCATATTGCTTTGGACATTTCTATGAAAATTACAATAATTGTAGAAGCTCCAGTCAACAGCATTATATTGCTCAAAAAATGAGCTAACACCGCTTGTGTTTTCTTCTATTCTATATAGATTATATTCAGAAGGACAATTTACAATCATGATTGAAGAGTTAAAAGAGTTAAAGAGTTAAAGAGTTTCATCAAACTTACAAAATAAAGTCATTTGAACTTTACACCAACTTTGCTGTTACACGGATACATAAGTCAAAATGCCTCTTTGTTTGTTACAATGATGGAGGACCTGTTATTGGAGGTAAAGTACTGCTGTCACCCCAGTGAAATATTGGTGAATGTACCACTTTCAATATGGTTTTACCATGATGAAACTAGAACGCTTACCAGGATTTAACCATGGTAGCATTTAACACATTCATTATAGTTTCACCATGGTGAATATGGTAAATGCAACTATGGTGGTTAATTCCACAATCACCATGGTGAAATGTTAGTGAATGTGGTAATGCTACCATGGTAAAAAAACCACTTTTACAATATTTCCTTTCATAAAATACGCTTTTCATTGGTTTATATCTTTACATTTTACTATATTTGATCATGGCTTATATCGTTTTATTGGTCTTTACATTCAAAATAAACGTTTTTTTATTAGTATTTTGTACACTTCTTTAAACTACAGATAATAATGGGGCTTATATATTATTGATAAAAACGATTATAGAATATTTACTTTTATTATTTCCTTTTCGGGATAAAGAAATATATAAACAATTATAAAATGAATATATATAATATATATGAAATACATATAAAATGTATTAACATACAAAAATGTACACATAGAATAACAAAAATAGCAAAAATAATACGTAATGGATATAGCTCGGTACCATAGATATCCTCTTCTGAAATAATGTGAATAAAAAAAAAAGGATAATTTGGTAAATGAAAAAAAAAAAGATACATGTAATTGTTATTTATTTGCTTACAATTATAAAGTAGCCATCCTTTTATTAACGCGTTAAAAGCCAGGGTAGAATATATTCACTTACCTAATATACATCTTGTTAGTATTAGAATTAGAATCATCAAAGTAAAATGTATACATTTATAATTTTCCATCATAAAAGAATAGTATTTACCTTTAAAGATGTCCGCTAATAATAGTAACAACAAGAGAAATTATGGCAACATGTCCTCAGAGGATAGACTAGGTGACAATGCTCAGTATTCAGGCACACCTCTTTTCCCTGCCTTTATTAATAACAGAGGCAGTAACAATGCTGTTCAAAGGGAGTGTACAAGTGACTATTATTTGACGCAGCGAACAAGTCAAGAAATAGCTAGAATGGTCAGCATAATAAATTTGCAGGAATAGAGGATCAACCAACTTGTTGCTCAGTTGGAAATCGTTACGAAAAGCTTTACTCAGCTTCAACAAGCTCAAGTATCATCCTCTACTTCTGAACATGCTATTGGCGATCGAGAAGCTATAAAAAATCTTGAAGTAAATATTTTAACTATATAAAAAAAAGTAGTTAATGCTTATTTTCTATTATAATATACAACACTAAGCATTGATAAAGCAAGAACTTGAAAATTGGCCAATAATTAAGCAAAATGATTACTCAAAGACCTTCAAAGATGAGACTAATAAGTCTACACAGGATGCTCTACGTAGATTTGCACAATTAAATTCTATACATTATTCTGTGTCCAAGATAACTTTAGACAGTATACTGTCTAATATGTTTTATAACAAGAAAAAAGAATTGAAGTTGTCTGCTGAGAAAAAGGCAGAAAGAAATGCTAAGCGTGCAGCTTACAACAGAAAGACTGCAGTAAGTATACACATAAATGTTTTATTGTACATACCTTTTTCTACTATACCAAATAAATTCGTTCTAACACCCAAATATTAAATTAGAAACTTAGAAACAGAAAGTCTGTTATTGAAGACAATTCTATTGACTTTAATAGCAACAGATATCCTGGCCTTGAAAAGTTGATGGTTGCTGGTTGGATGTCTGATGAAGAGGAAATTGAGGACAAGGATCCTACTGATAATGAAATCATTAAGGTCCTTCGTCCTTCATTCAGAAGTAAAAAGATAATATAATTATTGCAACTGTAAGGATAAAATGCTGAATATTTACTATTTTTTTTTTTCATTTTGTGTAATAAAGTTCAATGATTTGATGAATGAACCTGACTTTGAGTAGAAAAATCCAGTAGACCGTGCCTTAAAGAAAACAAGAAATAATCGTGCTGTGAGACAGCACGTTGTAAAGACTATGACTCCCTCTAGTCATTTGAATAAAGAAGATTTTCCTGGTTGGGCATTCAACTCATATTTTTTTTGTATTTTTATTATTTTTATTTAATATTTTACAAGTAATATCACATATATATATATATATAATGATGTATTACACAGTATCTTATAATATAAAGATCAGAGTCATGAAAGACCGAATGATACTATAGTTATTAATTGTACACTTTATGCATACTATATTATTTGTTTTCTGTTTATAAGACATTCTTATGACGAGAAAAATAATAGTATAATAAATATTGACGTTACGAGATAATGATAAGCCAAACGTGGTGTAAACAGTTATTAATGATAAAGATATATGAATTATAGATTGTACCTATTAGTTATATATCCACGTTATTATCTAATACACTAATTTATAAATATAATCATATACTATCTATACACTATACACTATACACTATACACTATACACTATACACTATACACTATACACTATACACTATACACTATACAATATACACTATACACTATACAATATACACTATACACTATACAATATACACTATACAATATACAATATACAATATACAATATACAATATACAATATACAATATACAATATACAATATACAATATACAATATACAATATACAATATACAATATACAATATACAATATACAATATAATGAAATTCATTCAAGTAGTCCATTGAGGAATGAATATATAATACAAGAAATCTATATCAAAAGTATCTTCCCTATATCATTCACAAGTATGAACAAAGGAGATATCATTATTTGGTTTCAAGAAAAATAACTGGCTAGATCGAGCATCAATAATTTAATATTTATTAGAGTTAACTGAGATTAATTCTCGGTCAGGGCAAATACTAGAGAGCTCAGACACAATAACTTTAATCATTCTATGGGAAAATATTCTTCTTTCGAGATATCTTCATTCTGTTCCTGTCGCGAAGTAACCCGTTCTCCACAAGATATAAATAAGGATCCATTTTGCATTCATTTTTGAGAAATTCAATTTTTTATTTTTATTCAATTTATAATAAAAGTTTTATACAAAGTTTTCACAGATTTATTCTGTCTACTTCTTTTTTTTTATCCCTACCTTATCAACAATTATTGGTTAAATGCTATATATAACTTTTCTAATTAGATATGCTTAATTGTGTAGTATCGTTTGCTTGTATTAAGTTTTGTATATTATATCATTTAAGCGTATCAATAATAATAAACGATATCTTTAACACAAAAGACACATATATAAGCTATCTCTATATTGAATAAGCTTCTCATAGATTTTATTTTCCTGTATAATGTGTCATAAACTGGCTTTAGAAAATATTAAAGATAAAATGTAAACCATATATCTCTGCGACCAACTCTCTTCTCTAATATAAGTACACGCCGAATAAAAATTGTATCAAACCTATATATGAAATAAAATGAGATTTTTATTCAATCAAGTATACAGAATTCTCATTTCTATTCAACAATAAGGATTCAATAAGATTTATTACTGCTATGTTTAACTAATTAATTATTTATGTAACTATACATGTTAAATATATACATACATATTTGTATATATGTATATATTAATTATGTAATAATATCTCATATAAATCATTGGTATTGTTATAACTGGAATATTCATTGTGAATTAATATTGACACGTTATTTACCCCAGAAATAATAATTTGTTATATTTTTAGTAACAGGAGAAAAATAAAATAAAAACCACATATATTCTTGTATATTATACTAAAAAAGAAAAAAAAAAGATAATAATAAACGCTATAGTGCTTAGTCATGTATATACATATTTGATCTATTGAATGAATATAAATATAACTAGCAATTCAAATTAATCTAAAGAATATATATCCTAATCTCTCTCTGATTATAGAGACCTAATTATGAAGATAATATCAAAGAGTGCATAATACAATATTAAATCCTCAGACTATATTATTTACAAACTAGTCAAAGGATTATTTAAGGACTTTAAAGTTAGTTGTGTAATACGTGCTCTATGGCGACTATATAATATATTGCTTTTATATAAAAAGTTTATTCTGTTACTATAACGTTGGTATACATGTTTATATATTATTCAAAATAAATCGTAATACATAGTTAATTTAATTTTACTATTATATTTTCTATATTTAATAGATACGATACAAAATACTAATCTTGAACTCTACTCATCTATTTTCTAAATATCTAAGCTTTTACTTTTCTTTTCTATAATGTAATAATGATGAATTATTAGCGATATAACCAAAAATGGTTTTCTATAGCTGAATTTCTTGAAGCTGAACGTTTTATTCTATTACTCTGTGTGCTTTTATTACTAGTTGTAAGTGGGGTTGATAATTTTTGATGATGATGATGAACAAAACTTTTTTTATAATCAAACTGAGAGGTCGATACAGTAACTGTAGTAGGAGTCATTAACAATATACCGATTTCTTCTTCTTCTTCTTCTTCTTCAGATGATGATGCAGTATTAGAAAGTGAAGCTGATGATAAAGATGGTACATTATTTGTACTTGTAACAGTACTTTGACTAGATGAAGGACGGAGCTGTTGATTATATTTGTTTGCATTTATGGAATTAGGATTAGAAGGGGTCATTTGAGTATTAATGTAATTAGTAGAAGATGGTTTGATTGAGCCATTTTCCATAGTGGTAACATAATGATCGTTATTTATTTTTGTTACTAGACAAGCATTCCTTACCCAATAACGACGTCGAGTAAAGCTACAAAAACTAGATGGTCGAGATATCCAAGCATTCCAGCCCCAGACACCATATTCCCATCCTTCTTTATCTACATTACGCTGTTTATCAATTCGCCATTCCTGTGAAGACCATTCCCAACTGTTAATCATTATCTTTTCGTTGTCTATTATTTTTGTAACTGGAGAAGGTAATCTAAATTTTTGAATACATGGCACTCTTTCAAGATATTCATCAGACCTTTGAAAAAAAAAGAAAAAAGAAAAGGTATATATATGAATATACTATTTAATATAATTCAATATTGTTATCATATACAACTATCATGCACAATTTACCATGAAGGTCTCTCATTTTTTAATAACAATGAACACCACCCTTTAAATAACCACCAACGCTGATGTTCAATTACTTTAAATTGATAATGATATTCTTGTTGATGATACTCGTGATTCATTAAAATTGAGTTACATGACTGTGATACAATATGATTGGCATGAATATGGTGAATCATTATCTTCATAAATGAACTATGCCAACTCAGTATAAAAGACCCAATAAACCAAATTAATTTATTAAAGCCCATGATGGATAATGAAATTCTCCAGATTAAATACGATAGAATAAAAAAGAAAAGATAATATAGTTGGCCACGACTATGATGATGTTTACGTATAGATAAGGATAATTGCTGATAATATTTTACAAAGGGTAATAAAGTAAGAGATAATTCTTCAAGTAATGAATCTTGTTGTATTAAAGAATCATCTTTTTGGAATCGAAATTGCCGAGAAAGGATTAAAGTGATGGGGAATAGATAAAGAATACATAACTGACTATGAAAGCAAAAAAGTGTCCAAATAAGTAATAATAAAATAGATTGATGACTATCTTCTTCCCATCTTAATAAACGTAAGAAATGAATCATATATTTTATAACTGTTTCAATTCTATTATTGTCCGAGCAAGTTGATACATGATTTGTAACTAATAATAATAGCCTATGATCTTTATTCATTAAATATAAAAGAAGAAGAAGAAGGAAACTAGGAACAATATAATATTTGTATTTATATTATTATGGGGGAGGGAATAGTGGTAGCAGCGGAGGAGAGAAGAAGAGTACATTAACCAATAAATCAAAGAACTAAAGCGGGATGATTTACAGACAATAATAAGGATAATTTTATTATTATTTATGATATACACAAAAAAGTGTGCCTCACGTGTTTTAGGGTATTTTTTATTTATGCTTAGCAACAACCCCCTTGTTTTTGTTCCTCAGAAGGTTGTGTGACTGTTATTGTTTGTCCAGCAGTAGGTCGAATCACATCATCAGATGATTCAAGAGCTTTGTTAGAGACAATACGATAAATTTCTATATAAATGTAAATGCATATATAAATACATGTATAAAATATCAGATTGTTAATGCATCTATATAGTATAACTTGGTGTTATTATTACCTGTCAAAATTCTTTGAAAAGCAAGTTCTACATTACTTGAATCCAAAGCAGAAGTTTCAATAAATGAAAGCCCATTATCGGCTATTCAAATAGTATGAAATAAATAAATATTTTTTAAAAAAAAAACCAAAGAGGATAATTCATTATCGTTTTTTTTCCCCTTTACCTGCAAATTGTTTAGCTTCTTCAGTAGGTACAGCACGTAAATGTCTTAAATCACTCTTATTTCCAACCAACATAACGACTATATTTGAATCAGCATGATCACGAAGTTCCTTTAACCAACGCATTACATTTTCATATGTAGCATATTTTGCAATATCATAAACTAATAATGCACCTACTGCACCTCGATAATAACTTTTTTTTTTTTTTTTTTTTTTTTTTTTTTTTTTTTTTTATCTTTAATAAATCATGCCATATTATATATGTATATATAAAACCCCTTATCCCCATACATATATGTATGTACACTTACGCACTTGTAATGGCACGGTATCTTTCTTGTCCAGCTATTATAACAGAGAAAAGTAATGGTTATTATTATTATTATTTCGGGAAATAAACATGAAAATTACCTGTGTCCCATATTTGAGCTTTTACAGTTTTATTATCTACTTGAACACTACGAGTAGCAAATTCAACACCAATTGTGCTCTTGGACTCCAAGTTAAATTCATTACGGGTAAATCTAGATAATAAATTGGTTTTGCCTACACCAGAATCACCAATAAGGACAACTAAAATATATAAATTGAAGTCGTTATTATTTATAAGGAGATGATAAAAACTGATTCAAGACTTTACCTTTAAAAAGATAATCATATTCTTCATCTCTACTCATGTTTTATAATATTAAAAAATTACTCTACTTAGTTTACTTTTACAGTCAAAAAAAAAAAAAAAAAAAAGAGGACAGAAAAAAAAAAGGAATTATTAGATTTAAACTTAAAGATACAGACATTCATTAAAAAAAATTTTGTCGGGAATTTAAACGATTAAATTATTGTTGCATTTATTGTCAATAAACCACATTTTTTTCATAGAATAAAATAGTCACTTATTATTAAACAAGTAAATAAATTCATATTAAAACTAAAAACAAGTAAAAACGACAAATATATAATGTGAACATGTAACAAATAGAATGATAGGAATAAATATAGAGGCTACAAGAGTATGTAAATATTATAAATTAAAGTAATAATATCCCTATTGTTTTACGTTTATTATTATTATAATATTTAAAGTTCTGTCAGGTATATACATTTTTTTTGCAAATAAAAATACTAAAGATTTGATAATTACTTTAAGTAAGATCAATTATACATATTTAGTTTGCACTCAGTTGGATTTAGAGGAGAAAGGCAAAATGTATTATAATGATTATTTATTTAATTGATTGAAGTTATAGAAAGACTATCAAGTAGCTTACTGATAAAGTAATTATAGAAAGAAAGCACATATTAAAGCTTAATTAAATTAATATTCTAACTCTACTTTGAAACGAAAAACACGTTAATAATAAAGTATAAAGTAAAACAGATATATTATTTCTAATTTAACGTTTTAATATTTTGATATGAACAATACATATTTCTATTTTATTAAAGAAAGCTAAAAAAAAAACAAGAAAGCCTTTCATTTGATTCTCCCAAGTAATGCTTTTTATACTACAACAATAAAGAAAGAGATAATGACGACTAAATTGTTCGAGTAAAATAATAATATAAGACACTATGTATTTACTTTAATATAAGATTGTGAATGATAAACACGCTGTAGAAACTGCATTAAATCTGATAGAATATACAACTAACTGTTTGAAAGTTTGGATTGAACAAATGTTGAAGATATTTCTTTTTATCGTTTCAAGAGGCGACTAATCCTGGATATACAGTATATTAACAAAATAATAACTTTAATATCCACATATATATTATCCGAGAAGAAATGTACATTGGTCAAACTAAGAAGAACCAAGACATCCATAAACTCGACCAAGAAGGAAGAAACATCAAATAAAGAGGATTAAAATTAGTTCTGAAGTTAGGTAATCAAGCATTTCATTAAATTAACAAACTTAATTATTTCTAATAGGAGTACTTGCTTCAATGGAAAGGTTTGAAGGAAGAGCCTGATAATGAACAATTTGATATAAACCCAGATAGATAAAAAAGACGCCTTGAGAAATAAAGTTCGTCTGTGAATTGCTATAATCTCCCTTTTCTTCCTCCCCCCCTTTTTTTTTTACCTCTATAATAACTATAATAATATATTATATGAATTATATATGCTGAACTTTATATTGTTTTAGTCAAAAGGGCCTGAATAATGAAATGTGTATGCTCAGAAAATGCTTCCTTGAATTTGAAAAAAATTCTCGTATTGATTTGTTCTAAAGGGATATCAATATCATTGGTATTAGGCATATTTAAAATTGCACTGTCAAAATTATAATGAAACTGTTCACATCTGTAGCCGTGAGCAAAGTTATGCTCTCCTCTTGAGACAAATGAATAAAATCGCTTAATTATTCAAGTTTATATTTCTCATTTATAATATTTACTTAATATATATAAATATCATGGCAATACTCTCTTTCCATTATTTTGTAGTTCCTGACTTATTGTCACAGCGACGGAATTTTTTTTTTTTAAATTTATCAGTACTCTATTCTAATTTGATCAACGATGCCTATTTCTTCTGAAAGAGCATTATTTGCTGAATGACGATAATTAAAAATAACCTATATTATTGAACGTTTCCATATCATAAAAAATTAAAAATTGATGCATATAAGCGTCCACAAATTCAACAAAATATAGTCCCTTAAAAAAATTTAATAATGTCTAAGCTCGAATCTAATTGGCCTATAACTTTTCCGAAAAAAAAAAACTGTACAACAGCAAAAGTTTAATATTCTCCCCTCTTTTTTTTTTTTTTTTTTTTTTTTTTTTTTTTGGGTTTAATTAGATTATGAATGACCAAGAAGAATCAGAATCCGCGTCTAATAATAAAAAATTAACAACCGTAGAAGGGTTACGGTTAGCTTTAAAAGAACTTGGTTTAAGTACAAAAGGACATAAGCCTGAACTAAAACAACGTTATAAAAAGGCAATAAAGAAAAAATTAAAAGAAGAAGGTTGTAAGAATGACAATAATGACGCTCAAAGAGAAGATCAGAAGAATGATCAACAAGATGAAGTTGATTCTAACATTAAAAGGAGAAAGTAATATACAATTATATAGTATATTTTAGCGCAAACAGTAAATAATTTTTTTTTAAAAAAAAATATAAATTAGGAAACAGCCATTTGATTATTATTTGTTTTTCGACGTTGAAGCAACTTGTATTGAAAATGGAGGCTTTACTTTTCCCAATGAAATTATTGAATTCCCTGTTGTATTAGTAGATGGTGAAACCTTCGAGATTGTAAGAGCTTTATAATAGATACACGTACCGAAAACTAACACACTCACACACACACATATAAATATATACATATACATATAAAGGTAGACGAATTTAGATCCTATGTAAAACCAACTATAAATCCAGTATTATCAGAATTTTGTATCAATTTAACAGGCATTACACAATCTGTAGTAGATCAAAGTCCCACATTTATTGAAGTATTAAACTCATTTCAAGAATTTATGGCAAAATATAGTCTATTTCAATCTTCTTCAGCATCCTTTGTTACAGGTAATGCATTTATGCCTATTAAACAAAATTGATTTAGCTTAACCTGTATTGAATAGATGGTCCTTTTGATATTCGTGATTTTATTACTAAGCAATGTAAACATAGTAACATTAATCCTAGACCTGCTTATTTTGATGTTCCTTGGGTTAATATCCGAGAATTATTTAAAAAATTTTATAAGCAAAAGGAAAACAAGAATATTAGTATGATGTTATCTCACTTGGGATTAAGCTTCAAAGGAAGAGAGCATTCTGGCCTAGATGATGCTAAAAATTTAGCTGCCATTGGAAAGAGGATGCATGAAGATGGGTGTATATTTAAAACAAATTGTAAATACTATAAAGACAATCGAAGAAGCAATTATAATGTACGAAGTAGAAAGAAGAAATAGATATATTATAAGTTTTGCATATTTTTTCTACCATCATGTATTTACAGCTCTTTTTGATTTCTTTAATGCTAGAAGTTTTTTCTTTTTTTTCTATTATTATTTTTATTTTTTATTTTTTATTTTTTATTTTTTATTTTTTATTTTTTTATTTTTATTTTTTATTTTTTTATTTTTTTATTTTTTTATTTTTTTATTTTTTTATTTTTTTATTTTTTTTTACTATTTCTTTTGTAAACAGACAAAGCAAGTAAAATGTATTCTAATAATGATAGTAAACTATTATCTTTCATTCCCCTGAACGAACTGTAAGCGATCATTATTTTGTAAGGGACATTATGTCATTTTTTAAACGTTGGTCAATAACAAAACGATATCGACCGTTCTTACATTCTTCGTTACCCATGCTTAATAACTGTATAAAACTAGACTCCCTCTCTACTTTTTTTTTCCATTTTCTACTATTTTTTAATCATTTATTTTTTTTATTTATCAATGATCTTAAGCCAAAGACAATATCAGCTGATCAAGCTAATACTATTTATCCCTTACTATGTCTTTATGTTACTCTTTACCAAGAAGAAAACATGTAATCATCATGATAATAATAATAATAATATTAGCAGCATTACTTGTGCTCCAAGACTTCTTACTTTTAACGACAAGACATCATTGAAAGATTCTGATCTTTCATTTATTACTCCTGAAGATCACGATAGATTTGATATTTGTAAAAGTTCAAGTAATGATAAATGCTCTTCTTCCTCTTCTTCTTCTGATAATGATGATTTTTATAAATCTACCGCTGTAATATTGAATAATGCAAAGCTTATTTTTTATGTAACGAGAACGCAAATGGAGGAATGTTCTGATATTATCCGACGTGTCTATCAGGGCTATCACGCTAGTCATCAACAAATTATCACGAAAGCATATTTTCATCCTTACCTTATGAAATTGACTAGTGAAAATATTGCTTTTGAAATTAGGATTTCTGAGCAGAGTATGAAGACGGCAATTGGCATTAGACCTAGTTATGTTACTAAATTTATGAATGATAAACCCAATGTTTATGGAAAGGATATTCTTAGACAATTATATTACAAGACTTTTATGTGGAATGCTCACTTTAAGAAAAGAAACTGAATGATGGTAGCATTTTTATTTTTAGTAGACAATAACCATTTTTTTTAATATTCACAAAATCATTTCTGTATTTATGGATGGCTCTTAATACGCCATAAAAAGGAAAAAAAAAATAGTATATTTTCACTCATTCAATACTACTTTTTTTTTTTTTGTATCCAAGCATAATCCCTTTCTTCTGCTTCTTCTTCTTTTTATCTACTATTTATTTTTCTCCTCTTAATAAAACAAAAACTTTTGTTGTTATAAATTCTAGCAAATAAAGAAAAATTATAAAATCAGCTTTGGTATGTCAGAATTAATTTTTTATTAAATATGTAAACATGGATGCTATATTAATTTTTTCTTCTTTTATGCTCATATATTTATATTCATTTAAAAGACACGTAGAAATAGATATTATTAGAAAGGCATAAATACATTATAACAAAATGTAGGTGTAAGTATCTAAGATAGAATTTTGTAAACACATAGTCGCTATTGGTGTATTTATAAGAATATAAAGCTTTATAGTGTTTTTATTATTATTTCTGTTTTATAAAAAACTGAATACAATATCTGTGCTGTATATACATGGCATAAGCAGGAATAAATAATATTAAAAAGTAGGTAGGTGAAGGAAGGAAAGAAAAAAGTATGTTATAGGTATACCGATTAAAAGAAAAAAAAAAAGGATTTATAAATCTAACCACTACAACTAACACAAGCATCTTTGTTATCAATGGAACAAACCATATCTGCTTGATTTTCTTCTTCAGTTTTCTTTTTACGAAATTCACGTAAAGAAAGTTGATCAACTGTAAATTTGATAGCATCTACAGCAGGACGTGTACGCAAATAGTACATACCTGTTTTTAGCCCCTTTTGCCACCCATAAAAATGCATACTTGTCAATTTACCAAAATTAGGTTCAGCAATAAAGACATTTAAACTTTGACTTTGGTCAATAAATGCACCACGGTCAGCAGCCATGTCTAATAGTTTACGTTGGCTAATTTCCCAAACGGTCTTATACAAATCCTTAATTTTTTGAGGAATGCCAGGAATATTTTGAACAGATCCACCATCAGACATAATCATATTCTTAACATCTTCGTTCCATAAACCCATCTCTACTAAGTCTTTTAATAACCAAGGATTTACTACTTGAAATTCACCAGCTAATACACGACGTGTATAAAGATTAGAGGTATATGGCTCAAAACATTCATTAAACCCTAAAATTTGAGAAGTAGATGCAGTAGGCATAGGTGCAACTAGTAATGAGTTACGAACACCATATTTAGCAATCTTTTCTTTTAGTCCTGTCCAATCCCAGAGAGAAGTAGGCGTCACATTCCACATATCAAACTGTAAAATACCCTTTGAAATAGGACTTCCAGGATAAGTTTCATAGGGACCAAGTTCTTGTGCAAGCTCACAAGAAGCTTCCAATGCAGCATGATAAATTGTCTCAAAGATTTGAATATTAAGTGCTTTGGCTTCAGAAGAATCAAAGGGATATTTCATTAACATAAAAGCATCAGCCAAACCTTGGACACCTAATCCAATAGGTCGATGTCTTTTGTTAGAACGTTCTGCTTCAATGACAGGATAGTAATTAATTTCAATAATTTTGTTCAAATTTCTAGTAACGACCTTTACAACGTCATGAAGTTTTTGAAAGTCATATCTTTCTCTATTAATCACAAAAGTGGGTAAGGCAAGTGAAGCCAAATTACAGACAGCAACTTCATCAGGACTAGAGTATTCCACAATCTCAGTACAAAGATTACTGCATTTAATGATACCCAAGTTTTGTTGATTGCTCTTTCTATTACACGCATCCTTGTAAAGCATAAAGGGATTACCTGTTTCAGTCTGGGCTTCTAAAATAGCATACCAAAGCTTTTGAGCTTTTATTGTCTCTCGAGCTTTACCTTCACGTTCATACTTTTCATATAACTGAACAAATTCTTCACCCCATACATCACACAGTCCAGGTGCTTCATTAGGACAGAAAAGAGACCAGTCACGATTATCTCTCACACGTTCCATGAACAAATCAGGAATCCAAAGAGCATAGAATAAATCACGAGCTCTAATTTCATCTTTACCAAAGTTTTTGCGAAGGTCAAGAAAGGTAAAAATGTCTGCATGCCAGGGCTCAAGGTACATCGCAAAGGCACCAGGACGCTTATTACCACCTTGGTCAACGTAACGAGCAGTATTATTAAATACACGTAGCATTGGTAAAAGACCATTAGAATAACCATTGGTACCCGCAATATATGAACCAGAAGCACGAATATTATGAATATTCAAACCAATGCCACCTGCTGATTTAGAGATTTGAGCACAGATCTTCAAAGTCTCATATATACCTTCAATAGAATCATCTTTCATCGTCAATAAAAAGCAGGAAGAGAGTTGAGGACGAGGTGTACCAGCATTAAAAAGAGTAGGACTAGCATGTGTAAAGTAACGTTCAGACATCAAATTATATGTCTGAATAGCAGCATCAATGTCTTCACCATGAATACCAACTGCTACACGCATAATCAAATGTTGTGGTCTTTCAGCAACTTTACCATTAATCTTAAGCAAATAAGAACGCTCCAATGTTTTAAATCCAAAGAAGTTGTAATTGAAGTCACGATCATATATAATAGCAGAATTAAGACGATCAGCATTGGCCATAACAATTTTGTAGATGTTCTCTGCAATCATGGATGCACGCTTCTCTGTTTTGGGATCAACATAGGAATATAAATCTTCAATTACTTGAGAGAATACTTTTTTAGTTTCTTTATGAAGATTTGAAATGGCAATACGTGCAGCCAAAATGGCATAATCAGGATGAGTAGTAGTCATATAAGCAGCAGTCTCCGCAGCAAGATTATCTAATTCTATAGTAGTGACGCCTTCATAAACACCAGAAATAACCTTTATAGATACATTTAATGTAAGTATACACTTTGATTCTAGTTATTATTATTATTATTTTTTTACATACCTTTTGGGTAACAGAGACAGGATCAACATAATTCATGTCAAGACCATAACACAATTTATTAATTCTAGCGGTGATCTAAGGGAGTTTTTATTAAATGAGGAATTATGTGGGGATTGTTTCATTTTCAAATGTATAATCATTTACCTTGTCAAAAGCCACTCTCTCACGTCTACCATCTTTTATAGTTAAACAAAGCATAAGGATTAGTATATTTAAGACTCATATCAACATTTGATTAGATTGAAAATAGATTCTGGTACCTCTTTTATAGACAAACATAGGCATTATAAAATTTTTGGTTTCAAAAAGAAAAATAATAAAAAAGCAAAAATATTTTTTTTTTTTTTTTTAAATTAAAACACCAGGACCAAAAAAGAATTAAAAAAAAAACAATTTTTTTTTCTTTTTCTATACGCGTTTAAAAGCGCGTTCGTATTCTTGTACAACAAGCGACCAAATTACCTTCTAACCTCATCATATAATATTATACATACTATATTTATTCTCTCTTTTTCTCTCTCTTTTATTAATCATAAATTACATATTAGTCCGTACATAATATTTCCTTTTCCTTCTTCCTCTTTTTTTTTTCTTTTTTATTTTAGAAAGATATTTGCAGTCCATTTTTATTTTCTATAAGGGGCTAAACAGTTTTGCAAATGCTGGGCAAATCTTTGTTTAGCAATAGCAGACATTTCTAAATGATGATTCTTTTCAAACTTATTTACAACTTCCAAGGGATCATCATTAATATAGACTGCAAACTTAGCATTAACACCAGGGGTCAATTCAATATTGAAGTTAAGAACTGGTGCATCTAATCTGGGGAATACTGTATTTTGTTCTGTGGCATTGGATGGAGTAGGTTGTTGGAAAGGATTTGTAGGTTGTTGGACGGGCTGTGTGGATTGAGCAGGTTGTGCAGATGATGTATTTTGCACAGGTGGAGGTGAAGCATATTTAGAAGCAAATGTGCCCTGTGTAAATGCTGATGAAAGTGCAGGCTTAGGAGCAGGTTGAGATACAGGTGGAGGATTAAGAACAGTAGGTGCTGCAGGAACAGCAGGAACAACAGGAGCAGCAGGAACAGCAGGAGTGGAAGTAGCATATTTAGAAGCATTTGTACCATTGACTGCACTCTGGGGTTGTGTCCAGAAAGGAGTAGAGGCAAGTTCACTAGTAGCCCAAGGACCCGTTGCAATCATTTCTCTACTGCGATATGCAGAAGATGATGGAGGTACAAGTGTAGAGCTTTTTCTAGGTGTAGACGCACCAGAAGATGGTTTTGATTTTCTACCTCTAGATTTTTTTTTATTTGAACTTAAACCGCCCTTAGGTACAGGCTTACCTAAACGTCTATTAATAATGGCTTCTTCATCAATGGGAATGTAGTTGTTGCCTTTACGATGAAGTTGACCACTACCAACACCATTTTCCTTAATCTTAATATTAGGATCAATAAGGGCTTCCCAGCCGCTTACAGTTAAACTGACATTAGTGGCACCATCATTACCAACCGTCTGACTTCCCCAAGCGGTTGCTTCAATAGGAGCATAGTCATCATCATCACTATATTCTTCTTCATCTGAATATTCTGAATTATTTTGATTCCATTGTGTTAATTGAGCCTGTTTCCAATCAGCCATTTTTCTTTTGTATTGTTATAAATTTTAATAATTTATATTTAATAGATGTAAGAAGAAAAACGATTAAAAATTTTTTTTTTCAACAAAAATTTAGATAATCAAAATAAAGGGTTACCAAAAAAAAAAAAAAAAAAAAAAAAAAAAAAAAAAAAAAAAAAAAAAAAAAAAAGTCAAAATACAAGCAGAATGTAAATTTATACATAATAAATATATTACATTGATTTCTGATTAATTGGTAACACATTAATTGAAAGCGTCTGTCTCTCTTTTTTTTTATAAATTCACTAATTATTTTTAGCCCATGAATATGAACGTTGTCTATTACAAGTTAATACCTCTTTATTTCTGAATATTAATTGTTGCCTTTAAAGCGATGAAAGTTTTTATTAAAATGTTCTACTAGTTGGCCAGCTATGATAGTTTTAATACTTAAAATAAGTTTTTGGCGTCCTAGTAAGCTTACTATTAGGTTTGATAATTCTGTCTTGACCCAATCTATTGACAAGTAAAGCAAAATTATCTTTTCAAATCTTTTGCTCTCTTTTTACCTTCCATAATTGAAGGCAGAGTTTTGGACTTACGGCTCTCTTGTTCTGTTATCCTGTTATATATAAACTACAGACGGTTAATGCCTATATCACATCTTTTGCATGCTTCTTTTTTCTTTATTCTCTCTCTTATATATAACAATTCTTGAATTCTTTTCTCTGATTTCATTACCGTCTTTAACAACTTTACAAATCCTAACTTCTATTACGACATATCCAATTTAAAAAAAAATACAACTTCTCGAGTTTGAAAGGATCTTCACCTTTACATTTTGTATAACAATTATTATTTTAATTATAAATATTAACTTATTCATCTTCAAAGTAATATTAGAAGGTTGTTATTAATAACAAACAGAGTAAATTAGAAGTATGATAGCTGATAAAGAAAAAAATCTATTGATATACCCTCATTTACGAGTATGATATAGTTTCTTAAAATTTGATTACATATATCGCTTTTCTGATTTATTTAAGCTTTCAATAGTACTGCAGCTCTGTATGTGTATCCAATAATATATATATATATACACTATACTATACATATTTATTATGCTATACACTCGGCTTTGCTATGCGAAGTACATAACACACGAACTATTTACGGTATTAAAGACAAGTTCTCACTATAGATAAGCTATTTAGAAATATCACAAAAATGTGAAAAATATAACAGAAAAGGTTTCTACTTGAAGTAATATAGTGCACAAGGAGTTATAGTAGACATACAGGAAGGTGAAACTATCTAGGTGGTTTTTTTATCTAATATTTATATACCATCTAAGTTTTGTATATATTGTAAATAAATAAATTTTATATATAAAAGTAAAATAACTATTAAAAAGAAGTTAATGTAATATATAGTGATAGTCAAATCCTATCCGCTATTGTAATTAAAGGGCATTCTCTCTATCACATGTTAGTCTAAACAGAAGGTATTGAGACATTTGGATAAAATAAAACTCATCTTATTTGACTTCTCCTGATCTATTATTTTTTTTTTTTTTTTTTTTTTTTTTTTTTTTTTTTTTTTTTTTTTTTTTTTTTTTTAGCAAAATACAACTCAGTATTCATAATTATTCTAGGATTGTGAACTTGTAGCAATCTTAAGTTTTGTTTTATTTTATTTTTTTAGAAAAAAATGTATTTAAACTACAAGCAACTAACACTTTTAGCCAAAAAGAAAGAAAAAAAAAAAAAAAAAAAAAAAAAAAAAAAAAAAAAAAAAAAACTGAACAATTAGAGACTTGCCAAAACAATTATATTGGAAGGGTCTTTGATAGATTTCTTCGGTTTCCAGTAACTCCAATCTCTTTTCCATATTAATAAATTACCTACTGACACATTACTTTCTACACTGCTTCTCCATATCTAAAATTCAAATATAAACATTCAATGGTATAAACTTAAAAAGACTCCGTGCTGACAACTTTATGCTACAGAATCTAGTACTTTAGATGGGTATTTCCTGAAAAGAAACTTTTACAACTGCGGAATCGCCACCACTCCAAATTACTTATTACTTGTTGATCTTGTACTCTGGCTGCCTATGCTCTTTAGCAAATTTAGCTGTATAATTTGATAATGTCTTAATTCGTAACTTGGTGTTAACCTCAAACATTGTATGTATCATGCGTGCACTCATTTCAGTAGACTACACGCCATTTAACGCCTACATATACATACTCGTTCATATTCGTTCAAAGCAATTAAGGACCCACTTTACTATCTTTTGAACTTTTTGCCTTAGATAAACTAAGGGAGTCCTTAAATATATTCGCTTGAATTTACCGTTGGCTAATTACCTGCACCATCCTACATGAAATATGTTATTTGATATATGATAAGATAACCCCCCCTCCTCTCCATTCAGGCAAAAATCTACTTGATTAGCTGCCCAACTGAACTTGATTATACAATTTCTTGCCTTCCCTTCTCTTTCTTATTTACCTCTTGATTCTTAAGAGGGTTTTTTAAAGCTTATATATATATATCGTAAACTTGTCTGGGCAATTCGATCTAATATCAATATTATACATTCACTAGTCATCTTAATAAAAATATTTTATTGTATTTATTCTAAATACATATTTATTTAAACAGGAGCTATTTGTACTACTAACTATTTAAGTTTTATTTTAAAACGAAAGGACTTGAACACGTTTTAAGATAAGGTTATGCCTTAGTGAAGAGAGTTAAAAGAATAGTTTTTCGTAAAAAGAGTTTATCATTCAAATAAATAAAAGCGAAAGTGACAAATAGTTTATTCATAGAAATTAAGCTTTCGAAGAAATTCATCCTCTGTAATCTGAAAATCAAACCAACGGATCCTTTTTTTTTATAAACTAAATGTCATTCTTACTGAGATGTGGCTCTAAGTATCACCTAATCTAAATAACTTTACCTCTCTATACTAAATAGCTTATAATATGGAAACAAGTAGACATTATTATGATTGATGGCTCTATATTTCATCTAATGTACTATCACTGGGGGTCGACTAGATGATAGACACTTTACAAAATTACATTAGAAAATATTCAGATGAAAAAAAATCACTTGAAGAATAACTGAACGTAGAATAAGATCATAAAGAACACTGGGATACTATTAAAGCCCTAGTATCTGCATTCTGTAATATTTGAGAATTAAGTTAAGAGTCTACAGCTGGAAAAAAAGTTACTTCTATATAGCATTATTTAGAAGAAATAAAGGATTTTATGCCATCATTGATAATATGCCTATCAACAATTCAGTAATCAAAAATTGGGAAATAGTTATGATTAAAAAGCAATAAGAATAAATACTTCTCAACTTATTCTCTATAACCTAATTTCATGAAATAGTTTCCGATTTTTGCGGAACACAAAATTATAAATATTACGGAAGAACGCATATTAATTCAATTTTTATTAATTTTGTTTAAAGCTTAGCTTAAAAAAAAAGTTAATTGGGCTTAGGACTTGCCAATCAGAAGTCAACATAGTCGCTATTTGAAAACAGCTGTACCACTTTAAGTTCCTAAAATGCATGAAACTATGTCCCTCGTAAAAACTATAAATAGAGTTTTTAAACATTTTCTTTTTTTTTTTTTTTTCAACAACTATTATTTTTTTTTATGACTTTAGTTTCTCAATTAAAAGAAAGCTTTGCAATTGCTCCCATTAAAGACCGAGAAGAAATTGTTAAAAAGTTAGCGGCTGATAATACAGAAGATGCATTCTACTATCAGGGACTTATTATACTTCAAAAGATTTATGACCAAGTGATGAAGTATGAAGACCCAGTCAAGCCTCGCGAACCAAATTCAATTGAAAAAGAGTTATCATGTGAAATGAAAACACTTTTAGCAAAATTTAAGACGCATAATAATCAATTTTATGAACTTAATGCTCGTTTTCATCTTTTGATTTATCCCTTTGATACCGCTGCTTCAGTCGAATTTATCAAGACATCTTTACATCTTGATTTACAACAATCTACTGATAACGATAAGCCTATCCTGACAATCGATAACTATAAGGATCAGAGTGATAGTTCTCCTACAGATGTTAGAACACGATCGACTACACCATCAATTTTTAACAAGCAACTAATTGATAGCACAGAATTAATCAAACAAAGTTTCAAAAGACTATCTTCTGAAGATACAGTTCTCGATATTAACTCGTTCGCATTTCCTTATCTTGAATCCTTTTGGAAGGATTTGAATGAAGATGAGGAGACTGCATTACTGATAAGAATTTTTGATTTCCCATCTGAACACGTTTTTGGTCCAAAAATTATAGATCGATTAGCTAAACTTTGGAAAACTCAAATAGATCAAAATTCTGCACCAAGCAAGAATTTTGAAAATTTACCTTTTCAAAATCTTACCATAGCTCAAATGGAACAACTAATTGATACTATTCCTGATATTGTGTTCTTATATGAAAACTTCATCTTGACTTATCTTGAAAAATTAGCTCCTACCGAATATTATGATATTCAGTTTGATCAACCAATTTCATTTTGGGATGATGATGGTAATATATTAAACTCTTATTTGGAGCGCTTAGATGCCTTTGTGAATAAGTTACCACCAATTTATTATCAACTCAAGTCGGCTGTAAAGTTTCACAGACTAAGAGTTGATATTGTAAGAAAAGCATTTGATATGGAGCGATTTATTAAGTAATAAGAATAACATAAATCATTGAAAAAAAATATACTAAACCCCTATTTATTATTATTATTATTTTTTTTTAAAAAAAAAGATATTTATCTGGTGCTACTTTAAATACCTCTGCCAATCTAACTCCTACTCCTTCTCACATTGGCTTTAGACAGGCTTTCAATGATAACAGAAATATTAATAGTGAACCTAATCATAACTTATCAATCCCATTTATGGGTTCTTGCAATATTAGTGAATCTGATAAACATTCCATGATCAAAGATTACTTAACTGGATTAGTTCAGCAAAACAAACTTACCATGTCTATTCAATCACTTGGTGCTTTCATAGATTTTCATAACTTTTTAAAACCTTTATATGCTAAAATTATGTTAACAAACGCTTCTTCAACGACTCAAGAATCATGGATAAATGATCTTGGATTTGACGAATACAAAGCTTTAATAAATAAGACTATAGTCTCATTTTCCCCTTCTACTTCAAAGAAATCTTATAAAAGAAAACCTACAGATGACATTTGCTTAGAGGTGATCACTAAAAATATATCCTGTTTAACAATCCGTGTTTTTCAAATTGAAACAGAAAATTACTGGCGGTTACATTTAAATGATACAATAGATGATGAGACTACCGCTAATAACAAAATCAAGTTGGATGGCCTTCAACCTACTTTTGAAACAGATATAAACAGTTTTAGTTCTGTACCTGCCCTACATGTAGAAACAACAAAGTTTGAATTTGGTGGACAAAACGGTCTTGCTCAGGATGTGTTTAATGGCCGTGGTCTATGGGTTATTGATTTTGTTGGAGGTCAACATCAATGTAAAGCTATTGTTCAAAAAGGTTATTTGAAGTATGTTATGCAACAGACTTGCGCTGGCCATGTTTTTAGAATTTTGGATGAAGAAGGCTTTACTATTGAAAAAACAAAAATATGGTGCAACAATCAATATTATGAGGTTAGTTTTTGTACACAAACTCCTCATATACGAAAAAAAAAATAATACTAAATAAGCATTTCTATTTACAATATTTATATTATACTAATAGTCTGATGATCATAACAATATTTTGATTCCTTATTTACCTCCAGATGAAGATGCAAAAATGACTAAAATGATAATGATGTCTTGTAAAGATGGATTTTGTGAAGTTGGAACGTTCTATCATTTAACTGAGCAATACAAATTAGAAGCGTCATTCTATGTAAACCCTGAAATGACTTACTCCAATAAAAAATCGAGAGTAATCGTTATTCCTAAATTGACACTCAATGGTTTAGCTATTCCTCTTTCACTAATAGAAGAAAGGATGAGTTTAGTTGTGGAAAGTTCCACTGTTAAGGATGTTAAGAAAAGCTCTACTTATCAAAATATACCTTACAATACTAATCCAATAATATTTGAGTTTGTAGTTCCTGATCAATGTAAGTACTCCCAATCAATCTCTCTCTCTCTCTCTCTTTTTTTTTTCTTATCTAACTTATTTCACTAGTGGTTAAACTTAATTTTCGGCTTGTTGCAAAAATCAAGACATTACGTGGAACATTACAAAATCTTGAAGCTTCACATACTATCCTTAATAAGCCAACTATTAATAATTCTGGTATACCTGCTAGCATTCATCTTAGTAAATCACGTAATAATACATATACACTTCATGCTTTTGGAAAGAATGGTGAAATTAGAAAGGACTGTGAGGTTTCACTTAGACTTAAACATTTATGTGTTGATCGTGTTGTCGAAACTCTTTTGAAAACGAATGAGAAAGGGATTATTCAATTAGGCGACATGAAAGATATTATTTGGATAGAATGTAGTTGTGCTCGAAGTACTTATAAACAATATTTTCTTAAAGATACTTTCCGAGCAATATTACCATCATCTTTTTGTATATCTCCTAATACTTTATTTAAAATATCATGCTCTACTGACTTTCATGATGCAATGTATTCACTTTATGAAATTGGATTACAAGAGTAAGGCTTTATATATATATTTATATATTGCGCTTGTTTCTTTTATTTAAATATTTATATTCATAGAATGATTATCAAAGATTTGACTAGTCATATTGTTAAAGAGGACAACTCTATTACTATTCAAGGTTTACCAGAAGGAGAGTATAGGTTATACATAGCCTCTCCAATAGGGCAAATAGAGGAAATAAATTTCACAGTTATCCAAAGTCAGCAAGATTCTTCTGAAAATCAACAAGACCTCTGGTCCGAATGGATTATTGGTGATAACAAATACGCAAAACAATGCAAGACTCTCTTGCAACGGCCTCTTGGTATTTCAGACGTTAAATTATCTGATGAAATAATCAAGATTAAACTTCGTAATTGGTCATCAAAAACATTTGCTATTGTTACTACAAACACCTTTGTTCATGCACATAATGAAACTATAGCCAACTGTATTCTAGATCGGAAGCAACTTCCTGATTATAATACCTATAAGAACGGTGTATTGGCTACTCGTTCTATAATTCTAGATGATAAGCTTATTAGTGATGAGTATCAATATATTCTGAATCGATCTAGAGCAGAAAAATGGATAGGCAGTAACTTGACAAAACCCTCATTACTTATATGCCCAAAGGTAAAAAAAAAAAAAAAAAAAAAAAAAAAAAAAAAAAAAAAAAGTATATATAAGAAATAGAGTTATTTATGATTAATATTTGTTTGGACATGCAGAAAAGAACAATTACTGATTCTAATTTAAGACATATAAATCAAGAACGAGTATTACTAAAACAAAAAGGAATACAAAGATATGCTCATCCTGCTTCTTTACAATCAAGAATGATGAAAACTTGTGATATAAATCCTGTATCTAATTGCTATGACATATTAGATAATAATAATACTAGCGATTTAAGTTTAGACTTTTTGGATCATAATTCTTCTATATTATTATCTTCTGTTTCAGATAACGATGGTTTCATTACTATTGACCGTAATGCTTTAGGTCAGGGAGGTCAGATTCTTCAGGTCATCATTATATCTGATGAGCAAGCTATATCCTATCAAACTGTATTAAATGATGAACAGACATTGCGTTACAAAGATCTTCGTCAAAATGCTGATAGTAATAAGGCCCTTATTTGTGCAAGAACAATTTCTAACCTACTTCCTGGTAATACATTGAAATTAAATACTCATGAATATGAAATAATTGATAGTGTTGAAAAGCTGTTCGATACAATTAAGCTTATTTCCCCTGTTGGTAAGGCTTTTGCTGAAGAATTTTATTTTTTAAAGACATGGTCTAGCTTAACATTAGAAGAAAAACTAAAGATTTATGAAAAACATGCGTGCCATGAATTTAATCTTTGGTTAAAGAAAAAGAATAATGCGTTTTTCAACAATTACATAAAATTCGCTATTCAGGTATATAATTCAAAATTGATTAAAAAAAAAAATACTATATTAAAAATCATTCATATAATTATTTTATAGAGTAAAATTCAAAAATCATTTATGGATTTGTATCTTTTGGACGAAGATCTTTCAACATATTGCCAAAGTATCTATAAATTTAATCAACTTTCTATGGTTGAAAAGACACTTTTAGCTACTACCCAATCTAAAGAGTTTTTACAAATGGTTTTAAAGATTTTTAAAGAACAATTTGATGATAAAGAATTAAATAATTCATCAGACACTATATTTGATTCTATTTTGGCTCACAGTACTATTTCTGATGAAGAACCTATTCATACAAATGCTTCTAAATCCTTTACAGAAAGTGAGGAATGTATGACATCAAATTTCATGGCTCAAGAAACACCCTCTGGTTCTTTTTATCCATTTTTGAACCAATCATCTGCATATCCATCTGCTGCCTTATTTGGATCTGCTCCTAGGACTGCTATGCCTTTGCCAAATAACACTTCAAATCTATTTGGTGCTTCATCTACTGCTTCTAATACATTATTATACTCTAATGTTTCTACTGATGATGATGAAGGGCCTGTTGATAACTTACAATTAAATAATACCGAAGATGAAGTTTACAAATTAAGAGAAAAAGCAAGAGAGGATCAGAAAAAAGCATCTTATAAGTTTATTGGTTCTACTAGTGAATGGTCCGAAATTGGATACTATAATGATAGTGTTCAAGTTGCTCTAAAACAATTTTGGATTGATTATCTTAAATGCTATAATGCCAGAAATAACCGTGAATCTCTTTTATTTTTGTCTGGAAACTTTATACACGCTTTGGATAGCATTACAGAGGTTCTGTATGTTATGAGTTTGATTGATTTACCCTTTTCTTCCAAAACTAATTGGAATATCGAAGTACACGATATGTCTGATTTGATTATATCAACTTCAACTTATCCTTTAATGGTGTTTCATCGTACTCTAACTGAAAGTCAAGAAAAACATCTTGCAAGTAACAATCAAAATAGCTTAATACTTTGCCAAGAACTTTTCATTGTTGATGATTCTATGTCTATTCAAACTGAAGATTTAATTAAAATTAGTCCTGAAAGCCAACCCTTAGAAACACAAGTTGAGTATGGAACGCATCTTATTCTTAGCAATATTTCTTCCAAGACACTTGTATGCCAGATACTGGCTCAAATACCCGTTGGCTCTGTTCCTAGCCAGAATACTCCTTATTGTAATTCCAAAACCATATCTATTGAACCTTACTCTTCGTGGCATGATGTCGTTGGCACTTTTTATTTCCCCGAAGCAGGCAATTTTTCTATGACACCAATTACTGTTACATCATCTTCAGGGGACCAGTTTTTGGGATTGATAGATTCCGTAGATATTTGTGTCATTAATCAAACTACTAATAGCAATGTTACTTCAGAAACAAACTCTACTCCTTTAATGTCATGGGCGATTATTACAGCTAGCAATGATACAAACATTATAAAATACTTGGAGACATGTCGAACATTAGACAAACTTGATTTTACATTGATTGGGTGGAGAATGACAGATAAAATGTTTGCTCGACACGTGTTTGATATACTAATAAAGCGACGCTTTTTCTCTCGAGATCTATGGAAATATGGAATCTCTCACCAATTTGAAGATATCATACGTGATCTGCTTTATTACGAAAAATATCAGTTACTAGAATCAGTTGGCCATGTATTTGAGTCTCCATTGATTTACGAGAACAAAATGGAAAATCAGGAGTTGAAAGTTCTTGATTATTATCCTCTCCTAAACGCTCGTATCCATTCAATTAAGAACTCAACAAATGAAATTTTAAATCAGCAATTTTTTAAGCAATATAATGAATTTCTTAGCTATTTGTGTTTGAAATCTACCCCATGTACTGCTAATGAGCTTATTATCTTAACTTTATATCTACTTTTACAAGACAGAATTGGTGAAGCTCATTCAACCTTTGCTAGAATAAACAGAGAAAAGATAGCATCTTGCCAAGTACAATACGATTATGTTGATGCTTATTTAAAAACACGCATACCTATCAATGCAGATAATCAGTTACAGATATTAGATCTTCAATCTATCAAAGATACAACTCAAAAATATAAAGAGTTTGGCATTTTGAAATGGCGCAAATTGTTTACTGACTTGTATAATTTTATTTGCGAAGTAGAACAAGGTGATCTGGCTATATCTGATGATACCCTTAGTAGTAAAAATATTCATTCAGAACCTATTTTGGAATTTGAAATTGATCAACATAGCAATGAATTCGTTATTCAATATGCCAACTTGAAAACTATAGATATCAAATATTACGAAATGAATATTGAAGTTATGTTTTCGGATAACCCGTTCATGATAAATCAAAATGTTAGTCAACAATCAAGCATGCCTTACAACAAATTTAATTGGATTAAACCTAGTTACACTACAACCATAAATTTACCAAAACAAACAAATATGCTTGATGATTTTGAGGTAATTGGAGTAAGCCAATTAAACTCTCTTCAGACTGTCAGAATACCTTTCAAGGATGGACATAAAAATATCTTTGTAGAAGTTTCTAGTGACTCCCTTAAAAGATACCAAGCCTTTTTTTCAAATCGTCTAAGTATACATGTCGTAGAATCGTTAGGTGTGATCCGTGTGATGAATGAACATACCAAGTACCCTATTGCTGGAGCCTATGTAAAGGTTTATGTTCGTATGAAACAAGGCCATAAAGTTGAATTTTGGAAGGACGGATATACTGGTCTGAATGGAGTTTTTGATTACGTTGGAGTTACAGAAGGAAACGCTTTAGTGGGTAACCAACAAGACTTGAAAATGTTAATGGAGAATAAGATAGATAAATTGAGCATTTTAGTTTTAAGTAACGAAGACGGGGCTATGGTAAAAGAAGCTTATCCACCTTTAATCTCTCATTAAAGAATACATATATAATATTATCTTCAATACATAAAGAATAAACAAATAAAGCATTTATATAACATGATCTATAAATTATATATAATATGAAATTGTATTACAACTAAAAATTATATGGAAAATATCGAGGGTTATTTATATGTTTTTACAAGGTAAGTGTTATCAATGGAAATATGATTCAGATAAGCAAGTTTTACTATAATAAAGTGTTTTACATAAAACATTGTCTCCGAATAATTCTGCGATCAAAAAGATATATCTTTATTCTTTTTTCTCCCTGAGTTGTCGCTGTTCCTAGATGCATAATGAATTATCATCACTAGAGTGATCGACACATCAATATCAATTCTCAGTAAATATGGCTAGCTGCAACAATACCAATTATTCATGAGTTACTATCATTGTCATTGTATAAGATTTTATTACTTAACAATATTCAATATTATCAATGTATATATGATATGTAAGTATCACTCATGAACAATTATGTAATTGAATACACCAGTCATAATCCTGTTTGAATAATGTATATAATTATTATTATTGTTCGAACACTCTAACAATGACTATTATTAAAAACTGAGTGTAGAATGAATATTATGCTGTGAAGTACAATATACTAGTTTTATATGAATAGCCTCTTTATTATGTAATAAATTATAGTTTATTTCTATTAACTTAGTTATAAAGACGACTATAATCATAACAATAAATACTAACTTTACGAAAGAATAATAAGCCAAACATAGTGTAAAGAGTTATTAATGATAAAGATATATGAATTATAGATTGTACCTATAAGTTATATATCCACGTTATTATCTAATATACTAATTTATAAATATAATCATATACTATCTATGATAACTCTATTCTAATTGAATACACTATATAATATAATGAAATTCATTTAAGTAGTACATCAAGGAATGAATATGATACAAAGAAACTGGTTAGAATATAAATCAAAATGTCAAAAGTATCTTCCCTATATCATTCACAAGTATGAACAAAGGAGGATTCATTATTTGGTTTCAAGAAATATAACCGGCTAGATCGAGCATTAATAGTTTGATATTTATTAGAGTTAACTGAGATTAATTCTCAATCAGGGCAAAGACCAGAGATCAAACACAATAACTTTAATCATTCTATGGGAAATATTCTTCTTTCGAGATACCTTCATTCTGTTCCTGTCATGAAGTAACCCGTTTTCCACAAGATATAAATAAGGATCCATTTTGCACTCATTTTTTAGATATTCATTCAATTCATAATAAAAGTTCTATACAGATTTATTCTGTCTTCTTCTTTTTTTTTTTTCACAATAGATAAGCGCATCTACTTTGAGAAGCTAACGAGGTATAATGGTTCGATGTTCCGAACTATACATGCCCCAACTACTCCAAGAAAACTAGTTGAATATATACAAGAAATACCAAAAATTCTAGCTTGGAAAACAAGCAGTTGTTGATCATATACTTTAATTACAATAATTTTCAGGCCATTTTTTTTTTTCAATAACTTCAATACCTTAAATGTCGTTGTATGAATTAGCTGATAAATCTTTATCGTATATATGTCTATCACTCATATCAACGTCTTTCTTATCCAAAATACTGTTTGGCCTAATTGTTTAATAATAGATAGTAGTAGGAGTAATGAAAATAGTCTTTTTTTTTATGGATGTTATTAATAGAAAGAGCGATTAAAAAAAGTGAAGCATTTTTTATTGTTGATTTATAGCCAACCACTGTCAAGTATTATAAATGTGAGGGAGTGAAGACAGATCGTAAAGCTATATTATTATTTAAATCCGTTTGACCTCTTTATCTTTTTTTTTTCTTTATTATTTAAAACATAATTCTCTATGTACGTATTTTTATTCTAACATGATTGAAAAATAATGTAAAGGCATCTTTTTTTTTTTTTTTTTTTTTTTTTTTTTTTTTTTTTTTTTTTTTTTAAAAAAAAAAAAAAACTAGCTAGTAACTTCGAAATCATCCTTTTCTGAAAGAATCAAAAATAGATTAATATTCATTTGACTTTCAGGTGAATTGGTTTCTGCAGCTCGTTCAAACATTGCATCCATATCATCAAAGCTTACATGTGGACTATAAGTGGCCATTAATAAATAACGACGATTATTAAGTTTAGGTAAAGGAACGAAGCTTGGTACAACAAATAGTGTCCTATTATAAAGCCATTATCAGCAACTATAAATATAAATCAATGATCACGCTGTATTTACCTTTCATAAGAATTTTCTGTAGTTGATTTAGCAAATTCGATTTGTGGCTTTCCCTTTGTATGTCGACGCAAAGCTACACCTGGACTATTATTCAATTGTGCTATTGTTTTATTTAATTGACTAGAATAATCAAAAATATTGATGTGATTATTTCCATTTTCTATATAAAAAATATCACTTTATTTCATGAAAATCACAGCAAAAACTTTTTCTTTTTCTTTTTACCTTTAGGAATTACAAGTAAATGTCGAGGAGGCATATATGTTTTATAAAATACGATATTAGTTGTAACATTAAAAGGATTTTCACCAATATTTGTTAGATCTAAAGAAGAAGTAGAAAAAAAAATCAGATAAAGAAGAGAAATTTAGTTAGATCGGTAGTTATTATATTGGTAAATCATAAAAAAAAAAAAAAAAAGATATATACTTGATAGACCAATAGTGCATGATAAATCTCCAGAGTCAAGAATATGGCAATCATGTATATTTGTCGTTTGACGTTGTAAGAATCCCATTGCGGGCACAATACCTCCCTGATGAATAACAGAAAATATATAGGTTGTTACAATATTAAATATAATCCACATTGTCCAAAATACTGCAGGCAATTTTGGTTGTTTCCAAGTATAAATAAAAACAAGAGGTACTAATAAAGGACATAAAAATCTAGCTTCTTGATGAGGAATAATAGAGAGACCAACTACACCTGAAAAAAGGACGCTAACAAGAACTTGAAAGAAGAAAAAGAATATAAGTTATTTGTAGTCATTTATATATTTTTTTCATAAATAATAATACCATAAAATATGTGAGAGTTTGGATCATTCCAAGCTTCTACAATTGCAGTTGGAAGATATAAGAAAGCAAAAATAAAAAGAGGACCATAAAGTACAGGTAAATTAACAGCAAAATGCGTATATCTCGGATGAATACCATGCTCAGCCAAATTTTCAACATTTAAGTTATAACGCAAGTTATTAAGTGGTGTAATAACAACATCTCCATATGAACGAACAGTTGCTAGCGTAGTTGGATCGAATAAAGTCGAGATAACATGACCAACATCTCTAAATGGTTGGCCATTTACTGTAAAAGTTAATTTACCATAGTATACTGAATCTACAGCAATAATAACTATAGAAATACAAGCAAATCCGACCAGAAGTGAATAAGCAAATGTAATAAACTGGTTGAAGTTATTGCTTCTATAAATTGAAGCTTAATATAAATATAAATATATCCATCTATAAGTATATCTATTATTCGTATCTACCGTTGATAAGCTTTATATATAAAAGCTATGCCTATTGGAAAAGCGTAAAGTGGAAAAGTAATTCTAGTGAAGACTCCTAAACTAAATAATGATCCCAAAAAAAATGCACGCTTGCTTGTTGCCTAAGTTTCATTTATTAGAATTTATGCCAGCTTCATTTTTTTTTTTTTTTTTTTTTTACCTCACTAGCAAAGTCAGCATACAAGCTTAAACTTAAACAAAGTAATACACTCTCGAAAGCGTTGGAAAATGGACGCGTATGATAGGCTAATGTTACCTGACTTGTGGCAACTAAAAGCATGGGAATTGTAGGCTTTTTTAAATTAATTCGTTTACATAGTCTATAAACACTTAGATCTTTATATATGCAGGTAAGCATTATTATTCCATGTCTTTTTCTATTCATTTTTCAAAAATATACCAATAAAAAGTGACCAAATAAAAGCACTCATACGTTCCGTTAAAAATAAAGCAGTAGAAGATGGTACTAAAAAATGGAAATGATTAGTTATGTCGACTTCTATTGATGTTTAAATTACATTTGTCTTTAGACATCCAAAACTTTAGTATCGAAAAAGGAATCCCAGTAGTAAGAAATCTAATTCAAGAAAAAATATATAGATGTATATACATTTAAGATTTAATCTGCAAATTTCATTTTATTTGAAAGTTATTCATCATACGGTGAAATGATCGAACGTGAAGCATGTTCAGGTTTGTACTCCCAAGGTGTCAAAGTGTCTATATTAAATATACTTGAGCTTGTAATCTCAGGGTTTTGAAAAAATTCATCAGGATGAATATATCCTGGTAGAGTAGCGGTTAGCCAACGTAACCATAATAATATGGATACTGTTAACACAGTTGCTTTATTAACCATTGATGTTAACAATAATAATAATAATAATAATAAAAAAAAAAAAAAAAAAAAAAAAAAATTCAATAATGTTTAATTTTTAATTGCAGATAATGATGAGGCAAGCTTATTGTAACCACTTTTAGTAGTTCTCCATGATACCATATTATTTTCTATTGAAAGAGCCAAGTACCACTAAATATCATATATCTGCATACACGCACTTTTTTTATTTTATTTTTTTTTATATAAATATTGTAAAATATTAAGAATAGAATTAAGATTTATATATATAGTGTGAATTTAATGAATAAATACTATTCTACGCGATCCTTTTTAAATCCATAACGTAAATTACTAACATGTAGACATTTATTTATTTATCTTTTTTTGTACATGTATTCAATTTAACATTTACATTGGCTAATAAAAGATACTTTTTATGATTATATTCTGTATTTTGCCTTTGCAATGTACTTGAAATAGACAGTAGTCAGTTTTTTTTTTTTTTTTTTTTTTTTTTTTTTTTTTTTTTTTTTTTTTTTTTCAACAAAAAAAGAAAAGAGAAGCTCACAAAACTCAAATGCTTTAACTAAGAGCACCCCACATAGATATTTGAAAAAAAAGGAGGGGAAATATAAAATCACAGTTAAATATTCTTTTGCTATAGACATATTAAGCATTTTCTTCTGAAGAATTAGAATATGAAATGGTAGCAACAAATGAACATTATGAACGAATTCCTTCATCAGAAGATAGCAGTGAAACTCAATTAGCTGTTGACAACAAAGAGAGAGGAACAATTTTTGTATATTGTCTTGTATTTTGTATATGTATAGGCGGGTTTTTATTCGGTTATGATACTGGAGGTATATGATATCACTCATATTATATGCAGTAATGATTTAAATAGTCTGATTTATAGTTATATCTGGTGCATTACAACCAATACAAAAGGATTTTATTATGTCTATACAACAACAAGAGTGGATTGTAGGTGCAACAACTTTAGGTGCAATTTTTGGTGGTTTTTTTGCAGGTTTTGTAAAGTACTCCTATCATACATGCATATACATATAAATATACTGACTTGTACATACTTTACAATTGTAGCTATCTGATAAATTTGGTAGAAAAGTAAGGATTTTTTTTTTATATATTGAATTATTAAAATTAGGGTATTCAAATATTACATAGCCATTGGTGTTATATGCTGCTTTTATCTTTATTATAGGCTCCTGTTCTATTGCGTTTGCTTCCAGTTATAATATGTTATTAATTGGAAGATTAATCGTTGGTTTAGGTGTTGGTATTGCATCTATGATTACACCTGTTTATATAAGTAAGCTCTTATACGATCAAATATTTATAAAGCATAAATAAAAATTTATCTATTTTATATAGGTGAAATATCCCCCAAAAGCTTACGAGGACATTTAGCTACAATAAATACCTTTGTTATTACATTTGGACAAGTCTTTGCGTATATAGTCAATATCATATATTCAAAGAAGGACAATGGTTGGAGATATATGTTTGGCATTGGCGCTATACCAGCTATCATTCAATTAATAATGATGCCCTTTATGCCCGAAAGTCCTCGTAGGATGATAGCTGAAAATAAACTTGTCGATGCAAAAGAAATTTTACAAAAAATATACGGCTCCTCTGTATCAGAACAATTCATAGATTATGAAATTGAAAATATTCAAAAAAATATGCTACAAAATGATTTTGGTTCTTATCGTAGCTTTTTAGAGTATCACAATTTGAAACCATTATTAATAGGTAAACCCTTTTAAACATAAACACATACACATACACACACACACACACACACACACACACTTCATTTATATATAAGCAAAATATTAATAATACAATATCTTTTTTTCTTTCTTTAAAAAAAAATGACTCTTATAGCTTGTATGTTACAAGCTGCTCAACAGTTATCTGGATTTAATACTGTAATGTATTATGCAGCTACTATCCTTCAAATGGCAGGATTTAAAGATCATCAAAATTCAACTATAGTTGCATTGATTGTTTCAGTTACCAATATGATATTTACTATAATTGCAGTTTTCATTATTGATAAAGTAGGCCGTCGACGTATTCTCATTATCACTATGTTATTTATGATTATTAGTTTATTTGTACTCGGCGGATCTTTCGCTATACAACAAGAGGGCCTTTTCTCAAACCAGTTAATTTGTGAGGACTATAGATACCACTGTTCTCGTTGTCTTTTAGATAGCCGATGTAGTTGGTCTATAGAAGAAAATGTATGCTTAGAATCAGATAAAAACTCAACCATCGTTTCAGCAATAATGACGAGTTGTCCAAAGAAATCGACAGATAGTATCATTCGATTTGTATTATTATTCTCGTTAACAGTATATGTTGCAAGTTATGCGTTAGGCCTAGGCTATGTACCATGGATCATTCAAAGTGAATTGTTTAGTGCATCTTTAAGAGGTAAAGGAAATGGTATAGCAACAGCGACTAACTGGATTTGTAATCTTGTCGTCGCTTCTACATTTCTATCCATGGTAAATACACTATCAACTGCTGGTACCTTTTGGCTTTATGCTAGTATTTCTATTTTATTATGGATTAGTATTGTCCGATGGGTTCCTGAAGTAAGTAGTTTTTTTTTTTTATTTTATTTTATCTTAAAAAATAAATATTAATCTCCATTTATGACTACTATTAGACATCAGGGAAATCATTAGAAGATATTAGTTCCTTATTCTAAAGATAGATAATATAAAAATTAACTGTCGTACTTTAAATAATAATAAGTTTTTATTATTATTATTCTTATGTAAGTTTAACTGATATCTGTGACTTATATCTGTCAAAAATAATAAGACGCATAAATGAGGGGTAATAGAGGCCAGGGCTAAGCTTATAATTATACATTCTATTTCTTTCAAAAAAAAACATGCTATATCGTTTATTAATACACCAAAGTAATACCGTCATACGTAAAGCACTAACTAGATCTATACTACTTTCCAGAATACCCATAAACAGATCAAATCATTACAATCATTATAATCACACTATACCCTTCATTATTCAAACATGTTCATTTTCGAATTCAAGCATCTTGTCCAGATATTTTCCAGTCTCAAAGATCGAAAATTACGATCCTAGTACTTACAAAACATTAGCATTTTATAAATTTTATCCCCTTCCACAAACTCAATTAGAAGCATTAAGGGAGAAGCTATTAGCTGATTTTGGAGAATTGGGTATTGTAGGCAGAATCTACATTGCAAAGGAAGGCATCAATGCTCAAATTTCTTGTCCTGAAGAATGTTTGCCCAAGCTACGAGAATATCATAAAAATTATTTGACACCTTTGTTTGGTGGTGATTTAATGGACTTGAATATAGGTACTGAGCATGGTAGACGAGCATTTCGTAGTTTGCATGTTCGAATTCGTAAACAGGTATATATTCAAAAAAATAAAAAAGTAAAAAATAAAATAAAATAAAAAACTACATTTGCTTATATTAATCATTATGGAAATATTTATAGATTGTTGCAGATGGTTTAGATCCCAGTACATATGATTTAAATAATAGACCTTCTCATTTATCACCTGCAGAATGGCATGAAAAACTAACTAACTATGAAAAGGAGCATAACAAGAAGCCTGTATTAATTGATATGCGCAACCACTATGAAAGCGATATTGGTTTTTTTGAAAATGCGATTTGTCCTGATGCAGGAACATTCAGAGATAGTATTAAAGCAATGAATGAAATTTGTGAAAATTTACCACGTGATGAAGAGGTATTTATGTATTGTACGGGTGGTATTCGTTGTACGAAAGCAGGTGCAATCCTTCAATCGGCTTCTGGATTTAAAAAAGTGCATCTTGTTGAAGGTGGCATCACAGCTTATGGTCGATGGATTGCAGAGCAAAAAGATAAGCAATCATTATTTAAGGGTAAAAATTTCACGTTTGATGCTCGTATGGGGGAAAGGATTACAGACGATGTCTTTGGAAAATGCCAAATTTGTGGACAGCCGTGTAATCGTTATCAAAACTGTGCACATTCTTCCTGTAACATTATGATGCTGTGTTGTCCTAGTTGCGCATCCCAGTTCTTAAATACGTGCGCTCGTCTAAAATGTTATGATACAGTGCATGACTTTTTAACGTCTACTAAAGAACATTTTAAACCAGCTGGACCTAATGTAGTTAATGGTGTACGTGCTTTTACTAAACAAGGTGAGAATAACATGGATGCTTCATCCAAGCGTATCGTTGTTGGAAAACAAGGTGAAAGCTGTGATAATGAACATAATCGTCGTATGCGTGCTATTGAAGTTTTAGGTGAACCCGGTGAAGTTTTAAAAGAATGGGCTAAGGCAGGTCGAGAATTACCGCCCAAAGCTGATCGATCTACATAGATATGTAAAATAATAATACTAGTTTAGAAGAAATATATTTATTTTGAATGTAATAATTTGTAGTGTAGTTAGATAAATTAATAAATGATGTGTAATAGATAAACTAACTAAATCATAATCCAGTAGTTACTATAGATTGAAACAATGAGGTTTAATTTTGAAAATACCTTGATAGATAACTAAGTGTACTTCTATATTACAGTGTTGTAAGTATGTGTAAATAGAATAGACTGATATTTGTAAACACATATGGCTATACGCATCTATTTTTATGGTTAAGTGTATCATTTCCTCTATCTTGTTCCTTTAATCCTCATAATCAATCTCCCTTGAGAACTAGAAGCTGGGGAGGGTAGGATTCCAAATTATTGCATTTAAATTACTACAAGTTGAACTACAACTCAAACAAAATATGAATATTTAGTATATTTATTGAATACATTTCTTTTTTTTTTTTTTCTTTGCTGATAAATTTTCCCCTCTTCAAAGAACATCTCGAAGTGAACAAAATGTACTATTTCCTTTTCGTGTGTATGTATGAGTGTGTGTGTGTGTGTGTGTGTGTGTGTCTCATGTCTTCAATCTGTAGTGGATATACTCAAACATTATATGCGAATTTTCAACATTAGAAATAATATATAAAGCATTTAACATTTTATAACAAAATCTATATTAGAAAAGATAATAGAATAAAGAAGAGGTATACAATACATAATAATGTTTTTTTTTAAGTACGGGGAGCACAACGAGAAATAGGAGCAGCAGATTCTCCATCCTGAGTCCAGAGACCAATAGTGATATATGTTGTATAAATCATGCAAACAGTACCAAAGACAATAATTGAAATATCAGTTACTTTTTGTCTCCAATTATTTGCAACTGCTTTTAAATGGAAGAGTGGAGGAAATAAGTAACAGAGTGGAATACAGCAAATAGAACCAATTAATGAAACAAACTTATCTAAATCCCCAGACCCTGCAATAGCAATTGCTGCACTTAATAAAACAGTAGCCAATCTAAACATATTCTTTTGCCATTTTACTATGGGGTTATATTTGCCTGAACGAGAAAAGAGACCCGTCTCGACAATACGAATAGCAGGGAAAAGCTGTAAAGGGATTGATAAACAAATAGCTATAGCATACAATCCTTGAATTGAATTGACAGTAACTGTAGCTGGTAAATTCAATAAAATAACAGTTTGAACATTCTCACCAAATGAAAGATAAGATAGAAGACCAATGGATATAAATAGTAATGTAATAAATAACATAGTCCACGATAAAACCTTTGGGAATTTCTTTGGCTCTCTCATTGATTCAGCAATAGGAATAACTATTCAATAATAATAATAATAATAATAATAAAATGTACTTTGTAAACAAGATAATAACTTTTCGTTTCTTTTTTTTTTCTTTTTTTAACTTACTTAACCCAACACCTTCAAATGTAAATACAGCAGTACCAATAAACATAGGAAAGGAGGAAGGATTGATAAACCATTCTACCTTACCAATACCATCAACTATTAACACAAACAGATCATAATAATACAAATACGATAAGCCAAGTAAAATGAAAACATCGGCGATCAAAGCAAAAATAGAAAGTTTTTGAATTTTTCGAATCATTGCCAGAGGTACGAAAATAGCAATTTGAACTAAAATAAGATAATGAAGTGGAACATTGATTTTACAGTCACTGACAGCTTCAATTAACGCATTCAAACTTTGTGCTACAAATACCATGTAAGCACAAACAAACCCTATCTATAATTTACAACACCAACATAGTTATTCAAAATAATGTTAGAGTAAAGGATAATTAGAGTATGGTTTATAATATACCTGGGAGATAGTGACGGCCGAGAGGACTAATATTCTCATTGACTGCCCAAATAAAATACCACCAATATCGCCAAAGGAAGCAGGAACTTTATTACGTGTTCTGATCAGCAATAAGAAACAATATAGGGTGATTGAAGAAATAAAAAATAAAAAAAGTGTAGAAAAGAGTACACCACCATTGTGAAAGCTAGATATTCAAATACATTTAGATAGGCCCATTCTTTGTTTACAAAACAATATATACTTACGCCTTTGGTAAAAACATAACACCTAGCAAAAAAAATACAATAAATAATGCAGTTGGATTATGGGAACAAATAAAACTTATTCTATTACTCTTTACCTGTACCAATAAACGATTTCAGTAATAAAAAGACAGTTTTAGTCGGAGTTGCTGTTCCTTCAACTACATTTGCTCTTGCTTGACGTAAAAGGGCTGTTCTTTCATCGGAACCTTGAATGAAATCTTCTTCTTCATCGGAGCTCATACCTTCCTCGTCTCTTAAATCCTCGCCACCAAAATGGCCATACATTGCTAGGAAATCGACAAAAGAACGTGTGATCCAAGAAGGAGGCTTTTTACCTTTCTTTACCGCTTGATCAATGACATAATGACGTCTAAACCCCCCCGGATCTTTTAGGTTTAATAAAGCCGGATCAGATGGTTTATGAGTAGCTACCATCATAGACCTTGACCTTTTCATTTTGGCCTGTAAATGATCATGATCGTGATCTTCTGTCCATTTGTAGATATCGTGAGTGATAGCACCACCATGTAGTTGATGAACATCAGCAATCGATTCTTCTTCGTCTTCCTCTTTTGCAGCATGATGTTCTTCATTTCGATGAATACTAGTACTTGGACCAGGTGAAGTACTCAAGAAACTAGGGGATCCAGAAGGAGAAGCAGAGACAAGATGACGTCTTACTACCTTGGCTACTTCTTCATCATGTATATCAACTGATAAGTTATCACCGTAAGGCGAACGAGGTCTATCTTTAAAAGAGATATGATGGCTATTGCTATTAGTACCATAAGACCGTTGAGAACGAATACTTTTGGCAGGTGAAGTGCTAAAATTATAGGGTTGCGGAACGGGGGATGCATTTAGCCTAGCAGTAGACTCTGTAGGATCAAAGGAGCTAGCAAGTACATTTTCGTTTATATAAGCAGATGTATTATCTGAAGAGTTTCTAGAATGTTGATGTGGTTTGGAATTAAATGGTAATGAACTCGACATGTGTAATGACGATTTATTTATAAAATGAGAAAAGAAAAAAAAATGAAACAATTACAAATCAGAATATATTTTATTTTATTTATTTTTTGAGGTTACATTTAGCTACTAATTTAGATAAAAATATTAATTGTTTAGTAACGAAAAAAAAAAATATAATAAAGCCTGTCCTTATTTATATCAATATAAATGGTTATAAACTCTACATTATCATTCATTCAAGCTTAAAGCCTCTTTGTAACTAACTCAGAAAGACTTAGAATTAGCATAGTAATTTATTCATTATTTATTTTAATACGTTTAAGAATAAATTTATTATGTAAGAAATAAAATGTTACTACCAGTAGAGCTAACAAGCGTCCTATGAATGATATGGCCTTTCATTTTGCCTTTTTTTTTTTTTTTCATCAGACAGTCTAATTCTAAACATGTTATAAATTAACATCAACATGCTTAAGAGATACGTGTATCTATTCATCACAATCTATGATAACCAATAAAGAAGCATTGTAATATCTGCTCTCATAGATTTTTTAACTATATGTATTTGATCATTTCACCAAAACAATATCTAAGCTTATTAAAAAAGAGAAGTATTTATTTTAGTACTAAGCATAGAAAAAGTTCGTTTTAAATCTTAAGAAAAAAAAATTCCCTATTTGATTATTAAAAATCCAAGGTTAATAGGCTTCTGTTAACTATTTTACTATGTAAATGTTTACCTTTACACTTTTATTAATTTGGTATATAATATTAAATACTGGAATTAACTGTTATTAATACAGTTTCTTTTTTTTTTTATTAAATAGATACATGATTCTTTATCAAATAATACTCTATCCTTGTAAATCGTAGCAGCCTTAACATGTAGGTACATATTATAAACTATGCATTAAAGTTATTCTGTATTCATCAATAATAGATATTTAGAATGTTTATTAATGATAAGTTTGGTAGATTATAAAATACAACAAGTAGAAATATAATTGATAATTACAGTAAGGATAATGGCTTTACTATTTGCACCACCTTAATAAGGAGTAATGACAATACATAATAACAGTCTAATGTTTATAATCATATTTGATGTGTCCTTAAAGCAGTAGATCAAGATAAATAAGCCCTTTAGGTTTCCTTTATTCATACGATCCTAATCCAGAAATGATTTTCGTCATTTATAAAACAATTTTTTTTTTAATATTCCGCTAATTTGAAGGAAAAAATACAGCACAATGCCTTGTAGCGGAAAAAGAAAAGAAGGGGTAAAAAACCTCTTATTATTAACTATTTGTCCTCTTTTAAATAATATGAAAATTAATTCAGCAGCTATTTTCATTTTGCAAATGTCAGCAGCTGTTACAGCAGCTATAGTTAAAAACTTGGTTGTATTTGGTGATTCTAATTCAGGTACAACAAAACGATGGCTTAATTTTGTTTATTGTTAATTTTACAGATTGAATGTAAACAGATGTCGGTAATATTCAACGATGGTCTAACGGACCTTTATGGAGTGAATATGTTGCTCTTGCTTGGAATGCATCACTTTATAGTTTTGCTTTTAGTGGAGCTGTTTGTGATACTGGAATGTATAAGTCAATTATAAAAGAAGACAGAATGCCAAGTTTGAGAGACCAATTGGAAGCATATTATAATCTAAATCTTAATTTAAAGCCAGAAGAAACTGTTTATGCTTTTTGGTTTGGAATACAGGATATATTTGAGATGGCCAAAAGACACGGTAAAAAAAAAAAAAAAAAAAAAAAAAAAAAAAAAAAAAAAAAAAAAAAGGCTTTAGAAGTAATGTAGCCTCCCATTGTTACTTACATGCTTTATATATACATATATATATGCGTAAAAAAGGTCGTTATGAGCCTGATTATAAGGAGATTATAGACTGTATTGGTCAACAACTAGTAAGGTTAACAACGCTCTCTATAAATAAATAGACTTTAATCGAATTTTTACTTTCTTTCTTTAGAGAGTAGCTCGGAAAGTGTTTTTATCAAATCGGTTCCTTATATTAAATATACCTCCATTAGGACATATGCCTTATTATCAAAATACAGATTTGGCAGTCAATAGAAGCCATGCAGCATTAGAGATTAATAAAGGACTTGAAAAAGACGTTGCAAATATGAATAAGCATCATCATGCACTTGAAATGGATTATGTCGATATTTATTCGCTAATCAATGATATCGTCGTAGATCCATTCATTTTTGATTTTAAGGATCCTAATGCTTCTTTTTTGGATGAATGTTTTGGAAAAGAAGATTGCAGGTTCGATCAAGACGATTATATTTGGTGGGACAAAACTCATTTTACCACAGGTAACTTGTTCTCTATTTATTTTATTTATTTATTTAATTCATATTATTTATAGCTTTTCACAAGTCAATTGCAACAAGTATTATTGATTCTGAATCTTATACGTCTAAAATAACATTGACTGACGAGCTTATAAAACAGTTGGAGGATCCTAAATCAAGATTTCACTCAATGGTTTATACAGCACCACCTTATAAAGGTGTTGTTGATGAGCAAGCTGCCCTTTACGATACTGAAAAATCAAAGCCTCAGCAACCTCAGCAACCTTTGTTAGAAGATGACATGAGAGATTTAAAATCAAATTATACTCAAACCATGGGAACTACTCTTGATACGAATGAAGGTCATACTTTTATAGGATTTTTAATATTAACCTTAATTATTTTGGTTCTTGTTATTTGGATCAAGTTCCCCAAATCCGCTATTTTTGGCTGGTTTCACAACAAAGACCGTGGCAAATTTGTTCCTGTACGCAATGAGGAAGTATAACTTGTATATAAATTTATAGTTTTTTTAGTAACAACAAAATGTCAAGGAGTCATATGATAAATTCTTTTCTTTTAAAAGTATCAAAAGGAAAAAAAATCAAGCTTTATAATATACCTAAAATACAATAATAGAAACCATTCTTACAAACTAATTTTAGAGTCGTTTACTATAACATGCGATCTTTAAAATTAGAATAGCTCAAATAGTGGACATTATTTCTTTTTCTTTTTTTTCTTTTTTTTTTCTCTTTATTTTACAAAGCTTATTTAAATCTAATTATCGCGTTATATCTAAGTATTATATGGATCTATAAAATAGATCGACAATAGACTTGTTAGAATTAGAAAAGTTATAATATAATTTATAAGCAAGTGAAGGTGCTTGTAGTACAGTCCACTGATTGTTTGTATTACCTAATTTTGGTAAGGGTTTCTTTATAGTACACCTCCTTATTTATTTAATAAGTACTCTATTCCCCTTTATTATCTTTTGTTCGCTTAAAATGGTAAGCTATTATAATATAGGCTTGGATTTTATGAGCTCAAGTTGCGTTAGTATAAATACTTTAAGCTTTCTTTCTACTTTTAATACAATTCATAACTTATACCATAATAAAATTATAAAGCGTTTTTACAAATATATACATATATACATATACATATAAACAATTCATAACAGGTAAATAACAAGTTATAATTAGGAATTAAAAAAAAATAACTGATCTTAATTTTCATGCTTTAATAACATATATATTCAGTCTGACGTGTGATCTTCTGTAGCTATCAAAAAAAAAGTTATATTAAGCATAAAAGAAATAAATCAAGATACAGTCTCTTTTCTTTTCTAATATATTCATATACATATACGTTTTTAATCATGAATACTAATCAACTGAATTATAAAACGCCTAAACCTGGTAAAAATCAGAGCTTTGTCAGTGATATTAAGCTTCCTGTGAACGCGTCTTGCAGGCTTTCCACTCCTTCTGAATCTTCTATTGAAAAATATCCTTCAGCTGATATGGAACGCTCTTGTGAACTTCTTACTGCTGCATTTAGTCAAGCTAGTCTCGATAATACACCTTTAGATCTACACTACTCCTCTTCTGATCAAGATGAGTATGATACAAATGATGAAGACGAATATACCCACCCATCCCCAGAGACAATTCTTTTCTTTGAGATCCTACAAGACTTTCCTGATCTTTCTACTTTTATATCCCATCCTGATTTCTGGTCCTTTGCTCAAATTTGGCTAGAATTGCAACGTAAAGCACAATTAGCAAGAATCCCAGAAAACAGAACTATTATACAAACTTGGTTTCAAACAGTAACTCTTCAAATTCACTTCTTTATGGTAACGCTTGTAAAGTCAAATCCTGGTAAACCTGATAAGAACTCCTTATCCTTTCGTATGTTCTCTGCATTTAGACGCTTAAAGGATCGCATAGAAATTCTTCATCAGGTATTTCAAATAGTTGAGAATGGTCGTGTTCTTTTTAATCAAACTCCTACTGAAGCAATTGCTCCTTTGCTTAGAGCTGCAGAGGATATTCAGTCTAACTTGAACTACTTTTCACAAAATCCTCAAGTTATTCCAGTAATTGATCAACATACTAATTGTGTTGATTTAAAATCTTCAGAAGATGTATCTATGGAAGAATTATCCAATCAAGTCATGAATACATATAACATAGTATCTTATCAACACAATACAATCCATACTATTCTAAACAACGAAGGACAACAACAACAGCAACAGCAACAACAACAACAACAACAACAACAACAACAACAACAAACAGTCACTCTTGTATCGTCTTTAGAGGATTTAGCAAGTTTACAACCTGCTTCTCAGTCCTCACTGGAGACTTTTTCTGAACCTTTGAACACACCTGATGATGTGGTCCCCCTTATTGATCAGGTCTTCCCATCTCCTTTATTAGATACATCTCTACCGAACCATGTATTTCCTGCAGAATATTTTCACATTCGTCCTTCTTGGCTTTATAACTCTTCTGAAGCATATAGCTTTTCATTGCCTGTTACACCTGCAATTGGACATATTCAACAACATTTTTTATCCTTGCCAGTTACTCCCTTATGTATTGAAGCAGAAGAAGAAGAAGACGATGACGACGACGATGAAATTATTACTGCCGATATCATGTATACTCCTTGCAATACAATTCAAGATATATCTCCAGATGATATCCAGACACAAATGACTTCACCCTATAATACTACAAATGAAGATATTTCAGATTATGAATTAGATGAATCGGATTCATTTGAAGACATAACTACCAAAGATGATGAAGACTATGTAGAGCCTGGGGAAGATTATATTGAAGACAACATTCCATTCATACCTAAAAGAAGATCGAAGCGCACTCAGACTTCAAAGAAAAAGCAACAACAACAGCAACAGCAACAACAACAACAACAACAGATATTCGAATATGAACCTCCAATAAATACCATATCTACAAGTACTTCTGTAGTGACTACTCCCTCTACTTCAACAAGTTCTACACGTACTACAAATGTACGTAAACGAAAACCATCAACTCATTCCAAAGCTGCTGGAAAGCAAACCACATTTAGACAATATACACGCCGTACAGCGACATCATATGATGCTCAAACAACACATTATCTCAAGTCAGTATTTTTTGATATCTACAGTAGTCGTGACAAATTAACAAAAGAACAAAGAAGACAAGTACAGAAAGAAACAGGCCTTAAACCTCGAAATATTACTTACTGGTTTAGTAATCATAAACGTCGTTTTCAGACTTCTCTTTCTGTGTTTAAAAAAGTTGTAGAGGAAAGTGAAGGGAAAGTCAAGACGTATGACGACTTTTTGGTTTGGAGACGTGAACGAGGTCTGCCTGAAGATGTCTTGGAAGAGGAACTTTTAAACGAAAAGTTAGATTAATCTTTTTTTTTTTCTGTTGTTAACATTACCCTTTCTTTGCAGCAAAAAAAAAAAAAAAAAAAAAAAAAAAAAAAAAAAAAAAATAGCCGCATTTAGTGCTACATGTAATTATTGTTTTTTTTTTTCTTTTTTTTTTTTTAAAAAAAAAAGTAGTTGTTTAAAATATATAAATAATTATGTTTATAGTATGATATCCACAATAAAGTAAAATAGTTAATACAATAAAAAATCATATAGGATACACGATCTTATACATTTGACCAATGCGATTCGTAGATTTTGACACGTTAAACAATAATTATTATGAGAAAATAGGATAATAATGATCTACACGATATTAGGAGTAAGCACATAAAGCCAAAAAATATAGAATTGTTCAATTGTTTAACAACTTATAGGAGGGAATTATGAACATATATAAAAGAAGGATTTTATATATTGAATTTATTCTTATTCTTATTATTTATTCTTCCGTATAATGAAGGCTCAACAAGCTAAAAAATATTACATACCAATATCAATCCAATTAGGACTTTATATTCCTCTAACTCTTTCAGTTATATATATCATTCAATGTAGAACCAACATTTTAAATGTCTTATCTTCTGAAAAATATTACTCTCATTTCATATTTTGTTCATTCTTTGGGATAGCAGTCTTAGTAACATACTTCATTGCATGGGAGCACATTAAAACGCCTGTACAATTTATATATTCTTGTTTCTTCAAACCCATCAATTATCATTCTAATGACTTACAGAATAGATTGGAATCATTTTATCAAGACCAAGCTAAAAGTAAGAAAAATTCATTTTTTTCTCTCCTCGTTCTTCGTCCCCCTCCCTCCCTTTCTCTCTTCTTTTTCTTTACTCCCCCCTTTTTTTTTTTGACAAGACTTTTAAGATTTATATTCCTCTTTCTGATCGACTACTTACTAAATTTATATAGTTTATGATAAATCTCGGAAACAGTTGTTAAGAGGACGAAAAACGATGCTTAAGCTCTGTGCTGCTCAGCTAAAAGAACAGATTTCTACAGGTTTAATGCCCAAAAATCCTATTTGGGTTGACTTGGGTGGAGGAACTGGTAATATATATATACATATACATGTACATATACATATACATATATATATATAATTAACATTGTGATCTATCTATCGATATATATATATATATAGGCTGGAATATTGAGATGATGAATGAATCATTTCCAATTGAACAATTTGAACAAGTATTTTTGATCGACTTGACACCATCCTTGTGTAATATAGCTCGTGAAAGGTTTAGAAATAGATCATGGAAAAATGTTACAGTTCTTTGTCAGGATGCTTCCTCTTTTCAAATCCCCAACCTTGAGGGAATGTTGGAAGGAAGAGTAGGATTGATTACAGTTTCCTATGCATGTAAGAGTTGGTTATAGATACTTTTTTTTTCACTTCTTCTTTTTAATATAATATATATGTATATGTATATATATTCATTTGCTATTTTATAGTGTCTATGATGGATCCTTACTTCCCAGTTGTTGATCGAATTCATTCTTTACTGGCTCCTGAAGGTATCATCGGTGTTGTGGATTTTTATGTTTCGAGTCGCTCTAGCGCACCTGCTGAAAAATGGTCTCCACAGCAAGATAGACAATGTAATTGGTTTACAAGACATTTTTGGCAAGCATGGTTTGAGTTGGATCATATTCATCTTGAACCAGGACGTCGTGATTATTTGGAACACAAATTTGGCACGATAAAATCACTGAATCGACGAAATCATTTTTTAATTCCGTATCTGATTCAAATGCCATATTACATTTGGCTCGGATGTTCCAGTGCACGACAACCAGAATTATCTAGTTTGATGGAGATCTCAGATGATACTGATAGTGTTACAAGCAGCCATAGTCAGCATTCATCAATGAGTCATCTGAATAACTCTTCAGAATTAGTATATCGGTCGTCATTTAATTATCAGAATAGGCGATGGCGATTGGATTACAATCCTAACTTAGCTTGTCATGCTCAATTTCGGTCCTACATTTATGCTTTTACCTGGGAAGATCCTCGAGTGGATCTTGACTATCTTAAGCTTTCTAAAGATGATGTCATCCTTGTTATTACTTCTGGAGGAGACAATGCCTTAGAATATGCCCTTTGTGCACAACCAAAACGAATCCATTGTATTGATATGAATCCTTGTCAGGTAAAGTATGGGAATATTCCTCTGTTCAGTTTAGTTTAGTTTATACTAACAGGGACCTCATTAGAATCACTTGTTAGAGTTAAAATTAGCTTGTATTACCTCATTAGAATATGCAGACTTTTGGAAACTATTTGGTGAAGGACAGCATTCACAATTTGCCACGTTATTACATGATGTTATTTCACCCTATTTAAGTTCATATGCCTTTCAATATTGGAGTCAACATCAAGATCGCTTCAGTCATAAGTTTTATAAGACAGGTTATTCTGGACTTGCGTTATCTATTCTTGAATGGTGGATTCGTATGCAAGGATTAGGGAAGGATGTTGATGCTATGCTACAAGCCACAACTATTAAAGAACAAGAGGTTATTTGGCGTACTAAAATTCGACCTGCTATCTTTTCTCCTATGATTCAAAAGATACTTTTTAATCCTGTGTTTATGTGGAATGCACTAGGAGGTAAATCTATATTGGGGAATTAAGTTAGTATAGATCAGGCAAAAGCTGAATCCTCTTTTATTATTATGTGTAAATATCTTTGTATAGTTCCCATAAATCAAATGAATATGTTTTTAAAAGAATGTACAGCGCAGGAATATATTGAAAACACTTTAGACCCAATACCATCTTATTCTTTATTCAACCAGGATCAATACTTTTATTATCTTTGTTTAAAACAACGATATAGCAAAACAAGCTGCCCCTCTTATCTGACTAAAAATGGATTTGAATTCCTAAAGGTATGATAATAATAATAATAATAATAATAATGTAATTTTTCATTGGTGTCCTAATATCTATCTTTTATATATATAAATATATATATATATATATATATATAGGCCTCTAACGCCTTAAATGCGTTCCGCTTACATACAGAATCAATTTTAGATGCACTTTGCTCAATGTCAGATAATTACTTGACTCGATTAGTTTTAATGGATCATATGGATTGGTTTGACCCTAATTCTCATGAGGAGCTAGATAACGAGATTAAAGAAATGAAACGCGTTTTAAAAAGTGGAGGTCAAGTCTACTGGAGAAGTGCAGGTACAACTCCATGGTATAATGAATTATTCTTAAAACATGAATTTATTTCTATTGAACCCTTGAATATTCGTCGTCCTGGTCTAGCTATTGATCGTGTTAATATGTATGCTAGCTTCTATAGAGCGACTAAATCTTAAATATGTATATATTTTTATATGTATATATTTATAATGTAATACGTTATTCAGAATATATCAATGAAATATTTTATTTTATTTTATTTTTTCCATACATTTATATAATAAATAACATGCTTATTATTATTGTTTTCAATGCTTGCTTTTACCATCCTTTGATAGGGACCCACACATCTACAACAATATCACTCCCATTTTCAATAATTAAGTAAAACAAATGACATGCAGCAGCCAAACAACAATGATTCGGTATAACACGTATAACTTCACCAATTTGAAATTCAGGTCTTAGTAATATAGCTGGATCTAACTCTTGTAGTAAGCCATGCTCCTGCGATAACTTACTGACAGAAGCCAAGATTTTAGATTCACCATTCTCATGCTCCAGGACATAGCCATAGCCTCCCTGTGGTGCTGTATCCTTTGAGAATGCCAAACCACCAGCATCAATCAAAATACTATTTCGATCTTTATAATGACTTACAACTCGCGTAGCTACTGTAATCGCTACATCACAGTAATTACCTAAACCTGTAAACACCTGTTGTTTATCCAAAAATGCATATGCTCCTGCATGCACTTCATCAATCCCTTCTAGAACCCTTTTCATATCTATACTTTCTAAAAAAGCTATAATGGCTTTCACTGTTGGTGTAGCGCCAATAGAAACATAACCAATGTGAATTCCATGGTTTGTAAAATAATCACGAAATTGACGTGCTATATTACACTCCTCTTGTAAATATTCAAGTGCTTTCTCTGGTGTCTCTGACGAATAAGAATGACCGGCGTGTGTATATATGCCAATAAAATTAATATGAGGTGAAGCTTGTAATCGTTTAGCTAATTCAATAGATTGAACATCGTTTAAGGGAACTCCTGCTCGACTACATTGTAAATTCATTTTGTTAGATAATTATTCATTTTATTTGTTTAACTTTATTTTACCTATATCCACAGTTGACTTTTAAAAACGTATTGAACTTGTAATCCTTACCTAGACAAAATGCTTCTAATGCCTCCAAAGTTTGCAAATCATCTATGACAAAGTAAATAAATAAAACAGATTAATCATCTTATATAAATATATATATATATATAAAAGTACATGTTTTTTTTACCTATAAAGATTTGAAATGTATTTACTCTTTTTGAAAGTTCAATAACATCATTGAATTTATCTGGCGTAATAGGAAATCCAAGGAGAACATCTTTTAATAATCCGCTCTTAGTCAATGTAGAATCAATCATAGCATAAGCTTCTGCTAAGGTCGATACAACAATTGCATCAGTTTTGGTATTTTCAAGTTGAATACGTGCACCTTCAACGGTCTATGATTAAGCAAAAATTGGATGTTTATTTATTTATTTATTTTTATTTATTTATTTATTTTTGTTTAACCTTATGCGTTTTGACATGAACTCTCACTTTTGTATTCAGTTCTGTTGTTATTTTACTCAGTTTATTACAATTACGTTCGAGAATAGTCTTATCAATTACAAGAGAAGGTGTTCGAAGTTCTTTCAACTTCTTTCCTACCATCTCTTTTATAAGCTCTGATTTCCATTCCTTTAAATGAGAATAAAAAGGTAATAATGGTGTTGTTGTTTGCTGTATTATCATTGAAGAAGGTGAAAATGAAGTATAATGTATATTAGCCGGAGATTTAAAAAGGAGAGAAAAATAAAATAATAAAGCTTGTTTCTCAGGATGAACTATGTACCAGGGCAACACTTATTTTTTTTTTTTTCCTCGCAATTTTGAAGTTGTTCTTATGTTAACATGATTCAACATGGACAATTAGCTACACGAGTTGCACAAAGAAATCACACAACTTGTACCAATTTTTTACTTGTGAATAGATCTCCATCATTAAAGCTTGCACGCCATTTTGCAACATTGAAGCCTAAAAAGGAGTTTAGATCAACATACAATGCCAAAACAGTAGAAGAAGGATGGTATGAATGGTGGCAAACACAGGGGCTTTTCAAAGCCAGTAGTGCGGATTATTCTCAAATAAAGAGTGAAAGGAGATCTTTTACGATGATCACACCACCACCAAACGTGACAGGTTCTTTACATATAGGTCATGCGTTAACCTTCAGTATTCAAGACGCTATAGTGCGTTGGAAACGTATGAATGGTTACGATGTACAATGGATTCCCGGTACAGATCATGCAGGCATAGGTACACAATCTGTGGTAGAAAAGAGATTAATGAAAGAGAAAGGCTTAACACGACATGATTTGGGACGAGAACAATTTGTCAAAGAGATATGGGATTGGAAGGAGAATTATGGAAATCGTATCTTGCATCAAATGAGAAAGCTTGGTGCCTCTCTTGATTGGGACCAAGAGTTTTTTACAATGGATAAATCTCGATCAGAAGCGGTCAAGAATGCATTTATACGTCTTTATGAGGATGGATTAATTTATCGTAATACTCGTCTTGTGAATTGGTGTTGTGCATTAGAAACAGTCATCTCTGACATTGAAGTCGATTATAAAGATATTACAGGAAGAACTTTTCTAAATTTACCTGGCAGATCTAAGCCGTAAGTCATAAAAAGGATGAATGACATATTAATAAAGCAATTTATATATATATACATATATAGAGTGGAATTTGGAGTATTACATAATTTTGCATATAAAGTAGTAAACCCTGATCTAAAAGGAATTCAAGAATTAATTGTATCAACTACACGTATTGAAACAATGCTTGGTGATTGTGCAGTAGCTGTTCACCCTAATGATAAAAGATATAAAGTAAATATAAAAATTCTGTGGCGTATTATAATTTATTTATACATATTTACTTTATAGAGTTTACATGGTAAATATGTATACCATCCAATATTAAACAAAGAAATTCCTATCATTTGTGATGCGCAGCTTGTTGATATGAATTTCGGTACTGGTGTTGTTAAGGTAAAAACATACTATTTTTGTTTAAAAAAAAATACATGACTTATCAGTCTTATATACATATATATATCGTTTGTAGATTACACCTGCTCATGATCCAAATGATTATGCATGTGCTAAACGTCATCAGCTTCCAATTCAAAATATTTTTGACAAAAAAGGAAAATTAAATAAAAATTGTGGTGTACCTGAATTAGTGGTATGTAAAAAGAGAGAGACAGAGAGAGACAGAGAGAGAGAGAAATATTACCATATATATTAATATTTTCCTTTATAAGGGCTATGATCGTTTTGAAGTACGTGATATTATTATAAATAAATTGAATGAATTTGGAAGTTATAAAGGTAGAAATGATAAGCATGTAATGCGTATAGCTACTTGTTCAAGATCAGGTGATATTATTGAGCCTTTATTAGAACCTCAATGGTAAATATGTATATGTATACATATACTCTGTTTAATAATAAAATAAAAAAAAAAAAAAAAAAAAAAAAAAAAAAAAAAAAACTGACGTCAAATGCTTTATTTTTCTTATCAGGTACATTAAATGTAAAGAACTTGCAGATTTATGTAAGAAACAAGTAGAGCTAAATGAAATGAAAATTATCCCCGACCAATCAAAACAAGACTGGTATCGCTGGCTAGGTTGGTTAATATTTGTATTATATAATTTAATACTAGTTGAAATATTAATTCTATTTATTTACAGACAACATTCAAGATTGGTGCGTATCTCGGCAATTATGGTGGGGACATGAAATTCCAGCCTATCAAATTAAGTTTAACAATGAAGTAAAAAATCAAGGTAGAATAAAAAAAAAAAAAATCAATTATCGGCCCGAATAATTTTTTTTTTTTTTTCTTTAGAGGAATTGTGGGTAACGGGATCTGACAAAATAGAGGCTAAAATCAAGGCTGTAAACCTATTAAAACAGAAAGGTTATCCAGAAGCTACTCCATTTAAGCTTGTTAAGGTAGTTCATTTTTACATTTATACAAGAGTTATATTTCTTATTTTTATTTAGGATCAAGATGTATTAGATACCTGGTTTTCTTCTGGATTATTACCTCTATCAGCATTAGGATGGACAGGTAGAAAAGGAGAAAAAATTCCAGTAAGTGTATATTAGACTTACTACATTTTGTCGGCTTTTATTTATATATTACCAAAATATAGAATCGCTATCCACTTCAAATTATGGAAACTGGTTTTGATATATTATTCTTTTGGGTTGCACGCATGGCTATGTTGTCTAATCATTTTACAGATCATAAAATACCATTTGAAACAGTTTATTTACATGCCATGGTAACCAATAATATGTTGCTATAGTAAACAATACATTTATATATCTAGGATAGGTTAGAGATGCTCAAGGACGTAAGATGTCTAAATCATTGGGTAACGTTATTGATCCACTTCATGTTATTGAAGGTGTAACTCTGCAAGAGATGAAAAATAATGTGTTACACTCAAATCTACCTAAGAAGGAAATTGAAACGTGCGTTTCAACAATAATATCACAAAGTATAATTTTATTTTAATACATTCATTTATAGGAGTATTCGTAATTTAGAAAAAGAATATCCGAATGGAATTCCTGCTTGTGGTACAGACTCGTTAAGGTTTTCACTTATACAATATACACAACAATCAAGACAAATTAATTTAGATATCAATAATGTTATTCAAACCTCCTATTTCTGTAATAAACTTTGGAATTTGTTCAAGTTTGGTCTTAGTCGAGTAGAGCATGTTGATTATCATACTGATAACTTGGTTAACAATATTGATACAAATCAATTATCACTTGTCGATCGTTTTATTTTATCGCGTATGGCAAATACAGTATCAAGATGTCAACAAGGATTTGAAAACTCAAGACTATTTGAAGCAACAGATGCTATACGTCGATTTATTGTCGAAGATGTTTGTGATGTTTATGTTGAATTCAGTAAAGCAACTCTCAATAAATCAGATCTTAGTCGAAGTGAAAAAGTAGGTCTATTTTTTTATAAAAAAAAAAAAAAAAAGAGAGATTATCCTATCCTTATTGTCCTCTCTCTATATTATTATCATTATTATTCAACTACCATTCCCTTCTTCTTCAAATGAATTAGAAATTAACATTAGATGTTTTATACATGTGTATGGATGTATCATTACGTTTAGCACACCCATTTATACCCTTTGTTACAGAGGTAAAAAAAAAAAAAAAAAAAAGTAAAATTGGAATAATAATATATAGAGTATTTATTCCTTTTTATAGGAATTGTGGCAACACATGAATTCAGCACTTTCTATTAAAAATAGAAGTTTACCTTCCTTGATGGTAGAAAAATATCCGAGCTATCACACATTTATTCCGTTTAAAGATAATCAAGTAGAAGAGCATTTTAAGGTTATTTTATCTATTATCCATGCATCAAGATCTTTAAGACAAGGACACCAAATTAGTATAAGTAAAGAGTTACCTTTTATCATTTCATGCAATGATTCTATCTTATTGGATGAAAATGGTCCTTTAAAGCTTTATATGAAAGAGATTCAAAATTTTATTAAAGCATCGAATATCACAATTTATGATGAGAAGAAGGTAATGTAAAATAGAAGTACATAAATATGTATTAAAGCCATAAATTAAACACGCTCCTTTTTTTTTTCTTTTTTCTGTTTACTTAGATAAATGATTCTTTAGATCATAAACAAAGATGGACAGTTAAAATAATTAATGATAATTTAAAAATTCTGTTACCATCTACGGAAGTTATTCGTGCACAATTAGAAAGTGCCGCAGCAAAAGGCGCTGACATGAATACGGTCATTCAAAACAAAAATATGCAATTATTAAAAAAATTGAATAAACTTAAGCTTGATTTGGAAAAGTTGAATAACAAAATGAATAAATCAGATTATGAAGAAAGTGTACCAAGCCAAATCAAAGATAAAAACAGGTATAAATTTATTTGATTAGCTGTATTATTTATTTCTAAACTATTTTTTTTTCTTTTTTTAGTCAAAGATTAAGAATGCTTCTATTAGAAAAAGATAATCTTGAAAATGATATAAGCTTATTAGATTCAATTGCTAAAGAAAGTTATAAATAAAATGTTTGAGCTTATTATTTGTATGTTAATACTAGAAAATACTATGACGATGTTCTAATGTTTATATTCTTTTCTTTTTTTTTTTCCTTTTTTTCTTTTGAGTCATAAATTTGAAAATCAATGTGGAGACAGCGCCGAAATGGGTTACGGACTTTAAAGATAAATCAAATAATAGAATCCTTTGTTTGTTTAATTGGATAACACTTCTCGGAATTTTACTTCCACCGAATATATTATATTCGACATTTTCTTTTTTTTTGTCCTACATTTTGTGTAAAAAAAAAAAATGAATATATAAATATGTATTTATAACATTTTGATTCCTAGGTAGTTTTATTTTTTAATATATTACATTTCCAATTTATTTTATCTTTATATCTTTTTTCTTCTCTTTTTTTTATATACATATATCATTTTAAGCGCATAATATATTGAAATAATACATTATTTACATTTATAACCAATGACAGATCTGAGTATATCAACACGATCTTCGTCAACAAGCCATACGTTTCAAGAAGAAAGCAAAATAAAAAATGAAAACTTAGATAAATCAGAAACACCCATACAAAATGGAAATGATGAGAAATTATTAATGGAAGAAATTGCTGCTATTCCTATTAAACAAATTGAATCTATTCATGAAGCAGAAAAAAAGGATGATAAAAAGAAAAAGAAGAAGGAAAAGCAACCTTCGGTGGCAATTTTTAAATTATTCCGATTTGCCACAAAGATCGAGTTACTCATGATCCTTTGCGCTGCCATTTTCTCGGCAGGTATTGGTGCTCTTCAACCTGTTTCAATTATTATCTTTGGTAAATTTATGGGTACTATCGGTGTCTCTATGATGACTGGTGATTTTGAACAACTCGCTAAAGACGCACAACCCTTGATTTTGACATTTGTGTATATGGGTACAGCTGTACTGGTAGCTGCTTATATTACAAATTGCTTTTGGATCTTGACAGGCGAGAATCAAGTTCGTCGTATTCGTAGTCTTTATGTCCATGCTATTTTGCGTCAGGATATGAGTTGGTTTGATAAAGCTGAAGAAGGTTCCTTAACAACACGTTTAGCTACTGATACACAATTGATTCAAGATGGTATCTCTGAGAAGTTTGGTCTACTTGTGATGTGTATTGGTCAATTCATTGCTGGTTTTGTTGTTGCTTTCATAAAGGGCTGGAGACTTGCTGGTAAATAATGATGAATATTTCATACATATACGGTCATATTAATTAAATTTTTTGTTTTTTTATAGTTATTATTCTTGCTACACTTCCTGTATTAGGTGGTGTAGGTGGTGCCATGGGTTATTTCATTACCAAATATACCTTGAAAGCACAAGATTCTTATGCTGATGCTGGTTCTGTGGCTGAACAAGTCTTTGCTGGTATTCGAACTGTCTATTCCTTCTCTCTTCAAAAACGTTTTGCTACCCTTTATGAGGAAAAATTGCAAAAGGCTATGAAAACTGGTATTAGACGTGGACAAGTTTTGGGTTTCGGTTTTGGTAGTTTTATGTTTGTTCTCTTTGCTACCTATGGTCTTTCCTTCTGGTATGGTGCCAAATTGACCCGTGAAAAGTTAATGTCGGGTGAAGATGTCTTGGTTGTCTTTTTCGCTATGATCATGGGTGCTATTGCCTTTTTACAATTGCCTCCTAATCTTTCTGCCGTCTCTAGTGCTTGTGGTGCTGCTTATAAGATTTATACTACTATTGATCGTGTCCCTTCCATTGATGTCGATAATAACAATGGTTTACACCCTGAGAGAATCGTCGGTGAAATTGAATTCAAGGATGTAAAGTTTAGTTATCCTACACGTCCTGATATCACTATTTTGAAAAATTTAAATCTTAAGATCAAGCCTGGCATGACTGTTGCATTTGTTGGCCCTTCGGGCTCTGGTAAATCTACTTCCGTTCAATTGCTTCAACGTTTCTATGATCCCTCAAAAGGTAGTGTCATCCTTGATGGTCATGATCTTAAGGATTACAATGTTGCTTGGTTACGTAGTCAAATTGGTGTAGTCTCTCAGGAACCCGTTTTGTTTAATATGACTATCAAACAAAATTTGTTGATGGGTGTCGTTAAAGAAATAACAAATGACGATATTGTTGCTGCTTGTAAAAAGGCAAACTGTCACTCTTTTATTTCTCAACTTCCTGATGGTTATGAAACAATTGTTGGTGAACATGGTGGTATGCTTTCAGGTGGTCAAAAACAACGTATTGCTATTGCACGTGCTATTCTTAAGAATCCATCTATTCTTTTATTAGATGAGGTAATATATATATATAGATATATAGTATACAATATTAATATTGATATTAATTATTACATTATAGGCTACTTCTGCTTTAGATACTCAATCAGAAAGATTGGTTCAATCTGCCTTGGATGCTGCTGCTGCTGATCGTACTACAATTGTGATTGCTCACCGTCTTTCTACTATCCGTAATGCTGATCTAATTGTTGTCATGCAGGCTGGTGACTTGATTGAACAAGGTAATCACAATGAACTCTTGGCTCTGAATGGTGTTTATGCTGAATTGGTCCGAAAGCAAGAAATTGCAACTAAACAAAACGATGATGAGCCTGATTCTGAAGAATTGTTAAGACGTGAACAAATGGAAATCTTGGCTGAACAACATCGTACTGAAGAAAGTGAAGTTAATGAAAAGGAAACCACTGTTCATTTATTCAAAACTACTAGTCGTGCCTCTGTAGACGCTTATGAATTAAAGCTTCGTAAAGAGCGTGAGGAACGTAAGGTAGCCATGAAACAAAAAGTTCCTATCAAGAAGGTTTTAGATCAAATGCGTTCTGAATGGTATCTTCTTGGTATAGGTATCGTTGGTGCTGCCATTGCTGGTGCTGTCTTCCCTTGCTTTTCTTTAATTTTTGCTCAAGTCATTTCGCAACTTATTGACCCTTCTGATGTAGTTCCTGGTCCTATGTCAGGCACTAATCTCTATTCGTTTTTGTTTGTCATTATTGGTGTTGGTGCCTTTATCGGGTTTACTACCCAAGTTATTTCCTTTGAAATAGCAGGTGAACGCTATACGAAACGTCTTCGTGCTGCTATTTTCCGTGCTTATATGAAACAAGAAATTGGCTTCTTTGATGATGAAGATAATTCACTTGGTGCTCTGACATCAAAGCTTGCTATTGATTCTAAAAATGTCAATGAATTAGTGACGAAGACTTGGGGTGATATTACCCAAATTATTGTTACTGCTATCACTGGTTTAGCTATTGCCTTCTCTCAAAGTTGGATGTTGACCTTAATTATTCTTTGTATGGCACCTTTCATTATGTTTGCCACTGGTTATGAATCCAAAATCCATCGTGGTTTTGAAGATAATACCAAGAAGGCCAATGAACAATCAGGTGAAGTCGCTGGTGAAGCAATTAAAGAAATCCGTACTGTAGCTGGTCTTAACAAGCAAAACCATTTTGAGCGCAAGTATTTCCAAGCTACTGATCGCCCTCATAAACTTGCACAACGTAAGGCTTATATGTCCTCCATCGGTTATGCTCTCCAACAAGGTATTACTCTTTATACAAATGCAGTTGCCTTTTATGCTGGTATCCAACTTATGTGGCATCATAAACTTCCCTTTGATAAAATGTTTACCTGTATGATGTCCATCATGATTACCGCTCAAGGTGTCGGCCGTGCTTCCGTCTTTACTACTACCTTTGCTAAAGCCAAATACTCTGCTATCGCCGCTTTTGAAATCCTTGAACGTGAACCATCGATTGACCCTGACCTTGAAGGTATTGAACCTACACGTAATCAAGTTCATGGTGAAATTGATTTCGAAAACATCACTTTCCGTTATCCTGCACGTCCTGATATCTCTATCTTTAATGGTGAATTCAACCTGCATGGTAAAGCTGGTCAAACTATCGCTCTTGTTGGACCCTCCGGTTGTGGTAAATCAACAACGATTGGTATGCTTCAAAGATGGTATGATCCTGTTAGTGGTACTGTTCGTATGGACGATAATAACGTTAAGAATTTCACATTAAGCAATCTCCGTAGTCATATGGCACTTGTCGGTCAAGAACCTGTCTTGTTTGATACAACCATTGGTGAAAATATTCGATTTGGTGTTGATGATGGCAAGGAAGTAACGCAAGAGGATGTTGAATCAGCTTGTAAAGCAGCCAATATTCACATGTTCATTACTAGTCTTCCCAAAGGATATGATACACGTGTTGGTGATAAAGGATCTCAATTATCGGGTGGTCAAAAGCAGCGTATTGCTATCGCACGTGCCTTGATTCGTAAACCTAAATTATTGTTACTAGATGAAGCCACATCAGCTCTTGATAGTGAAAGTGAAAAACTTGTTCAAGCTGCTATTGATAATATTTTAGAAGAAGGCGGACGTACGACGATTACAATTGCACATCGTCTTTCTACTATTCAAAATGCGGATCTTATTTGTGTCGTTAAAGGAGGTCGTATTATTGAACAAGGCACTCATTGGGAACTTCTGAAGTTAAATGGCACTTATAGTGAATTAGTGTATCAGCAATCCCTTAACTCACTCTAATCTATTTCGTTACTCTTATTATCTTTATATACTATTATTAATTTTATTATTTTACTCGTCTATTATAGAATATTTTGTTTTCTCATTTATTCCATATTTCTTGTAATAAATACTTTGTTATATATATCATGATGTACACTACATACAATAATCCTCCATCCCTCCTTTTTTTTTTCCTTATTATTACAATAAAACAAAACTGAAATCTACTTTTCTAAAAGAATAATATTATGAGCAACGATAATAAAGATTATTGACAGTTATTAAAAAGGTCTTTAACATTCTATTGAGGGATGTTCTTCTTTTTCTTTGTATTAAAAAGAAAAATGAACAAAGCTGGTATTAATTTGGCCATTAAATAAAAATATCATTTTTATTGTATACATATTTTTAAACAGTCAAAATAGAATAGGAAAATCCTTTGAAAATGTTTTTATATTTTTTGAGATGAATTTTGAAAAATTATTTTAACCTATGAATCCTCTACCCCTCCCATTATCATTTGGAATACTAATAAATAACCTCAAGGAGGCTCATTTCTTTATTTTCGGTTTATTTTCCAAATATAACTAGATTTATACATCAAACATATCACTAACAATATCATCTATTGTTAGAGTCGAAGCATATCAAATTATTCAGAACATGCTTAATGTTGATGAAAAGAAAAAATAGTTTAAAAAAGATATTTGATAGCAAAATGTACACCAGAATCTTTAAGTTGCCTTTTTTTTTTTGACAGAAATGATATTCAATTTAAGAGGCAAGATTTTATATATAGGAAAACATTGAAATCTAATACGCATAAATTGTAGAGTGATGACAACAACATGATGTACTTCAAGTTTGATTACAGAGTCGGCTTTTACTATCGAGACAGATATATCGATGTATCAAACATAAAAGTGGAAAGAGCCGCATCATCGATCAGGATGAAGGATTATTATAAATTTGATCAAAGAAGCAAAAACTGTCACGATCTAATATCAAATGAATTTTTATAATCATCTAAATATGGATGTTATACACTTCATTAACACTATCAAGTATTATTCGGTTATAACTAATACTATTTCCCCATCATTTAAAATCATAAGTAAAACAATCGACTATTGTTCGATTCCGTTAACTTTACTAGCCTTTTTATAGTTTTATATTTATCTTTCTAGAGATATCACAATTTTATTCAGAGAATTATGGACTGTTTCCCTGAAAGGAAAGGATGCTATACAGTAATAAATAATGCATATATTTATATTGCAGATGCAATAGATGTTATGGTTAGTAGTAGAAAGAGGAGGGGGGGGAGGATACACATGCGTCTATCTTCTGTCTTACTTACTCTCTCAAGCTTAATTTTATTAAGCAATTTTAGTCTATTGTTAAAAATAAGGACAAATGCGACTAGGAGGACTTAAGCTACCCAACATTGCTGAGCATCTTTAAAGTATTCTTATAACACTCAGTAAATGTATTTGAAAAAAAAAAAAAAAAAAAAAAAAAAAAAAAAAAAATATTGAAAAGGACAGCAACCCTATTTAAGAAACTATTCTTCAACTATTAATAAAAACTTGTCAATTAGGACTTAGAAACCAGCCTTCTTCTGGAAAAATAAAAATCTCTCTTTGGACGTTGTTTTCACTGTATAACTCAACCTTGTAATTTTACATGAAATCGTTTAATAACATTATCATTAGTAAGAACTGCTTGACAGTAGAACTTATGATTAAAACAGTACGCAAATAAACCACAAGGGTAATATGAAACAAATATACTTATTTCCGACTTTTCAAATATCAGCAAGCTGCAGACGAAGGAGGGAAACTTCTTTTTATTACGTAGTACAACCTATTCAGCATTACTGATAATTGAGTTGAGAGAAAATAACAAAAGTTTAAAATATATTAATATACAAGTCTTTTGCTTGAAATTTAGTCCTATTATATTTTACTATAGAAAAGAGGTTTTTTTTTTCTTATCAATAGACAAAACTAAGTTTTCAAACATTATAATTTTTCATTTTTCTTTAAAATAGATATAAAATAATAAAAAGAATGGTTTCGGCGTCACTTTGCGGGTAGTGTAAGGCAAAGGACACCTGTGGATTCCAAAGATAGCAAGCCAGAGCTTTGGATTCCAGGCGGAAAAAATTAGATTAACAACATTGAGGGGACATGCCCCTCGTTATAGTTGTTAAACTATAAAGAACAGATACTACACTTGATCTTAGCCAAAAGGCCTGAGAGGATAAAGATTCAATCACTTTCTGCATTTTGACCCTCCTTTTATAGTTTTTTTTTCTTTTTAATTCAGAAAAAATTTTTTTTCGAAGTGTGACTTATTTATTTCCATATTTGTTAAAAATGCTTCAAAATTATAAACATTACGAGTCACTTTTTTTTCTTTTTTTTTGTAAAACTTTATATATAATTTGATTGGATACCCGAGAAAAGATTTACCCATGCTAAAAAAAAAAATTATTCGAGGATATAGTAAAAGCGGTTTATTTATCACATGGAAATTTTAATACGATGAATCTGAATAACAATTATTTTGTCTTCTGCAAGTTTTTTATAGCCTTCATCATCATCTAGATTGCGGCCTTTAAAAATGCTATGCTTGCCATTGACAAATACTTTACATTAATGTATTTTTTTTTTTCCTTGATAAGCACAGGCTATTTTTTCTTATAGTAATCCAATGATTTTTGTACTTGAGCTTATCTATTCATCAGTAAATTGCCTTATAATTATATTCATTTAACAAATCTTGTTTATGTGAGTCAAGTAAAACATCATAAAGTTTTTTTTTCTTTTTTGTTTGATAGGCAAAGTGTATTTATAAAGTTTATTTACTTGCATCAAAGGACATTAATCGTTTATCATTAATTTTCATATAATAACATTTAATATATATCTTTTCATTAAGTTGGTGCATGGTTAAACCAAGTGTAAAATTTAATACTTCATTCTCTAGAAGATCATGAAATAAATACAACACAATGTGCCTGAATTGAATTTTGATTTTATATAGAATTAAAATTTCTAAATGCGTTTCTTCTCGTATTTTATTTGTTTTGGCCAAATTTTGCTGTCATCCGTAAGAAGAATATAGTGAATCATGTACTCAAGTAGTATGAGGAATTCTTCTCTAAAAAGGCGAAGACTTAGAAACACCCTCGATATATATTGTATTCTAGCTTATTTTCCTGCTCCAGATTACAAATTTGATTTTATTTAAAGCTTGCTTGTAGACAAAGGATATATACGCTTATGTTTGCCTCCTTATTCTCCTTTTTTTTTTCTTTTGATACCTATAAAAGAGTGTTCATAGTCGAAAGTAAAGTTTAATTTGCATCACAAAGAATTAATATAAACAAAATTTATTATAGACATATATTATTATAAGATAATTTACTTGTGAATAAATAAGTTCGAGTACAAAAATCATTGGACTGCTATAAGAAAAAATAGCCTGTGCTTAAAGTATTTTTTAAAGATCATAAAGTTTAAGAAGAGAAAAACTAGTATTACTGCCATGATAATAAAATGCTTTTTTTTTTCCTTTTGTATCGTTTTCCCCTCACCCCCTCCCTCATTATAATGATATTCTAATTAAATACATATTCTTCGCCATCATTTAAATAAGGTAGATGATGAATATCGTTTCTTTTATTTACAACAGATGATTGTCTTGTATTTCTTTGCTGCTTCTTATTATTACTAGATAATGTTTGTTGTAACCAATGACTCAATGTTGATTGTTTCATGGCCTTACACCAAATCTCCTGTTTCGTCTCAGGTCTAACCAACAACTTAAATGATGTTTCTCGACTCTTTTTTCTCAAAAACCGCTCTTCAGGTGTTAAATGAGCTGATGAACTAGGCGTTGGCTGATTATATCGACTTCTAGGAGTCATTGTATACGATCTAAGTCGTGATGTATATTGATTTCTTTCATTATTATTATTATTATTATCATCATCATCATCATCATAATATCGAATTTGACTTGTTGCATATGAAGAAGGTGTAGCCCGGCAGAATAAATTTCGATAAATAGTTGCATAAGCATTTTCTTTTGCTTCAAATGTCTGTTGTATTTCTTGTTTATAAGACTCAGCTTCTGATAACAATGGAGGTGAAGATATATCTCTTATTTCGATTTGTTCAGGCGTTGATTTATATGCTCTTAGCACTGTTGGTGTAGGAGTGGGTGAGGAAACTGTATAGTTATCTTGAATGCTATTATTTGATGATGATGATGATGACGAAGAAGTCTGCTGAGAGTTAAATCGTTTCTTTTGAAGAGGCTGCTTCTCCATTTTCTTTTCAGATACAATCATGTTGTTGGTTTCCTCATTAGATAAATTAGAAGAAGATACAGTAGATCGAATGGACTCTAGACATATATTATATTGATCCATATCTATATCTCGTAACAAGTCATCGTCTAATCTAGCTAAATGACTGTCAGTCCATGAAGAAGAAGAAGAAGAAGAGCAAGAACATAATGTCTTATTTTTAAGTTGATAGAGGTGTGCAGTCCCATCTAGCCATTTCGATCTCTGCTGTGGTTGTGGCTTATCAGTAAATGGAGGAGAATCACTATTCGTGGATAAATATTCTTTTTTTTTATGTTCAACATATTCTTGTAATTGAATTGCTTGTGTTTCTGAAGTCGCAAGATTATTTATTTTAAAGTTTTTTTTATCTGTATTATCTTTAATTGATTCAATAACATCATCTGTTGTATTTGGAGTGTTATGGTTCGTTAAAGAGTTTATATCAATAGCTGAAGAAGGCGCTACCGACACGTTACCATCATTGTCTTTCAGAGATGATGGTTGACTGGTAAAAGATAGATTTGAAACCAGTTCAATTTTCCACTTATATTCATTCAACACTTTATCTCGCCCTTCATTTATAAGTTTATCCATTTGAACAGACGCTAAATGAGATAGTGAATATTGATTTTCATTTGTATCTGCACGATATTGGTCAACTGTCTTTTTTGGGTTGATTTCATTATTAATGTCAAGATGATATATACTTGAGAATGAGTTCGATCCACTTGTTGGTAATGTGCTATAATTAGAATCTTCTAACTTTTCGATAAAAGAAAGGTTGTATTTATTATTATCAAGACTAAGTATACTTGTAGGCGATTTATTGATAAACTCATTATTCTGTTCAACTGATGACGTTCTACTTGTGTTATATAATGGATTTTGGAGATAGTCACCATTTTTCAGCGATGTAAAAGTAGTTGGAAATGGTGTTAATGGCTTTGAATCATGGTTGTTTCTAATACTAACTCGTAAATACAAATCGTATTGACTAAGTGTAATTTCATCCCCATCTACTAGGCAATGCGTATTTTCTACAGCATCATCAAGATTTAATAATACATGGTTTTGAAAGGATAATGCAGTTTGATTATTTTGAGTTGAATTAATTGTCCATTTACAATGATTGAAATCTTGATCAATGTCTTCTGGCTGGTGAGTACCGTTATTCATAGGAAAATCAGTCAACCTAATGTCCTGCATACCATGGTCCAAAATAGAGAGCCTAGACTTGTTGATTGTATCATTCGATGATAAACACAGAACTTTACTAGTACCAAAAAAGATAAAAGAGGATAGAGATGATGCTTTTGTTTGGTTACACTTATTCTTCGACATGACGGAAGTTGTTTTTATATTATCTTGGAATTCCCAATATATGCCTTCATTAAGCTTATCATTCACCACTGTCACCATAGTTTCTTCATTATTTTGTCTTTTTTTACATAAATAATTCCCTGTTTCGGCATTTTTTAGTTTAAATATGCTTCTTTCTGAAAGTATTAAAGATGAAAAGAAATATTGTATAACAGAAATGATGAACTCTTTTTTACTATTGTAAGATTCCGGGAAAAATTCATACATAGGACGTAAGTTAGCTCTCCATACAATATAATATGATTTTTTCTGTAACACTTGATCTTGTGATCCATATTCCTGCTCTTCTGACTATAAGATAGGAAAAGAAAAAAAAAGGTATAAATATATAAATATATATCTATATTAATAAAATAGGAATTCAACTTACTTTTATTAATTTAGTATACAAGTTTGAGCTATTTGATCTTTCTTCTTTATTTCTATAGTCTTTAGTAGAAGTTAATTTTGCAAGTTCTAAATAAATATTATGTCTTACCTAAATACAATTTTTCTGGCCACAAAAAGCCGTATCTATTCCAAATCTGATTAAGTTTGTCCCACGATAACTGTGAGTGATGTGGCCAGTGTGCTTGAGCTTCATTTAATTCATCCTCAAAATCCGTAGTCAACCTTGCAATCTTGTCTATCTTTACGTGTGCTTTAATTTTACAATAGTTTACATGATGATAGTAACATGAATTATTTTTTATCGTCAACAAGCCCTTGCTGCTTGATTCTCGAACATGATCTATAAACATATACTTGCATATTGATAACGATTTCAGTGTAATTTCATCATAAGGATTTGATACTCTTGATTGTCCTATTAAATTTTTCGTCCATTCTGATCTTGCTGTAATTGCTGTAGGTAGTAATATTTCGTGTTGATTACTGTTTAAGATTATTTCGGGTATTGCTTGGTGTACGAAACAAGGTAAAGATGCTAATTTTCCATTAGGTGATATGCCAACATTCCATTGATCAAGTTCATTAAGGATGTTTCGTCTTTCATCTTTATTAGAAATCAGTTTTTTTTCCATTTGATCAGTAATTGTATATAAATAAATATATATGTATGATATAATAGAAGAAGATTAAGAATGAAATAAGAAATAAGAATATATATTTATATTTTTTTTAAAGAAAATAAAATAAAGAAATGTAATTCTTCATGTGTTATTTATAAATGTAGGTAGGACATAAAATGTGACTCTATAGCTACAACTTTATTACTGCTCTATAATTCATTACAGTTGTATATTATCTTCTTTTTATGAAATCTATTCTATTACTGTAACAATAAAAAAATAAATTATAGACAATGATAATTTACTTTTATAACATTGTAGTATTTTATTTTCACATTGTATATTATAAATACACTTGTACAACTTTAAAAAGGTGTAAGCATAAAACCAGGATTACCTACAAAGGAATATCGCAAGTAATCAAGCATATACTGCAGATACATTACATGCATATACCCCATGATTATATAAATTGCGCCATATGATTTTTTTTTTCTATAGGGACAATAATAGCAGTCATTAAACGTCCCTTTCCTTTTGAATCCCTTATTACATAATGAAAAAAAAACAAGATAATAATATATCATATCAGATTAAATAAATTTATTATAGTTTAATTTGATGTTAAGTAAGAGAAATATTACTATGTATAACAAGAGAATTGCTATCTTAATTATCATGATTATAAAAGACTAATTAAATCCATGTATTAGCAATAAATATAATAGGTATTGTAAATATATACATACAAGTTTTTAATAGTAATGTATACACACAAGTTTATATAAACAAACAAAAAAAAAAGGTCTCCTATCCAGTTGCCATTTATATTTTTCTTTACGATAGTAATGACTCTCTTTAATAATAAATTTGATAATGAACTACTCATTACTAAATTCCGGCCGAAAAGGATTCATTTATTTATCAAACTTAATTTATTTCGTAGATCGGAATGCGTTAATAACTTTATTCATTAGCATCAAACTCAAAAATTTTGTTTACAATAAAAGAGGACTGTGAATGTGAAAACAGTTACACCTATTTTTGCATGTTTTATTTTAAACTGTCAAATAGACTTTTTTTTTTTTAAAAAAATAAAATAAAATAAAATAAAATAAAATAAATAAATAAATAAAAATATCATTCTTTAACCTCGACACTATTCTTTGGAATTTAATAGTTACGGAGTAAAATCCAAAGAATGTATTTCGTTAAAGTAAAGTAAGCTTGACCAGGAAGGGAAGGAATTTTTTATTTATTTATATTATAATTAACTATAATTAACGCCACATATTACACATGATTTACAACAGCATAAATCTATATTTATTTTAATAGATTTTATTACTTTATGAAAGTAAATATCTTTGATATACTTTAAATAAAAAGTAACAGTAATAAAAAGATATTATATTTGTAAATTCATGGTAACTTAGGCAACATGAAATAAACTATTGTTGCTATTAGTCTAATATTAAGGGGGTTATCGTCGTTGTTATCATCGTTATCGTTGCTAATGTTGTTGTTGTTGTTGTTGTTAATTATTTACCTTTTTTTTTTCTCCTTAATGATTGATTACACATGAAAATAAAGTATTGCGTCTGAGGCTAAAATTCAAAATAAAATTTTTTTTTCTTTAAGTTTTACTTTTCTGGCCATTTCTAAAAGAAACAACAAATATTTTAATCAAGATAAAATAACAGCAGCATTTTTATTTTTTTATTTTTTATTATTATTTTTTTTTTTTATTTTCTATTTCTTATTTTTTTATTTTTTTTCGTTTTTTTTTTTTCGTTTTCTTTCACTTATTTTTCTTTATAACTTTTATATTAAATTATTATTTAATATGTTTTTTCTATTTAAAAAAGTATTTAATATAACAACGTCAGTCATATCGTATACAAAGGATACAACAGTGTCAGCAACTACTAGTACACTAAAAGTAACATTATCTGGAACGATTGTTGGTCTTGGCTTCACTATTTTTGTACTTAACAAAATTCTAAAAAGTGAGTTACCATTTGAATTCATTTGAATCGATGAAACGATCAATTTTTTATTTTTTATTATTTTTATTATTTTTTATTTTATTTTTTTTGAAATTAATTTCTTTTTTCTCCCCTTTTTCAAAATAATAATAATAATAATAGGATTAGACAAAGAGTCCGTAAAGTTATCCCCTCTTGCTGAATTTGATAGTGCACAAGCACGAAATAGCCTTAGGGCTGGGCTTCATGTTTTAGATCTTGTAACTGATCCTTCTTATATCAATGCTCTTAAAGAATCACGTTTAAGTTTAAGCATGCAGCAAGTAATATTTGATGAGATCAATTCCCTTCCTTCTGAAGATAGACATTCTTTAATTGATACTATGGCCTCTTCAGGTTTATTTGCTGAGCTTGTTGAAAATACTGTTCATGATGAAGTAACCGGTTCTAATAGTACTTCTCGTCATATTGACAGTGATACTAATGATATTAACATTGTTTCTAATAATACTACTAATGTTACGGCTGTTTCTAATAATACTACTAATGCTACTGCTATTCCTAATAATACTGCTAATAATGCTATTGTTCTTAATGATCCTGAAACGGCTATTATAACTGATCACAATGCTTTGCTTGATTCTAATGGTGAACTTGATACTAATACTGGTCTTACTACTGATAATAAGCATGCTGTTACTACTAATGATAATGATGCCAATGAAAATACTACTACTGCTAATGATGGTCTAGATAACACTGATAATGATCTTCCTAATACTCATACTATTGTTGACGATCATATTGATGCCATTAATGATAATTTTGCTGGAGCTGTACTTGAAGCTACTAATGATATTGCTAACACTAATGTTGTTGTTGACAATGCCGCTGATGATGCTACTAACGCTAGTGTTGTTCTTGATGACGCCACTAATGATGCCTCACTTAATGTTGCTAATGATATTCCTCTTGACGCTTCTAATGATACTGCTAATGATGTTGCTAATACTGGTGTTGCTCTTGATGACGCCACCAATGATACTCCTCTTGACGCTTCTAATGATGCTTCTAATGATGCTGCTAATGATACTGTTCTTGATGACACCACCAATGCTGCTTCTCTTGACGCTTCTAATGACGCCTCTATTGACGCTGCCGATGATGTTGCTAACACTGGTGTTGCTCTTGATGACACCACCAATGCTGCTTCTCTTGATGCTGCTAATAATGCCTCTCTTGACGCTTCTAACACTGGTATTATTCTTGATAATGCCACCAAAGAAACTCCTCTTAACACTGTTAACGCTAGTGTTGTTCTTGATGATAACACTAATAATGCTTCTCTTGTTGCTGCTAATGATGCTTCTTCTGATGTTGTTAATGATGCTTCTCTTGATGTTGCTAATGATGCTCCTCTTGATGACACAACTAATAGCGTTACCATTAATAATGCTGCTGATAATATTGATGAACCTGAGCATATGAAAGAGGATACTAATATTGTCAATAATGGCTTAGATGCTGATCTTGATACTGTTACTGTTTCTCAAAAAGCTGATGATGATCAAGTTGACGTTAATAGTGAACTTGATGATGCTGATAATGCTTTGTCTAGTACTAGTGATAATATTGATATCCCCAATTCAGCTGTAGATTATCCCATGAAACATGAATTTGACTCTTTAAGTGCTTGTAATAATAATAGAGTTCTTGATGAATCAACTGAAAATGATAATATTATTATGATCCCTTCAAAGTCTATGGACACTGTTACTAGTATTGAATCTACCGCTACTATTAATACCACTGGTTCTCAGGCCTACAATAAGGAAATTACTAGCTCTCGAGAAGAATACATTTCTCATTTGAAAACTATTATCCCTAATGTTAATGATATTGCTTCTTGCGAAGAAGATGAACAACCTATTATCATTCCATCTGAAGTTACATCTGCAATGTCAATGGATGAATCACAATTATTGGAATACCAGAATCAAAACCAATCTTTGTTAAATAATACTCCCTCTTCTGATGCTAATACTGATTCCTTGACTAATGATAATAACCATATTCCTTCTCCTGAACTTATGGTAGATACTACTTATGATGCTGCTACTTATATCTCTTCCCCATCTGAATCCTCTAGCTTATCATTACAATCAGACAAGGATATCGACACTATGCCTATTTCTAATGTTGCTTACTTCATTCAAGAGGCTAATAATACAAAAAATATTGCTGAAATTGAAAAGCCAGTAAATTTAAATCTGATTGACACTAAGCCAACTGCTATTGTTCATTCTAAAGCCGAAGAAAATCTCGGCTTGTCATCAAAAGAAACTTCTACTACTGAGCCAATTACTGCTAACTGTATATATTATCCTCATTGTACAAACAAAAGATGTAAATTTGTTCACCCAGGCAATGATAATGTGTAAGTATATATATATATATATAAGTATTACGATTCACTTTTACTGATTTTATTTTTAATAGTATGCCACCAAAGAAAAAATCAACGGCTGGTAACTCCCAGAATGGGAGAAATAATACCAAAAAAACCATGACCTGGGCAGAACGAATCGACAAGCAAGCAAGACCACATCCTCCTATTTGGAAATCTCGTTGTGTACATTGGCCAAAATGTACAAATAATAATTGCAAGTATTCTCACCCAAGCAAACCTTGCAGGTAAAGTACTTTTTTTTGTTATATTAATATTTAATACATCTTTTTCTCACTTTATAATAATATTATAGAATGGGTGAGAGCTGCAATTTCAAGGAGAGATGTATGTTCCTACATCCTTGTGATTTAATGGAACCTATAAAACGTAATAAGAAGTAGTCTGTCTTGTTCGTTATATGTCTGTTCTTTTACCCCTTCCTTCTTCCTCTCCTCCTCTCCCTATGAAATTGTATTTAATTTTAATCTTTAATTTCTTGAAAAAAATATTTATATATTTATTCCCTTAAAAAAAAAAAAAAGAAAAAAAAAAAAGAAATAAAATTTATTAAAAAAAAAAAAAAGCGTTGCTAAATGACTTCATATTCATTTAACGATATTCTATTATAGAAAGCAACTACTCATAAATATAATATGCTTCGATATAACTACAAAATTCATATAAAATAATATCCCAATACGTTTCACATAACATAATATGCATTAATTATTATTGTTAGTTTAGTAATGGTATATGTTATATACAAAATTTGTATATTTTACTTGGTAACGGAAGATCTTTTATTCAAAGCGCGGGTAATGGAAAAAGTAGCTTGATTCACCTCCTTTATATATTATATATAATTGCATTATATTGTATATAAAATATAAAAAAATGGTCAACTAGACCAAAAATAGCGCTCGTATCTTGAATTAAAGGAAGGTTATATAAACAAGTAGAATAGCATTTTCATAATGTCAAGTATAATAGTCTTCTTTAAATAATTATATTGAGTGCTATACAAAACGTCTTACACAAAATAAAGAAAACCAGAATAATAAAGTCAATAAATATATATATACATGTATACACATATATTTTTTTTTAAATGAAGATAACAAAAGAGCTTTTTTTTTCTTTTATTATCCAGATTTATCACTACTACTTGTATCATTTGTAGTAGAGGAATTTAGTATATTAGGAGTAGATTCATTATCTTCATTAGCATTAAAAGTAACTGGTTGTTGTTGCTTTTCAATTTCAGGAATAAACTGTGATAGTTTATACCACATTGACTCTCCAAACGTTTTCCATGCAATTGCTGCACATATGAATTCAATACTTGCAAACATACACATAAATATGACAGCAGCTGAAATTCTGTAAAAGTACATGTAATATCTAGTGTAGTTAAAAGGATATAGGTGAGCACTCTTTTTATATATAATATATTTTGCTTTACCGAAGTCCTTTGAAATTGGCTAAAATAAATAACTTTGCATCATAGATTTGTATCCTTGGATCAGAGATCGAAACTGATACTTTGTTCAAGGCTTGAGACTATATATATGTATATATTGCGTTACTTTTAGTTATTTATAATTATGCATATTTCAATTATTTACTTTTAACTCCATGAAATCATCTACTAATTTAATATTTAAAACTTGACTCTCTTCACTTAAGCCTATAAGAAGCGGAATTGCTTTTGCAAATACTCGCATAATTCTTTGTGTTCTTGATTGATAACGTAAAATACTGGGTCGACTGGACTCCAATACAACATTGCCATCTTTACTATATAATTGAATTTGAACCATAAAATTACCTAAAATATAAGTATATTTTTTAATATATTTTTTTCTTTTTTCTTTTTTTTTTTTTTTTTTTTTTTTTTTTTTTTTTATATGTATATATATATATCTATATATTTATAAAGTTTACCAATATCAAAATTGATATCTGAAGTAGGTACATTCAATTGTACAGAAATATCATATACTTGTTCGTGTCTCAAATGCTGTTAAAATAAAAATTGTTTGAGCTCTTTTTTTTTTGGTGTTTTTTATATTGCTTATTATTATTATTATTACCCTTTTATTAGAATCAATAAGATTTACTATAGCAGTTGGACCTTGTGCTTTCTGATAATTAAACCAAATAGGTTGTACATGCATAATGGGAGGTATATATTGTTGATAAAACATGACATAGGCTATTAAACTAGTCACGATAATCCAAGATATACTAACAAATAAGACGGTTGTCTTGACAAATGTTCTCTGTGCTGCTGGAGCAAAAAGTATTTTACAAATAGGTAACAATAATGTTTTTAATATTTTTGTAAAAAAGTTTACAACTGGTTGAGATGGTTGCTGTCTTCCTTGCTGATTAATCATGTCCGAAATCTCAGGTATATAATTGTTTTCATTCATGACATTTATTTTAGGTATTCTATCAAAGAGCTCCTCCTCCTCCTCTTCTTCTTCACCCGAAGGAACTACATGAAAGTTATCAGACTTTTTTTTTTTTTTTTTTTTTTTTTTTTTTTTTTTTTATGAAATTTTTTTTTTTTGTAAAGGTTAGATTATGTATAATTAAACATCTCCCCTTCACCTCATCCTTTGACATGTCTTTTTTAATGATTTTACACTTTCTGGAATATCTGAAAGAATGTCTTCAGATTCTGAATTGTTGTCTTTCAAAGGCATTTGATTATAACTTTTTTTTTTTATAAAAGACAAAAGAATTATTTGTATCAGAAGAAATAACGAGTTTCATATATAGCATATATTGGGATATTTATGTAATATACAGCTGTCAGGTGTTTATAGTCCAGCACCCAATTAAAAAAAAAAATACATTTTTTTTTAATGTCTAAATTCGCCTGAATATTCAATACCCATTCCGTATTTCATAATTTCAGCCTACAGTTATAAAAATCATTAGTTTATAAAATAAATAATAAAAATAGAATAATCTAAATTACCTTTAAAAAGTCCATGTTATTAATAGCATTTAATCCAATGGAGCGGACCCAGGTAATAGGTGACGCATCTGTAGAAAATAGACGATGTAGTTTGTCACAAGTGCTGATCATCATAATATTACGCAAATAGCGAACAGATGCATATTGTCTCAATAAATGAATACTACCGATATCTTGTCCTTCTCTAAGCCCCTTTTCCAAAATTTGTGAAAGGCATTCAACGTCTAATAAACCCTGATTCATACCTTGACCTGCTAACGGGTGTGTGGCATGGGCAGCATCTCCTACAAGTGCAACACGGTCACTTACATACTGTTCTGAATTTCTTAACCTGAATGGAAATGAAGCTCTTGATTTTTCCTGCACATCAATGACTTCAGGAGGTAGTGAATATTCACGGTCTAGAATAGCTTGGCCACTCGTTAAAGCCTTTTTTGCTACACTTTCTCTCCAATTATATTCTTCTTGAATATCGCAAGCAGACTCAAATGTAGTAGGGTTGATTTGTTTATAAAGATATTTTAAATCAACATTAGACATTCGATAGGCTGCATTAATAAGACTACAAAAGTCTTTAGATGATACATTTTTAAGTGCCTTTGCAATAGATGGTTTAGTAGACCATACTAATGATGCATAATTTTCACTAAGCTATATGTATATACAAATATATAAAATTAATAACATTAATTCAAGGAAAAAAAAAAGAAATAAATTACAGGAAGCATAGCAATTGGACCAGTGGGTAGAAATCGTTGCCATGCAGTATTATTAGGGCGTTCAGGGTCTAGCTTTAACGTAGCTACAACACCATGTGTGTCATAATCCCATCCAAGCGAATCAATATAAGCAAATTTACGAACTAAACTATTAATACCATCTGCACCAATCTGTTAAAGTAGTATTGTTTAATATAGATGTTAACACCTTTTTTTTTTCTTTTTTCTTCCCCTTTTTTCATTACCAATAAACGGGCTTTTAATTTCCTTCCATTATCCAAGTAGACTGTGGGCCAATCTTGTAAATCTAAAGAGCTTACTTCTTCTTCCTTTTCTTTTGAATGTTCCTTTTTCTTTTCATTTTCTTCCAAATAACGTTCAATATTAGAAACCTTAACTTGTTGAATCAGGTCAACTTGAGCTCCCTCTCGAACACATTCGTCGAGACGTTTTAAAGTTGCGCTTTGGATATTAATATTTTCTACAATATATGAAATTGTATTTTCTTCAAGATCTTTATCAATTCCATAATTTTTTAAAAGGGCCGAATCTAGATGAATACGAGCATCTGTTATACCATCCCATACTTGCATATCACGAATTCCATTGACTCTATTTAAGTTCATGTGGTTTGCTACTCCAATTCCTTAAAATAAAATAATGATATAAAAAAAAAAAAATATCGGTGTTAATAACAGAACATGGGGTTTGCGTATAAACTGCATTACTTTTAAAAAAGCCCATTGAACCAGGTGTTAAAGAAACAACACGATTTGAATAATTATTTTCTTTAGGCTCCCAGTTTTTAACTTTTGTTAAATCCATAGTTTCTACAAGTGCTATACGATATTGACGCATAGTTTGACTAGAGGCTTTACATATACATATACATATACGTATAAATAAATAAATATATATATATATATTTGTATATATAAAAAGGTTATTTATTTATTTATTCTTGTCTACTATGTATATACCTAGTGAACAAGCAAGACTAACACCTGCAACACCTCCACCAATAATAACTACATCATAAGCATTTTCTATATCCTTAGCAACTGTTGCCAAGTTTCGTTTTGCAACATGTTTAACAAATGATTGCCGAATGAATGTTCGTTTTTGAATGGCACGCAACATTGTCTAAATTGAATTTATATAAAATAAAAAAAAAAAAAATAGGTTTCGTATAAACAAGCATACCATAAAATAAGATTTAAACGGACTCTAAATTTATCCTGTACATATCGTTATCGAGTAGTGGTAGAAAATCAAATTATGCTCTTATGTAGCAGAATGAAAAAAAAAAGAAAAAAAAAACAGATTTTGTGATCTATTGTACATCAATGATGACAACCCTTTAAATATACTGTATCCCTCAACTAGCTAAATAACCTGAATATCTGTACCTTCAAATCTCTTTGTTTATCTTTTCTTTTATAAGAAATCGTATGTATCTCATTCCAAATCGTCTCTAGTTTATTCTCTTCATCTTTCGATTAGTCTCATTCTATGGCTGTCCATGACAAGACTATGAATAGGATCATTATTTTTTCGATAAAGACTTGGCTAGCTACCTTTTGGTCAGAGTTAGCCCTTGCCCTCTTACTATCTAAACTATACTTTTTTTTTATCTAATTTTTATTTGCATGTGCATAATCGACTAAATATGTGAAAGAGTCACTTTTCGTTCCTTCTGCATATATTGCGTTCTCCCATAACTCTGGTTAATACATTGGCTATTTATATATTGTACATTATTGAATAAGTTAAACCATCTAGTTTACCGTAAAATCCTCCCCCCTTCATGTAATTCTGAGTATTGCTTGCTTAATTGATTATTTCATAACTAATCTGATTTATACCTGTATCTTTATTACACATGTGTATATCGTTAAACAGATTCAAGAATAAAGCTTGTATGAAACACAAATTAATAACTATGCCATTTCACTTTCCGATTTTTTTTTTCTATTCTTCGAAAGATTGGTTACTGATTTTTATAAAAAAAAAAAAAAAAAAAAAAAAAAAAAAAAAAAAAAAACTTTTTTTTCATCTTTGTACTATCCAATAAGTAGAAGAGAAGAAGATAGACGTTATTCATTAAAATCTAATGAATGATCATTATGAAATACTCTCTTCGCAAATAATTCAAGAAGAGGAAGATTTCTTCTTTGATGATGACGATGAAAATGATAATGATGATTCTATTTCAATGACATATCCTGATGAGCAGCAAAATAATAAAGATCAAGTTAATGACAGTAAAGATGATTCCTTTAAGCGTCTTCTTGCTGGTCCTTCGGTGAATAAGGTTTTATTTCATTGAATAATAAAATAAGGAATAATAAAATAATAAAAAAAGGATTTTTCTTTTCTTTTCTTTCCTTCTTTCTTTATATATATAACGTTATGTAGGCTGGTTTAGAAGGTGTTGACAAAGATAAAGTGAATAGTATCATCTATGAAGCATCTAAAGTGAGTTGGGAAAAAGCTAATTTTTTTATATTATTTCCTTGTTATCTTATATGTCTATACATTTTCAGGGGTCAGCATTTTTTGAAAGAGAGAAAAAGAGAGACATGGCAGTAACAAAACGTATCAATACTATATTAGCCAAATACGAACTGATAAAAAATCACGACTTAACATTTGAAAGAAACATAGTTGATAACATGATTGAAGATCTTGAAACTAAAACTCGTGATCTAACACAATGCATTTGTCATATGGATATGGATGCCTTTTATGCCTCTGTAGAAGAATTGGAAAATCCAGAGTTGAAAAAGATACCAATGGCAGTGGGTGGCATGTCGATGCTTTGCACAAGTAACTACTTGGCACGTCAATATGGAGTTAGAAGTGCCATGCCAGGGTTTATTGCCCTAAAGTTATGCCCTCAATTGAAAATAATTCCTCTTCACTTTCCAAAATATCGTGCTGCATCAAATAAGATAAGAGCTGTTTTTGAGAAATATGATCCTCATTACTTGCCAATGAGTTTAGATGAGGTAAATATTATATAAATATAAATATATATACACATATATACATATAAATATATATATTATTTGAACATACTTAGTATTGATTTTTTTTTATCATTGTTAATTATTATATATGCATATGTATATGAATATAATATTTATTTATATATAGGCTTACTTGAATTTAACAGAAGTAATAGAGAAAATAATATATTTATCAAAATTTACTAATCGGTCTATGTATACTATATAGTATCTGAAAACAACTGAATTGACACCAAGTGAGTTAGTGGAGCAAATAAGACATGAAATATTTGAAGCAACACAATTAACAGCTAGTGCAGGTAATATATAAATATTTATATCTATCAAATAAGTATATGTTTATAAACTCTTTTCAATTTTTTTTTTATCAAGGAATTGCTTGCAATCGAATGCTAGCTAAAGTGTGTAGTGATATTAATAAGCCCAATGGACAATATTATTTACCAATGGATAGAGCTTCTATTATGTCCTTTGTAAAAGATCTTCACGTAAGAAAAATCCCCGGAGTAGGACGAGTAACAGAACGTGTTCTTGAAGCTCTAAATGTGAAAACTTGCGGAGATATTTATCCTCATCGTGCAATACTTTATAAACTTCTTAGCCCTTCCAGTTTTCAATTTATGCTAAAAAGCTATTTGGGCATTGGTTCCACTTCCGTCAATAATGAAGTAGAAAGAAAAAGTGTTAGTGTTGAACGTACCTTTTCGTCTATGTCTGATCCTATTGAGTTATTCAATAAAGTTAAAGAATTATCACAGCTTCTTGAAAAAGATTTAGAAAAATTAGGATATATGGTAGAGTATGATAAATTACAGGGCCATATTGAATTTATTACGTTGATTTATAATACTGTGTTTTTTTTTTTTTTTTTTTTTTTTTTTTTTTTTTTTTTTTTTTTTTTTTAAAAAAAAAAAAGGGAAGGAATGTAGGTATAAAATTAAAGTCGGTTACTTATGAAGTTCGAATTCGTTCAAAAACATTTCCTTCCTATATATGGAAAGCAAAAGATATTGAAAGGATAGCAAAAGAATTGTTGATCAAGGAACTTCCAGTGAATATCCGATTAATGGGAATTCGTATATCCACGATAAAACCGAGAGGGAACGAAGATGAGAGTGTTATGAAGGTTTGCTATTAGAGGATATAGATAATATGTATATAGTATGTAACTTATCTCACTCTTTTCTTTTAAAGTACTTTACTAAGCTTACTTCTCAGTCAGATGATAATGATCAAATAAAGCAACAACAGAGTATAGAAAAATCAACTAACACAACCAAGTTAATACACAATAAACAGTACGAGCAAATTGGCAGTAATAAAAATAATACCCCACATAGGATGATAGAAGAAAGAAGCAAAATGACATTGCCTGCACTATTAATGCTACCTACTTCTTCATTCCAAATATGCCCCATTTGTAATTGTCAAATTGCTACGGAAGATAATTCAGAATTAAATCAACATATAGATATATGTTTGAGTAAAGTGGAAGTTAAAGCCATTTTGAAAGATCAAAGAAAACGATTAGAATCATCAAGTAAGCCTAATCCTCAACAAACTCCTAAAAAACGTATAAAAAGGTAATCTACTCTACTTTTTTTACTTTATTTTTTGGAGAAAAAAAAAAAAAAGAAAAGAAAAGGGCGTCATTCCTTTAACATCTCTATATTATTTCTTTAGAAAAAATAATAATAACAAAGAGAAATCATTATTAGATTATTATCTTCCCAAGTAAAAGAAGTAATCTAAATTAAAGTTTTCTATCCTATCCTATTGTTTTTTTTTTCTTAAAAATAAAGGAATCATTATAATTATGTTGAAAGAATACTAGTTTTTCTTTCTTTTTCTTTTTTGAACCCATTTGAATCCAAAAAAGCGTATTTTCTTTTGAAATCAATGTTGGTATCTATAATGTATTCAATGAAAATTGCTTACACCGCTTCTTTATATCTTCAGGATTCCAGACTGCTGTCCTGGTTTGAGTTCCAATGAATGGAACTTCCAGCTTTTTGGTTATATGACGGTAAAAAGTGGATCCATTAACTGTTAAACCATTAAAAGTAGCACAAAGAAGTTCTGTAACATCTTTTACTATACGAGTAGGGCATTCTTAGACGTAATCTTTAATGATCTGTAAGTATTCTTCTATAATCTTTACGTTATTACCTTTTTTTTTATTTCAGATGCTAGTTTATAACCTAGTAACACTGTTTCTCCACTTTATTTTCATTGTCTATCAAATCTGTAAGCCATATCATATCCAATGCCGGTTTCTTTAGAAGCATTTAGGAAGTTTTGTAGGTTTTGGTTTTGTATCAAAGAAATGAATCGAGCAAATTGGGATAATTTATACTTAATTGGTGTCCAAATCATTTTAATAGTGAGATTTCGTCTAAATCAAGTTCTTTCATAGCTCTTGTTGTAACTAGAAGCTCATCTTCTTACTCGCTAGATGATATAGAAACATTAGAAATGATTCTCTAGATGTTGCAATATTCTGATTGCCATTCTCCTCCTGCATCATGTTCTGGTTGATATTTAGGCTCTTCAGCATCAATACTACCACTAGCAAATTCACCAAAAGGGGGGCTATGATAGGAAGTAGTTGTGTTCATCGTAATTGAACTAAAACATCCGGGGGTTTTTTTTTAAACTATCTTTGTTAAAGGCATGGTATTATGTTTTCATAGAAAGAGAAGAAAGATATCAAAGCCAATGTGTCAAGGTTTTCAGGTAAGGTTAGTCCCTTCACGATTAAAACTTTGCATACTTTAGAGAATAGGATAATTAGAGCTTTTATATCAAATATAATCCTTACATACTTACATTAAGGATGATTAATAAGCTTCTAAAACAAAACTTGCCTCACCCGGGTAATTTTGATATAATTAATACCATGTGCTTAATTTTGAGTTTTTTAAATATTAAAAAAAAAAAGAAAATGTGAAAGAAATTATTGTATTTTCATATCTAATAAATAAACAATTCAAACTGTTTAGTCAATTTAAATATGTTAATGCTGCTTATACAATGTTTTCCCGAATGTCTAATGTAAGAAAAAAAAAAATCCCCCTCTAGAAGTCACATCATGTCGGGGTAGTTACTACTGCAAATTTTATTTCTAATTTATATCATAGACTTTCTTTTTTTTTTTTTTTAAAAAAAAAGAAAAAGAAAAACAAAATAGAGGAGGATCTCAAATTTGCAATACATATATCTATTAACCTATTTTTTTTTAAAAAATAGAAATATAGAAAAAAAATGACTACGACTTCCCCTGTTCCTATTTTTATATTAATGGGTACCGCTGGATGCGGTAAAACAAGTGTTGCTTGTGAAATGCAAAAAATTTTAAACTGTCAATATCTTGAAGGTGACTCCTTTCATCCTCAAAGTAACGTAGATAAAATGGCAGCAGGTAAAATAACTTGTACAAAATTAACTTGCCATTTTTTTTTGAATCTAAATTCTATATTAGGACATCCTTTAAATGATGATGACCGTTGGCCCTGGTTACGTTCTATTCGTGACCATCTTATCGTGAAAGCTAAAGAAGTCTATGATAGTGACATAAATTTACCTAGTCGTGTGGTAATCGTCACCTGCTCTTCTCTCAAAAAAGTGTATCGAGATATCCTTCGTGAGGTTCCCTCAGAATTGGGCACTGTTATTTTTGTCTATCTTAAGGGCTCACCAGAGTTGTTATTACAACGTATTCAAGCTCGTACAGGTCACTTCATGCCTGCTTCTATGCTTAAATCACAGTTGGATACCTTAGAGGAACCTGATGAAAAGACTGAGAATGTGATTGTTGCTAGTATTGTTCCTTTGCCCCATGAGGAGGCTAAGAATATTATTGCCGTTGCTGTCGAAAGAGGTGCTTTACCTGTTTCAGTTCTTGTTGGACAGTAGATAATCTCATTTATATTGTCTGTGTGTATTCTGGTTGCCTCTTTTTTTTTTTTTTTTTTTTTTTTTTTTTTTTTTTTTTGCATATAAACTATTTATCATATTTATTAAAGAAAAACAGAAACATCAATATATTTTCTATTAGATTGCCTTTAGCCATTCTACAACTGCTGTACATATTCCATATATATTCGATGATACACGGTATTTAATTATTAAAAGATACTTGCAAATAATTAAAAGGAACGAAAGGGCTTCATATTAGAGATTTATTTATTTTTTGTAAACGCGTTAAACGATGCCAGAGGGATTATATGAACGATACTAATATACATATATTTATATATGTATGTGTATATAATTACAAATGTTATAGCCTATATATGAATAGACAGAAAAGAAAAGAAGAAAAAAAAAAGAGATAAAGAGAGAGAGAGGAATACATGAATCCTATTCTTGTTGTTGACTCTTAATTGCTGTTGTAAGGTCTATATGACTACCGGCATTACTTATCAAACTTCCTCGTTTCCAAGCTTTTTCAAGTCTTCCCATCTCCTTCTGAGTTTCTGGACTTGGTGGATTTGCTAAATCCACAAAATGCCAGTCTGTCCCTGCAAAGTTACTTGTTTTACCATGCACATCTTTCTCCAACTTCATTAATTCAGCCACAAATCCAATATTAGGTGAAATGTTTGGACGTGCTTTTACAATATGTCGGTAAGCTCGTTTCAACGTCCAATGTTCTGATAATACTAAATAAGCTAATATTGCTGCTGCTGATCTAGATTTCCCTGCTTTACAATGAACATAAATTGGTTCATGATGTTTTTTAGAGTCCTCTATATGTGTATACATATTTGTATATATTAAAAGGTTAAATTATTTTTTCTCTTTTTTGCTTCAAAAAAAAAAAAAAAGAAAAGATAGTAATTACCTATTACATGAACTGCTTTCTTTAAAGTACCTTGAACATTTTGCATTTCTACTGTATCTTGAGCAGCTATTTTAGTGTATATAAAATTTTCTTTTAATCCAGGTATATCGTCCTCGCATTCTTCTGCCATATTCAAAATGCGTCGTATAGATCTATCTCGAAGATCATTCAATTGATCATCTGTTGCTATTTCAGGCCCTAAATAGAGAAAATGGGGAATAATTTCTGAAACTACAAAGTCATACTCATTTTCTGTTTTAGGTGTAATAGTCAAATTATGATGATGATTACTGTCATTTAATCCATTTACTGCTATTAATAAAGCTGGAGTATTATCATTATTATCGTTAGCAGAGGAGAGTTGTTGTTCGAGTGGGGTATAAAACTTCTCCTCTTCTTCCTCTTCCTCTTCCTCTCCTTCTTCCTTTTTTTCTTCCTCTTTTTCTTTCTCAAGTGAATAACCAGAAGCAGCATGTGTTTGTAAGTTTTTATCGGCTTCATTAAGGCTAAAAGGAATCTTGTGGTGGTGGTGGTGGTGGTTGTATTCCACTTTCTGTGGCTGATATCTTCGCTGTTGTTGTTGTTGTTGTTGTTGTTGAGCCACACTTACTAAAGGTCTATTTTTAGAGCGCATACTTTTAGTATCCAAATTAAATAAGCTTGCTCGTCTTTGTACATTTTCTTGATTATAAGTGTGATTTGATGATGATAACGTGATTGCACTTCTAGAAATCATCGGTGTTGGCATTTTTAGTTTATTTGGTATTTGTTCTCTATTATGATGGAATTGAGCGATAGATGATGAAGACATGTCATTCATAGGATGACTGTAAGTAGGTATTGGTAAAGGTGGTGTATCTGATCTAATAAACTCTGACCCAATCAAATATTCATGTTTAGTATCCCAAGCTAAAAAACCGTTAAACCCGCCTTGAAGCCACCGCACTTTCATTGCATTCTTCTGAAGGACACCTATTAGTGTCCATGTCGCTGCCATCTTATCATTCATGTGATCGTCATAGATCACTATCTCTCCTGGCTGCAACTCCTTGTCATCATTATCGAGTTTATCTTGTTTCATCCAAGCCCTGAAACGTTCCATGCCTTCTGATGTTGTAATAAAACTTTCTAAATTGAAATTCGAAACCACACCTCGACGATACCGTTTAATGAGTAGTGTAGGGACACTAATATGTATTGAGTGACGAATACGTGATCTTTCATAAAGGTCAATTGATCGCATATCTATCATAAGAGGCTCAACTTGTGTATGCGAATCAATAAGCTCAGATAATTCTAATGGAGAGATGCTTTTAGTTTCCTTTACAGCTTTAGCTAATGAAGCTGAATTAGTGGCCATCATATGTGGGCTATTAATTACGTTTGCAGTTGTTAATGAGAGCGCTGCAGGTGATGTTCTTTTCGCTATTCTACCCCGATGATTTGTATTGCTAATTGCTAATTTGTCACTGATAGGTGAAGCCGTGGTGGCTGCTGGTAAGGATGCCGTTGAAGATGGTGAAGGTTCACCCTTTCTAAATGTTACTAATAATGGTTCTACGTCATTACTATTTTGTGTACACTTTTGTTGTTGATACTCATTGAATGCAGAGACAATATTTGAATAATTAATACCACCAGAATCTCTTCTTCTTTCAATGTCTGGTGATGAACGATAATAAAAACTAGAATTAATATTGCCAGAAGAACGTTTTCGTAAGGGTGTTGCAGGTGGTGGTGGTGGTGGTGGTGTAGTGGATCGTCTATTATTATTTAAACGTGATGTGTTCTTGTTGTCTGCTAAAGTTGTTTGTGAACTAAAGGCAACGGAAAGCTGATCCAAAAGACTATTATTAAATTCTGATTTTCTTGAATTGTTTGGTGATGAATTCATTTAGATTACTTTAAGGCGGTAAAACAAGAAAAAAAAAAATACAGAAACAGAAACAAAAACAAAATAAAATAATAAAAAAAAAAAAAAAAGCACAATTAAATTCTTATCTAATCACCAAGTCTTTTTTTTTTATTTTTTTTATTTTTTATTTTTTTTTATAAATGTATAAAATATATGCAAGTAAATTACATTTAATCTTAAAATAGCGCCACGCTTATAAGAAAAAATTTATTGCATTTTCGGAAAAAATTATGCCGCATATTTCGGGGAAAAAAAATATATATCCATTTATACATATTTATTACAGTTCAATATTTTGATCCCTTTTTTGATTATTATTTACACATGAGAATACGAGAAATAAGACATGTAGTTGCTAATGCAAAGTATTTTTTTTCTTGTTGTATAAATATCTATCAAATTTGTAATAAACTAAGACAGACTGTCCAAGATGTTATAGAAAATAGCTTGATCGTTCTCCCAGATCAACAAGAATGAGAGTGATAAATGTTCATGTCTGTAGAAGCTTTCGAAGGTTGATAAGGATACATAATTATTCATAGTAATGATATCTTCCTTTAGGAATACCTGATTGAAGAGCTAAAGACGAAGCAATAGACCTACTAATTGAAGTCCATTATTCTGTAGTAGCAACAACAAATGATGCAGTTAACATTGAATTGTGTGTATGCTTAAAGGAGAGACTGGACACAAAAAGTTGAGAAACAGATACGAATCCTCCACAAGGAGAGCATTTAGCATGAAAGGCAAGATATTTAATATACATTATTTAATAAACTTGTGTTGGCCATATCTGCATGAACAATTAGAGGAATTCTCTTGTAGAAAAAAAAACATTATTAGCATGTTCATTCAAAGACAATAAAAAATAAGATAAAATAAAGAGAGCAGATAATCGCCACATGACAAGCTTCCTACTATTGTTGATTGATCGATGAGTAGATGTGAATAGAGGCTGAGGGAGGATATCGTGAGGGGTCATTCTACTGCTGCCATCCAATAGGGTATTGCCATCGTTACTTGTCATAATTGTACGTAGAATAGGGTCTATTTGATGAAGAATGCTTCAAGATATAGTCTGTTCATTTGGGGCGTACTTTGGTAGCTGAGCTATTATCCAATCGATAAAGAGGTCCATACCATTTAGTCCTCATTGCTATTGTATGGCTTGAAAATAGAAGGTTAGATAACCTGATTACTCTTTTGAAAGAGACTATCCTATTTAGCCATATTTCTGCGTTGTATCGAATTAGATATCATTGACTTTAACGTACACATATTTTTTAAAAAAAAATATATTATAATAAATATCTATTGATAGTAGATGCTCGACTAACAATAATACTTGGATTGCTTTATATCATGAAGTGTAACTATCTGGTTGAAGGATAGATTGACAACTAGAATAAATTCTTTCACTAAAAAAAATGCTTAAAAAAATGCTTAAAAAATGCTTAAAAAATGCTTAAAAAAGAAAAGCCTACTACTAACTACATTTTCAAAAAGGAAAAATTCTTCAAGTACAAATGTATAAAATTTAATTAGTAATTCGTTGTATGTCTATACTAATGTACAATTAAATAATAATAATAAAAAAAATGATAATTATATGCTATACAAATACAAATGAATAGATGTTGAAAAAAAAATATTGTTATATGAGTAAAACTAATGCTTGAGCTTGGAAAAGAGGCTAGAAAGACCAGTTTTCTTGGCTGATTTAATACTATTTACTGAACTTGATTCTGAAATCGTATTCAAGTTTTTATGTACAGGTTTAAATAAGTTATGATATGTTGACTCTTCTAGGAGGCTACTATTATTTGAAGTAGAATTCATTTTCTTTATATGATGTTTCTCGTCTTCCTCGGTATTGTAGTAGCCAGAATCCATACGCCATACTTTGATAGCTCCGTGTAAGTCAGCAGAAATGATAATCTGACTATCAGGATAATCAAATCGATCTCTTTCTTCTTGATTTGCCTTTTCAAATTTATTTAATAAATATTTGTGCAATTCATTCATTTGCTGTTGATGTCTACTTTCAGATCGATCATCGTTATAGGAGGACGAAGTCTTACTCTTTCTGCTAAACGAAGTTTCATCGTCATCATATTTTAAACTACTATCATTATCTTCTTCTTGATTATTCATACATCGATGGGTATATACAGGTGTGTTATCGAAAATGATATCTCCACCAGCCTTGGCTAAAAGTTGTCTTGTTCTTGTAGGAGCAAAGATAGCTGAAGTTACAGTATGTTGATGAGCCATAAAATGCTCATTTCTGCTTCTCAATTTATCAATCATACGTCGCTCTCCTCTTTTTAACCAGCCTGTGATGCCACTAAATTCTTCTTCAGAAAATTTATTGCTCGTCTGCAATGCATTTTGTATAATTTGGTCACCTAAATGTCCTAAAGCAACTGCTGCTTTGATGCTACTGTCGTGCAAATATTGAAACGGAGAATAGTTCACTTGATCTGTACGCCATAGATAGACACAGCCATTTTCAGATCCACAAATAATGTAACGACCGTCGTCACTAAATGAGGCACGAATTTGCATAGATGAATTATCTATACCTTTATATTTATAAACAAAACTTTTATCCTTCATATTGATAATCCATACTCTTGAATCATTTGTTGTAACAAGGATTCTTTCTTCCCCTAAGGGCATTCCAGGCATAGGTTCAATACCTGTCACTTTCTTACCATGCTTATTACGAGCATGTTTGACCAAAACTTGTGTATTATATTTAAGTCCTTGTGTTTCATAAAAGAACACATCGCCCGAATTAGAACCTACACAAACTGTTCTACCATCTAACGTGAATGCAACTGCTGTTACAACATGTTCTGTAGGTACTTCATTCCAGAATGCTACCCGTTTTTCAGGAATACTCCAGATACGTATTTTACCATCAAATGATCCTGACAAAAAGAACCGATCATCCTAATAATACGAACATATAAAGTAAGTATATCTTTTTTTTTTTTTTTTTTTACTTCCTCTCTATCTATCATCATACCTTTGGATGAAATTGAACACTTGTAACGAGGTCTGAGTGCTTAAAAACACATAAACATACGTTTTGAGATATATGCCATAGTCTAATAAAATGTATTCTTAATAACTTTTTACAAAAAAAAAAACTCTTAGATAACCTACCTCACTGTTTTATCCATTGAACCTGAAATTAAGAAATTATTCTATAAATGATAATCAATATATAAAATGGTTTATAGCTACACATTTTATATAAATATCACTTACTCTCGACCAGCTTATATCCAAAATATCCGCAGTATGGCCAGTATAATTTCTTACAGGGGAATCGTGAAAGACTTTAATAGATGGTTCATGAGGCATCATATCCTGTACATCAATATTATTACTTCTTTTAAAATCTCTTAATACCTTCCAAACATGGATCACACAATTTTGTCCTGCTGTTGCCATATACTTTCCATCTTTACTAAACTGACATATCCAAACAGCATTTATCGGCCTTTTTTTATTCTCTACGACTTCATCCTTTATATCTATTGACGGTAAAATCACCTCACTGGTATCTGTAACTAATGTTTGAGCGAGTACAACTCGATTGAACTTTTTATTAGTTGTAATTTTTGTTTTGATCTATTTTTATTTTATTTTATTTTTTTTGAAGAAAAAGGAAAAAAAAAAAGTCAAACATTTGATCATCCCCCACACACATATTCTTAAACAAAACAAAAAAAGTTTATTTTTCGTTTTTTTTTTTTTACCTTCACATAGGATTTTCCATGTGGAGGTGTTTCAGTATTTGGTGGATGAAAATAATTATGAACTCCAACTAAAATTGAGCTTCTATTTGATTCATGACTTTTTCTATGTATTGAAGAGAAAGGAGAAGTAGCACTCAGATTTGTTTCTGACCAACTATGTACTCTAGAATGCCGTTTAAAACTATAAAGAACACAAAATATGAATGATATCTTTTCTTTTTTTTTTGTGTGTGTGTGTATCATTAACTGTTTATCTATATATACCTTGAAGATAAAGAATGATGGTCCATACTTCCATAACTATACTCTTCAAAACTTATGCTCTTCGTTCGTCGATGGGATGCATTAGACTTTACATTGGACGATGTTGCCAACGAATCTTGATTGTGGTCAGAACATGTAGATTCTTTATTTTGAAAAAATGAATTACGTTTATTATCTTGTCGTCTATACAAGCCAGTTTCATTATAGCGAGAGTCGTCTTTTTTGTTTTTTCGTTTTAAAAAATAAAAAATAAAAACAAAAAAAAAATAAAAAAGGAAAAGTTAGTGTTTGTAATTTATATTATAATGATCACTTTATAAATTACTTTTGACAGGTAATGGTGAATTTAATGCATCATAGAACTCACCGCCCGATTCAAGCTCGGACATGTCAAATAAAAATAGCAGAATAGAATAAGATAATCCGTTATAATTAATGCTAATAAAAAACGGTTCTTTTTTAAACAATATAAGAAAGAAAGAAGGTTGAAGAAAATAGATAAATAAATGAAAATATGGAAAAACTGTTTCGTATTACGGTTAAATATTTTTTTTATTATTTTTTTTTTTTTTTTTTTTTTTTTTTTTTTTTTTTTTTTAATACATGTATATATAATGAAATTTTAGATCTTTATGAGCACATTGTATCTAAATAATACTAGACTGCCCAGATCGACTCAATAAAATAATAGAAACTAAAAAAAAAATGCCTTGTAAAAGACAGAAGACACACGACACAAGATAAAAAAAAAATAAATAAATAAATAAATAATAAAAAAAAAAAAGAGAGAGAGAGAGAGAGGGGAGAAAGAAAAAAAAAAGGCAAAGGAAAGCTATACTAATGTTATTAAAAAAAAAAGAAGGATGATACATTCGCTTCCATTGTTAAACAAGCATCGCAGCAACTTGGAACTAGAACTTTTAATGAGAGAGAGGGGAGGGGAAAGCTTATCATGCAATATATAATTCTAATTCGTGGAGAATCATGCCTATTTCTGGCCAGAGGATAGTCCATGAGGAATCGTAATGGACGAGACAACTGGTTCAATAGATCAGTAACTAAGACAGGAGGATAGAAGTGACGAAGGCATGTGTAGATAACAAATTTGAATGCAATTTAATAAACAATTCTGTAGGATGATATACACATGATCGAGGTTCATCATCTGGTAGCCATTCAAGACGTTAACGGAGAACACGGCTTCGTTCAACAGATGACACAGATAGCTAAAGGATAAGATCTACACCTAGATTGGTGGTGGTGGTGGGGGTGGGGGTGCACGGAACGACAGACACTCAATAGTTTAGTACTAAGAAAAGTACGATGAAGTAGTAAGATAGTCTTCCAGAAACTGGTGTACGGAGAGCTTCATCTGATAGACTATTAGATCGAAGCAAAGCCTTGGCTTGAAGGATATAAATACGTTCACGTATGGTTGGATGTTTTAACAGATGTAGCATTATGTTTGTCGATATAACGAGAGGAAGCACTAGAGATTTGATAGATGCAAACCTTCTTGAGCAGTTTTAAGTTTATTAGCATAAATTTTTAGTAATATTTAATTAATGGCTATAGTCATATTCTAATTGTGGACGAATGATTTGAGCGTAGAGATGAGAGGCTAAAATTCGACTGAAGCCCTTAGGATTGACGCCAATTACAGATAGCTGGTTGAAGGTCTTGACGTCTTTGAAGAAAAAAACAAGCTGGAGACTATCTATGAATCTACCGATTTTAAATGAAACATCTAAATAAGAGAAACTTGATGCAGATGATATGATAGATAATAGGATGATTATCCAATATTACACATTTTTGTGGGTTCTATCGAAAGCTAACATCGTAGTTGTAGCGTTCATATTGTTGTAGGAGGTCAGACATTTGAGATTGGAGCGGAGGTGACTATATCATCGGCATACAATAAAAGTCGATACACATAGTAAGCATTTCCTTAAGTTTTAAGTAATTGTTGCACAACAAGTAAAATAAAAAAAAATTAGAAAGACCAATACAAAGTAGATGCAGTGTGCTTACATATAATAAAATTGATTAACATGAACAAAGCTCAATTACTCTTAATATCAGCTGCTTTTTTTTCTCGTTTTATTATATATCTACTATTCTATTTTAATGATTATACTATCAAAACAGACTTCATTAAACATTATCATTTTGATTTGAAAAATAGGTTAAATTGTTATTTCAGCACCGAACAAAATAAACCAAAAAAAAAAAAAAAAAAAAAAAAAAGGAACAAAAAGCAACCTTTTTTTTTATTTCTAGAACATTATTTATAATGGATACATCATCATTAGTTTATTTTGATCAACAAGTGGCAGGTCATGATCGATTACTTTTGATGCCAACAAATGATTTAATGGTCATCAAACCTTGTAAACAACGCGAACTTGATTTTTATCAGGATGCAACCCAATATCCTGACTTTCAGGATTTCATTCCTGAATGTTATGGTACATTGCGTGCTGCTACTGAAAAGGATTTAACATTGTTAGATAATCCTGAAATAGAAAAGAATGAAACAATTAAAATCGACATAAATCAAAACGAAGATCATATCCTTTTTTTTTTTTTCTATCTATTGAACTGAAATTCTACAAAGAGTTATGCTAATATTTATATTTCCCTAACTTTTCTTATTCTTTACAAAACCTTTGCATAGAGAATCTTTTACACGGATTTACCAGACCTTGTATTTTAGATTTAAAGATGGGGTCTTTATTATATGACAATGATGCAACAGAAGAAAAACGCAAACGGATGATATATCAGGCCGAAAATACAACGTCAGGCTCGTTAGGATTACGGATAAGCGGTATGAAGGTAATGATCGTAAGCACGATATTTAGACACTTAAATTAACCATGTTATACATGTGTGTAGGTTTACGATTCGATTGAAAGAAAATATGCAACTTACCAAAAAATCTATGGCCGGTCTCGTACAGCAGAAAATACGACAGAAGCCATACTAGCATATTTATTCCCTACTTCTACATATGGAAAAGATACTGAAGAGTACAGAACTTATATCGATGAAACTGACAGCGAAATGAGGATCAAAAGAGAGAAGATACCAGCTAAATATTCAAAATGGATTATTGAATGTTTCATAGATGTAATAAAGGAAATCAGAGATTTTATTATCGAACATCCTAATTTGAGATTAATTGGATCGTCTATTTTATTTGTTTATGAAGGAGATCGTGCAGCAGCAGACAAAACTTGGAAATATATGTTAGAGGAAGATAATAATGATGGTAAAAAAAGAGAAACAGGGGAAGAAGAAGAAGGAGAAGAAGAAGAGTTACCACCTAAAATGTGTGATTTAAGATTAATTGATTTTGCACACTCTGATTGGCATGCAGACGATAGAGAGAAACAAGATCCAAATTTAATTAAAGGATATGATAATATTATTGAAATCTTGGAAGAATGCTTAAATAGACAATATAAAGAAAAGCTATAATCCATAACAAAGAAGAAGTAAATTATATACTGTATTACTAAAATAAAAATAAAGTAAAAAAGTCGATGTAAGATAAGTTTTATTTTGTCTTTAAAATCCAAGTTATCTCTTCCTTCTTAAAACCTTATATCAGCGAATTATGAAAGCATCTAACAAAGAGCGTTTAGAGAGTAAGTATAATAAAGTCATTTCATGCAAGCCTATAATTTGATAACATATATCTTTTGTTTTTTTCTACATATATAATGCATAACAGAATTAACTAGCACAAAGAAGTATAAATGTATCCATCATAAACTAACATGATTTCTTTTTTTTTACTATACTATACTATACTATACTGTACTGTACTATACCGTACTGTTCTGTACTATACCGTTCTGTTCTGTACTATACTATACTATACTATAACAGTACAATCTTTGCTAATACAACTGTCTTCCTTTTTATATTAGAAGAATAAGTGTATTTTTAAATTGTTTGTACCTTATTCTATTTATATGTTCAATAATGTGGCGTGCATATCATTTTGTGTAACTGGAGGCTTATCCTTGTTACAACACTCGTCTTAATAATATGTGTATACAAACAATGAATTTTTTTTTTTATTTTCTTCCCTCTTCTCTTTCATTTACTTTTCTTTTCTTTAAGCTATACAACAAATGGAGCAAACACAAATATTAGAGCATCCCAATTATTTTACAGGAAATATAGATACAATCCCAATGGAAGGACAAATGTCTACTTTTGCAGCAGCAGCAGCGGCAGCAGCAGCAGCAGCAGCAGCAACAACAACAACAATAAATAATAATAATAATAATCAACAAGCTTATCATCAAACTACAGAACAACATCAACCTTATTTAATTTCACCTCCTATATATTCTTCTAATAACAATCAACAGTTTCAACAGCAACAACGACAGCAACAACAGGCAGCAGCTTATCCATCTATTAATTTTTACTATGAGATACCTCAAATACAACCTACAATAACAACTAGTACTGGTTTACTGAGTACGGCTACTAATAACACTACCTTAGCTATCAATCCTTCCATCTCTACTCCTATGTCTATATCTGCTATAAATACAACAACTAAATCTTCTATAGAAAATAATAAAAGATTATCGGCATCTATGATAGATGAAGATTATGTTCAAAATCTTACTAATGAGTTACAACATACAAAACAATTACTTAAACAGTACCAATTACGTACAGAACAATTAATGGAACTAGTAAAGAAGCAAACAGACAAAATTGCCGAATTACGTGAACAGATTGTTGTTACTAATAATATGAATGATAATAAATCAGTGACGGGAACTAGTACTCCACTGTCTTGATTTTTTTTTTCTTTTTCTTTTTTGTTTTTGTTTTTGATTTATTAAAATAGCGGATAAATAAATAGTAATAATGATAATAGTACTCGAGTTTATAATGGTTACCAATATGCTTATATAATATAGTATGAATATCAAGGGAAGAAAAATTAGGTCAAATGTGTACACCATCATAGTGTATTATTATAAATTTAAGCATAGAAAATATATAATGTACCATTGCGACTACATACACCCCTTCGAGTGAAATAAAATAAATAAATAAATAAATAAAAAAAAAAAAAAAAAAAAAAAAAAGGAAGATCACAATATAACTTTTTAATATCTGCATGTGCTTAAAATAGAAAATATTACAAGACGTTAGATATAGTTATTTACTGTAAATAGAAATGCAAACGCTACTATTAATAAATTATTTTTAGGAATTCCTTGATTTAATCTATTATTGAAGTCAATGGTATAAATCAAATAGAAATAATAATGGAAAGTTAATATAATCTTTTTTTTTTATATACATGTAGCATGAAGAATCATTAAATAATATCTACTAGTATTGATATAGTTCATGAGGAACTAATAATTACACAAATTATATATATGTTTTGGATGTATACTAATTTCTATAAAAAGCTCGAGTACAAAGGTATATGTATAAGATTCCAATTTTTTTTTTATAAAAAAAAAAAAAAAGATATGCCATAAAGCAAGCTAAATAAATCTAAAAATTATAAAGACTTGCTATTAGTTAGTAATGGCTGACCAGATGAGTTATAGACTGGTAGCTGATATCATTATTATAAGTATAAATAGTAAAGGTCAAGTGAATGGCAGTGATATTTTAAGCTTTTGTACACATAATGTATAATCATAAGAATATACATGATGACTATTTTTAATATCAGAATTAAGGAGTTGTATAAACATTAGTTATATGTATTGATTAAATTCAATATTGTTCTATAAGAATACATGAATCGGATCTAGGGAACACAAGGCGTGTATCGTTTGTATTCGTCAATCAACCAAGAAGAAGGAAGAGTATATCAAAGAAAATGAGAACGATATAGTCTGTGGTATTTAAATCTAAATTACAGAAGCTCAGGATGTGATGGAATTTTTACCTATCAAGTTAAATAGAAAATCATTCTCCAATTGTTGAATTTCTCAATTACCTTTACCGACCAACAAATGAGTATTATGCCCGTTCTTTAGATAACATCAAAGAAGCTTCAATGAAAGAAGTGTTTGCTACTATTTGAAAAAGACACAAATAATTCGACAAGAAGACTGTACTATCTTTCATTTAGCTGGTTCAATAACCAGGAACTTGATTTTTTTTTTTTACTTATGTGTGGAATAGCAGGAACGCAAGATCTTGAAAAGTGAAAATCAGGAAATAAGATTGCCTCTCTTGAGCATACAGGATGATAGATACTATGGTATTACTAAAATGGTATATAGATAAGTAATTTATGCTTAGATATCGTACCACTGCATCAAGTACAAATTAATAGTTTGAGAAAAAAAAAAGATGGCTTCATCATCATTAGATATCGTCGTAAATCGGACTCGACAAACGAAGACAACTTCATAAACTTATTGCAATGTTTGGTCAATAAACATTACCAACATTCTCTTGTTGACAAGATGTTTGTATCGCCATGTAGTAATTCACATTCTTCTTTCTCAGAAAGAGATTTGCTAAATCAAAATGAAGTATTTACTCAATTAGAAAACATCCATGAAAGCACTGAAGATAAACCAACAAAACCTTTAATGTATTTTCGGTTCAAACCAGCCTAGATCCAGCAAACAGTCCCTCAGGTAACAAACAATAACAACACCTAATAATTTAGGAACAATAAAAGCATAAAAATATGTTATTGACTTTTTTCCTTTTTTTTTATGAAACTAACTTCAAAAGATTAGAAAGAGATCAACTGTTAAATGATAAAGAAGTAACCAAGTTACTTGATTACTGAAACCTCATGCAAACAAAGGTCGAAATAATAGTGTCGTTTTCTTTGATCATACTAAGCCAACAAAAAGAGCGCAAAGGATTTGAAATACTGATAAAAGCTTTTCATTTATTTTAGCACTTCTTTTCTGTAAAATGTGTTCTTTCTTGAATGTTATCTCTCTTATATTTTAAAGGAGGAAAAAGGTCAGAATTGATTCGTACATTAGCAAGTTAAAAAGGATTTATTAGATCTTCGTCGAAGCAAATATTGATATTTTCAAAATTTTCTATTCTTTTTAAAACTTTTTCTACGTTCAACTGACCGTGTTTTAAACAACAGCAAAAATAAATAATACATGTTGCTATCTCCATTATAAATAAAAGCTTAACCAATACTTTCTTTTTTCTATTAAAAGCATGTACCAGTCCTTTTTTTTTTCTCTCCACAAATTTTAGTCAGTTTAATTTATTTTTCTTATGCCCTGTAGACTTATAAAATTTGTATTGATGACAAAAAGAAAAAAAATATAAAAACATATTTTTTTTTTCTTTTTTGAACGATCCAAAAATTTGTCTTTTAAACGCAAAACACTGTATTGAGTTATTGTTTCTCTATTTGAATATTCTTCAGCTAATCAGCAACGTCAATAATCATTTATACGTTAAAATAAACCACAGTTGCTTAGTTCATATTTTAACATGATATGTTTATTTGGAAAATGGTACCTCACAGAATAGATTCAAATAAATTAAATTTTGTTCAAATATGTATATCCATCTTTTTTTATTATTTATATAGGACGCGTAATCACAACATTTTTATTAGATAACGTATTATAATATAAAGCCTTTTTTTTTCATTTTCATTTTTATTAATATTTTATATAAAAAAAAGGATGCTTTTCTTAGTTCTCAAATCTCTTTAAAAGAGACTTGATACTAACAGGATTAACCACGAGAAGGTGAAAGCATATCTAATCCCAAAAATAAGTTTTCTATAAACCAATACCCATGTTGGGTCTTTTTTTTTCTTTTTCCTTCTTCAAGAAAGATAGACCAATTTCGACTAGTAGACACTTGGCAAAGTACCAACCTGACCCAAGCCTTGCTAGAAGAAAAAGATAGGATTCTTCACCCCATAACCCAATAAAAAAATACAGTTGGATGTAAGTTTCATTGGAAGCCGGGCTAAACATTCTGACCTGTAGCGTGGCGAAGTGGAAGGAATCCAGATATATGAAGTGCACGACTTGACTATTGTTTACCTGAGAATGTCCCTTCTTTGACCCCTAGCATCTACTTTTGACTTAACAGTAAATACAAGTTGGGATTCTTCAACTAAATAAATAGATGAAAAAACCACGGTCAGAAACGTAAGCTGTGCATCCTTATCTATTTTTATTTTATAAACAGCAACTAGATAAAAATAAAAAGAAGGAAAAACCTCCAAAAAGAAAAACAGAAAAACTAAACCTTGAGATAAGCCCTTTCAATGGTGCAGACAAAGAGTACGCTAATCTCCCTAAAAAAGGAACAGGTTTACAATTTCCAACCCCAAGTATCCTTTTTATTTCCCTCCTCCTTTGGAAATAAATCAAACTTGAGCAGTCAAAATTCGATAAGGTCCCATCAATTATCTAAGGTTGCAATAACCCAAGGTGAAGGCGGATATGCATGTAGTAACCAAAAGAGAGTCTAGGCCCTCTCCTTTAGCCATGTTATAAACGGACAGTTCTACAAACTCAAGTAAGCCAAGCTATGTGACTTGAGCACACTTCATAACCCTGACTTTCTCTAACTTTAGGAAAAAAAAAGAAAAAAAAAGGCAACATTTGTGAAGAAAAGAAAAGAAAAGAAAAGGAAAAAATAAAAAAGATAAGAAAAAGTACTTTTTTCTCCTTTTTTTTTTTAAGGAGAACGTATCAAACTTTACTTTATCTTTTTTTACACACGCATGTATAAATGTTGTTTACTCTTCAAATTAACAATGTAAACAAACGTATAAATTCCCTTTTTCCCCTTTCCTTTCCTTCACTTCCCTTTTCTTTGAATATTCTTTGAGGCTTCTGAATGTAAGGCATGAAATAGACGTGCATATTACAATTAAAAAGAAAAGAGATTTATCTTTGTTGTATCTTTTTTGTTGTTGTTGTTGCCTTCTTGTTGTAAAGTAAACAAATACTTGGCAAATAAGTGTAACACAATGTACTAAAAAAAAAATTCTTCTATCTTTTCCATTTCTATTTTGAAAGTCTGATCGATCTATTGTGTACAACAAGTTTCATATAAATGAATGAATCTATTTCTCCTTGCACACTACCAGGCAATTGTCTTTCCAACTTGGCTTTGACTAAATGAAAAAAATACATTTACTGTAATCATTATTCACGAGGTAAAGACTTATACAAGTTTTTTTTTTTTTTTTTTTTTTTTTTTTTTTTTGATAGCTGTCCAGCTCTTGAGCCCATGCGTTTAGTTCGTACACAAATTAAAAGGAACAATGTAGAACACAATGCATTATATTCTTTTTTTTTAAAAAAAAAGAGACCTTAAAGCATATAATTATAAATATTAGGTAATATAATAGAGTAGGGGAGATTATACAATAAAAAGATAATGTAAATGATATAACAGAGAGGAGGAAAAAAAAAAAGTAAAAAATAAAAGAAAAAGAGGAATAATATGTGTTATAGATATATATATTGTTTAACGACTAGGAGGTCTTCCCATTCTCTTACGAGCCTTTTCCTGAGGGTCGTTTAAGGCATACCAAATAATCGTAAACATACCAATCAAAGCACAAATACAACAGCCAGCCAAAGCACCTTTACCCTTTGCAGTGAATTTATCAGGAATCAAAGTAACTCCACTTGGAGCACCTGACAAATCAAGAGCCATCTTACCAGCAGCATTACCAACACCAGGGGTTCCACCAGCTTCGCAGATATCAATAAATGCTTGAGGTAAACTCATTCGCTTTTGAGCAACATCAGGAGCTTCAACAAAGACGACAGCCAAACCAGACTCAAGGTGCCAATCAATATGACAATGGAAAAACCAAACACCAGGATTATCTGCTCTGAAACGAAGGATTTTGTAACCACCTGCCTCAACTTTAATTGTATCGCGACGGAGAGGATTATCATTAAGCCATTGAACATTAGAACGATTACCATCAAAGACGCCATCACCACTAGCTACAACTTGAAAGACATGGCCATGAAGATGGAAAGGATGAGCGTTACTATCTAAATTGTTAAGTATAAGTTCAACCATATCTAAATGTTTCAAGATAAAGGCTCTTGTTTGAGGACCATAGACTTCTTCATTCATTGAATAATTGCCACTAGTGAACAAGGTATTGGTGGTAGGAACTAAAGGAGGAAGATAAGGAAGATCATTGAACATACCACGGTTCATACCATCTGTAGTTACATCAAAGTTGAAAGTGAGATTCACTTGATGATCGGGCTCAACAGCATTTTCTTTTTCAAGAGGAATAAGAGAGATATCTTCAAAGGTGCTATCCATACCAATATCATGATTAGGGGCAAAGTTTTGATGGCTTTGGTCATAATAAATTGGAGCAGTAGCATCTAAAAAAAAAAGGAGAGATGAATATTAATATCCTTTGTTAAAAGTATCAAGTAAAAAACTTTACTAGGATTCAAATCATCAGGAACAGTGTCAAACATGGTAGTATCCATATCACCGTGCATATAATAATTAAATTCTGTAGAGTTTTTAGCGGTAACAAGAACAGAGAAACGCTGAGCAGCAGTTAGATAAATACTATCAACAGTTTCACGTTCGGTGTAGACCTATATATGTATATATAAAGAGAGAGAGAGAAATAATACTGTTAATAAAATTTCAGAAGAACTCTTCATTATAAACTTTACGCCATCAACTTCAATAATATCCATACTATGTCCATCAATGGTATAATAAAATGTGGCAAAACCAGACATGTTGATGATACGAAGGCGATAGGTTTTACCAGGAATAAAGTTGAAGGTCACGTTAGCATTGTCATTGATAAGGGCAGAATCTATGAAAAAAAAAAAAAGCAAATAAGACCTTGAAAAAAAATTTTTTTTTATATATTTGTTCAGTATTACTTGGAACAGGCTCAGCGCCAGTTGGATTATAAACTGACATGAAAGTTTTCAAGTTATCATAACTTGTAGCATGATACCAATCTTTTAAGAAAAGTAGAAAGTTAGAGGAGGATAATCATTTAGATGGTATGTATTACCTGAAAGGGTGACAATGATTTCTTCATCATATTTATAGGGTTCTTCAGGGTTATGAAGGATAAGAGGGAAACGCAGACCATCCATATATTGACCCTATAGTGTTATAATGAATATTTAATATCTACATATATAAATATATACATATTACAAAAAAAAGAGCTTTACCATATAATGACTGTGGAACCAGTATGTACCATTTTGGGTGATATTAAACTCATACTTCAAGTCATAATTTGGAGGAATTGCACTATAAAAAGAAATAAAAAAAAATATTAAAAGAATACATACATAGTGCCGTAGAAAATTAACTTTTACCATTGAGTGACCATAACAGGGCCATCCATCCAGTTGGTTCCATTTTGAAACATACCATGAGCATGTAAAGAAGTGGGTTCATTTAAAGAGTTATGGACATTCATAACCAAAGTATCACCATAAGTAACATTAACAGGAGGAATACTGCATATTATTATTATTATTTAAAAAAAAAGTTTAACTTTAGAGTTATTGTTTTTTTTTCTAAAGCCTTATTATACTTACGGCCATTGACCGTTAATACCAACAACCTGACGGGGATACAGGTTATCAGGATTTACATTTACATATGTAATATTCATATCATAAACAACACGAGCGGCATATGCATAGCCTAATGAAGCAATGCTCGCTAATAATACAATAAATGCATGCATTTTTACTAGCCTTTTTTTTTGGAAAAAAAAAAAAGATAAAAAAGAAGGAAGTAAATAAATAGACCTATCTTTTTCTGATTTTCAACAGCGAAATTTGATATTTTTTTTATCTGATTTTATTCCTTACAATAACAAATAAATAAAAAAAAAATTACCCCAAATTGTTAATCAATAATGTTTTAGATCTGTATTTATCGAAATTATGTTTCTTAAAAAAATTTACAAAAAAAAAAAAACTGTAAAAATCAGATAAAAAAAATTCTTTATTAATCATCAGACTCGTGGAAGCAATCTCTATACTGCTTGAATACTTTTTCTTCTTATTCATTGGTATTGGAATATTCTATTAATGCTATAATAAAATGTAAAAAATAAAAATTTTATTTACAAGAAGCAGTAACCAGCATTCTTAGTCTTTCTATTGGATCTAAATATAAAAAACAAACTATTTGTTATGTTAAAATGAAACAAAAAAAAAAAAAAAAAAAAAAAAAAAAAAAAAAAAAAAAGACGCCTTATCAGTTTCCAAGTCAACCTATTTCATGGTCCTAATTTACACATATTCTTAATCTTTTCTCAAATACTATTTAAAGTTCCTACTTTCATACTCATCATCATTCTATATTTACTTATCTTTTTTTTATTTATTTATTTCCTACTTTATCTCCTTTTTTTCGCGATTAGTTGAAATAAAGAAGTAAAAAAAAAAAGGAATATTTATAATGTCACAAGATTTATTCAATGTTCCTATCTTTTTTATTGTATTCCGTGAGACATTCGAAGCTGCAATCATTGTCTCTGTCTTATTATCTTTTGTAAAGAAAGTGTTTGATCCTAACACTTTGTTGTATAAACGTTTGCGCAATCAAATTTGGATAGGAGCAGCGCTAGGTTTATTTTTGTGTTTATGCATTGGTGCAGCCTTTATTGCTGTTTGGTATACTGTTCTTACTGACCTTTGGGGTAATTCTGAAGATATTTGGGAAGGCGTCTTTTCTCTTATTGCTACTATTATGATTTCTATTATGGGTTTGGCTATGCTTCGTACTGAAAGGATGCAGGATAAATGGAAGCACAAATTAGCAAAGATTTTAGAAGAAAAGGGCCACAAAATTGGTTTTAAAGCTTGGATGCAAAAGTATTCCTTTTTTTTCCTTCCTTTTATTACCGTTTTGAGAGAAGGTCTTGAAGCTGTTGTATTTATTGGAGGTGTACGTTATTACTTACAAAAAAAAAAGTTTGTATTATTATATTATATTTATCTAATTTTTTATTTTATTTTTTCTCTAGGTCTCTCTTAATGTTGTTGCCAAATCTATTCCTATTGCTGCTATTATGGGCTTTCTTTGCGGCTGTGCTGTAGGCTATGCTATTTATCGTGGTGGTAGTCTTCTTCATTTAAGATGGTTCTTTATCTTTTCTACCATTATTTTGTATTTAGTCTCTGCTGGTTTAATGTCTAAAGCCGTTGGATACTTTGAACAAAATGCCTGGAATCAAGTTATTGGTGGTGAAACAGCCGAAGAAGGTGGTTCTGTTATTAATTATAAAGTTACAACCGCTGTTTGGCACGTTTCTTGGGGTGATCCTGAACAAAATACTGATGGCAATGGTGGCTGGTAAGAAGAATAGATGATACATATATATATAATGTAATATAATTCTTATTTATACCTTGTTTAGGCAAATTTTTAATGCTATTCTTGGTTGGAATAATACAGCTACCTATGGTACTATTATTAGTTACTGTCTCTATTGGATACTTATCTCACATGCCCTTATCTATATGTATTGGAAAGAAAGACGTAATGCGATAAATAAACTCCAAAATGGCGAATGGGAAGAAGATGCTGATGTTGCGCTTGAAAATGCAAAGAACTATATTGACAAACAAGGTCAAATTGTAGGAGAAACTGTGGTTACTAGAGATAATCCTATGACACCCACGTCAAGTCAAAAGTTTGAAAACACAATTGAACTTGATGAAATGATTGATAATCATTTACCACATTTAAAGTAAACTTTTGCCGCCTTATATCTCATTAAATCTCCTCTTTCATTATTATTCTTGTTTGTTTTATCCTATACACTACCTCTATCTTTGTTACAGTATTTACTAATATATCTTTTTTTTTTGTTAATCCCCTGATCTTACAAAATAATCACTTTATATCTGTCTTTTAATAAATCAACCTTAATAATACAATTGTTTCATTTCTTTGAATTTCAGTTATCAGTAATATTATAAAATTGTATTAGTTAATCTGATTATCTAATTTTCTCTCATAAATAAAAAGAAGAATAAATATGTATGCTTTGTTTCAATAATGCACGTAATAAAAAAACAACAACAACAACAACAACAAAAGACGCGGGCATATATCGTATTATGTATAAGATTGGCTGATATTATCAATCTTATTGTTTCTTGATTTCATCTTTTCTATTCTCCCCCCAAAAAAAAATCTGATAAAGATGTACCCGTGTAAAAAAAAAAAAATCTAATGATGCTTGCTGTACTATTCCAGGTAAAAATTTTCATTCTGAGTAGTTTTATTGTTGTATTTAATATATTATTTTTGCTTGATACAGGTTCATCATTATAAATTTCTTTTGAATAGATCTGCTGAAATTTAGTAACTACATTGTTTAAACTTTTGTTGTGTAACAATGGAAGTGTTATCTCCATGTCCTGATTATAGTCGCGTCTATCAACTTTATATGATGGTCATACAATAAAGATCATTCATCACTTTTAAACTCAACATTCTAGAAACAATCTAAGATGGATTCCTTGTATTTTGCGTTTAAAAGTATATCTTTTGAGTCCAGAATCGGTAGAAATACAAATAAATTAGATAAAAAAAAAGGAAATTTCACAATGAACGCTTGACTATTCTAGAACGCCATCAAAAATTGCTCATAATTTCATCGCTTTTTAAGATTTTATGTTGAGCTAAAAAATAAATAATATGACTATGGTCAATGATAATTTGTCAAATGTTTTTGTTTGGACTAACGAGAGGAGGTCAGATAAAAAAAAGGGGGTTTCAACATTTTTTTTTTTTTTTTTTTTTTTTTTTTTTTTTTTTTTTTTTTTTTTTTACTATACTCGCTTCACAAAACATTTAATGTCATTTAAGTTAGTGCTTAGACCAGCCCAATCAATTGCTACAAGTCGAATTTTTTTTTTGAAAATCTTTTTAAGCAGAATAAAAATTAGAAAACCAATACCTGTTGTTTTACCTATTATAAATTACAACACCTTGACTATGTTAGTTGATATTTATAGTCTATTTATGTTTTGAATGTCTCTGTAGTATATTTTTTCATTCGAATTGTAACAAAGATTCACAAATATAAGATGATATTTGACTTGTGAATTTAGTTACATTATGGTTAAACATGATCTTTATATCAAGAAAAGAAAATAATAGAAAATGAATAACCTAACATAATTAACCAGATATTTTGAAAGTTATTTGCGATCATGGCTACATTTCTCTTTTTTTTACCACCTTACTCGTTCTTTTTGCATCCCATTGAAGGGTGCCGGGCAAAAAAAAAAAAATGAAATGCGTAAAACACTCCTTCTAAAGAATGAGTTTGTTGCTGAAGCAGCCAAGGATTAAAGAGGCTAGATTCATTATTCTAAAAAGCTTTTTTCTCCTTAAATGTCTCAACATGGAAAGAACAATACATATAATAAATTTAGCTTTTATAATGTTTCAATGACTTTTTATTTTTATTATTATTACTATATTTTATATTTTATACGTTACATTGAGGGCGGAAATATTTATATGAATGGTGTAAAAGCTATAAATTTTTATTAATCTCAAAAAAACAGGTCTAATAATTTAAATACAATAAAAACTAAAATCTGATATAATAAAAAGCGTATATTTAACCTTATCTAAATAAAAATTGATCCTTTTTATTTAAATGAATACATTACCTTTAATCTGATAATAGATAACTGAAAAGATCAAGATATGGATCTGATAACAGTATAATTTTGGTGTATGTTTTACCGATTAAAATCAAGTAAGTTTGTTTCTATAGAACAATATAATGTATTGTTTCAATATTTTTTTTTAAACATATATGTATATATAAATATACATGTTTATATATTCAACAACAGCGATAATCAATTCATCGTGTATAATAATAGGGCTGAGTTTATGACCATGAATCAGAAGAAACTGATAAGATCAATTATTAAAAATATATATGATGATTACTAGTAGTATATATTTATACCTCTTTACATAATGTATGTCACCCTTTTTTTTTTTGTTGATTAATCCAGTATGTATATTGTAAGTTTTATTACATAGCCCCCCCCATGTTCGGATTTCTTTCTGAAATAGAAATTGATATAAGATTATATACATGTCTATAGAATATCACAGTCTCTTTTTTTTTGTTAATATATTGTATCTTTTTAGATAGTAATTTCCTTTAAAAAATACCTCCATATAAGCTCTGAGAATAAGTATGCATGCAGCAGAATGCATTGTATTAATATATTCGATACTGTTTTCTTTTTTACAGTCCATTAGTATACTTGAAATATACTAACTTAGTACAGAACTTTTAATAGATTATTATTTCATTGGATTAGATGCTTTGTTGCACAATAATTATGTAGATATGATGACATAATATCGTGTAACAATAATATATTATTCTCCCTTAATTTTTTGTTTTTTTATCTTTGTTGCAGTGATTCACAGCAAATTTATGTAGTTTTTTTTTTTTTTTTTTTTTTTTTTTTTTTTTTTTTTTCATTTTTATTATTTCTAACATCAAATTAAATATCCGCAATATTTCTAAATTTTGACAAATAATACAACACATTAAGATTTTTTTTTTGTTTTTGTCTATCAAATAATAGAAAGTGTAGTTTTCTATCTTCTTTAATTACTGCTTTTTTTTTTTAAAAAAAAAAAAAAAAAAAAACTAAACAAAACGAATCCATTTCGTAAGGAGAAGTAAGCTGTCCGACACATTATGGCTCACAAAAACAATGTCGAAATTGAAAATGAAATAAATCAACATGAAGAAACACATCGATTAATGACAGATCATTATCCGCATTATTATGGTTCAGTGATAAGCCCTATTACGTCTTCCTCCCCTCAAGGGCTACCTTATGAAGATATTTATTCAGAAGAAAGTAGTGAAGAATTTATATCTTCAGTAAATTTAGTGAATAGAAAAAAGAAGCGACTTCAAAAACATCATAGATCATCTAAACCAAAACTAGTGAAAAAGCTATCTTATATTGTAGGTAGCGCACGTCAGTCTGAAGAGGAAAGTGAATTGGGAGATATCATAGATATGCCTTCAAATGACCTTATTATACCCGAATTAGATCCAAAGTAAAGAAGGAAAAAAAAATGATAATGCTTTTTTTTTCTTTTTCAAGTAAAACTTACATATATGAATATATAGTGCCGATGAAGTGAAAAATTACATAATTCCTTCTAAGAGTAATTGGTTATCTTCAAAGAAGCATAGAGTAAACCTGAGTAACATTAGAGAGAATTATAGAAATGCACGTATTCGTGAAAGGTAGATAATAAAATATGCATTTTTTGGAAGAAAGAAAAAGAGAGCGAGGGGGCTTACATTGGATATAATAGAAATGGCAGACTACCATTAACTGGTATCAATAAACTTAAGGACATATATGAACATAAGACTTATGTTTCTAAAGCAAGAAAGATTCTATTTACAAATCGAAATATTATTTTATTTGTAAGCTAATATATATCCATGATCCAAGTCACATGGTTAATGATCAATCAATAGGTTTACATGGATTTGTTTGTTGACATATTATTATGTTTAGCGTATCTTGTTGAAATGAAACAAGAAGCAGACATAGATGCATATCCTTTTTGGATGTTTAAATGGAGATCATATGACATTTGGTAACAAAAAAAAAAGAAAAAGAAACCTTTATAGTATGTGTTTTATATGAATATTGAAATATCTCTGTAGGCTTCTTTGTTCACTACTGAGTTTATGGAATTTAGGTTCCTTTATTATGCGTATATTTTTAACGGGTCGGCCGTTTTCTGTCTTATTCAGTTTTAGATCCTTAATAGAAATCTTTACTACGTGTCCTTTTATCATTTCCATATTTATTAATAATGGACAGTTTCTCTATGGTAAAAAAAAAATATCTATTTTCTTACTTTAATATTTTATTAATATGCATCATAAAGTACCTTACTTTCTACGGAGCTGGGTTTTATTGTTGAGATTGAAGAGTGTCTTGAAAATCAAAACTAATTTATTGATAACAGGTATAAATACATACATGCCATACATACATCTACTTATACCTAAAAATAACGTATCTATGTAGATAAACAAATGGATCCATTAAAATCCAAATTAGTACATTTAATTGGTACTTTGGTAGTGTTGTTATACAATGGTATGTCTGCATTTCAATATTGTGAAGTAACCTTTGGTGCCATAAATTACTCCATTTTGGATTCATTATATGTTGTTATGGTTACTTTATCTACTGTGGGTTATGGAGGTAACTTGATTGAATTCTAAAATTCGTGTCCAATTAGACTAAAATGTATGTAAAATAAAAGATATAACACCACGTACTGAGGGAAGTAGAGTAGTTATGATGCTACTTATTGTTATCTCATTGGCTGTATTACCTACTTTGCTTGCAGATGTCTTGAATACTGTTAGGAAAAGAAATGGTAAAAAAAAAAGACAAACAAATGTGTAATATTTTTAACTCTTTTTTTCTTTTCTTTTGTCTCAACTTTTAGATTGGGGAGGTTACGTGTCTGAATCATACAAACCATTTATTTTATTAGTTGGATCATTTCGGTCTGAACAGGTTACAGAGATATTAGACGGGTTTTTAAATACTGTATGTAAGCAAAAGAGAAAGAGAGAAAAAAGGCTAGATTAATAGACTATGTATTTAATCTGGATTATTAGGAAAATCATGAACCAAATTTAAACGTCGTTTTTTTGGATATTAATCGACCCAATGAAGAACTGAAATTTTTGGAAAGAAATTCAATTTGGGGACATCGCATACAATTTATTCATGGTTCAGTTTTGGTAAAAGATAGAAAGAGAATATTAGATATAATGAATATAATATTTATACGCTAGTTTATATTATTAGGATGAACGAACTTTAAAGAGAGTGGTAGAATATATATACATGCATATACATATACATCTATTGATATTGATATTTTTATTTTTTTATTTTACAGCAGGCTAGATCAGCGACTGCTATTTTTACATTATCTGGTAATTATTATTTATTGAATGAAATAGGCAAATACCTGATAATAGTCATTTAGATCAGCATGCAATGGATCCTCATAAAGAAGATGAAAGAAATACAGTTCGTTTATGGGCTCTTCATTGCTATACAGTCAGCTATAACGTAAATATTTATACATATAACCTATCACCATCAACAGCTATCTATCAAAAGATGGCTAAAGAAATTATATGCGTACGTGAATTTAAACAATATCTGTTGGCCATGAATTGTCGATGTCGTGGTGCTTCAACACTCTTGACGAACTTATTACATCAAAGAAGGCCAATGGATTACTATCATGAGTCATGGCAAGCACAATATGGTAATAATGATGCAACTCAGTATTATCAAGCTAGATTTATATTAATATATATATATATATATATATATTTATACAGACGATGGTTCCTGTAATGAAATTTATATGGATAAACCACCTGCAGCACTTGTTAATTTATCATTTAAAGATGCAGCTTGGGTAATATATTAGTTTATTGTTATTATTATTGTCGTTATTATTTTAAATAATATAATATTAAATAGGTGTATATGATTTATTTTATTTTTTTTTAGGTTGTCTATTCTGAATGTCAAGTAGTACTATTTGGTATAAAGACACGATTAATTAACTGTGAACACAGAGAAATTCTTCTAAATCCGGAAAACAATTATGTTATCAAAGAAGATGATTTATGTGTATATATGTGTGAAAGCCCAAAAGAAGTTGAAGATATTAATAGTTTAGTAAATGTGTTATATATTCATATATATATACATATTTCTAATAATTACGTTAGAGTTATACTTATGTTAGAGAAAAGATTGAGGAAATGAAACTTAGACGACAACAGAACCTGAATTTAAAATTATCAACAAAGACAGTAGGAAATGATACATTAAAAGCCTCTAGGCCATCGTCTCTCCGGAATGAAATATTCAGTCATATAAAGTATAATACAAAGCAAGATAAAGTAAAGCAGGATCAATATTCATCTCAACATATGTCTGCTAATCATAATTTGGAACAAATTATTACTCAACCTGAAATATCTCAAAACGATAACGTCTTGTATCCTCCTCCATCTACACCTTCTTCCCCTACCTTCAAACATAATTCAAATATTAGCGGTCTTCATCCTTCTACATCTAGTGAATCAACTCGATCTGGAACTTCATCTTCCTATGGTCATCACAGTATGTTTCCACCTCAACAATTTGAATTATCACAATTGCCTACACCTCGTTTAGCTTTATTGACAGGAAGTAGGAAATTAATTAGTCGAATAGGGCAACTATCATCAGTAGAAACTACTTCCGAGGATGATATAGGGGATATACCAACATGTTATCTATTAAAGAAGCCCGCAACATTACGTGAATTAACAATAGAATCAGCAGAAGGCATGTGTGGGCATATTCTGGTTTGTATGCATCATAAAGTATCCAATATTTTTAAATTTATATATAACCTTCGGTAAGATTATACTTGTTTTCTATTATTGAATATATATGTAACATAATATTTATTTATATGATGTGTAGATCACCACAATTAAGACCCAATGAATTGCAAGATATTATATTTTTATGTACCTCATTACCAAGTTATAAGACATTTGAATTAGTTTGCCGTTTTCCAAAAGTCTATTTTATGCTTGTAAAGTATATCAAATCTATCTATTATTATTTGTTCTAATAATAAAATCAATTCATAATTTTGTTTACAGGGAAATTGTCAATATCCTGAAGACTTGGTAAAAGCAGGAGTCAAAAGAGCAAAACAAGTAGTAGTTATGAGGTACTATTAGTAAAGATGATTATACTTATTAAGTTACTTATTTATTTTTTTTCTATCAAGTGAAAGAGAATGTCTAGACCAATATCAACGAAGTACAGATAGCCCTGCTATGTAAATATCATATTTTGAATTGGTTTACATTATTAAAATATCTAATCATATATCAATATTAGTATGACAAGTCATTTATTAGATTTGCTTTTACAAGATAAACCACAAGATGCCTCTCGAATTGTGAATCTTGGTAAAATATATACATGCATATATTTATATTATATACAATTATTAATTTTTTTTTTTTTTTTTTTTTTTTTTTTTTTTTTTTTTTTTTTTTTTTTTTTTTTGCTCTTCAAGTTGAGAAATCTAATATTAGATTTATGCATTTACTACAAGGTAAAGATGTAGCAGAAGAAGTAGATGTATTTTATACTCCAGCATATGCAGCTGGTAATGTTGTGGTGGATAGCTTGCTAAGTAATGTTTTACTAAGTCAAACATATTACAAGCCTGATATTGTCTCTGTCATAAAAGCACTTTGTGGTATGCCTGGACCATTGTATGACAAAGACACAGCTCATACTTTGACATGTGGCGGAAGAATCAAATCGCCAGTTTCACCCTATTCTCGACATTTGACTCTTGTTACTATGCCGCCCTGTTTCATTGGCAAAAGTTTTGCATTTTTATTCGAAAATCTCGTGATTGATCATGAAGTACTACCTTTAGGATTACTACGTGCTCCAGATGAAAATATGGGAAATGAGTTATCTTTTGTCTATACAAATCCAGTTCCCTCTTTAATCATGAAAAAATCCGACAAAATTTATTTATTAGCTTCCCCTGGTTGGACTTATTTTCCCAAATAATATGGGGAAGGAGGTTTTTTTTTCCTTTTCTTTTTGTACATAAAGTGTTTTATTTTATATAAAATAGACGTAATATTTATAAAACTAATTTTGTTATAAATTCTTTGGTAATTTATCTTTATTATAAACTCCTTACTGTCCTACCTCCCAAACCTAATACTTGTATTCATTATAATTGCATTTAATTGTACAAAAAAAAAAAAAAAAAAAAAAAAAAAAAAAAAAAAAAAAAAGCTTTTATCCTCGCCTGACTATTATTTTTTTATAATTCAGCCTTTGCATACTGAGTCTAATTCTGCTCAATAATTTTACCTAAATAAAAGAACCAAGAGATACTTAGAACTGACTATAAAAGACACAAGTCACTGTACAAACAGGAATCACTTAAATACGAATAGTCGCAGATTATAGTTGGCATCTTTAGATAAGCATTAGTTTGATATTGAAGAACTCTTGACTTTTATTCATACTAACTAGAAGTAGGAAATAAAATTCGGTATTTCTAAATCAAACAAAAAAAAAAGAACAAATTTTGTTGGTTTTAAGAGCAAAAACTTTGTTAGGTTATTTACAAAAGAGACTGAATACATGAATCCAAGATAATTTTCAGACGAAATCCATCTTTATGCAATTTCTAGAAAATCTAGCCTAATCATTATTAATAAGCTAAGCTATGGCACTTGGGAGAAGTTGATCTTTTCATTTAGGTGTGCTTTTTTGTTTGTTTATTATATATAATTTAATTAGGTTTTAGAATATAATAGTAGCAGAAAACATTCTTTACTTGGTAATTAATTATATTTGAATACGCCTCTTCTCAGTTTTCATATTTTTATTCTTATTTTATATAGTTATTTTTTTTCTTACATACAAGTTACTCATTCAAGATGCTTCTTTACATAGACACATAGCAAATAGATACATACTACTCAGATAGTACCTAATAAGATAGTGTTGAAATTAGTCTTTTCATTTCGATCTAAACTTAAAAGTAAAGAATATTACGCAGAGTGTATATAGGCTTCTTTTAAATCACGTATATTATCATTTATTAAAGAACAACTGCTAGTTTATGAGTAATAAAATCAGCGTTTAATTTCATGGTCAACAATTTTTGGGTTTAATTTTATTTGTAGATATTGCAATCATCAACATCTCTAATACAAGTATGCTATTATTTATATGTATATTAAAATGTAAGGATTGCAAAAGTGATATTATGATCAAGGTTCGTGCAATAATAGCTAATTATAACAGTTTTCCGATGCTAAGATCTGAGCAAGAGATACTAGCTTTTGTATCGAGCATTATTGCGTAAAACTAAAATACTATGATATGCTAAAAGAAAACAATTTGCATAAACAAACACTAACTTACTTTACTAGTAAATATAGAAAAAATGATTTTAAAATACTTACAATTTATTGCATATTATGAGTATATAATATTTATTCTATTAAATATTTATGCCATTATTATTATTAATATTATTATAGGTAACAAAATAATAAAAGATATATTTATGTAGGGAAAGTCTATAATCTGATTTTGGTTTTAAAGTTTTGCTGAAATGACTATAGGAATTTCGAAGAAAGAATGAATTTCATTTACTAACTTATCTACTTGCTTTATTGTATTATGGCCATGAAGACATATCCTCACTCTTTCTTTTCCAATAGGTACTGTGGGTGAACAGATGGGTTTCACTAAAAACCCCTTATTATTCAAATAGCTCGCTAATGCTCTAACTGATTCATTTCCGTTCAAAACAACTCCTTGAATAGGACTTGAAGAAGGTAATAATGTTCCTTGTGGTAACTGAATTCTATTTCTAAATCTCTGAGTAAGTGTATGTACATGTTTCTGAATCTAATAATAAAATTAATATATAAAATTTTGCCTATATATTCTTAATATAATATACATACTGGTATCGTTTCTCCTTTTTCAAGTAGATCATAAGCACATTTAATAGAAGCTAAAGAGCTAAAAGACATAAATGTAGAATAAATAAGTGGTCGAGCATAGTTAATCAAATACTGGCGAAGGGTTTCAGATCCTAGTATGACAGCTAAACACACACACACACACACGTACTATCAGTTGAGTTATTTTTTTTTCTTCTTTTTTTTTTTTTTCTTTTTTTATTTTTTCAACTTACCACCATTACTTGCTAATGCTTTACCAAAAGTATGAAGACGAGCAAATATTTCATCTTCCAAATTTAATTGAGAAACTATACCTCTACCATGATCTCCATAAACACCCGTACTGTGTGCCTAAATAATCATATTCATTTTTAATAAGATTATTATTATTTTTTTTTTTTTTGCCCCATTTACCTCGTCTACAATAAGATAACCGTTTTCTTTATTCGGCCAATATCTTTTCAAGATAGTTACTAATTCTTTTAATGGAGCAATATCACCATCCATAGAATATACAGTTTCTACTGCTACAAATACATTTTTTCTGGGATATTGTTCACTAACTTCCTTTATGATTCGTTCAAAATCTTGTACGTTTGAATGTTGAAAAGAGATACATTTCCCTGCACGTGATGTGCGCATTCCTTCATGAACACTAGCATGTATCAATTCGTCATAAATAATCACATCCCCTGATTGAGGCACCGTGCTAAATAAGGCTGCATTGGCATCAAATCCCGAATTAAATATTAATGCTGAAGAGCTGCCATGGAAATTAGCAATCTGTCTTTCTAAAGCTTCACAATATGCTGAGTTCCCATCCAAAAGACGAGATCCTGTCGAACCTAACATTGTAGGTAACTCATTCAACTCTCTGAGATAAGCTGTTCGAAACGATGTTGTTATATTATGAGATAGACCTAAAAAGTCATTAGAAGAAAAGTCTATAGCTTCAGGTGGATTGACAACTAATCTACGAATTTTTGATATTTGGCGTCTTTTATGTAAAGCTGCTTCTAGTTGTATCTCAAGTGTCATTCTTATAAAAAAAAAAAAAAAAAAAAAAAATTAATAAATAAATAAAAATACCTGGGTAACATATTAAAATGTCGAGTGGTCATTCATTTTAATATCCGTCCCTTATTAAAAAAATAAAGTAGAAGAAAGATGTGGCTATAATTCTTATTATAACAAGTACAAACTTAATCCCTTTTTTGTAAGGTCCTAAACATGTCCTCTAAATTCTATGGTCAACTAGTTCTAAATATTGTAATCATTGAACATGGTTATTTCTTTGTCTATAACATATTATAAATTCTACTTGGTCAAGACTTTAAGCAAGTTCTATTATCCTGTATATAAGTGGAAACCAATCCATACAAATAAATACAGTAGGGATCTCGATAATTTTATATTTGTTTATTTATTTACATTTATCAGATGATTCAAGTGTTTCATACTATTTGAGAGGGAACAAAAGAGAAAATATACCTAAAATTGGATATATATTTATATAAATAGCAGGTAGAAAGTATCTATTTATTTACTTTGTTTTGTTCTTTCCTCCTCCTCTAATAATGATAAGCACTATTACTTCTACTACTTTGACATTTAAATCAAGTCCAGAACCTTTATTATCTTATATGACCTCTAATATTGATCATCTTATTGAATGCTCAAAAGAACGCATATACTATCAACATATGCTATTGCCTGAATTGCCTATATTCATAAAGATAATTTATAGGAAATGTCATATTACTCCCACTGTCTTGGTCATTGGTCTAATGTATCTTGAACGTCTTAAGAAGAATTTACCGGATCAAGCCCAGGGAGGTATAATTATTAATTACATGAATACATATAAATATATACATATTTTTATATATATATGTCCTTATTATTTAACTCTTATGTACAAAATAGAGTATGATACGCCTTACAAATTATTTTTAGCTGCTATGATAGTAGCTACTAAATATGTTGAAGATGATGCTTCCTATACACTATCTATCTACAGGATTGTGCTTCCTCTTTACACCTATCAACAATTAAACGAAATGGAACGTAGTTTCTTAGATGTTTTAAAAGTAAAATATACATACACACACATATATATATATATACATACATTATGATTAATCATATATGTATATAGTTTGATTTATATATAGATATCTTAGAAATGGATAAGTTCGTTTATAAACATCAAGATATTCTCGAACTTGAGCTTTCAAGGATGACTTGATTACACATACTATTCTCCCCCCCCCTCCTTTTTTTTTCAGGGGAAAAATATATGTTTTGTGTAAAACACTACACGGAAGAAAATTTTGTTTCCTAGACAACAGAAATGCGATTACTATGTCATATATAGTATTCATGTATATATAAATATTTATATATTAAACTTTTTTTTGTATATAGGTATATATACATATTTATTTAGTAATAATATAATAAAAAAAATTATACCAGACTATATTATTTCATTTATTTGAAATTAAGCACTATCTTGAATATTTCCTTCTACTTTGTACATTCTACATTTATTATTGTTTCATAAAAACATATGTAAGCACGGTAACAAACAAAAAGTCGTAAACAGCAATAACAGCAACAAAAAAGCTTTTACTATGAAATAGTTTAACATAATTGGACTATTAGAAACATTAAGAGGAATGACAATGATGATAAAAGGAAAAGGGCCATTAGATGAATTATCTAGTAGTAACAAGTGTTAAGCTTCTCTCTTTTTTTTAAAAAAATAAAATAAAATAAAATAAACATTGTACAAGGAAATAGTTATACTGATGCGTTATTAAACGAAGAATAAACCCCCAGTTTCTACTTTACTTTTTCTTTTCCTTAGATCTTTGATAATAAAAGACGCACACAATTGTTTCCTCAAACTTGCGTTGCCATCGACTTTTTTTTTAAAAAAAAAAAGATCACAAGTCACAGTATATCAGTCTTTATTGTATTCTTTATCGCTTTCTAACGACCTGCTTACGACTGATTATGTGAACCTTAACTTAAATTGTTCGAGTTTATACTCCAAAAATAATCCATCAAATAATTGAGATAGAAACCCTTACTCAATACAGTTTTAAAGTTATTGAACACAAAATGTAAAAAAAAAAAAAAAAAAAAAAAAAAAAAAATGTCTATGAAATAATAATTAACCGAGCTAAAAAGAACTAAAAACTTTACTTTACTTTAAAATTTTATGTTATTTAATGAGTTATGATATGAACTAATACTTTTCTTAGATACAATTGTAAACTACTATGATCATATACTTTAAGATATGAAGCTTATAATTGCAATTACAAATAAAGCTCTTCCCTCCCCTCCCCCACTTCTTGAATATAAGTAATGAATTGTAATAGTTGGTCATGAATATAATAAAAGTATGAAACTGTTTGTGTTGTACTCAAATAATATGTATTTAAATGCCTCTATTTAGACTATTTCTATTTTATATATTCAACTGTATTAATATCAAAATAAATATGCTTTTTATTATTTTACATATATGAAAAAAAAGCATATTTGAGTCATGGCGAATATGCACTATATATATATATATATATATATATATATATATATATATAAAATCTTAACTGGATGACTACGAAGACTATTCTTGTTTGATACAATTGTTATAATATCCAAAAAATACAATAATCTTCTTCGCTACAAGGGGGGGGCGGAAAATGTCTCAGTATAGTATAAGTTTATTATTAATAACCATCATCACTATTATGATAATATCTCCGTTTTTATATAATGACATATGAATATCTGTTGATAATATCTGTAAGTTGTAAATATACCTGAATTTCATTATTTTGGTCAGATTACAATAGTAGATCAACAAAAGAAAAAAATAAAATGAAATAAGCTTATATGTCTTTAATATATTTGAAACGTATGTATATATATATATATATATATATATACATATTGTTAATATACGAGTAATGTATGATATATACAATTAATTCATTTATTAAGATAATTATATAACGTACTTTTATATATATATATATAAAAATAAGAGGGTATAAATATAAATATATACATATAAATGCATATGACATTTAAGCATACACATCAACACCAGCCCAGTTAGCATTAGCCATTGGACATTGATCTACAGATCCCGAATTATTACCCCACCATTTAGGGAACTTAATTTCTGAATTTTGAAATGCGAAAAAGAGAATAATGGCACAGATAGCGACACCTGAATCAAGAGCAGCGGAGAGAACATAGTTGTACTTTTTCCACCAAGCATTCGCTCTTCGTTTAACGACATAATTAAAGATAAAGCCTATAAAGATCCAACAGGGGGCAACGTTAGTAGGAGCAGGAGGATAAGGAGTGGGTCCGAGCATGAATGCAGGAATGTTCACGTTTGCAAGCCATGTCTTTGGGAACTTTTTAGCCAACAGATAAAATGGGATTGGAAGAAGAAATCCGCCAAGCAAGAAATAAGGAATACCTGCATAAAGTGATCCAGGGGCAAAGAATTTACCAGGACCAATTAAACCCCAGATGACAGAGGATGCACCAAATAAACTTGCATTAGGACAAGTCCAAGGGTAAGCAGCCTTCGTACAAATGTCTGGAATAGAGTTTAATAAATAATTAGTTGTACCTAAAGAGATAAATGAAGCAATGATGGTGCCCACAATCTGGAATATAAACATCTTGCGAGGGGGGATCTTCATGTAATGACCAAGTTTTAAATCTTGTGCAAAGAGTAATGCTTGGCGAACAGTAATATATCCGTATGTCTTGAAAATCATATTGCCAATAGGATGTCCTGGACGAAGGGCACCATAGACCCATTCAGTAATCATAGAGATCGTGGGTGATTGTGATGTAATAGCAGTAATGATACCAAGAGGTAAGAGCCAGGCAAATGCAAGTGCAATAGCAATAATCAAGGCCCACCAAGGCATATCAGAAGGCCAGACAGCGATGGTAGCAAAGCTAGCACCAAGTGAACAAATAAACAAGATCAAATACCAAAAGTTAGGGACTTCCTTATAACGATCCATTAACTTCGCATGAATGTCATCATCGTCTTGACGAGCACTCTTTAAACGATTCCAAATATCTTTACCGTTATAGAGAATTGTATGAGTAATCATGGCACCTAAAGCTGCTAAACCTTGGCCATAACAGACAGCAAAGAAACCAGTGATGCGGACAGGAGAATAATCAGCGTAAGCTTGGTCGTCAAGATAATTATCAGGAGTGATAACACGAGTACGGTTAAAAGGATTACCCCAGATATCATATTGATGCGTATTATATAAGGGGAACTTTTTGCTCTCCCAAGTATTTGTATAATAAATAATAGGAATTAAGATCCAAATAAAGAACACGAATCCAGCAAACATGTTTGCTTGAACGGCCCAAGGGATAGCAAGGGGGCTTGCGTACCATGCAGTAAGCTGACTCCAATCAAGAGTAAAGCTACCAATACCAAGACCATTGATACCACTACCAATCTGAGAGACGAGGACACTATCAGGTTTAATCCAACAGATCCAAGAGATAGAAGTTAAAATAGGGATAATGTAGCCAGGGAAGAAATACCAACAGAATGAGCCAATAAAGGCGATAACAAAGAATTTATTACGAGACATTCTTAAGCCAGGTGTAGTAGCTTCAGCATCTTTAACTTCCTTGGGCACTTCTCGATGTAATGTATGGAAGAGAGTAGCGTTTACCAAGTTAATAGGCCATACCATAGCAGCTGGACGAACAAGGAAACGACGTAAGATACCTGCAAAACCAAAACCTAAGAGACTTGTCGTTAACACTAACAAGATACCACCACCAAAGCCCCAATCTTGATTATAATATAATTTTTGCACAACAATAATATCAATAGCATCAAATGAGGTAGCAGCTGCATTTGCCATAACTGTAATTAATACATGTTCTTTAACATTAAACGGACCAGGATTTAAGTTAAAACTTAAAAAACGACCAAGACGGAACTCATGATTAGGAAGAAATCGTGCAAATAATCGACCAGCTGGAAATGCAAGCAATTGAACAACAATGACCTTAATTGTTAAAGGATTTGCACGAAACCAGAAAAACTAATAACAATGTGTTAAATATAATATATAAATATGTATATATAGTCAATCATTACAAACATACCTGGTTCGAAAATGAAATTGCAGCAGAAAAAACAATACCCCAAAACCATGCTCTAAATGTTGCTGTTGGTAAAGTAGGATCATCTGTAGGTGATATACTTGCTCTTACATCTTCTATAGGTGAATCTTCAAGAGGATCGATTTCATGAATAATCGCTTTTTCGAGTGATGGAGAAGAGGAGCTAACATTATCATTGCCGTTGATCTCTTCTTTTGTTTCATAAACAGAGATGGATTTTTTCTCCAAGTCCATTATATTATTAAGTAATATTGTAAAAGTAAAATACTAATAAGAAATCACACACACAAAGAAAGGAAAAAAAATAAAGTTGTGCACACATTAAAAAAATAAGGGTCCATTATATATGCTTCAGGTGCGGATCAAAAAAAAAAAAAAAAAAAAAAAAAAAAAGCTGTGTTGTAAGCATAGTAACATATTAGCCAATCAAAATCAACTTAATGTCAACTTTTTAGCAAAGCACGCCATCATTCTCGAATAAGCATCGTCTAATTTAAACAAAAAAATTTTTTTGGGTTATTTTTATTATTATCATTTATAATGAAAATCTTTTTTTTTTTTTACCAGGTAAACAATACGAATATGAATATATCATACATGTCTTTTTTTTTATTGTTGTTATTGTTATTGTATTTCTCTACGTAATACAAATATAAATCTTATTGTTTTCTTCTTAATTATAACGAATTTAACATTATCGGGCTTATAATTAAAAAAAAATGAGCAGTTGTCATTTTCAAAAGAGTGCATTAGTTGTCACGTAATAATTTTTTTTTTCTATAGAGTTCGTGTTGATTTGTCATCATAAAATTATGTCAATTGTTATAAATTATGATCATATTTTAGATAAATGAATAAATACTCGTTTATTTCTGATGAGCATTATCAGTCAACAAATAAATACTCCTTCCCAACTATTTATACTATTCTTTATTAACACAGTAGATGGGCCACATTGACTAATCCTTATGTGTGTGTGTGTGTGTGTGTGTATGTTAATCCTATCATTATATTAACTATGACTAGTAATTTCTAGTCATAATAAACGGAATATATGCCATTGTCTGATCTCCCTCTTTTTTTACTGGTAATTGTGGCTCAGATATAATTTTTCTTTTAAGCAAAAACTTTAAATATTACGATTAAATTCTAATTTATTTTTGTGTAATTTTTTTTTTTTTTTTTTTTTTTTTTTTTTGGCAGTAAGCATGTAACCATGAAATATGCTGTGTTGCCCGAGCCAGTTATGAAGTAGTTATAAGAATAAAAAGCTTCCCAAAAGACAAGAGGCCAGAATAAACAGAGAAACTCATCCTGTTACTTGGGTAACCAATTCAACAGCTTGCAATGAGGGGTTAGAAATTTATCATGAAAATCATGATTCAACTCATGTAAAATAGCGCAAAGAATAGGCCAGAGAATAAACCAGCTAAGGCAATCAGAGTTATGACGGTGTTTACGCCGTGGAAGCATATTGAGAAGAAACGATATTGAGTCATCAATTGTGAGAGGGAAATACAAGCATGATGATGACTCCAGTTTTTTGAATTGAGTCAACGAAACATTCCTTTAGTTTACTACCAAGTAGCCAACTGAGGCATCAACGGAAGACTTGATTTCTTTTCGTATTCGTCATAGGCAGCCGAAGGATTGGATCGACGATCATATTAGGACGACATACACGAAGAAGTTTGGAATTTAAGTCCTGACAGAGGTGGTCATATTGGAATTTTATTATACGATGTGTTGTTACATGTTGTACTTAGGCTTTATTTTATACAGTATTTCTAATTTAAGGAAGAAAAAAAAAAGTCTTTATAAATGTATATATTTAACTAGCTTTAATATGTGATATGTAGTTTTTATATGAGTGAAATATTAGATTGGAAGCTGGTAAGCATATATTTGTTAAGAAATCATTATTGATCTTAACAAATGTTTCATATATATCTTGTGATAGTCCATTTAAGTTCTATTATTGCTTCATTTACTACATGGATATTTAATAAATAGATTCATCTACACTACCAGGTTCTATTACATAAATGAATTAGTTTAGATTGATGAAAAGGAATGATCTACATTGGACAAGGAGAAAATAAGATTTTTTACTTATTTATTTGTTCATGTTATTGAATATATAATATTCAAACATTAGAAGAGATAATAATAATGATATATATTTATATACTAAAAAAAAAAAAAAATGAATCGATTAAAGAAAAGAGGGAAAAAAAATTGTATTATACATAGAATATGTGTATATACGTTTATAATTATATGTTAGAGTATCAAATTATATTATAAAACAAGTCCAATAGCACAAGCAACAAGGGTTAAAGTGGTAGTAATGGAAATAAAGTTACTTGTTGTAGCACTTGACTCTACAACATTATCATTTTTCTTGTTCACATCTGTCTTCTTATCATTAATAGGTTCCTTTTCATAATTGTTGGGATCCCAGATATTGCTGTTATGATAAGCTTCTAAAGGTGTTACATCGTCAATATCAGTAAAATTCAATTGTTCTTGAACGGCAAGAGATCTAATTTGAACCCATTCTGAGACACCCATGCTTTCACCATCTGTAGTGTTCATGTTATTTGCAAAGTTCCAGATGGTCCATTGAGGTCGAATACCTTCAGATTTATCTTCAATAGACATATCCCATTCAACATCTTCTTGAAGCATTTGTTTCCAAGCTGCAAGACGAGGGTTAATGACACTAGGTTTAAAGAAACGTTTCACGATAGTTTGAAGTGTTTTTTCAAACTCTCCTTTATAATAAGGTGATTTAAGAAAGACATCAATAAGAGGACGTTGAGAGTTAGGACGCGAAAAATTAGTGTAAGGTGTAGTAGCCATGTATCGAGGGGCTCCAAGACCAAAGGTTTCATCAAAATCATAGCTAATAAGGGTCCATTTCTCTGAGCTAGTTTCCTTTGTAAGATAATAGTTACTCGCTTGATGCCAGAAACCATCCCAAGAACCTATCAAGAAATTGATGGCCATGTGAATCATAGTATGTTGAGGATCCAAAAGGTTTTCAATATTGCCCCTATTGTCAGCATCAGTGGCTTTTGTAGGATCGATTGAGTTGAGCTCCTTGATAAATTCAATAAGAGGTGTCTTTTCATTTGTTTTGTTTAACGTTTTCTTCATGTTACCCGCATCTTCAAGCTTGTAAATTGTATCGTTATATGATTCTTGTAAATCATCTTTGTAGACCAAATTACCCTCAAGTTGTTCATTCATGGCATTACCCTTATAAGTAGGACCCGTATATTGGTAATCAAGATTTCCACCACGTAAAATATTATTAATAAAGTTTTTCGTTGCATCATCAATCATCAAGTATAAGCCATAGGGTTCATTATTCACATAAAGACGTACAAAATTGCCTTCAACTGTAGCAGCGCCTGCAGCAGCTAGACAATCAATTGCCAATTTTTCACGACTTATAGACATGTACGTAAAAAAAAAAAAGAAAAAAAATTAGTTTTCTTTTATATATAGATGTATATAATCTTAAATACTTACACAAAAGTAGGATCCGTTTCATGAGCTCTTAATTTAAACGTTGTTCGACCATATAAAAGTTCTTTTGTGCCTTCTGTAGCAAATTCATTTAATTTTATCTTGTAAGATTGTTTAGCAAAGTCTTTTGAAGATTGACCACTGGTCTTAATACCAGCATTAGTGAAAGTGTAAATTTCCTTATTAGAGATATAAGTCATATTGAAAACATTGGTATAGTCGTGCTTAGCTTGAGGATTTTTTAAAATGTCTCCAAAGCCTGTAGCATTCACATTTAAAATAATAGTAGCAATTTCGTTAGAACGATTCATGTTACTGACGAGAGCTATGGACAACAACAATAAAAGACATGTAAGTAAAAATAATTTTAAATAACAGTGACGATAATGAAATTAGAACTCACAATAATGGATAGGGTTATAAGCTTGAGGAAGAGGTGGAACATCATGTACAGTTTGTGATCTATTAAAGAATTCATTACCAGTTGTAGTAATACCAGCTTGTTGTTTACGGAGAGCTGTTTCAATAATATCACCGGATCCGCCTGTTAATGCATACTGATATTCATTAGCAGATGGAGCAACACCTTTAAAAATATTGGGAGACTCTGCAGATTGGGATAAAGGATACTTTTGACCTTCAACAATGACAGAGACACTTTGTTTATCTCCTGGGAATGCTACAACAGAATATTCAACATCGGCAGCGTGTATTAATTGTAAAGAAAGAATAGTTAAGCTAATAATTCCGACAGCAAACTTCATGTCGTTGAAAAATTATTAATTTGAATAAAGAAGCAAAAGAAATAACAAAGTTTTGCTTGATATTTATAACATATTGTGATTTTCTCTTTTCATGGAAAGTTCAGAAACAGCCAGTGCTTGTTTTTTTTTTTTTTTTTTTTTTTGATAGTATGTTTCATTTTCTTTATTTTCTAGATTCGCTTGATTTAAAAAGTTTGTGTGCCTGTATGTATATAAATATAAATACATATAAATACACATATTTGTATTTTGTCTATTCTACGATCTTATGTAATTCCTTATAAAATATAAAATATTATAAACGCAATCTTTATTTTATTTGTGTAATTCTTCAAATTAATATACATATAAAGCCATGGATATTTTTTTTTTTTTTTTTAAAAAAAGAAAAAAAAAAAAAAGAAAAATTCGATTAAAGTTATCATAGAAAATCTTTGGTGATTTACAGAAATCTAATTTTTCTGTACCTTCCAACAAGTCTTTTAACGTTTAATAATAGTAACAAATAAACGATCAACTAGCACTACAATCCACATTTTTTTTATAAGTTTATGGAAAAATCAAATTTTATCTAGGCAGCCATGTAGAATATCGTGGAACTATAAATATTTTCAGAAAATTAAGACAAAATGGAAAGCTTCTATTTTCTTTCTATTCTCTTTATCGCATTATTTTATATTAAAAAGGAATTTTGTATTATGTTCAGCATCTCTAATAATTTCATAGCCTTTTAACTTCTCCTATAAATGTATTACCTTGTTGCATAATTTTTTTTATATATTACATAGTTTATTATAAAGCGATTATATATGAATATGTATGATTAGACAAGTAATTTATAGTGTAAAGCGTATCAAATAATCACAATAATAATAATTAATGTTGAGAGGGAGGTTTAACAAATCCTCCTGGTCCTATATGTTGCTGCTGCTGTTGCTGTTGCTGTTGCTGTTGCTGTTGCTGTTGTTGTGGATTTTGTTGATGATGTTGTTGTTGTAGCTGTTGTGAAGAAGAAGTATATACATTTGAAGGATGAATGCTATTATTAGAGGTAGAGAGTAGATGTTGTTTATGATTTTGTGTATGAAGCTTTGCACCTACTTGACCAAATACAAGTTTTGGTACTTCTACCAAATAACCTCTAGTTCCTTTAACGCCTACTTCTGCTTCTGCTTGAATCCAGAAATGGATGCTACCCGTATTCTCATTATAATATCCTGCACAATAATTACGCATTCCCATTAACTTTTTGTTTTTTCTCTAAATATAAATGTATACAAAATGAATTATTAGCTTTTTTTTAATATTGTCATATGTTATATAATATTTGTTTACTTTACAGAATTACCATTAGGCGAAAATTTAAAAAGATTGTACATTTTTTCTTCAATATTTTCATCAAAGGTAACATAAGATGAATTTTGATTCAAGATGGTCAAGAGCACTTGAGGTGGTGGCACATTAACGATAGCACTAGAAACAATTTGAACCATCAAGTAGGGGTCCCCTTCTTCTTTATTTTTCATATCTTTTGAATATAATCTACCTGTAGCACAGCAATGTACATCACCACCTAAAAATGATACTCTTACAGATGTATCCTTTGCAAACGTTTGTAATCTTTTTATAAATTCTTTTCTTTCTAATTCATGATTGCCTGCTGTCCAATCTATATAAACATACATACATACATATATATATATATATATACATATACATATTTAAGTTTTATACTATACAATATATCATGTTTAGAAATACTTTACGGTCATTCATATCATCTAATAATTCAGGATCTCCATTCCATTCATTCAATTGACCATTGATAATGTCACCTAAAGAACCCGTTTTACCCGCTAAAGTAGCTAAATTAAAATTAGCTGCGCTCTCCATTGCTTTTTCAAATAACGTAAGTCGTGGATAAACTAACGGAACACCTGTCAAAACCATGAAATGTTTAATAGTGGGCGGTGTGCGTCTATAGATTTCATGAAACAGGATTTGATATGATTTTTGGCTACAAATTTCATATTTCGTACGTTCTCCTCGCGCATCCAATGCAAGGAATCCGATATCAGGTCCTAAGGTAGTAAGAATATGATTACAGGAAGGCAATGAGCCTCGAATCATGCCATCTTTTTCTGCGCGTTCCATTGTTGTATGTTGCTGAAATGCATAATAAAAGCGAGAAGCATTTGCAAAAAGTACTATTCAAACAACATTAATAATAAATTTACTTTCTATCTACTAATACTAATAATAATAATAAAAATACGACTATTTTCAACGACATACCTTGAAAACAATCTGCTGATTGCATATCAGCCGGATAAGAGCCATAACCATCAATAATATCCTTGATTGAAAAAGAAAAGAAAAGAAAAGAAATACATAATTAATTTTTTAAATATTCATTTTTCTTTTCTTCTTCTTGCTTACATGATCATCCCACATATTAATGGACGGAATAGAAGCATAGGCTTGAGCCTGTACAGGACTTTCTTTAAATCTATATTATGGAGGCAACACAAATGTCATCATTTTTTTTTTTTTTTTTTTTTTTTTTTTTGGCATTGATTAGGTCTGTGCACTACTACTACTTACTACAACAACGCTTTTTGTCTTACCCAAAATTTTTCACATAATTCCAAAAATAAAAAAATTCAAATCCATCCTTCATAGATTGTGGAAGCTTCATTTGAAGTCTTTTAGTAGGATTCTTTTCAGCTAACCATGGTTTCATGAAATCTTCATGAATTAATCTATCTTGATAGAGTTGATCACCTCCTCCTAACATGACATGAAATGGCATCACTTCATGTCTATCCAACACATCCTGCCATAGAGGTGCTTCCTTTTCATTAAATTTATCTTTTATTTCCTGTGGGATATCTGAAAATCCACTACATGAATAAAACATGAATCGCATGGAGTCTTGGATGGCTGGTACATGGAATTCAAAGTGTCTAAAAGTGTCTTGTGAAAGGCCATCACCATCTATCCTATATCTCACCGTCTGCGCTTCATGTGTCAATGGCAGTAAAGCTCATATCGCCAGAAATAATACTGGTTTCGAAAGACATCAATCACTTCTATCTTGGCTGGCTTTATCATTTGCGTATGACCGGATGAATTCATCATCTGTAGTGTGAGGGAAGGTGGGCGAGAGGAATTGATAACAATCAAACATGAACCGCGCCATAAACGTCGATTATAATCAATTTCTATATATCGTAATAAGGGTCCACAAATGACCTCAATAGGTTGTCCTCTGATCGAAAGATTTTCCATTGCTCTGGTTGGCAAAGGTGGTGCAGGTTTTGTTTGCATTTTTATTTATTTATTTATTTATTTATTTATTTATTTATTTTTATTTTTTATTTTTTGTTAATAATGTTGATATGGATATAAAAAAAAGATAAAACCCTTCAATTTAAAATATATTTAGAAAAAACAATATAAAACAATAAAAAAAAGTCACATGCATATAATGAAGGATTCTCTTTTGACCAAATAAATAAATAAATAAATAAATAAATGCGTACATGTATTTTTTTGTTTTATTTAAAAAAAATATAATTTAGTTAGCAGCTTCGAAGGCAGCCTTAGCTTCCTTAATCTTGTTAAGACGTTGCTTTCTGTTGAGAGGAGTGGATCTACGGTAAGGCTTAGCAGGCTTACCCTTCTTTTCAGTAGGCTTGGGAGAAGGATCAGCACGGATAGCTTCATGAGCTTCAGCGTACATATCTTCAACCTTGTCAGAGGTAATACCATTCTTGAGGAAGGTAGCGAATTGCTTCTTGTAACGTTCTTCATCTTCTTCTTCGAGGTATTCCATGTATTCAGCAACGTGAACACCATAGATGTAGTTACGGAGAAGTTCATCATCGTTGGTCTTGGTTTCAATATCGAAACCAGGGAAACGGTTACCGTTGTGAGGAATGAAGATACCACCATCAGAGGCACCCTTCATGGCACCAAAGACACGAGCACCAGTGGAGGTACGAGCGAGACCGACATCAAGGAAAGCCTTGAAAGGACGAGGAGCATCTTCAGCGGCTTCAATCATTTGAACAGAACCATCAGGTTCAGTGAAACCTTCGTACTTATCAGCAAGACCAAGCTTGGTAAGAGTACGACGAGCAAGAAGAAGACCAGTAGCATAAGCAGCGGCCCAGTTGGTCAAACCACCCTTGATACCGTAACGAGGGAGTTCGTGAGAGTAAGCAGCAGAGAGAACGAAATCACCTTGGAGCTTAGCATAAACAATTTGACAGATGATGTCCTTGTTGGTGAAACGGACAACCAATCTATACTTGGGAGAGTTGTACTTGTTCTTGGCTTGAACGACAAGTCTCTTACGAGCATAGTAGTCGGTCTTACCCTCTAATTAAGAAAAAAAATTGAATTCAGTTATTCATGTTATTCTGAATGATAACATTAAAAAAAAGATGAAGGAATTGAAAAAAAGAGTGCATCAGTTATATTTAAAGTTGGTTCCATTTAACCAAAATTGACCAATGCTACTTTTTTTTTCCTCTTTTTTTTATCATTTCCTTTTTAATAACAAATCTCAACTCTACCTCTTCTTCTACGATACTTGACTTGATAACGCTTGAAATAAGCCTTGTTCTTTTGTTGCTTGACGAAAGGCTAAAAGAAAAAAAAAACAAAGAGAATGAAAATGTGAATTAACATTCTAATTCGCTAGTTGAAATTCCTATATAAAGTATCCCAATCTTCCTTCAAAATATCCCGTTCATCTATATCCATAATCCATTCATCCGTTTAAATTTAAATACTGATATCATCTAACAAGATACTATGAAGGATAGTTGGTACTTTTGATCAAACACGTACCATTGTTCGACGTTGCTTTGTAAAGGAAGGATCAAATACCTGCCAGAGCTCTTCTTTCAATATAATCTTTAATTCCGCACTGAGTTTAAAATTTTCGTTATAGAATGGATGCGGATTTTTTTTTTTTTTTTTTTTTTTTTTATTCTTGCTTACACGATTGAACAAATGTATTTCAATGTCAAAAATCGACGATGATTTGAAAGAAAAGATAGATCGTTTACCACGCTGGCAATTTCGAAAGAGACAAAAAATTGAAAAACGACGTAAAAAAAGAAAAGAGCTTGCTGAAAAAGATACATCAATAACTCCATCTAAAGAAAAAAAACCGATAGAATTAATAGTAGAACGACAAAAATATGAAAGAGAAAAGCAAGAATGGGAGAAGAGAGAAGAGCAATTTAGAATGATTGAATTGGCAAAGAAGCATGCAAAAGAAAAGGAAGAGAAAGCAAAGGAGTTATCACGGGTAAGAGATAGACTCGAGTATATATTTATAAAATTATTATTATTATTTTTTTTTAACTTTACGTACAACAGAAACGTTGGCAAGAAACACTGATGAATTTACCCATGTTACCACCACAATTCAGTGTAAATAATAATACGACTACTACTAATGACGAGGTATACTAGAAAAGAAACTTACTATTGTATATAACATGTTTAACATTTGAAATAAATAGAGTATAAGTGTTCCTTTCAGAAAATTTATACAATCTACAGAAAATCCAATCGAACCATTACGACCTAGAAAAACGTATCGTGATCGTTTTCTTGAGAGGAAAAGGGCAGCAAGCAAGAAAAAATGATTTTAAAACGCTATTATCCTTTTTTATAAATATATGCTTATTTATATCTACAATATATTATTCCTTAAAAAGCATAAAGATATAGTATCTTTTTTTTTTTACGTACATGTATTTATTTATAGATAATATATATAATGCAGAAACTAAGTGTGTGACAGCTATTTGGCATGTATAATCTAATTTACTCAATGAAGGATAAAAGGTAGACTATCTAGTATCTAATTTATTATTATTTATATGTTTTAATCAAGTTTGAAATAGGTAAAAATAGGACTCGACGAACGAAAAGAGAGGTATAGATGAATATACTTAAGGCGCCTATGCATCCTGTAAAAAACCACATTATCTTAGCACCCCACCTTTCATAAATGAAGCCAGCAATAAGAGCACCTAAACCACTTCCTAAGCCATTAAAGGCCATATTTAATAAACCTTGAGCACTACTCTTTAAGTGAATAGGGGCAATTTCATCTGCTTTTAAAGCGCCTGCACTCCAAGTCATGGAAAATCCAATACCGTGTAATAATTGAGTTGCAGTTGCCCAATAAGAACCATAAGATGATGAATCAATACAAATAATGTATGTGATGCAGCGATAAATTAAAAGGAATTGAGCAATAATCAACATCTTACTTGAGCCTAATCTATGAATTATCTAAACGAAACGATGAGGGTTATATTATTATTCCTACAATGTAGTAATAGATAAATATTACCTCTTTTGAGAAAAAGAAACAAATCACTTCCGTACTACTTCCCAGTGGCCCCAATAAGCCTATCATTGTTGGTGTGCCATGTAAATCATTCTTAATAAACAAATATAGGAATGCTTGCACAACAGCAATACCATAGCCTATTAACATCATTGAAAAAAAGAATTGACATGACTCTGGGTCTTTTAATAAATGCCACATAGATACTGTAGTTTCTTCATTCTTTTTTATAAAGGCTATCGTTTCATCTGTCTCGGTATCATCTTCTATAAAGACAGCAGAGGATGAACTACTGGGAGTTATCACACCATAACTTGTATCATTCTCATTTGCTAACCATTTGTTATCGTCGTCATTATTGACATTCATCGTCTCAACATGTTCATCCTTCAAATCAATCATTCGCCAAACAGTCAATATAAAGCAGATATTCGAAAAGCCGAAAACAATGAAGAGTGCATATGAGGAATTTAAATACTCCGTCAGAAAACCTGTCAAGAAGACAGAAAGAGCAAACCCAATTGGAACACCAATCTTTTGTTTGCCATATAACTCATCTTTTCTATCCCCCAAGACTTTAAGAATGACTGTATCTACGATAGCAGCAATGACTGGGTATCCAAAAAAGGCGTAGCCAAAGCAACAAATGGATATGAGTAAAATACGAAGCCAATCTTTTTCTGAAATATAAGGTACAAACCCAATTGATAGAATACACTGCAATATGAGTATATATGTAGAAAATTGTGAATATTGTGTGTGTGTGTGTGTGTTTTAAAAACAACTTACAATGAGCGCAATCAACATGTTACTAATCATGATTCTTTTATATTCATGAGTCTTATCGATGAGTGTAGTCCAATAAGGGAAAGCAACAAATGATACAAATGGCGCTTTTTATTTCATCAAAAAAAAAAGTTAAAAGATAATACATTTATAAAAGAATTGATATATGAATATATATTTTTTTTACTAATTGAATATATAAAGCCAATTTTATCATTTCCAAGACCTAATACTTGTTTATAAAAAATAGGTAAAAACATTTGACCTGAGCCTATACATGCCACACTAAATATACTCAGTAACTTCAATTCAATATATGATGATCTATTCGTATTATTAGTCATTATGTAATAATTGAAAAGAAGTTTTTTTTTTAAAAAAAAAAGAAAGAAAGACGAATTAATTTAATGCCATATTGCAAAATTGTACTTGATTAGAAAAAAAAAAATCCCCGATCACACAGAATAATAATATGTGATAGACAGCATAAGTGTGTTCTTCTGCATAATGTATGCATATATTTTTAAAGCAGTTTATATGGTTTTAACCAACATCGTTAAACACAATTTTAGAAAAGAACTTTTGTTATCTTTGATCAAGTTACTATAAGTCAGTAGAGAAAAAGAAGAAAGGGGAATTTTTTTTTCAGCGCGCTTTCTTTAAAACAGAATAAGTTATAAGCAGCTTAAAGTCGTGTATATTTCTTGATTTGAGTTTAAGCTTTAAAAATAGTATGTCTTGTATTTTCTTTTTTCCTATATCTAAATATTTATCCTGTAAGTTATCTTGTATTTTTAAACCTATCTATAATTGTGCTATTCATTTTTTTCTCTCTTTTCTCCTTTCTTCTCCTTCTTCAGTTTTATCTTTTGATTCACGTATTCGTACTATTTTTATTTAATTCTTTAGATACTGGTTTCATATTCTTTGTCTTTACATAGACTGCTGGATCCTTTGTTCTTTTTTTTTTTTTTCGCGTACGAAGTTTTTCAAATCAGGCCTTTTATATATTAGTTACTTATTCAAATAATACTATTCAAAAAAATATTAAAACTTATCCCTGTAAATGAATTATGCCTTAAGAATAACTTATAGCGTTGGTTTAAGGGCTAGATATATGTCGAATTAATGAAAAACAATGCCAAATCTAGCCCTGACAGTCATTCATAGTTACTAGTTTAGCGGATTCTCTATTCCTATCACTCAGATTATCAATGACAGTCCTTATACCAGCCTTAACTTAAATCTTGCTCAAAACAGCTCAGTAAGATTTTAGAAAGGGCAAATAAGGAGATGGGAAAGCTGCTTTATAGCCTCGATTAATAATCATGTCATGAACTTTGTGGAATCTTATGTATAATAATATTACCCATAACAAAGTCGCGACCAATCATTTCAGGAGCATCTAAAATATTCATTACGCTACTAATAAACTGTAAAAAAAAAAAAAAAAAAAAAAAAAAAAAAAAAAAAAAAATTGCTCATTTCGTGTACCAATAGTAGCATTTACTTTGGTACTAGCTGCCTCTCTATTATTTCTCTCTCTTTTTTTTATTAACACTTTTCTTTTGAACCGTCTTTAGCTTGTGCAAAGTCAGATTAGCAATCCCCCCCTTTTTCACAAATTGCCTCAATAATTGTTAATGTAACATCGTTGTTAGAAGGAATAATTGTTTTAGTAGGAGCTCTTCACTCACCTGCCGAAATTTCGTCTAATGTGCATATTAAACTCAACTTCATCAATCAAAACACAGTTATTATGTCAGTCCATTTCTTTATCTGATTTCCATTCCAATATTGCTTCCACTACGTGTCTGTAAGTTTTTCTCTGACGTTCTAGCAGCAACAAATTTGTTTAATTTCTTGAGAGTAAGGGATATATAATATCCAAGATGATTATGAAGACTAGATGATGTAATTGAAATCAAATTAGGACAGACAGAAAGTAATGCAATTCTTGCCTCCCAAAGAGCTACAGCCACATTTTTTTTAATAATAATTAAAAAAGAAGTATGTATGCTTCTCCTTAAGCTATCCTATTATTTCTACCTGAACGTAATACATATAGATATATTTATTATGGTGCCTGATAAATGTTTTTCTTCATCGTCCTTATACAACTTTACATAATGTTGTGTTATCCTCACTATAATATCAACAGCTAATCCTGCTTTTCTTTCAGTATCCCTTGATCAATTACAAGACCAAAAAATTCTTGTATTTGATAAGGAGTATAGGAACGGTATGAACCTCTGTCATTTAGCTTTGGCTTTAGCAGCTTTTTTCTCTCCTCCTCCTCCCCCCTTTTTTTTTAACTACTTGAGCTTTTGACTGTTGCTCTATATTTGTTTCTGAAAAGTTTTTGTTTATTTTAATGTTGCAACTTTCATAGGTATTTAAATCCAAAAGACGCTTAAGCTCAGGTTCACTTTTATTTTAAAGCCTTTCAACTTCATCTGAATACCATTGCTGCCATTCAAATGTTGAAACTTTATATAAATTAACTGATGTTTCCCTTCAACTTCCATTAATTCAGTTTCAAGAATCTCATCCATTATATTGAAGCAATTCAAGAATTTTGAAGGTACATTCGTTATGAGATAGTGTGTATTTTAACAGTAATAATAAGCAAAAAGGAAAGATTCGGGATGCAAAAAAAAAAAAAAAAAAAATGCAAATTTGCTACTTTTTTTTTTCTTTTTTAGATTTCAAATTTAAACACCTCTTATAGGTACATGACTAGAAGTCTATGCATTACAGTCTGAGTTCGTCATTTTCTTTTATTGTTTTATATTTTTACCCCAGCTTTTTTTTTTTTTTTTCATGTTCAGTAATAGCAAATATAGTAGAGTTGCTCAATTTGATGATGAAGATGAAGGCTATGAGGGGGAAAGTGCACTACAACATCCCAACTCAGTGTTAGTCTCTAATCATCATGGTCATTGCAACGTTGTTCCTTTACTATCACAAACTTTACAACTAACTACACCTCATCACTCACCTCCGAATTCATCTCGACCTTCACTAACAACCGCTACAAATGTCACTCGTCGATTCTTTGAAACCAAACTACCTATTGTTTTTCGTAAAGATATGAATAGTTCTGCAGCTTCATTTTCATCACTGCCTGCTGTTATTGTTGCAGATCTTCAAAATGGTGATATACCTATTGGAGTTGATAAAACAACTATAATAAGTGAACAAGGCTGGGCTATTATCGATCGTCGAAGGTTTAAGGGCAAAAATGGTATAGGAGAAAGTCGACATCCATTCAAACAAACAAATGTGATAGACGAAGAAATTGATCCTTCTGATCAAGTTACATGCTCTGTTTTTGTAAAGTGGCAACCCTCTGAAGAAAGACATGAATATACCATGATTACATCTCCTTTATTTAATAAGAAAGAAACGAATGACATGGACCAAAATGAAAGAGTAAAATCAATCAAAAAAAAAATAAATAAATAAATAGAAAGAGAAATAGTAAAACTTGTTATTTAATAACTATGCATGCAAATAGCTTTTCAATGATCCAATACCAGAGACAGAAGAGAAATTCAGGGAAATAGTAAAATCGATACAAACAGCTATAGAGAATAATATGCAACCAACAAGAATTAGTCAGGGTTCAAGTGGATCTTATTTCTGCAGAAATACATCAGGTAAAATTATCGGTGTCTTTAAACCCAAGAATGAGGAACCTTATGGTCGTTTAAATCCAAAATGGATGAAATGGATTCATCGTCATCTTTTCCCTTGTTTCTTTGGTCGTTCTTGTCTTATTCCCAATTTAGGTTATCTTTCAGAGGCTGCTGCATCTCTTATTGATCGCAAATTGGGAACGATGATTGTGCCTTATACAGACGTTATTCATTTAGCGTCTCCTAGTTTTCATTATGATTATTTAGATCGGCATGATTCTCATGGATTACCTCCCAAGATTGGAAGTTTTCAGTGCTTTTTAAGAGATTATAAGGATGCTAATGTATTCCTTAGGGATCATCCTTTTCCAGTGCATGGTAATTATGAAGAGGGTCAAGATATAGGTAGTAGAGCGACAAGCAGAAGATCCGTATGGGGTGGATGTCTTGGTAGAAATGAAACTGTTCTTACTGAAGAGGATGAACAAGAAGAGGAGGATGATAGTGATCATACCCATGTTGCAACAACACCTGTTTTAGTAGCAGCAGAAGCAGCAGCAGCATCTATTACCAACGAAACTACATCCAATCATTTTCTTGCTAAATCACCTGCTGTTATAACACCTCCATTAAAACATCAGAACAAAAAACAAATAAACGAAGAGCAAAATACATTTAAATGGACCCCACAAATGCAGCGTCAATTTCGTCGTGAATTTGAACAATTGGTTATTTTGGATTATCTTATCCGAAATACAGGTAAGAATTATTATAAAAAAAAAAAAAAAAAAAAAAAAAAAAAAAAAAAAAACTAGCATTTATCACTAAAGAGATTCATTTTATTTTATAAAGATCGTGGGTTAGACAATTGGATGATAAAATATTGTCCCCCAACAACTAAAAAGACCCAGTATTCATCATCCTCTAATGGTAGTAGTAGTAGTAGTAGTAGTAGTGATTGTACCACCGACGATGATATCTCTAAACAACAACAACAACAACAACAACAACAAGGTCACATTCATATTGCTGCCATTGATAACGGCCTTGCTTTCCCCTACAAACATCCCGATCAATGGAGATCTTACCCCTATGGCTGGATTGCTATGCCTGATGTACTCATTAGTCAACCCTTTTCAAATGCGACTCGCAAACAATTTTTACCTCTCTTATCTGATCCTCTTTGGTGGCGTGAGACAGTACGTGAGATGCGTACTCTTTTTGAATTAGACACTGATTTTGACGAAAAAATGTTTCAACGACAGATAGCCGTATTGAAGGGACAAGGGTTTAATATTGTACGTGTCTTGAAGGACCCTACGGCAGGACCGATTGATTTGGTTGCCATGCAACGCGTTGTTATTCGTCAAGAAGAAGTTCTTATTGAATATGATGAAAAAGTGTTACAGAATCGAGATTTAAGATATCAACAAGATGGCTCTTTAACAAGCCAACCTTTATCACGAACAAAACGATCTACCTCTCTTGACCTAGGAGCAGAGATTCATAATGAAGCTACAAGCTATTTTCCTACGCAGCATAGTTGGCAAGATAAGATTAGAAAATCATTTGATTTAAGTCGAAGCTATAAAAAGAAGAAAAAGAAGAACAAAAAGAAGAATAAGAAGAAGAATAGGAACTGTTATCGTGCATTTGATAGTGATGGCGAAATACTTGAGTGTAGTTATTCTGAGGATAGTGATTTTGAGGAACGACACAAACTAAAAAGAGTTACTGTTATTATGGAAACAGTTGAGGTTGTAAAGAGTAGAACATATTTTACATGCTGTTAGTTTATTATTATTATTAATATTATTTATTGTTCAAATACAATTGATTTTTCGAGTTCTTTTTGATGTTGCCATTCAATTAAAAGCTCATATTTTTGACGTTTAGCCGCTTCTACAAATTGAAGCACTTCAAGTAAACGATCTCTTGCTTTCTTCATGTTTGGCTATTATATATACAGATATGTTTATTGATTGTTGCTGTTATTTTATTAAGATATACATGTATATATTATTTTACCTGAAACACATGAACACCATACATAGTAGTAACAATAAGCTCATCTAATCCATCTCTATTTAAATCAAGATTTGACATCCGATAAATGGGATAAGCAAATTGCTTTTTCCATAAAACAGTGTAAAGTTGGGTTCCTGCCACTATATAAATATATGTATATGTATATGTATATAAAAAAAAATAAGATATCCATACTATTTGATATATATATATATATATGTGTGTGTGTGTGCGTTCTAAGCATACCTTGCTTATAGATGAGCACTTGTCTACCATATGTTCCAATCAATATCTCCTTATCTCCATCCCAATCAACGTCCATAACATGAGAACATAAAACGCTATCAAAATTACCCGATAAAGGGAGTGCTCTACTAGTTGACAAACCATCTGTTTCAATGGATTGATATACAATTGCTTGCTCAATAGCACATGTTACTACAAGATGTAATTTATCTTCTGGAGTAACTAACATATACATACACACAAATATATATATATATATACATTAATAAGGTTAAAAAAAAAAGTTTGATAATTTTGATAATAACTTACTTATATTAGAAGCTCTAGGTTGAAAGATCAATACTGAAGTGATAGGACTAAATATTCGAATTGCATGTGATTTCACCTCTTTGCCCTCTAATTATATGTTTATCAGCTTTACATGTGTATATCTTTCTATGCCTTGTTATTTTATTTACTTTCATCATAAAAGCCAAGAAATAATTCACCATTTTGTCCGCCTGCACATATAACTCGTTTACCATTTGGGCGATCTAGGATATGCATAAATAAAATACTAATATAAAATAGGTTATTTTACATTATTTTACATGGTGTTTGCTAACTATTTTACTTTGTACGATGATTTGATATTTTACCCAGTAATGGGAAAAAAATAGATGAAGGTAGTTCAATAAATTGATTAGTTTCAGCACTCTATATAAACACTGTTTAATACTACAATTATATCAAAATAATACACATGTATCTAATTACTTGTGTATATAAATGAATGATGCCGTCCATAGATGTTAATAAAAATGCTATTTGTAAGCGACCCTCATATTCAATCCTATATGCATATATATAATGTTGATTAAAAAAAAACAAAGTATGAACAAGATCTTTAACTTTACTGAACATGAGATATTTGCATTGGGGCAGCATGAAGTGGTATAATTTGACTTGAATTGCCAATTTCAAATAATGCTTGTTCCAAAAAAGGTTTTGTATCTGAATTCATATTTCCATAAATGTGTAGACTATAAGATAAATTAGTTGAATCTTCAGTTTGTTGTTCTTCTTCTTCCCCTATTTTCTATAATTCATCTTAATCATCTACTATGATGAGAGACTGATAAGAAATGTATAGAGATTACCTCAGCAACAGCCAAAGCAATAAATAATTTGATTTTATCGTTTATTGTTGCCTCTACAGCATCAATAGCAATGACTTCTGACTTTCCAGCTTCTAAGCCTAATGCGATGCATAAACAATTCCAGTATCCATCTCGTGTTATATATGCAGATACTTCAGACGATGAAGCTGCAATAAAGTGTCGAACTGGTTTTAATAAAGCTATTCAATTTATATTTAATTGTCATTCTTATCCACAAAGTTGGACATGAATATATACATATATAGATATATATATTTACGTTGTGTGTATTCTGGTTCGGGCTGTGCAGGTAATTTATCATAACGGGTTGAAGGAAATTCATCAGGTTTATCAATGTAAGTCAATAGTCGTGAATCTAAAGTAACAAGGCCAAAGATATTTCTACGAATATATACATTAAGTAAATATAAGATAAATAAATTTGATATTTTACGTTCGTTCATATCCATAACGTGCATAATGAGTCTCACGAAATAAAGAATCATCATCTGTCAAAGTAATGTCGTTATACGGCATCGTAAAATATTGATTTAAAAATAAAATAAAACAAACACTTTATTTAAATTGTTAGTGTTAAATTAATTTGCCGTCTTTTTTTTTTTTTTTTTTTTTTTCCTGTGTGTATATATTTATTAGTATTTATATGAAAGAAAAAAAACAAACATTTCTCGAAATCTTTAATACATTTCGTTCAAAGCAAGAATTAAATAACCAAGATCCCTTTTCGGCTGCCTGTTGTGCTTTTTTAAAATTTGAAAATACCAATGTAAATAATTATATAACGAAATTAACAACCGACTTACAAATCATTTTAGAATCAAGCAACCCGATTATCTATACTGTATATTTTATATAGTTACTATGCTTCCCTTCCTCTTCATCATAATCCCTTTTTAACTTTTTTCTTACAACTCATTGATGATTTACCTTCTTCTTCTACTGAGCAGCACTTTGTATATTGTATATTGGAAAATTCATTATCTTATGTAAGTTAATCTATATGGTCTATATGTATATAAAGATGTATTTATATAGTTTAGTAGTTAGATAATAAATTACCACAAGACGTTAGTGATGATCCCAATAATAAATTACCAGTAATACAAAAAAAGAAAAGCCTAATAGATTCTTTAAAGTTAAAAGTAGCTAGATTAATTGATGATCCGTAAGGTTTGCCCCCCCTTCTTTCCCTTTCTCATTTATTTTTAACAGAGCCAAAAGTTGATCTTTCTCACCCTTCTTTTTTTTTATTAGTAATATAGTCATTTTAAATGAACAAGTTATCAACTTATTATCGAGTGTTTGTTCTCGAGTATTAACAATATCAGAAAATGAGGTAAATAAACAAGTCATTAAGAGACAAAGAAAAAGGCAAGCAAAAGCTAATTCGTTTGTAGATGCTAAGGAATGAGCGATTATTAGATTACCCTTTAACAAAGTATATATCACCAAATCAGTTACCCAAATTAATTGATTTAAATCAATTTATTGCACTTGATATTGTACCTATCTTATTGAAAACAAATTATGCAACACTCTATTTACAGTCTTTGTTGAATGTGACAGTGACAGTGAATTCACTGGAAGTTATTCATTGCATCTTAATAATGCATCACATGCAACTATCTCAAGAATTCTTACATTATTATATATCAAACAGTATTCGTTCATGTGATCAACTAGAAGAAGAGGGGCCTAAAAAAGATAGGCAAGTAAAACAGGTAAATTAAGCTTACACATTATATATGATTAGTTGCTGATTAGTTTGTTTCTTACAAAGGTAGCTCGATTCATTCAATCATTAGTAGAGAAAGGCATTATATCTATGGCAGATTATTTTATTGAAATACAATCGTTTTGTGTTAGTTATATGAAGTATAAGAATGTAACCAACTTGTTTCGCTTAGCTTCGTCTAGTCGACAACATAACCTTTTAAACCAACAAAGAGCAGCATCCTCTGTCTAATTATGTATTTAAAATAAAAAGTTCATTTGCATAAACAATCTCTACTGTACTGTATAAAAGTGAATCTTCTGTTGATTGGATAAAATCGTAAGATTTAATTTTTTTTTCATAAAGCAGACTTAACTTATGCATAAGCGTCTCTAATATGTTTCGTCGTGCTCAAATGTGAAATATGCTTAAAAAGATATATATATAAAAAAAAAGAACCCCTTTATTATCTATAATATTACTGGTGAATTTTTCTTGTTCCTTTTTCCTATTCCTCGATTGACAAATCTTCCTTATTGTCGTATCCAATTAAATAAAAGTCTTTGAAAATAACCACCGGAATTGTCCGGTTAATCACGTGACTTATACCGAAGAAAAAGTAAGTGCAAATTTTACACTTTTTTTTTTTTTTTTACAAGTCAACTATTTGGCGAAATGAACTTTTCAACAATTTTTTTTTAACATTTAGAAAAAAAAAAAAAAAATGAGTGATTGGGGTAATTACTAATTGTGTAAAACTAATAAAAGAGAGAGAGAAAAAAAAAAGCAAGTGCTGATTATTAATGCATGCATGTTGTTCATTCAATTAAATTTACAGAGGACGAAATTGATGTTGATATTGAAGTTGCTATTCCTAAAAAGAATAAATGGGACGACGAAGATGTTGAAGAAGAAGTAAAGGATTCTTGGGAAGAATTTGATGTAGATGACGAAAAGAAGGAAGAAGCTAAAAAGCCTTCACCTGTCATCAAAAAAAAGGTTCCCTTAAAACAAAAGATCGCTGAAAAAAAAGCAGCAGAAGAACAAAAACGAAAGGAATTAGAGGCTAAAAAGTTAGCTGCTCAAGAAGAGCCCGAAGAAAGTGAATATGAACGTATACAACGTTTACGTCGCTTAGAATTAGAAGCTGATATGGCAAGTGCAACGGAACTTTTCTCTGGCGTTTCGATTGGTAATTTCAATTAGAATAGTTTAACTATTTTTTTTCCGTTTTTTTTTTTTTTACTAATCGTGTACCAAAAAAAAAGATGACATGAAGGATAAACCCTTGGAAGAATGTAAGCCAAAGAATCGTGTTGAATTTGATGCTTATCGTAAACGTTTAGTTGACCTTATTACTGCTTCATCTGTAAGTTGATTTTTTTTAAGAAAAAAATTTTTTTCTGTTGTATAGAATAACTAATCATATTATTAGAAATCTATTAATTATGGATGGTTTATTGATGAATTATTGCATGATATCGCTGTGCCTTTGGAACATGCTGAAGTAAAGAAGATTTCTTCATCTTTAACTACAATTGCTAATGAAAAGCAAAGAGCTGCTAAAGAAGCAACCAAAAAGACAAAAGGTAAATCTAGACCTCAATTGGCTGCTGCAGGTAAAAATGCTGCCGCAGATGACAAATACGTTGATGATTTTGATGATTATGATTTTATGTAAAAATATTATAAATAAAATAATTATTACTATAATATATAAACTTTGTTAAAACAAAAAAAAACCAAAAAAAAAAAAAAAATGCCAGGAATAAATAGTCGTGTAGTACAATTCAAATGACTTATATGCTGTTAAGATAGTGGAAGTGTAGTTTTACACAACGCAAGACAGTAGATCTATTTTATGCTATTCATCAGTGAGGAACATTAGCCTATTTACATGATTTTATTTTGAATAATCCCCCCCCTTCTTAGACAGCGAAGAAATAATTACTATATTTAAATAATCATTTTATAGTAAAAACAAGTCATCCCTTCTGAGTACTAAAAATGAATACATTATATTGGTCTTACGCTGGTTAGATCGATAAAAAAAAAAGAAGAAGGGAATAATAAGGATAGCATTAAAGGGTGAAGTGAACTTAGGCAGCCATTCAAGAAACCAATACTTAATAGGAGACAATTCTACTATAATGCAAATTATTGATCATATGAGGATCCTGGGTGACATCGTGCTAATAGTAGTAAGGAAAATTAGACTGGTAGATGTTTAAAAGGGAATTACAGTGAATATAAAGATACTGAAGCGTGTTCAGTTTGATAAGCAATCAAAATAAATTTGGACAGAAAGAGAAAGAGTTGAGTTTAGGTTCTGATTGTAAACCAAAGTATAATGATACACAACTATGATGTCCAATTCATATCCTTAGTAATGACAAATTAGGACTTAAGGTTATTATTGAATAACAGTGGGAAAGTGATGTAGAGTTGCAAGCTATGAGTCTTTGAATTGAATTATAAATGTATTAACCAGAGGAAGCATTTACCTAATGTTTCTTTTATGATATTCAACTACAGTAGGAAGAATAAGGATATTATTGGTAACAACATAGCTAACCTTGCAAAAGAGGGCCTAAAGCTTGGATCAGGAATATATCAATCTGTTATAATGGTTAACAATAACAGGCTCAGTGACTTGAAGATTCAATAAGTATTTGATATTATTGTTATAGAAATAAGCTCTGGATATAAGCATAAGTAATATTATAATAGATGAATTACACAATAAAGGATAAAGTATAAGCCGGAATATAAAATAAAACTCTGTATACAACATCCTGTAAATAATATAAGACTTATTGACACCCAATAGCCTAGATGTATCAACTAAATAAGATATCGTATCATTTCTACATATTTATTTTTATAACCTTGACAAAGGAGTTAGGTCGTCTTTGATCCACTAAAATAGACATCAGGAACCTATATACCCAGATCAAACGATTTAAATCTTAAATCAGATTATTACAGCACCCAATATATAATCCATAAATCAGTCTTTTGAATCAGCAGAATGTATATCTGAATACTAGCACTGTTTCATGACTTGTCTTTTTTATAGTTCTTTTTACTTCTTTGATTTAGGATTCATTAATATAAATACAGGTAGTTGTGTAGACACGAAATAGTCTTTATATCATTCTTTTTACATTGAATAAACAAGTCTCAAACTATACTCCCTTCTGTTCTTTTTCTCTTTCTTTTCTTCTGTAAGTCATACCATCACATTTACCACGCACATTGTTTGAACCCACACTACTGTTATAATTTCTGTCAATTATCCTCATATATGTGATAAACGACTTTAATGACTTCTCTCAATAAAGTAAAGGATTATCCATATCAATTACATCCATTATATGGATTTTAGTTTCGTGCTGATTGGAGACTAGCAATTAATAACTTATCAAAAGCTTCAGCATCCGTCATATTAGAGACTTATGTGTACATTAATTAGAAATGAATGATATTTGCTTTAACGTTAGAATTCGTTCTGAAAACATCAAAAATAAAAATTGCCTTTTTTTTTTTTTTTTGACTTAAATTACGCCCATAACTCTCATTTTAACGATATATAGCCTCAATCCATAGGTTCTTTGTCTTGTAGAATTCACTAAGGAAATACCAAATTTGCCTGTTTGGTCATTGTCACAACTCCTAAAGTTTTTATAGCTCTCTACATATCTTACCCAACTACCAATGTTAAAGAAGGATTCATAGATCTTCTATCATTTTTATCAGCTTTGGTCACTAAGTCAATATCCTTAATATCCTTCCTTATTATTAAAGTAGTTATTTTTAATGTTGGATAGCTTATTTGATGTATTAGCTATAACAAGTCTGTCTTCAGTTTCATACTGTTTTTTTTTTGTTCCCCATCATTAAAAATTTACTATTTATATTATATTATGTTATTATTATTATTATTATTTTCGTCTATCACTGATGAGTCGATTGCCTCTGAACTAATATTTTTTTTTCTTTATCCCAAAACTGTGTTCTATAAAAAGTTGTCTGCTTATTTTTGCCATACAAGTTTTTTTTTATGATAACTTATTCTTTCATGTTTTTTCATGTGCGTTGTTGTTTTTTAATTCGTTACATTTAACAACGTCTTCTTGGTTTGTCAATTCTTTACGTATTCTTTCTTCTATTTCAAGTCTTTGTGTATAACCAAACTAATTTCCTTACTGTTACATATTATAATTTACAAGTATTCTGTAACCGTAACAAGTATGACAGTGGTTCTAAATAAATAACGTGTAACTTTTTATAGCAATTGTACTACACAATACGTATTAACTTTAGAGCCCATCCTCCCTTCTTTTTCATTTTTTTTTATTTTATATGAGAAAAAAAATTATTGAAGAGGAAGTCCTTTTATAGTGTAGAGGTGGATTAGATTCTGTTCTTGTTTGCTTCTACTACAGCCGTGTTACTCCCAGGAATTCTCTCAATGCTGCGGGCTTTCCTCTCTTGCATGGTAGGAAATTTCCCCGCGATTTAACAACATCTTTTTATCGACCTCCATTTGAAGGCCTGGTGTTGAACATTGGATCCTGGAAGGTAGCATGTTATCATTAAAGCTCAGAACTAACCCCGATTTTATTATTAAATCACTCCCATCTACAGCTAACAAAGTTCATCTCTCCATGATCGCCGCTTGGCCAACAGAAAGGCGCTGCCCTTTCCGATCAAGTTGTTTTATTTACCACAATTTTTTTCTTTATAAACCCAAGATTTTAGGTATAGTTGCCGAATTGTGGTATTCAAAAAAAAAATAAAAATAAAAAATATTTCCCTTTTATGCATGCATATGCTATAATCTTATATCATCAAACAATTTTTTTTTAATAAGAATTCAACGATCATTGAAATAAATAGGTGTAGTCAGAGTCATTTACTCTTCCTTTATTAAATGTTATACTTAAAGTACCTGGACAAATAGTATAAAGGAATGCGGCTTCAACTTATTTATGTATTATACTTCCTCATGTTTTATAAACTTAAGGAAGTTGGTACACTCTACTGACAATACTAAATAGGATTATTCTGTCGTAACTAATACTTTTCTAATGCCTCTCTGACTATAGATATTCTTATATGAACACATAATTGTTAAAATCATAGATAAAACTGTAGTATTACTTGTAAAATATCAAATAATACAAAGACAAAAGAAAGTCAAGAGTCAATAATTTTTATTTAGCTATTTGTAAGAATTGTTAAAGAAGTCTGAGGATAAGATGTGGATCAGAAAAGTGTTAGTTACGACCGAATAAGATATGTTACAGTTAATAAAGTGTTAGAGGTTTTAATATTATTTGATGGAGTGGACCAAGAGAGTTTTTCAGGGGAATCTAGATAGAATTCCTTGATCCGCTTGTTTAATCAAGGTACATGACATTATAAGTCAGCTCATGGCAAAATGTATAAATGCAGATTATTTTTTATTTTTTTAAAAGAAAGAAACAAGGTGTACATTACCACTGTTGAAAGGGTCTATTCTCTCAAAAGGATTACCCAGAACGATATTTGCTAGTTGGCTAACTTCATGCGTCCATTTCATACAATGATTAGTCATCTTATCAGCTTAAGTATAGCACGTTGATTTCTGTCATATTGTTTGGATCAAACGTACTTCATATGCTTGTCAGAAAAGTAGATAAAAAAAGAAAGGTTCATATAGTCATTACCGAAAAGTATATGTGTATATATGTACATGTAACGGGCTACTTATTATGTTTGTTTACTTTTTCTTAGAGAGTATAGCAGAAATATGAAACTCACTTAAATTCTTTGGCACGTCAAAGTTACGTTATTATTAGGTATATCAAATACATATTCTTTAAAGTACTCTTGTTGTAGCGTTCTCTTCTTTCTTTCTTTTATGTACACTGTATTTCAATAAAGGTATTAAAGTCGTTTAACAATTTACTATGTAGATTCTTTTTTTTTTTATAATCCTAATGATGTTAATATACTCATACTTTTTTTTTCAGTAGAAAACTAGTGCAAAGTAGTGCTCGTTATCATAATAAAGAAAGAAAGAAAGAAAGAAAAAGGAGATTAATAAGGGACATTAGAACATCATTTACCTTCGTTTGCTGATGACTGTCGTTGAGAAATAGGTTGCTCGAGAAAAGAATCAAAAGTTGTTTCTACATTAGAAATAGCTTGCTTAAATATCTACTCCCATTTTGAAGTAGTTTCACTAGAACCAAAGAAACCACTCATTATTAAATCATTTAAAAGCTTTATATGAATGGGATTTCAAAAAAAAAAAAAAAAAAAAGAAAAATGTAATATAAGTTTTAGGAAAAGCGGAAATTAAAAGTCTCTTTTTCAATATCCTTAATAGATTGTACTCATCTTAGTTAATTTTTGATAATTTGATTGTAAAGGAGGAATAATAATCATGATAGTTTCTCTGATAAAATATTAGTCAATAGTTTACATAATCACTACTACATTACATCTTATATTTCCTGTATTATTTAAGTCAATTATTTTATAACTTCTCTACTTGTTTTTATACTTCTTAAAGTCAGTTTGGAGCAAAAAGATATTTTATTATACAAACAATAGTTAAAGAAGGCACAAGATTATTAAAAGACGCGTAAGAAAAGATATATTTATTTATTTTATTTTCATTTTTATTTCATATATAAAAAAAGTGAATCCCCAATTCGTCAACAGTAATAATTACTGCAGTCCAAAGGTGGCCGCGTGGAGGCTAGGATTCTTTGCACCTTCTTTGTTCTTGTATTTTTTATTTTTACTAGGAGGTTAGAAAAACCATAGCGATCACAATATGTAACGCCCTCTGAATCAACAAGATACCCTACAATGTCCTCCTAATTCAAGGAGGGCAAGATAGGGTGTCTTCCTCATCAAGAGCCCGGTACATAAGTGGTAACCATGAGAAAAAGAATTTCCTCCTAGGGCAGGGAAGAAGAAGAAGAATAAAATAGTATTATTTAATGACTTACCTACAGAAGAAATAGTAATAATAAAGAAGATAAAGAAGAAAAAATAACTTTGAATATCTACTTTTTTATAAGAATAAGGAGGTCGTTGTTGTAAATTACAGTCACAATCATATGAAATCGATAAGAATATGTGTTACCCCACATTTAATACAGTTACATTATTTAATTTTCTTCCTTTCTTATAAAAAGTAACAATATGTAAAATAGTAAAATGTTGTCAATTTTATATCTTCTTTATGACTATATGAAATGTGTTTATGCTAAAGAAAAGAAAAGTAAGTAAAATAAATGTCTTTTGTTTTCACTTTTTTGTTTATATTCTCATCAACTTTCTTTTTTCCTATTTAGGCAATTAATATGCATCTCATTTAGTCTCCCTTATGTTGTGCTTAAAATCATTCTTTTACTCACATACATCGTTTGCCAAAATGATATTGTAAAGATTAACAATTTTAGCTTCTTTGATGTATGCTATGAAAACCAGTTTAAGTATCTTTGACTTGCATTCACAGTAATCTTTCCTCCCTTTTTAAATACAAAGATATGTTATAGATAATGAATTCTTTGATTCGCTTGTTTAATCAGCTCATGACATCAAGTCTTGAAAAAGCCCGTCAATTAGGCAAACAAATAATGTGGTGTAGTTAGGTGTTTGGGGGCATAATCCTTCAGCTATTAACTTTTATACACGTCAAGGTTTCTATAAAGTGGGAAGCCATACATTCAAATTAGGTTCACAAAAAGATACAGATCATATCATAATCAAGACACTTTAGATTTACTGTAATATAATTATTATTATTTATTTTATTTAACGTACATTAAAATGAATTGGGTCTATTCCAATGATTATAATGGCTGTAAAGGAATCTTATAAAGACTAAAAGGGAGATAAGAAGAATGATATATAATATGTTACAATATACCAAATATAAACGAGGAACAGTATAAATATCTCTTTTTTGTAACAAAGATATCAATTAGAATAATTTGTTCTGATGATGCCTATTTCTTCCTTAAAAAAAAAATAATAATAATCCATAGCAATAATGTTCATATTACTGCTGTCTTCCCTGTATAATTTACAGCTTTTGAAATATTATCCTTAACCTCTTTTGGCCTTCAAATTTGTAGGCATTGACAAGTATTTGATAATATACTGCACGGAACAAGGGATTTATTAGGTAATTCATTTCAACTTTTTTTTTTTTTTTTTTTTTTTTTGATGAGGCAAAATATTAACTTTAGATGTAAAATTGGATAAAGGAAGAGTTGAGATTATTCATTTTGTTTATACAATATCTAGATAACGTCTCAGTAAAATAAAGTAAAAAAAAAAAAAAAATGTTGAATATTTCTGGAAAAGAAATATCCTTGCATTTATTACTGTTACAGTGACAGAATTGTTATATTTGTCAATATCTTCTTTTTTTGAAGTAATCGAGAACATTCTTCTTTACACTAGTTTATAGAGAGATATTGATTGTTATTACAATATTCTTGGTAGATCTTTTTAAGTCTTTATTCTTAAGTAAGCCATAACATAATGTATATTATTAGCTAGAGAAGCTTGCTGTTAATCAATTAAAAGAGTCTGTATATTACGTTTACTTATGATTATTTCCTGAGATGTTGATTATGATCAAACACAGCAACTATAGATTTGTATCTGTATATGCTTAAAATAAGGCTTTTTAGACACTCTATTATCTTTCTATGGCTTGAGGACCATAATGATACCAAGGTACATAGTATACATTCATGTGTAAGAATTTATTTCTGATATATAATCTGACTATAATAGTATCAAGTAATAATAGAAAATTTGTAATTACTACTGTTCCTCCTGTACCCACTACCATTGATTGGTAGAATGAAGCTATAATATATCATCCTTCTTCATCATCGTCATTATTCATGCTGCTGCTGTAAAAAAAAAAGAGTTATTGGTGTAGTACAAAAAACAAGAATAATTAAAAAAATTAAGGGTTCATTTGATTTGGTGGGGAACCCTTGAAGTGATTCGATTCCACAGCCTAGGCTTGGGCTAAATATGCTGCGAATTCTAGTCACTCTCCAAACACCCGTCTTACTTTCATCAGAAATAGAGGATACACATAGGGCTATGTTTACTATAAACACACCACTTATACCACCACCGCCATTTATACCTACAACTACAATACTACTACCAACACATCCTTACTAATGTTAATAATCACTACACAATACCAGTGTTACTTATTACCACTACTACTACTACCACCACTACTACTACTACTTTGATTTGCTTTCATTTTTTTTTTGTAACCCTTATCGTTGGATTATGGAACAGTCTATAATATATATGTATGAACAGAAAAAAAAAAAAACTACTTCTTTTATTATTAACACTTACTATTATTATAAATAAGCTATATTGGAACATCAAATGATATACTTTGTGATATCGGTTGGGTTATAGTATATATGAACCTTTTTATGATATTTGTTATAGAATAAGCTCTGGATATAAGCATAAACAATATTATAGTAGATGAGTTACATAATAAAGGATAAACTATGAGCCTGAATATATAATAAAACTCTGTATATAACATCTTGTAAATAATATAAAACTTAGGGACATCCAGTTATCTAAATGTGTCAACTAAGTAAGATATCGTATCATTTCTAAATATTTATTTTTATAACCTTGACAAAGGATTCAGGTCGTCTTTGATCCAATAAAATAAAATACAAAAATATCAGGAACCTGTGCTCAGATCAAACAATAAAGTTTTTGTTTAAAGCCTCAATCAGATCATTATAACACCCAGTAGATAATCCATAGATCAGCATTTTGAATCAGCACAATGTATATCCGAATACTAACACTGTTTCATGACTCATGTTCTTTGACAGCTATTTTTACTTCTTTGATTCAGGACTCATTAATATAAATACAAGCAGTTGTGTATACACAAAATAATTTTCAACCTTTAATTCTTTTATTTTCATTTTTATTTCATTCTTCTTTTCATTGAATAAACACAGTCCCAAACTATACTTTCTTTTGTTCTCTTTCTCTTTTTACTTTTCTTTTATCTTTATTTTCCTTTATTATATTACGTTCCATCACAGGGGTTTCCGAGAATTTGTTTTTTGGTAGCTTCTGAATGGTGAATAAAGTATTGACAAAAATCGGATGCCCCCATTGTTTGGTGACATTGTGCACATTTGAAAATTGGGATATGGGGGTGCTTGTTCTCAAATCCTTTATGGTCGAAAGAGGTTAGTGTTTTGCATTTGTTGCAGTGAAATTTTCGTTTATTGTTTAATAAGACAAAAATAAGATGACTGACTTGCTCTTGATTCGGGACAGGTTGATTGCGGGTCTGCCAAGAAATGATTCTGGGAATGTTGATACAATGATGTTGGCTTGGGCTTATTTTTTAATAAAGTGATTGTTTGTATTTTACCATGTTAGAAGAGGTCTCTCACGTTACAAAAAATAAATTGTTAAATATAGCGGAAAGGAGTACCAAAAGAAAAGCTGTTATTGGATGAGAAGGTCCCACCGAGAATCGAACTCGGATCACCGGATTCAAAGACCGATATGATAACCATTACACCATGGAACCCTTTGATTTGATTGGATGATATTGGTTTTATTTGTGGACAATTCAAAATTAATTTTCAAACGTGTTTTTTATCCTTTTTGGACGAAATAAAATGTAAATCAGACAAAAAATTCCGAGAAAATTCGAATTTTAGACGAATAAAGATTTATATACAATATTTAGACGTTTACCTGTAATGCTATCTGAATCCCGTTAAGGAAAGCGTGTTTATTATTATGATTGTTGTTTTATGTGCAAAAGATAAGGAAAGAGTGTTTCGAGTCTAAACGTATAGGAAAGAGAAAACAAAAAAGACAAGCCAGTGAAAAATCGATATAGTTTATTGAAGAAAAAATAATACAAAAATTATACAAGAAGAAAATAATATGGAAAAATGACAAGGGCTGTTTATATGTTTTGCAAGATAAGTGATATTAATAGAAATATGATTTGGATAAATTGTTGTATTTGTACATAACATCATAAAGATATAATAAAACATAAATGTGAATATTCATTACCCAATAATGTTGTATAAAAAATATATTATTATGTCAAATATAAATTATGTTATTATTGTTTTGATTAGCAAAAAGACAAGAAAAGAAAAATGAACAGAAGACAAGTGTTATGATTGTAGTCGTCTTTATAACTAAGTTAATAGTAACAAACCATGTCATGGTTGTAAGATTTATAACTTAATTCAATAAGAAAAATAGTCATAATAGAACATATAATGCACTTCTGTGATAATTCTGTCTACAGTCATATTAAGTATATTTACTCTTGTATAGAAAAATAATTAATAAAAGTCTTACATCTAAAAATATAATTTCTTTTATTATTGTTCTGCTGAATATAAATGTATAAAAATAACTTTATATAAGTTAAACTGGGGTAAACTAAGAATAATACAAATACGCGTAATAATTGATTCCACTCAGAGTACACCTATTAGTTATATACAAAAGATATGAATCTATATCTATAATAACTCTTAGTAATCATTCTATAATTGTATTATCAAATACAATTTGTTATATTTTTATCTTCTTATTACTCATCATCCTTATTCACAAAATATATAAATACTCTTACATTATTAGCCCTTATTTTGTAATACTAAGAACAATACTACTTTGAATTGAATTAATTCATTTTATCTTAATAAACTTATTGACAAGTCTCAACGTACTTCTTCTGTTTGTTTTATTTTATTTCTCTTTTACTTCTTTTATTTATATTTTAATTCTTAAACTTACCTAAACCACAACAATAGGAGGATTTGAATATATCCCAAACTTTGATTATGTTTGTTGGCAAGTTTGTACTGTTTATAACTCTTTTTGCAGTAACTAATTGACAGAGAGAATACCAAAATTGTTGTGTAAAAATACAATGTGGGATATCGTTATCATCTGCTTGTTGAGAGCGAAGTGTAATATATTAATTTGTAAATATCTGAGCACGAACCACTATACTTCTCACATCTCCGCTAGCAGCGATGATCTAAGACTTTAAATTGTTCAGGTGCTGAATTGTTACACATTTATCTAGGGGAAGCTTTCTGGCAAATGTCTGATATCTTTGGCCAAGGTTCTTGTGAAATACTTCCTGTTTGCTAAGGATATGGTTCTCGCAGTTGGGTAATCTTGCTGATTTACGTTCGGTTTTATCGCAATTCTTACACTTGTCCATGCTGTTAGTAATAGTAGTTATTCTTCTTCTTTTTTTCAGCTTTTTTATCTCGTTTGATATTGCAGCTTTGTTTCCTCTTTTTTTATCTGAAGTTACGACTTTGTGGTCAGAGAATGTTAGCTAAGCAAAACTTAAAAAATCATGCAATATGATAACTTACCATTATCAGTACTACCTTCCTTGCATAGTTTACACTTAAAGTATACTTTGGAGAACTGATCAGCTTTGTTTCAGTCTTTACAAACATGAGTAGATGCAGAACCTTCAACTTAATTAAAAAAACGTGTTAGCACAACACATCACAATACCCTTTGATTATGATGGCAGAAAATATATGTTTACCTTCGCCTGATGCTCTTTTTTTTTCTTTGACAGAACGAATTTTATTCAGTATTATCGCTTTGTACATGCTTTTTTAATACCAAGCAGAGAAAAAGATAAGAGGAAAAGATATAAACTTGTTCACAGAGTTTTATTTATAGTCAAAGAAAAAAGTAATTATCTAATTGTAAATCAATCACTTTTGTGATAATGCTGTAATTGAAGATATATAATAAAATGAAAAGCTTAATAAACACATTGGATCATTGATATTACATAAGAATACATGATTATGCAGATAAAACAGCCAGAAATGAATAACATCAAAATATACACATGATATTGGTATAATAAACCATATATTATGAAACTAATCTATGCACAACTTTACTATCTAATTATATAAATAATATTATTAGCTATAGTGATTCTTACAGACTTTTGTGTAATTCCCTCTTCTAATCTGTTATTCTTGAAGCAAAACAGATTGAAAAGCTATAGCTGAATTTGACGTTTTAGGCAATTTATTCTTTTGTTTATTAACTTAAAAATCATTAATATAAAGTGTAAAGCAAATACGCATATCATTCTATCTCTAATATTTACTGTCTTTCAAGGCATTCTCTCAAACATCAATAATATATGGGCTTTTTTTAGCACTTTTTGCTAATAAACGTAGCTACTTTCAATTAGGAATACTCCGCACCTTTGTGTTTTTGGTACTTTCGATTCTGAATCCTGAATCACTTGATAGTATGTATTTGTCTATTTATTTCCTGCAGTAGCTCACATTCCTTTTTAAGCTTTCCAAGGTAGCTTTTCAAACTTAGGGAAGTTGATATAGACTGTGCACTCTTTCTAAAATGGCAAACTCCTGGTGTCTTAAGTAATTGGGTCTATAAGTTATATCTTTATAACACTATAACCGTTATTCATTTCATATTCAGTAACCTTTATCACAGCAGATGCTTGGAAATAAGTACATGTCAAAGGTAATACGTAGCAATATAAAATTCTTATGGGTTTATGAGGCTTAATTATGTATCTGCTTAGTAAGTATTTTGATGTTATGTATCTGTAATGTGTTTGCTTGAAGCCCACTACAGTATATAGAATTAATTATTGCTACGCTATATACTTATCTTGATACTTTACGATAAGCTTCCTCAACCTAGTAAACTTCTAAATACTAACTATAATATATACTATAGTAATCTCTAGCCTGTAATGAAGGCCTTTGTATTATCATTCATAAACCAATAAAATACATAAATCCTGAGCCGATAGATTTTTTTTTTTCATTCATCTAAAAAAACTGTCTGATTTACATTTTTATTTTGTCCAAAAAAAGTGAGAATGATGTCTGGAGAGTAATTTTGATTCGTCCAGAAAAAAATTAACATAGTCCAATTTTATGGTAAAATCCGTTATTACAACGTTGTATACAAATAATATCCTTTTATTTTTATTTCTTTTAACTGTTCAATTTTTACAAAACATGTTTTCGATCACAAAATGTGGTCTAAACCTGATATTATTGGGATTACTTTATATTATAATTCCAGTAATAGCCATTTATGAAAATGAGGCTGGTACATATGATTGGTAAATAGTAATGATAGCAAAAGTATTAATCAAAATAATACGCGTTCTCACTAAATATACTTATCCTTTTAAGGCACCATAAATGGGTAGGCCATCCTCGTGAAGCATTTAAAATTGATGATAATCACATTGCAGTTTATTCAGAACAGAATGTCATTGCAGCTCTTGAAATAAATAACGGAGCTATTGGTAAAGTAGAATCTTGTTTAAAAATTTCAACTCATCTGATATATTATTTATTTATATACTCTGTAGAATGGAGACAAGTACTTGAAAATGAATTAGATCATGTTGTAGCTTCGGAAGCAGGTAAGCTTTTTTTTTTCCTCAATAGAAATTCTGCAACAATGGGTTGATTTTTGGGTAAAAAGGTATCTTCACTGTTTCTAGCAATCCAGAACGTGCTCAGTTTTGGAATAAAACAAATGGACAATTAATGTGGGAATACACTTTACCAAAGGAAGAGTACTTTGGAAGTACAAGTCCAGTTATATTGAATGATGGTCAAGTAGCTGTCTTTGTAGGAAGAACCAAGTTGATTAAGCTATCAAATAATGGTGAAGAGGTTTGGCATTGGACTAGAAAAACAAATCCAGAGTATGTTAACAGAATATACACTATATATGTATATATATCTGTGTGTGTGTGTGTTACTAACTATAGTTGAAATAGTCAGATTTGGGAACGTTTGAAGCTTATCCATAGAGGAAATTCGATTTATATCATTGTTGAACCGGACGATAATGAAGAATCCCCTTTTTTTGTAATTCATACTATTGATAGTGAAACAGGAGACGCAACATCAACTACTAAAATTCCTTGTACTACGACATATGAAGCTATTTCGTATATTGGAGATTATCTTTTTTGGACAGAAAACGATTTACTTAAATGGACAAATATCGATAAAATAGACATTAAAAGTACCTCAATCAAATCTTTAGTTAGTTTACTTCCAACTGCTGATAAATTCGTTCCATCTAGAATAAGTCTTTTGGGCAATAGTGAGGATCCTAAGTTTAAATCTTTTATTCTTACAGCAGAATACGAAGAAGAAGAAGAAAGCAGAACTACAAGTGCCTCTGTTCTCGTCTATATTAAAGATGAAGCATTATCGTTGGGTACATACTTTGGAGAACAGGTAAATGTATCTGTTTTATGTAAATATGTATGTATCATTTTATTCATATTATATTTATTGTTCAGGAATCATTTGTAAGCTTTGATACATTCAAAAATTTAATTGCTTATACTGTTAGATCAACGCCTAAAGAATCTATTGTACATCTTTCATCGGAAGCAAAAGATATAAAGATTCAACATGATGTTACCTTATCGGGTGAAATCAACTATATTAAATTAGTTAATCTTGAGCCTTTCCGTCTTTTTGTTGTTACTGAAGGGTCTTCAGTATTTTTGTATAACGAATCATCCATTGTTTGGTCACGTGAAGAGTCTTTGAGTGCGATTACTGATTCAAAGTTTTTAGATCTTCCTGAACAAAAGATGTGGACACAAATGGCTGATGAACTCGATGAAACAACTATTGAACAAGCAGCAGAGAAACCTCTTTCACGTTATGTCCGCCGTCTTACTACACATACACTTGCACTTCGAAAATTACCTAATTGGATTATTTCGCATTTTGTTGGTATGACTAGTTCTACTTTGAAAGATAACAGTAATAAAATTTCAAATCTGGAGGCACAATCTTGTTGGTTGAACGAAACACAACCTGAATTGCTTTATCGTGACAATTTTGGATTGCGTAAACTACTAATTTCTGTTACCAAGAGTGGTAAGATTATTGCTCAAGACACAACTCATAATGGTAAAATTGTTTGGAGCAGATATATTGAAAATTTTTCATTTAATGAGCTTCATATTGTTCGTGCTGCTTCTATCAAAATGCCACCTATCATTGTTGCTATTGGTTCTACATATGATGCCTTGGGTGGAGAGGCAACCGGTTTTGTTCGTTTAAATGCTTTAACGGGCGACAATTATATTTCAACTATTCACGAAGCTGCTGAATTCTTTGAGCCTATTATACTTACTAATATTGGCGTTGATAAAGTGATGCGTTTGCCAATTGAAGATCCTGAAGAACGGACTCATATTTTGGCTATTTACGAAGCTGGTTCTGGACGTGTCTATATTTATCCTGATACACACGCTGCTCGTCAACGATTCACCAACGAGTTTCTTCCCAATTATTATTTTTCCTACAAAGACAGCCATGGTAATATGCAAGGCTTTAAGGTGACTGAGGGCTATAGAGGCAGCTTACGAGCTAATCCTCTCTGGAACTTTTATTTACCAGAAAATGAAAGTCCTGTTACATTAAGTCATTCCCAGCCTTATGAAAAGGTTGCTTCCTTAGGACGTGCTCTTGGTAACAGAAATGTGCTTTACAAATATTTAAATCCTCATATGTTTGCTATGGTTACTAAGGATAACGAAAAAAAATATATCAAGATTCGCATTATGGATTCTATAAAGGGATCAATTTTACATGAAACTATTCATGAAAATGTAGATATTGAAAATAATGATGTACATATTTTACAATCTGAAAATTGGTTTGTCTATCACTTTTGGAGTAATGATATTAAAGGAAGAGGTTATCGAACAGTTGTTCTGGAGCTCTTTGAAGGAGCGCATGAAAATATGCGTATTGAAAGGTATATACGTATATGTATATGCATATATATTTATATAGTTTTTGAAAGATAGAATACTAATATTTATATACATTTGTATATATATTTTTCTTGAATAGTACTAATTTCTCCTCTTTTGATAATGTCCAGCCTCATGTTCTTTCTTCGTCTTTTGCTTTCCCTTACCCTATTACTACTATGGGAGTCACGACGACTAGAAACGGTATTTCGACAAAAAACATTCTTTTTGGTTTACTTTCTCATCAAATAATGGCAGTTAATAAAAGATTATTTGATCCTCGCCGTCCCACCGAAAAGCCCACTAAAGAAGATCAAGAAGAGCAATTGTTTCCCTATGGCCCTATTCCAGATGACAAGCGTCTCTTTTTGACATACGGGTTAGATGTTGCTGGTATTCAAACTATTATTACAAGCCCTTCCTTATTGGAATCAACATCACTTGTATTTGCATATGGTCTTGATACTTTCTTTACACGTTCCTCACCAAGTAGACAATTTGATGTTCTTTCAGAAGATTTCTCTAAAGTTCAACTTTTATTAACTATTATTGGTCTAATTGTTGGTATCTGGATTACTGGACCTATGGTGCGTAGGAAGCGAGTAAATGCTTTATGGAAATAGATGACAGTATATGTAAAACTTAAAGTTAGAGCATTCTTTTATTTTATATATACATCTATTTATACAGCCACAATAAAGCTTCTAATATGTATAAGAAATCCATGTCTTTTTATTGATTAGCTATTTATGTACTTTTATTATTTACATTCGTAAATTATTTACATTTTTTTTATTATTATCATTATTATTATTTCTATACTAGTTAGTTGTCTTTGAATTTGCTAGATGAGATTAGTGACTGAGAAACTTGTAATGAATTCCACATATCGTTTGCTTTATTTATAACATAATCTGGCAAACCTAACAAAAAGAAAAATAATAATAATCATAATCATAAGGTATGAAAAATATTTCTACAAAAAAAAAAAAAAAAATACCTGCAATTCGAGCAACCTTTATTCCGTGTGATTGTCGACAAACACCTGGTTGAACTTTATGATCTAATCGAAATCCGCCATCCTGATCCTCCTCAAGACTGGTTTGGTAGCATTTGATGTTACTAAAATTTGAAGTAGCATCAGCTAGTTCATGATAATGTGTAGCAAATAAGGTTCGGCATTTAATATGGTTATGTAGATAATCCAATACACCATACGCTAATGAAAATCCATCTTTAGTGGATGTGCCTCTACCAACCTCATCCATAATAACCGTAGACTTTTCTGTTGCCTGTTGAAGAATTGTAGAAACTTCAGACATTTCAACCATAAAAGTAGATTGATTTTGCGCCAAGTTATCAGCTGCGCCTACCCGACTAAAAATTCTATCTGTCACGCCTATCCATGCACGATTAGCAGGAACAAAGGATCCTATATGAGCCATCAAGACAATAATTGCATACTGTCTCAAAAAGGTACTTTTCCCACCCATATTGGGACCAGTTAATAGCCAAATACGTTGCTTTTCTTGCACATCACAATCATTAGCAACAAACATTCGCCCTTTTCTTGCCAAGTTGGCTTCTACAACTGGATGTCGACCACCCATAATCATAGTTCGGTTTGTTTGTGTTATTCGAGGACGAACATAATTATTTTCATGAGCGATATGAGCAAAGCAGGTAAGGACGTCTAATTGTGCCAACTTTCTGCAACTTTGTAAAATAGTCGTACTATGATCCAATACTCTATCAACCACTTCTGTAAAAATTTTATTCTCTATTTCTATAATTTGCGATTGGATGTTTTCTAAACGAATAGAGATATCTGTCCATTCTTCTACTTGGAAACGATGTTTACTTTTAGTATGGTTGAATGGTATTGCATTTGGAAACCTAGTAAGAATATTGTGTGCTTGTCGCGCGTTTACTTCAATAATGTGCTTAAGAGAGCCTTCTGTGAGTAATGTAAGCGAATTTCCGCATAGTTCACGTAATTCGGTTTGTAAGTTCAGTCTTTTAGTTTCTAATTGATTTAATTCATGATGAAGGTTTGATAACTCTGGATGGAAAGCATGGTTGACAAATCCATATTCCTTATTATTTCCTTTAGATTGAATTTGCTCATAATCAAAGGCATCTTTAATATAGGATGAAATAGATCTATGAGGATCCATGTCTATCATAAAATCCTTCAAAGCCTCTGGTAGTTTTAATTTACTATGAATGCTTTGAATTACATCAAGGGTATATAAAATCTCCAGTAAATCAGAATGTTGACCTCGTTTAAGTGCTAAACGTTGAAGTGCCCTTTGAGCATCTGTACTTTGACGCAACAGACTACGTATATCCTTCAATAAAAAGATATCATTCGTAAAAAACTCTACAATATCTAGACGTCTTCTGATCTCAGATATGGAGGTTAAAGGAGAGGTGATCCAACGTGTCAACAATCGTGATCCAGCACTTGTTGATGTATGATCCAAAGTACCCAATAAACTATCCATCCTTTTCCCTTGAAGACTTTTCAATAATTCAAGTGATGTCATGGCTGCACTGTCAATACGTACTGATTCATTTATATTAAATTGTATGGGCATTTGCCATTTTAGCTTTTTATCGACATGTGTTTCATTAACATATAGTATTAATGCCATTCCTGCTGCTAATTCATCGTTACTAAAATTAGGTGCTGTCTCTGAAAATCTCTTAAACATACTGTGTAAAGTTCGTCCAGCCTTATAAGCATCATAATGTTCAGCAGGCTCATAACTTATGGCAATACTAGAATCAGCCACTAACATTTTTGTAATGGGATCATAGGCATCCTGATCTATTAAGCCTTGCTCTAATACTGCATCGGAGGGACGCATAGATTCTGGCAAAATAACTTCTCTTGGCCCAATTCGAGCAAGATCATTTTTTAAATTCACTAGTGTTGTACGCTGCATTATAAATTCTCCAACAGATATATCAACCCAAGCTAATCCTATAAAATCCTTATTTGGGAAAATAGACAAAAGATAATTGTACTGATTTGAATCTAAAAATCGGTCTTCGATGACAGTGCCTGGTGTAATAATTCTTGTGATTCGACGTTGCATGCCCACGATTGATTTATCTTCTCTCGACACAGGTCCTAATTGCTCACACAGAGCAACTTTGCATTGAAGTTTATTGACCAATATGTCTAGATATCGATCTAATGATCTTGAAGGGAAACCAGCAAAATCAACAACGGTGTTAGCAGTAATTAATTTTTTAGTCAGTTTTAAATCTAATTGAGACGCATAGAGAGTGGCATGGGATTCATAAAGCTTTTTAATACTGTAAGTCAACAAAATGTACATTAGTGAATAAAAAAAAAGTAAAATGAAATACCTCGTAAAAATCACCCACTTGAACTAAGAGTACACAAAGAGGGTACTTTTTTGTATATGCACGTACTGTATCAAGAACTATTGATCCAGTTGAAATTTCTACATGATCAGGTAATTTATCTAATTTTTCTGGCTTCGATCTATTAACTTTAAATTCACTTAATTTGACGTTTACAATACGTTTGTTTAAAATGGGTGTTGCAATAAACGCTCTTGATTTAATTAGACTTGGTAAGAATCTTTTGTTCAAGACACATCGAAGCATGTCTGGAACAAAAAAAAAAAAAAAAAAAAATCAGGGAAGAAAATTATTTCAAAAAAAAAAAAATGCATTTATTATGTAAAGATTATTATTACTAGTCTAGTCATTGTTTCAACATAATTCATCGCATAATAATATTTATCTAATATGTTCCAGTAAAATGTATTGATGAACTATGGTTTTGTAACTTACGGCAAACAATTTTAGGTACCTTCCCCTTTTTTTTTTTAAAAAAAAAAAAATTGCAGTGTTGTTTCTGTAAGTTTTTAATAATGAAAAAATAGCCGAAACATTACTTTGTATTATTTAATAATATAGTATATAATAACTTTAGTCTTAATAATAGTCATTGATAGAATATTCGAGCACTAATAATAATAATTAGATACATAATTCAAACAGGATTATGACTGGTGTATTCAATTACATAATTGTTCTTGAGTGATACATATCATATATACATTGATAATATTGAATATTGTTATGTAATAAGATCTTATACAACGATAATGATAGTAACTCATAAATAATTGATATTGTTGCAGCTAGACATATTTACTGAGAATTGATATTGATGTGTCGCTCACTTCAGTGATAATAATTCGTTATGCTTCTAAGAACGGCGACAACTCAGGGAGAAAAAAAGAATAAAGATATATCTTATTGATCGCAGAACTATTCGGAGATAAAACTCAGAAGCAGACGCTTATATGTCTTAGACAACAAATATTACAGTAAGTTTGAAATTGACAATTAAGAACACAAAAACTTACTGACTGTTGTTATAGATTCTGTGGTAAAAAATAGTATCGAAGTATTGCCAAAACACCATCAGATAATAAATGAAATAAAGAAAGAAGGATATCAAGTGATTGGTTATTGCAGAAAATCCGTTGGGAATACAGAAAACAGAGTCAGTTGCTTACAAAGGATGATAGATATATTGTACAAAAAATCATTAGTGGGTAAAGTCCTTAGTACAGCGAAGCAAATGTTTCCAAAGCGCGATGTGAGAGATGTAAACCAGATCTTGTCACAATTGAATAACGCTCATGGAAGCACAGTAGATTTTTTGGAGTTTTTAAACAACAGCCCAAAAATATGCGTTATATCAATTGATTATGCTGGCTTCACCACTAACCATACAGATCTTGAATAATTATGAAGGTAACAAAGAGCGTAAATTCTAAAATAGTAATAAACTTACAAAAATTTTGTATCCAGAAACAACTCAAGCCTACAAAAAGTATTTATTGGTCAATTCTTTTATGAAAATCAGTTTAAGTATTTCAATAGTGTCCAGTTGCTGAACAAGCCTGAGAATCTTAAACTGTTTAATTGTCGCCCAGCTTTAAAACAAAGGGGTAAATAGATGTGGGAAAGTAGGCGTATACTATCAATTAGGACAGTAGTTCTTTTTTTTTTTTTTTATTAATAAACAATTGAAATTACAAAATTTGAGTTTTCTAATCTACATGGTTTTCTACCAAATGCAAGCTGCTACGATATCTTTTATATTTCAAAGGATTTGAACTGATTCTTTCATTACAATGTAACAAAGGTTTATATGGATTTTCTTCAAAGAAAACGTCGACATCTTTAATCGTTCCCGCTTTTTTTAGAGCTATAGTTACGTTAGATTCAGTGTGCTTCAAGCAAAAGAAAATGCATAGTGCTTGTTCTCTGGTTATATCTTCAACCATTAATAATAAAATGTTGAAAAGAATAGTTTTAAATTCTTGAAGTGCTCTTTTATAGGCCACCAATTGGCATGGGAATGTATTGAGCCAAGCAGGACCCATTCAGGAAAATGGACCTGTTGATTTTTTTTTTTTTTTTTATTTTCTCTAAGCAGTGAAATGGACCGATGATGAGGAAAATCGAAAGTCGTGGCTATAAGCCGATGTATCTGCCTCCATATTCGCTTAAATTAAACCCAATTGAACAGTTTTGGGGCAATGTTAAAAGGAAAATTGAAATGCCACAAACTGTTGACTGAAGAAAAATTGTCTGATAGAATTGTTGAGGCATGTAATGCCATACCTGCTGAAATTCTATACAACTTTGCCAGTCATTCTAAACGACAAATCATTCAATGTTATAATAAAATTCCATTCCAATCATTTTGAAGTCAAAAAAATACACACATTTTTAGATCAATTCAATTTAACTTGTTGTGACATTTCTTTTATTTCAAAAGGACAAAATTTCTAGACATAAAGGGACAATCATTTTTGGGTTAGTGACATTTTTTTTTTTTTTTTGGTTACGGACATTTAATTTTCTCAAAGTGACAAAATTTACCGTTCTCACTGTACATAAACAGAAAAGGAAGATAATCAATTTTGAATTCAGAACAAATTAAAGTTAAAGTAACAAGAACTTTTTTTTTTTTTTTTATGTTCTTCTTTCTTGTTATATTATTCATATATTCATTATGGAATACTCACAGCTTATTACAGATAATATAATATCAGTTGAAAATGAAGATGATGAGGAATCTGACTATTCGCTTGATTATGAATACATTGGGCCTCGTAAAGCAGTTTATAGAGATGAAGATGATAATGATTCAAACGCATCCGAGCTATCTTTTTCTTCATCTACTGATGGTTTTGATATGTGGGATGAGGACCCTTACAGCACAAACGATTTCACTTGGCAATCAAACGATATGAATTTAACACAGTTTATAAAATTGAAGCAGAAAGAATTAAATAGTATCAATACACCGTGGAAACAAGAATCATTTTGGAAAAAGGAGAAGGGGTGGCCTAGACAATTACCTGTTTCTAGTTCCACAACGAATCACGACCAGTCGGCAAATGCTTTATCACTTGTTTTATCCGATTTCGGTTCTTCTGAGAAGCTTCATACTATCTATAAGGATCGAATTATTGAATGTGGAAACTATGATGGTCTGATGGTTGATACCACGTCATCATCATCATCACCTTATAATATAGATAATAACACGACATGGCTGGACAGTGATGATAATTCCATTAGTATTCAAAAAATGTTACAACCTCTGGGAGTAGTAAATTTATCGAGACACATGCTTCTATAAACCATCATTTAGAAGAAGAAAAAAGACAAAATAATGAATGTATAAACAACAAAACTTCAACTACCAGTAACACTTTAATATCAAACTTTATTCCTTACACCAAATATCTTAAACGATCTCAATTTCCTACTATTTTACCCAAACAATCCTATCATTCTTTGACCTATGAGCCTATGTGTATAGTAGAAAAATATGGCTATATGGCAATCGGAGGTATTGAAGGAGAATTTGAGCTTTACTGCTGTATGGAGGAGGATCAAAAGCCTATTAAAATATGGGGCACTAAATTCAAAAGTAAAGACAACGTCTTATTAATGACAAACTCTGTTCAAATTGTACGATGGAAAAGAATTGATTTATTAACGTCAGGAGATTATTATTATAATCATTACTTGATAGCTTCTTTAAATGACGCTGGCGTGCTCGTATATCATCTACCTCATCATCAACACTGTCAGCAACATTATTCCTCATTTTTGGCGCATAACACCGTTGCATCTACTTGTCATCTCCAATATCATCATATTCGCTCCTTCGATCGAGTCCCCATTAACGATGCTAAAGTCAGTCCAGATGGCAAACATCTTATTTGTATAGGTGATGCTGCCTGTGTCTTTCATTCGGAAATTTCATTTGACGAGCGAGATCAAATTATTTTTAGTTTGCCCGAGAAATTAAAGATACCATCATCTATCCTATTAAATGATACCATCCATAAAACAACAACAACCACCACCACCACTACGACAACCTTACCCTTTTTGTCTTCTCAATATGTTGCCTGGAGCAAATCTTCTCTGTATTTTGCACACACATCAGATACACATAATAATGTCTTTGTCTGGCGCACAAAGCCTCGATTCGAAATGCTTTACCGTATCGATGCTGGAGGGTACACATATGCTATACAATTTCATCCAGAACGTGAAGGTGTCTTGGCTTTCTCAAATCGTTATGGCTATCTACACACGGTTGACTTGGATACCTGTATCGATCAAAATGAACCAACTCGTTTATTTCGTGTCTTGGACTTTGATCGACAAACGACGGATAGTGAAGGTCATGTATGTACAAGTTCTTGTGTAAAAGGAAATGAGGCTATCTATCATACACTGCATATATTTGCGCGTCAAGAGATTACCATGGTCTCCTTTCGTGGTGAAAAGAGTCGAAGGTTGAGAATACTGGCCAAGATCAATGGACTACAGTGGTCCAAAGATGGATGTTATCTGTATGTTGCAACTAAAAGGCGTGTATTAGCTTACGAGTTTATTCAGTCCTCTTGTCATATTCAGAGTTTAGAAAAAATAACTGGTCTTGCTGCTTTGTCGGTTTTAGAAGAAAAGGAACGAGTAAAGAGATCAAAAAGAAAAGAACAATTTGAAAACAATAATGTAGAAAAGAAGAAGAAGAAGATTTGGCATGATAAATGGAATAATATACCACCGCATATTAGAGATTATCTTATAAATAATAATGCACACCTGGCTAGTCATTGGTGAAGAATTATATATACATATATGCATATATCTTAAATAAATGTAATAACAAATGTAATAAATGCAAAATATATATTTATATGATTTCTTTATTTCATATACATAAAAATCATAACAAAATGTGTATGTGTACATGTGTATATTATTAAACAAAATGGCAATAGATTAAAATATTATTATTTGATTTCCCATCTTTTTATATATGTATATATATATAGATCCTTTTTTTTTCCCATAATAAAATTAAAAAAAAAATCATTTAAAGCTTATCATAGTACTTGTCAAGACCAGGAATATCTTCAGTAAGACCCTTTCTCTTACGAACAGCACGAATGATATCGTAGACCTTGTTTCCGGGTTCCAATGGGTCACCGGACATAAGTTGCCAGTGATCGAAGACAGCTTGAGGGAAGGCTTGACCACCAGTGGCAGCACGAAGATCAGCAGTGAAACCGAAGGATTCGTTAACAGGCAAGTAAGCCTTGACGTTCATCATAGGGGTACCAGGCTTTTGTTCTTCAGAGAAGACTTGACCACGACGTCTGTTGAGACAAGAGTAAATACCACCAATAGCAGAGTCAGGACATTGGATTTCGACCAAGTAGACAGGTTCTTGAATACCAGGAGAGGCAGTCAAGACAGAGGCGTAGACGACACGACGACAGGTAGGAATGATTTGACCACCACCACGATGGATAGCATCAGCGTGAAGAGTGACATCAAGAATGTTGAAACGACAACCACGGAGGTTTTCATCAGCAATAGGACCTTCCTTAGTAGCCCATTGGAAGGCAGCAACACAAGAATCCTTGATTTCACCAAGGTATTGGACTTGCTTGGTAATATCAACCATGACGTTGGGACCAGTACCATCAGGACCGAAACACCAAATCTTACGAGCTTCAGAGACATCCCATTCGTACTTGTCGGCAAGAATACGAGCACGAGCCTTGAAATCGTCCTTGGCAGAAATCTTACCAGCTTCGATTTCATCAGCGAGTTCTTCGTTCAAGGGCAAAGCACGCATATAGATACGGTTGTGCTTGTTAGGAGACTTGGAAAGACAGTCAATGCTAGATTCAGCAGTAACAGTTTCACGGTATTGGACAACAGGGTCACCAGTCTTGAGAGGAACTTGAGCGTGATCTTCTTCAAGATCCTTCAAACAAATTTCAAGGTGAAGTTCACCAGCACCAGCAACGATGTGTTCACCAGAGTCAGAAGTGTAAGTCAAGACACAAGGATCAGACTTGGCAAGACGCTTAAGACCTTCAACAAGCTTAGGAAGATCATTGGCATTCTTAACATCGACAGCAACTTGGACGACAGGGGAGACAGAGAACTTCATGACCTTCATGTTGTGAGCGACTTCAGAAGTGGTGATAGTACCAGACTTAACCAAGAATTGATCAACACCAACAAGACCGATAATGTTACCGGCAGGACAGTCTTCAATAGCTTCAACGTTACGACCCATCATAAGAACAGTACGTTGGATGGACTTAACAGCAAGATCAGTCTTGGAACCAGGAACATAGTTAGGACCTTGGATACGGACCTTCAAACCAGCACGGACGGTACCAGAGAAGACACGACCGAAGGCATAGAAACGACCCTTATCAGAGGTAGGAACCATCTTAGAGACGTAAAGCATAAGAGGACCGTTGGGGTCACAGTTACGGATACCGACGGCACATTCGTCATCAACAGGACCTTCATACAATTGTTGGTAACGGTAAGCTTGAGAGGTGACAGGAGAAGGAAGGTGGATACAGATCATTTCCAAAAGAGCATCACCACAAGGCAAGAACTTACGCATAACGACCTTAAGAAGGGCCTTACCTTCCAAATCCTTTTCATCACTAGCAAGACTGATTTCCAACTTTTCCAAAAGAACCTTAGTTTGATCCTTCTTGAAGTTCATGATAGAATCAAAGAGACGGTAGATAGGGTCCAAGACGAACATGTTGAAAGCACGTTCGAGTTGGTTACCACTAGCATCAGTGCTCTTAGTAGTCCACTTCTTAGTCTTAGGGTTGAAGTAGTTTTCACCCCAGAGCTTGTTCATCATCTTCTCCTTATCAACACCAAACTTCTTGGCATAACGGATAGCGAATTGACGAAGAGTGAAACCCCAACCGTGAAGACCAGAGGCGAAAGCAACGGTACCCTTTTCAGGGTAGACTTGACAGTCACCAAGAGCTTCATCAACGTAGGTAGAGATGATGACGTTAACGGATTCAATAGTACGAGCAAAAGAGTTGTAAAGTTCTTCCTTGTCCAATTGAAGTTCGAGAAGAGCACGATCAACCTTGTTGAGACAGATAACAGGCTTGATACGTTCAGTCAAAGCTTGACGCAAGACAGTTTCAGTTTGGACACAGACACCATCAATACAGTCAACGACAACAAGGGCACCATCAGTAACACGAAGAGCGGCAGTAACTTCAGAAGAGAAATCGACGTGACCAGGAGAATCGATCAAGTTAATCAAGAAAGCGGAACCATCAGTCTTTTGACCCTTAATTTCCTTGATGTCTTCTTCATTTTCCAATTGGAAATACATGGAGATAGCGGTAGACTTGATAGTAATACCACGTTCTTGTTCATCCTTACGAGTATCCATGAAACGAGCTTCACCAGCACGACCAGAAGAAATAATACCAGCCTTGGAGACCAAGGAATCAGATAAGGTAGACTTACCGTGATCGACGTGAGCAATGACGGACATGTTACGGACATTGGTAACCTTGTCCATCAAACCACGGATTTCTTCAATAGTGAAATTCTAATAATGAACACAAATATATAATTAAAATCGACATTCGATGCATTTAAAATGATAATGACTGGGGAGGGGAGAAAAAGAAAAGAGTACTTACAACTAAATGTCACGAAATAAGAATTAAGAAAGTAAATTATGCATATATAAAATAAACAAAATATTGAATATTAGTTTTAAATTCTAAACTTGAATCGCTTTTCATCCATCTTTTATCACTTCCACTGAAGATGGATGTTCTATTCTCTCTCCATTCTATTCATTTTAACGTACCCATTTTGCCTTATTAAAAAAGAAATTGGTATGAGGAAAAAGGAAAATGCATGCCCAGTTCCGTTAACTATATTTCACTCAGCATCTTTCCTTCCGACGACGAAAAAAGGGCGGAGTCTTATTATTGTATTTTGTTTTTGTTTTTTTTTGGGGGGGGGAGAAAAGAGTTCTATTTTTATACTACGAAAATATTTCTTTGCATAAAGTTCCAGTTGAACAGTAATCATGCTGCTGCTGCAGATTGTAGAATCCAATTTTTTAGTCCGACCAACTTATTTTTCCATGGTCGTTCTTCTAAAATATTGCTTAGTAGTACAATTTTTCGATGATCAGCACAGGCAGATAAAATATGTTCTTGTCTCTTGTAAATGAATGAGTTTTTATCCATAGCATTTACTTTTATTTTTTGTTTTCCCTAAGAATCATCTTCAGACCTAAAAAAAAAAGAAAAGAAAAAAAAATCAATAGTTGACCTGAATTTATTATTTAATTATAACATACCCTCTCAAGAAAACATACTACTTATTTAAGAACCAGGCTGTACTCAAATTTAAATTTATAGATTATACAGTACTCACTGTGTTAAATGGTACATTCTTAATTCTATTCAGCAAAGTTTTATATCCTAATAGGCGAACTTTTTTAATTTCAATTAACGGAATTTCGTTTCTCATTTAGTAAAGTTGATTAAAATTGATTGGTAATTTTGTTGACGTCTTTTTTAGACATTTTGTTTCTCCTATTTTATTGTTCCTGAGAATATCAGTGTTAACGAAAGGAATGATTGAAAATATGACACATGTTCTTTGAGCCATACATTATCTACCTTAATTGACATACAGAAGAATTAAATGTTAACAATGTAAGACAAAAGACATGAGTATTCATAGAGTAATTACTCTCAAGCATCAAAAATAAAATGAATTTACGCTATTGTAAAGATAAGAAACCATTAAGCTAAATGAATTTATTTCATATCGATACGTGCTCGGTTTACTATCACCAAAAAGGCACGTTTAATATTATTCCTAGAGTATCGAGTTATCCTTCTTGACTTTTGAAATGTACAAAGTCTTACATGGTATAACCCATTCAATCAGTCATTGATCATTTTATATTTCCCTGCTCAGGTTTTTAATTCCTTATCCCTAAGCCATAAATTTCCTTATAATAAAGAGTCATACGAATTTCTTACAATTAGCAAACTTACCTGATTTCCTTCATACGAATAAACTTTCTTCTTCGTTTAATGGAATTACCTTAATCATATTTTACTACCACATATTGAAACTTTTTCCTACTACTCACATTGGTACAAACTCATAAAGTATCCTCTCTGGCAATTACGTAGTCTGTTATTAAATACTATCGATGATCATATCTTTAATGAGCAGTTACATTAACAGTTCTTATAGAATAAGTTTACTTGACTCAGTAATGATATTAGCCTTAAACTGGCCCCAGCTTGCCACTCTTCTTTAGAGCAGGATCAAATCCTTTATTTACAATGGCCCATATTGAGTGTAATTGCGTCCTTTGTTAGTATCTTGGAAGACTTCTTAATAGTGTTCCTTAGCTATGTCTTTATCATCTTTATTATAATTTTACTTTTGATTATTCTATGATATGTCCCCATATGCACCGTTGACTCCAAATACCATCAACTATTGCTAAATCGTCTCCCTTTTTCCTTAATCAACTACTAAAAAAAAAGGGAAAAAGAAAAAAAGCCTAAAACCTTTAATACAGTCTCTTCTTTGTTTATCTGCTGACTTATTCATATACTCCATCTTGAAATAAATGGACTACATAGTTTATTTTTTTTTCTTCTGTCTAATGTTTGCTTCTTCATGATTGATTGGTTATCTTTGCCTATCTCTCCTTGAAATCATTCCTTTTTATTATTATTATTACTTTCTTTTGTGTGTGTGTGTGTGTGTTAAAAGAAGCTTTTTAGTCTCTGTTAAATTTCTTTGAACTGATTAGAGGTAATCAGCTTATATAGCTACGTGCTCATTGGTTCATAAAATAATATATTACTATCATGCTAATTTGTGGCGGTGGTTAGATACGGTCCTTTTTGCAAGTCACTAGCTACTTTTACACGAAAAAAAAAAAAATAAATAAATAAATAAATAAATAAATAAATAAATAAAAAATATAAATTCACTCCTTATTTTATTTTATTTTTCATATTGATAATGAGTACGAGCTTGAAAAGAAAAGCCTCTGTAGATGAAGAAGACAATAAACCTCTTAAAAGGTTAGCTTCCCATCAAGATTCTGAACAAGAAGACTCTGATGACGGTCTTCAGGTAAATGGAATATAAGCTACCTTGTTTTTTTAAAATCACTTATCTGGAATGCCTTTAGGAAATTGTTGACGTTGATTTTGATTTTTATAATCCAGACGAAATTGATTTCCAAGCTTTAAAAAAACTACTAACACAACTGTTTTCATCTGATTCAGAATTGATTAATTTGAGTGATTTTGCAGATATTATTATCGAGGAGAATCATGTTGGTACAACTGTCAAAGTTGATGACCAAAAGTCTGATCCATATGCTATTTTGAGCATTATTAATTTGAATCAACAAAAGGTAGAAAAGAATGGGAATACATTGAAGAGCATCTACTAACTCTTTTTTTTTTTTTTTTTTAAAAAAAAAAAGGAGAAAGAAGGCGTTAAACAGTTATGCACTTATCTTTCTAATAAATGTCCGAAAAAGAACGAAAAAGTTCATAAAGCAGTGAATGATATTTTATCATTAAATTTAGAAGATAAGCATGTTGGCTGGGTTGTGTCTGAACGTTTCATTAATATGCCTGTTGAAATTATGGCACCTATGTATAACATGTTGCAAGAAGAAGTTAAAAATGCAGTTAAGCAGGCAAGTATTTTTATTTTTATTTTAAATGTATGATCTAATTATAATATATAGAAAGAGCCTTATACATTTGAATGGTATATGTTTATTTCAAAAACATATAAGGAAGTGGCTTCAAATGTAGATAATGAAGAAGAAGAAGAAGAAATGACATCAGCAAAAAAGAAGGACAAAGCTGTAGCAACGAATTCAACAGAAACATTTTATTTTCAATCCGAAGATGAAATCATTACTAAATATGCTGAATATCAATTCGATTTTAAATTTACTAACAGTGAAAAGGAACAATCATCAGATTCAAGACGCGCATTCTCTGATTTTGGTATTGCACCAGGTCGCAAACTTTTACTTGTACATAAATCAAAGTTTGATGACCTAGTAAATGAAATCACAAAGACTTGTTCATCTACAGCAGCTGTTTAAATAATGTATAAATAGATTAGAAAGAAAGAAAGAAAGAAAGAAAGAAAGAAATAAAATTTTATTATCTTATTAAAAGATTATTTAATGGCTTTGACCAGAGTTTGACTGAATGATCATATCCGGCACTAATAAGTCCTAGTTCAGAATCTAGTACTAATGAACGTATCATGGCTTTATGTCCTGCTAATTTAGTAATCACGCGTCCAGATTTAGTCTCGACAACTGAAATAGTATTATCGTCACTACCTGTAGCATAAAAATAAAGACCAGAGGGATGCCATACATGTCTTCTTGTAATAAACTTATTATCTGTCGCGTTAATATAATAATTTTGTAATTGTCTTGATTCTCCTGTTGCAAATAAGATTGTTCTTCCACTATCATGATCTGTTGTACATAATAATTGACTTCCGTCTGAGGAAACTGAAATATAAACAGGTGAGAAAGATACCCAGTCATCTCCTGTAGAGTTCATATTGATACGTTCTTGCTGCATTGTTTCCAGATTGAGATAATGTAAATAGTTATCATCCCTGACTCCAATCACTAACGTTATCTCATCTACAAAACATATCGTCTCTACATTACCAATAAAGGGTCCTACTTGCTTTATTAACTTATAATTGGGTAGATTTTGTGCTTCATCTTCTTGCTCCATACTGTAGATACACACAGTACGATCATAAGAAGCAGTAGCTATGTATTTTCCCTCTACAGGTGAAAACAAACCACGAACTACATATTTTTTATGATCTCTAAATAATTGATGTAGCCCCACTTTTTCTGCTTCTTGATCGTTTAGACTCTCTTCAAAGGAAACATTGACAAGCGCACTTGTGCCATCCATAGATGTCGTTAGCATCAGCTGAGGCAAGCGAGGATGAAATTCAATGCTCAAAACAGGTGCTTGATGATGAGAATACGTCCTTGGAGCTATTTGAGTATTGGATTTGCAAAGCATAGTGCTTATTTTTACTGTTTTATCAATTGAACTTGTTGCTAATATATGCGTTTGAGGTTCAATTGCAACTGTAAGAATATTACTATAATGAATATCTAACAAGTCAGATGTTAAGGTTGTAAAATAATCTCCATCTCCATCCTTTAATTCATCAACTCTCCTAATAGAATTGTTTGTTATTAATAAATGCATTGACTTTGTTTTTCTTTTTTTTTTGGTTTAAATGTCTATACCTTTGAATTTGTAATTGAGATAAACGATTAATAAGTTGGACATCAGTAGATTCATCAGAAGATAATAGATCAAGTTGATGACGGGCTTCTCGTTTAAAAGCTTCAACAGATTCCATGTAGCCATGATTTAATAAAAATTGCAAGACTGAAGCATGTATTTCAGGGCCTGAAGTTGTGGTATTTGTCATTTCTGTATGATTATAGATAAAATAATAATAATAATAATAATAAAAAGGGGGGGAAAAGTCAATTTTATTAACCAATTAGGAAGTCACCCGAAAAAATATATTATGTAAATAAATATTTTTTTTTTTTTTTCAAAGTCAAAATAACCTGCTGTATTATAAAAAAAAAAGTGCTAACAACGTATTATTCTTAAAAATGGTAGTTTTAAAGAAAAATTATTTATTATTTTTTGAAATAGTAAATACAAAAAACAAGCTTGCGTAACTTCATTAGCTGTTTGGATGGACATTGCATGAATAATAATTTCTCTACAAATCATAACTATGATACTGCTTCCGACTTGAACCTAAAATGGGTATTTAATGTGACTGCGTTATTAGATTTCATTTTGTTGTAAGCCACTTGAACCAAAAAAATAAATAATTACACTTTTAGCAAAAAAAAAAAAAAAGAGTCAACTTTGTAAACATATAAAATGACTAAAAGAAAGAATTCAGTTGATATTTCATCCTCACGTCATGTAAAGGTTGAAATTATTGAAAAGAAGGATGAAGTCGAAACACCTTATTTGGGTAAAAACATCTAGTCTTAAAAAGAAAAAAAAGCTGGATGATTTTGATGCTAATTTAATTGCTCGAATATAGCTACATTTCCTGGTACAAAACCTTCTTCTGACATGACCTTTACTGCTTACAAACGTCAAGGCGAAAAAATTAATTCTAAAAAATCTGAACAACGCATTGTCACTGGTGAAACTGATAAAGTTACTTTCCATGCAGCTAACTTTGGGCCTGAAGCCGTAAAGAATGTTCAATGCAAGTAAGTACAATCTTTTTTTTTTTTTTTTTATTTCCTGTTCTTATTCTTATTAATTTTATTTTAGATATATTGTTGGTGTTTACTCCAAAAAGAATAATTCATTAAGTATCACCAATGCACCTGTAATGAAAATGTCTCGCTCTGTTAAAGCTTTGAGTTCAGAAATAGCCACTACGAGTAGAACCGTTCAATCCCAGGTGGCACGTACTTCTCTTGGTTTAGCTTTCGGTACAGCTAAGGCTAAACAACAATTGAAGAGTGAAGAACGTAACTTGGTAAAGGGTGAAGATTTGGCTAACCAGATGGACAACTTACACACAGAAATTGGTAAAGCAACAGTCAACATACCAACAAAGGACGAAATGAAGAAAGATATGGAAACAGCCTTACCAGTACCTAAATATAATATAAATGCTGAATCACCTGATGAGGTTTATGATATTTCATCCATTGTAACTGATGAAGAACTTCAATCTTTGAATTATAAGGAGCTTTTGAAGGAGACTTCTTTGGAAGGCGTTCAGAATTTATTGGCTTACCAAAATTCCAAATTTGTCAATGATCGTATCATGGCTATTTTGGGTTCTTCTGGAAAGAAGGACCGAAAGAGAGTCCGTACATTAATGTATATCAGCATACTTATGTCCTATTATGTCCGTGTACGCTCCAGTGATTTAAAGAATCGTAGAAAAGTTGAGGCTGCATTAAAATCACCTTCAAGTGTTATAATTGATGGACTTACTGAAAGATACACTGAATCAAATGTGTAAGTTGGAATACTATATATGCATATAATTATTAACCTACATATCGTTAGTCGTACACCTGTTATGGCAGATAAGATTCTTTTATATATGTTTACTCTTATTCTTTCTATTTCTGGATACAGTGTCTTAATTGATCAGATTGGTAAAGACTTACTATTGAAACCCACAAAGATAGTGACGTTGTTCAAAAACCTTGGATGTAAAGTTGATAAAGCTAGTGCAGAAGAATGTCGAGAATTAAACTCCAAACTTGCAAAGAAGGCAACTTTAGTTGTACCTTTGAAATTCCCTGAAGTTAGAAAAGGTGTTAGTCGTCGTTAAATTTACTTTTTAATTTTAGAAATATAAAATAATAATAATAAATAAATAAATAAATAAAAAGGTATATAAATATATGTGCATGTATATGTGTGTTATCTATACAATAAACAGAACTTATATAAGCCATATATACAATTATGTTCTATATAGGATGGCCACTACCTTGCCATGAAAAATAGGTTTATTTGTGACCACGGATTTTTCTTTAATGGGACTGGCATGTTTCCACCGAATTATTTTTTTAAAAAAAAAAAAAAAAAAAAAAAAAAAATAGATAAAAAAAAGTCTTTTAGTGTTCTATATTCGAAGATCCTTTTCGTTAAAAAAATTTTTTAGAAGAAAAATGTCTGAATCCAATACCAATGCAGTTAGCACTATGACCAGCAAAGATTATTACTTTGATTCATATGCTCATTTCGGTAAGTCTTAATATAATCCACCCCTTGGTAATAGCATCAATCTAATTCTATTCTTATTATGACAGGAATTCATGAGGTAAACAAAATTATCAATCCTAGCAAGGGCTGATTAGGGATTAATTATTATTATTATCATTATTATTTTTTTTTTAAAAAAAAATCAGGAAATGTTGAAAGACGAAGTTCGTACCTTATCTTATCGTGCCTCTATTTACAATAATAAACACCTTTTCAAGGACAAAATTGTTCTTGATGTTGGTTGTGGTACGGGCATTCTTTCTATGTTTGCTGCTAAGGCCGGTGCTAAGCATGTCTATGGTGTAGGTTTTATTCAATATTTACATACAAATATAAATATAAGCTTATGTATTTATTTGAAAAAAAAATGATTAGATTGATATGTCCAATATTATCCATCAAGCTCGTGTTATTGTAAAGGATAATGGCTTAGATGATAAAATCACTCTTATTCAAGGTAAAATGGAAGAGGTTGTTTTACCTGTTGATAAAGTTGATATTATTATTTCCGAATGGATGGGTTATTTCTTATTGTATGAGTCTATGCTTGATACAGTCCTTGTTGCTAGAGATAAATATTTGGTAAGTAAATTAAAAAAAAAAAAATAGGTTATTAATACCATCTATTTATGTGCATATGTAAAAGGCTCCTGGAGGTATGATTTTCCCCGATAAGGCTACTATGGTTATTGCTGCCATTGAAGATGGTGCCTATAAGGAAGAAAAGATTGGTTTTTGGGATAATGTATATGGCTTTGATTATTCATCTATGAAGAGTATTGCCATTAAAGAACCTTTGGTTGATGTTGTTGAACCTCGTTCTGTTGTTACTGATGCCTGCGTTTTTAAGGAAATTGACATTGCTACAGTGACTAAGGAAGATTTGACATTCAAGACACCCTTCAAGATTACTGCTGAACGTGATGATTATGTTCATGCTTTTATTGCTTGGTTTGACATTGCTTTTACTCATTGTCATAAACCCATTGAATTCTCAACTGGACCTCATTGTAAATATACTCACTGGAAACAAACTGTTCTTTATACCAAAGAACCCTTGGCAATGAAGAAGGGTGAAAGTATTGAAGGTGTTCTATCTTGTGCTCCTAACAAATCTAACCCTAGAGACCTTGATATTGTTATCGATTACAACTTTACTGGCACCCATGACACTATTCATGAAGTTTGTGATTATAAGATGTCATAGATTATTTTAATTTTTAATATTATAAATTGCACATATACACATGCAATATAGATATGTGCATGTATTATAACTAAAAAGAAAAGATGTATTAAATTATTTTTAATGATTGTTCGTTACCTAATAAATACAAAAAATGCAATCTATCAAAAGACGAATATCTGTACATTAAGTGCTATAGTATAAAAAAAAAAAAAAAAAAAAAAAAAAAAAAAAAAAAAAAAAAAAAAAAAAAAAAAGTATAAATGTTTATAAATGATACTATACATGTATAATATGTATATTTTTATTCCTATTCAACAAATAAATAAGCTTATTTTTTTTTAGTTGTACGCTTGTTGCCTATTAGGAACTATAAGTTCTATTTCTAATGCCCTGCATTACCCCTTTCTATAAAATAGTAATACTCTGCATGTATGTACATTTGTAATTTCTTCTTATATCACCACCTTCTTAATACACTAACACAGATCCAGATCCAGATTCAGAAAAAGCTTATAATTCTTGATTTTTCATTTAGCTCGTAACATATCAGATCCTTTGAGAACTCGGTTACCTCTTTCATAACTCTATTCTATTTTGATTTCTCCCACGATAAAATGACTTTATTAGCAGCAGCAGTAACATAGACTTTATTGCTCTTTAAATGAAAATAAATAAAAATCCTTTTTCCTGTCTTCTTTAGACTTTAGTTATGTTTATACAATTTAAACTGTTGACCTGATTCAATGAATTATTCATCAATTTATTTCACATGAAACTTGATCAAGTATGGCATGATTGATATTTAAAACGTCACGACTTTTTCCGAAAAAAAAAATTGTATTACACTTTACCCCACACGTTTATTATTATAATAAAACATTCATACACACACACATATATATTTTTTTTCCTTGTGTAAGGTAAATTTAAGTGATCAGTAAAGCCCTTTTTTTTATTTTTTAGCTGTAGCTGATTTAGTTACTTCTTTAACTGGTCTGGTCCATAACTGTTGCCATATCTTTATTTTATTTTAATATTCATAGTCTGGTCATTAGAGCAAATCTTAAAGGTACTGGTTTGACTTTTAAGTGACTATTAAATAACTACAAAACTATTAGTTTATGTTTGTCTATATTAGACTAAACAACATGCCATAAAATGACTGAGAGAAAAAAACAAAAAGGGTATTTGCTTACAAAAGATATAAAACAGCACGGCCATTTGAAACTTGTAAAGTATTGGGGAATACCGTAACATTAAAAAAAAATGCTTATTTGTCTTGTCCAAGATGGAGAGCAGGCATTTCAATTTACTCTTCCTTTTAAATGATGCTATAAAGTCTTTAACAAAATTTAAAATTCTTATTAGACATATTGCTTGCTTCTTTTTAGATAAATATTTGATTCAAGCAGCATTAACTGTACTTTCATTGAAGGGAAAGCAATTTTATACAACTCCGAAATAGTTTTGGATCTTTAAGATGGCTATGGTTATGCTGGATAAGTGAAGTGGGAGGTTTGATTTGAAAATAGTCTGTTTAAATTAATCATCTTCCCATCCATGCATATATAATAAAATCTTCGTTTCATGTTACATGTTTATAATTTTACTATTATGGAACATAATAACTACTACCTTTAATAGGATTGATGTTGCCTACATACATTTATTTATTTTTTTTTTTTTTGCGCTCATGTCCAAAATCTTATATTTATCTAAATTTCACTGTGTTGAACTGAAAAGAATTCTAAAGTATACTCATTGTAATCTTACTCTCTATTCTGTCGTAAAATGCCGTTTAGCGTTTTTTTTTTTTTTCAAGTGTTTCAGATAGATTGATTGTTATCTTGTTTTTTTTCCAGCATAACGTTAGTTAGAAGAGTTATGGGAATTATGGAAATGATTATGGATCAGACTCAAGTCCTAAATTCGTAATATCCCTTCCTTTCAAGCAACTCAATCAAAGAAATAACAGTTTAAAAAAAAAAAAAAAAAAAAAAAAAAAAAAAAAAAAAAAAGAAAAAGAAAAAATGTCAAAAGGATGGATTTATCACCCTCAGAATGCTTTCAAGAATGTTTTAACATGGAAAGAATATATAACTGCTTTGTTATAAATACAATAAAAAATATTTTTTATTCCAAGTTGTGGTGGTCAAGAAGAAGTTGCAATACCTACTCATTCTACTGTAGTATGTTGTTTAAAAAAAGGCTTTACTGATCACTCGAATTTATCTTACACAAAGATGTATATACATAAATGTATACATATACAATTAGTAAAGTAGTGATAAATTAGTATTTTGTTACTAATAAGATCAGCTGACGTTGTATGCAATATGCTAATGTTCCTTAGTTATCAGATACTTTTCTAACAATGGACTGTGTAAGCCTTAGTTTATTAAAAAAAAAAAAAAAAAAAATGCCTAGAACTGTTGTGGTACTGAATCTTAATCATATTGATACTCAGCCTATAAAAATAATAAATTTCAAGTCAGCTCATAAAATATGAGTATATAAGAAAAAAAGTTATGAAGTTCTATTTTTCTTTGTTTAATCCTTAGGAAGAAAAGAGATATGTCGAATTCAAGTATGTAAAATTTGTTTTTTTTTTTATAAAAAAATATATATACATATATATTTGTAAAGTAACAATAATTATATTTATAAACAACATTATATAGATCTTCGTATAGCTTGTGTGGTAAAATATATAACTGATAATGTAAAATGTAAAATATAACAGCATTAAATAATATATATATATATATTATAGTTAGTAGGCTTGCCTGCTAGGGGCAAAACTTATATTTCACAAAAAGGTATGTAATCTATATCTTTTCAAAGCATTAATATGTTAATTTATCTTCATCTTTGACACGTACTATATATATATATATAAGTTTGTAGATATCTTACTTGGCTTGGAATAACTACAAAAGTATTTAACGTTGGAAATTACCGTCGGAAATTATATGGGGCTAAACAAGTTCATTCTTTCTTTGACCCTAATAACCCCATTGGTATTCAACAAAGAAAAGAAGCAGCCAAAGCAGCCTTAGAGGATATGATTCGTTGGTTTAATGAAGATCAAGGTATTGTGGGTCTTTATGACGCCACAAATAGTACCAAACAGAGAAGAAAATGGATATATGAAAAATTGACCGAGCAAAATATTCAGGTGTTCTTTATCGAAAGTATCTGTCAGGATGAATCTATTATTCTAGACAATATTAAAGAAGTAAAACTAACCTCACCAGATTATGCAAACACCGATCCTGAAGAAGCAGTCAGTGATTTCAAGGCCAGAATCGATCATTATAAAGATCAATATGAAACTATCACAGAGAATGATTATACATATATTAAGTTAATTAATGTGGGAAGTCAAGTTATTATCAACATGATACGTGGCTACCTCGAATCTCGTATTGTGTATTATTTAATGAACTTGCATACAGCTCCTAGAAAGATTTATATGAGTCGACATGGTGAGTCTATGTATAATTTGCAAGGTAAAATTGGTGGTGACTCGGAATTATCTTCTCGAGGCATCTTGTATGCAAAGAAGCTACCCGATTTGATTAAGGAGAATTTGGGCAATAAGGACCTGATTATTTGGACCTCTACTATGAAAAGAACAATTCAAACAAGTTCATATTTAAATTATCCAAAAATACATAGGAAAGCTCTGGATGAACTAGATGCAGGTGTATGTGATGGGATGACATATGAAGAAATAGAGGTAAGAAAATGATAACTTGTATGTTAGATCAATTTTATATAAATCAATCAAATAGGTGAAATATCCCGAGGATTATGCTAATCGTGATGATGATAAATTTAACTATCGTTATAGAGGTGGAGAGGTATAAATATAATACATGTATGTATATACTAGAGGCATTCAAAAGCTAAAAATGCATATATATATATATAGTCATATAGGGATGTTGTGCTAAGATTAGAACCCATTATTATGGACCTTGAACGTCAAGAAAATATTCTTATTATTGGTCATCAAGCCATTTTAAGATGTATTTATGCATATTTTATGAATTATAATCAGGAGGATTTGCCTTATATTAAGATTCCACTTCATACTGTTATTGAATTAACTCCTAAAGCTTACGGATGTGAGGAAAAGAAATATAAAGGTATGCATATAATATTTATATCGCCCTTGTAAATTATATTAATTATAAAATCGATATAGTGGATATTGATGCTGTAGATACACATAGACCAAAACCAACACTTAAAAAGAAGACATCAAAATTAGACGTAGCAAATAATGGTACTTCATTAGGTGCTAGTGGTGAAATTGTAAATGATATTGGAAGTCCTATTTTACCTATTAGCCCACAATTATGGCCATCTACCAGTAAAAATACAAAGCATAGTCGAACTCCTTCACATCAACATTTCCACCTATAGCAAATCAACTAGGGGAGAAAAAAAAAGTGTGAGAAAAAACATCGGTGATTTATTTAACCATACTTTTTATCCTTTTTTTAATCCTACATAATATAACAATACTCTACAGCAGCCTTTTTTTTTTTTTACAATATTGTTTTTTTTTCCTTTTATTTTTATTTTTTTGTTTTGCTTTGTTTCTTTTAATATGACATCTTCTTCTGCTACTGCTGCTAATAATAATAAAGTAGTAACTTCACGGCTTAAAAAGTCGAGATCAAGTTTAGCAGTAAGATATATTTTACTCCGTAAACTAGATAAATATTTTTTTTTATCTAATAAATATTCATATTTAAGTGTATTCGTTGTAGAAATAAAAAAGTAAAATGTGATTTTGTTCAGCCAACATGCGGCCGCTGTAATAATGATAAAATTTCTTGTAATTATGCAACCCCACCTCGTCGTGTAGACGGACAGGCCTTTGATGAACTTAATAACCATATTAACGAATTAAAGAAAAAGGTACAAAGTATGCAGTTTGAACTTGGTAAAACGAAAAACAGTAGATGTGAAACGATGGCTGTCAATAACAATCAAGACTGCTTACAATCAGCGGTGGCTTGGAAATTATCTCTCACGCCCTCTGGGTTACGCATTGATACTAATATTTCTAATGTGATTGATTTATATCGTATATTGTTAACCGGCGTGACTCAGATCAATATTAACCGTAACTTTTTAATTGCAGGAAGTCTCTTTAATATGAATTCAAACGTTGGAATAATAGATTCTGTTCACGATAGTAATGATAAACAAAGAATGACTCAGGAGAATAGCAGCAACCTTTTGATTGGACATTCATCAAGTAATACATATTTGGTGTCTTCGGATATAACTGAAATGCAAGATACACACAACGAGCATGATGACATTAATTTATCACAAGGATCAATACATAATATCGTACACTCTTGTTACCACACTTGCTTCTTATCTTATCAAATAGTAGACAAGGAAGACTTTATTCGAAAATATAATAATCCGGTAGGATCTGAAGCATTACTGATTCACTCCATCAATGCTTGGATGACAAAACATGCCTGTATATATCATAATGATGTTGGCTGTAAAAAGGGCAACCCAATAATGGAAGGAGAAACTCATTTTAAACAAGCTCAGCAACTTTTAAAAAGATATTTTGATATGAGTCGTCCTTCAACAATTCATGCTTTATTAAATCTTTATATGTACCAGCTCAGTTCTGAACGTTCCAGTTTAGCTTATTTATATATCGGATTAGCTATTCGTATGGCACAAGATTTAAAGTTTCATAAAAGGGAATATATGCCGACAGATTTAAAGCAAAGAGAGGTAAATAAACGGCTTTGGTGGTCTGCTTACTGGCTTGACCTGTGTGCTGCTCTAGAATCAAATCGCCCTACCATGGTAGATGACAAAGATTGTGATCTCGAGTATCCTACGAAACTTGATTCAGAAGATGAAGAAACAGGCTATCGTATTAGTTTCTGTGTTCAGTCTATTGAGCTTATGAAAATTAGAAAAGATCTTACAAAGCATTTACCATCTGAGAATTCTGGACCGCCACTTTTGTCTGCTATCTCTCGTCTTGAAACATCCCTCATGAAATGGCTTCACCAGCTACCTGAAGAATTCAAGTACAATATAGATGATGCACAAGCTTTTACCCAGACAAATTCTTTCCGCGATGAAGCATGTTTGATTCTTAACATTCAATATCATACGACTTGGATTATGCTTCATAAACTTTTTTTATCCGATCAGCAAGAATCATCCAAGACACCTATTTCCCTTCTATCACTTAATATTTGCACTCGATCTGCTAATCTTATCACTCATATGCTTGACCTTTATTCAAAGCAACCACACTGGTGTCATTTCTTTTATATTTTAGACGGTATTCTTGCTAGCATACATATTCATCAATTAAATGCCTTATCTAATGAGGAAGATATATCTCGGACGGCGCAACAGAATTTAATCCTAACAGTTGATATCCTTCATAACTCACCCTTGATTTATATGAAGAAAGTAAATATTATTATTCAGCGTATCGAAGATTTCTTTGTCGAAAATCATTTAAATATTAGACAGCAACAAGCAAATCCTGATATTGAACATACTGCTACTGCTACTGCTAATAATAATTATAATAATAATAATAATAATAATAATAATAATAACACTTTTGAGACTATTTTTCCCAGCTATTCCCCTCTAATTAATTTTGAATTAGAGAGAAATAGTGATAATAGTAAACCTTCTATAACACAATTAGATTCTATTACTAATAATAACGAACAAATATCACTGCTTGAAACTTCACAAAACCAACCTTTAACTTTATTACATCAGAACCAGCCAAGTATATTATGTAATAACTTTATTATGCTTAATAATGCACAAGATCACCTAAAATATCAACAGAAGCTGCCAACTATAGCACGCATGCAAAATACAAATGCTACTCAGGGTCGTAAAGTCAGAAAGACAAGACATAGTGATAAGCCGACTATCACAGAATGTAATACTCAAAAAATTATGCTAAACGATCCTAATAGCAGTTTAGCTGGTTTTAATATTAGAATACATGAACATCGTCCTAATAGTAACACTGGCAGTAATTTAATAATGGTATCAACTGGACAAAAGAGGCCATTTTTTACAGTAGATAATCCAATATCAAATCAATTAGAAGAAGAAGAAGAAGGGAAAGCATTCGAATCTCTTGGCAATCAACAAGAAAAAACCAAGTTATTAATACCCTTTAATAATAGTAACTATATACCGGTTTTTATGAATGATATTTCCATGTTACAACAATCCTCAACAGAGGTCGGTGAAAGTTTGCTAGACGGTTCTATAAATAACTTGTTGTTACAAAACATTTTTTCTTTGACTGAGCTTAACTATAACTATCCAACATTTTGTTCGTCTAATGATAGAGATACAGAGCAATGAAATTTATCTTGCTTGATATAAACAAATAAATAAAAAAAAAAAAAAAAAAAAAAAAAAAAAAAAAAAAAAAAAAAAAAACACACAGATATCATATGTAAATCAAGTAAAATAAATCTATAAATAGGGTCATATGAAGTGCGTTTAAATACATATATTATACTCAACCATTATTTTTAAATAAATAAAAATTAATGCAATGATATTAGGTTATATATTATGAAAATATGAAGTTTGTTAAATAAATGAGTAAAGATGCTCCGTATGTGAATTTATTTACTATTATCATATTTTTTGATATTTTGATTTTAAAGTTTCATGTAAGAATTAGGTTTTTTTTTTTTTCATATTATACATCAGTTTCAAAAAAACTTAAAGATATTAATTGAGTTATTATGCTAGTCCTTTAAGATAATTTCGACACATGATGCACTCTTGCGTATTCTAAATTACACTCATACTATTAACTTCAACTTCATAGATCTTCTCTTCCACTACCAATTTTCTGTGTTTGGATTTAGAGCGCAGCAAATATATACGATTTAAAAAAAATGACCAACGAGCACACAGTATTTATATGCTGTTTTGCCATGGTCAGATCACTATGAAAAAAGAAAAAGGAAAGAAACCCCCTTTTTGGGATAAAAGGAAGAATGTTGGAGTGTATGTATAAGTGATGATAATTAACTATCAGAAAATTGTTGTTGTATTGAAAGAAGATGATGGTCAGAGGGTTCAGGGATTTGAGAGTGAAGCTAGATAGTCCATCTCAAGCAGAATTGCACATATAGAAGACCAGCATATGAGCCAAGTATCAATTGATTTTCTCACTTTCTTAGTAAGGAATGTTGATGGTAACAGGTTCAAGAGATAAGGGAGTAAGTGAATCTTCAATAGATTTGGAGCATCTGAAGGCGGTTATGCATTTGCAAACAAGAAAAACTATGTGAGCATGTGTGTGAGGAGTTCATTTGGATGGAAGGTGCAGGCTTAGAGTTTACCAAGAGGTAACCAACCAAGTCGCCATCGCACGCAATGAGACCGTTCACTTCTTGTCATTGGTATCATGAGAATAGGGTCGACAATCAGATTATTACAGCAATGGGATAGAAGTTTCGAATGTTTTTCTTGTAGTTTTGAGTGGTAGCTGTCAAGTAGGGATTGTCTTCCATTTGGGAAATTTTGAAAAACATTTCGAGACATCATTTAATTTTTTTTTTTTTTTTTTTTTTGGGACTTCATAAAAATCGTTGTAAGAAGACACTTGTCAAATTTATTGAGACGAAATATATTAGACGAAATTTTTAAAATGAGAAAGAAGTGGAAACATTATCCAAGCTAATTTTACCTTAATTTTTTATGACTCTTCCACATAACGAACCATTACACAAACAAGCTTTAGCTTCCACGAGGGGAAGCTCGTCTCCAACAACCAACTCCCACCTTTCGTGGGTTAAAGTCGTGTCTAGATGTGGTCGCAACGTCACATCTTTTCACAAAACTCTTGTCCCGACAGCGTCGTCCTCGACTGTTCGAAATGAGCAACGACAAAGCTCATCCTCCTCTAATGCACATACGAGTACTTTATCTGTCGACACCCCCATGACTTCAATTGAACACATTGAAGCCACTCAACCATATCTCAAATGTACCGAGGACCGTAGTATCTTCGCCGACATTATTAGTCCTAACTGGAACCTACTCGTTAAGTCTCTGAACGAGTTCAACAACCCCCCCTCCAACAGTCGCATTCGCGATTATATTGGCCGGGTTCCATGAGTTCATAAATACTTTTAACGTACGTACATGGAAACAATGTGGCAACGTCACTCTAAATGAGAAATATCGTAGAATGAGACAGAGTGTGTATTTAAAAGAAATAAAAGAATAAAGAAAAAGCAAAGTAAAATAGTTTATTCAAATTGTTGTGTGGGAGATAAAATAATTATGTCTGACTATATTATATACAAATATTATGTGGAGTTAAAGTGTGGATTATTCTAAGGGGAAAAGTGATGTTTTCTAATTGATTAAAATGAAACAATTATAAAGCAATATTGTAATTTTAACCTCAATACACAATCCTATTTGCATTATCAAAGTATTTACTCTAAATACGTTCTATGGCGTATTGTATTGCTTTATAAAAAAAATAGAATGCATCATTATATTGTAATATTAACATTTACATTACATTTATACCTACATCTATACTTATATTTATATTCATAATACTACTTATCCATTCATTCATTTACATAGTAACTTGATTAAAGTTGCGTCTTCTATCATTCTATGTATCTTTATTTCTATTTCCCTTCTTTCCCTCACTTTTGCATTATACATAGTACTTTACCATGCATATTTATGACAGCTAATATATTTAAATGTTCATACTACGACAAGAAACAAAAATTCTTGGAGGCTACTTCTTGCCTGATAACACCTTTGTTAAAGGATTCCGCAACTTTTACAGCAAAGCATAAAAACAAAAGAAATAATGAAATTAAATATAACAATTTTATTCAAAATAAAAAGGCTAAGGGGAAAAAAAAAAGAAACTACATTCTATTTCTGGATTGAGTTATTTATACTAATTTCTAGTATTATTCTGTTTCTGTTCTGGATGTTAAATTATATCTTATGTTAACTATATAAGTACCAATAAATGGCTCTAACTTCCCAAATGACAAGTAATCCATGTAAATTCTATGAATTAACATAAATTCATTATCCGTTCTACTTTGAACTATATTTATTTGATCTTGACATCTATGAGAAGATCATAAATATAAAGAAGTTTATCCGATGTGCTGTACTTCAAGTTAATAATGCAGTAACGGTAATAAAGCTTGAAAGTGCGAGAGCCCCTTAAAGTAAAAGTTATAAGAATTTCAATTATCGTTTTAAAAGGGATGCTATCTAAATGGTTCTATCTATATTATATGGATTTTATTATTAATGTCTTTCTAGAATATTTTTATTTTATGGTGTCAATACACTCATGTAATAATGGTTTATCCTAATATTATGTAATGTATTGTATTTATAACACTATGCAATTGCCAACTATTTATCAAACTACTCAGAGAGCACAAGAAGTAAAACATTGGAGTAGCATTCATAACTTCAACAATCATACAAGAAAATATATGTACAGTTTATCTATTCACGATAATATTGCTTTATTTTTATTTATTTTTTTAAAAAAAAAATAATCAGAGTGATAGCCTTAATAATAGCTCTGCTGATAAGGGTTTTTTCGTTTCCGATTTACGTTATCAGTCGTTATTGCTCGCAATATTGGGGAGCTCAAAGTTTTCTTATGCATTTCGGTTGAACAGGGTTGGTTGTCGATACAACACGTTCTAAATATTGAAATAATGTCCATGATTTTGTCCATCGCGCCAAAGATCATAGTCATTTCGTCGATTGAAGATGGGAAGCGTATACGATCAAGCTCAACCATCGTATATAATTCTTCTGTTGTTCGCTGTACCATATAGAATGTCAGCATCATTCCCACCGCTTGTATGACCAACAAGTTTTTACACTGGTTGCTGTCAATTGTTTTTTTGGCGAATACGCCAAGACGTACAAGATCGGCATTCACAAGGTAGTGGCTACCTGCTGCACTCAAAGGCTTGACTTCTATATACCCTAGATGCCTTTGACTGTTACCAGCAACCCAAGTGATAGTTCCATCCGGCCGACGATTGTTTAAACTGGTAGTATCAGTGTCTTTCTCAAGAAGCTCGTCAGTGAAATCAAAAAGGATTTCACCATTCGAAACCCTTTGATCGAATAGGCTCTGTAGAATAGGCTGGAGATACCGTGAGCAAAGACGGCGTTCAAGGACTTCAAGCATATTCGAGATTTGTGGCAATGTTTGCAACAAGCGCATGATAACGCCAAGACACTGTCTCACTACAGGATCGTAGTTCAACGATAGATTGGATATCTTGGTTACAGCAACTTCTTTTGTGCACTTATCAGACGTCAGATCATGGTGAATATCAAGAAGAATTACAACGAGTTCACGAGGAAACTTGGCCGCTTTCCAACCTAATTTTGATTTCAGATCTTTGATTATCACTGTAGACAAACCATTTAAATACCTGTCCAGCTCAGAATCATTTGTTTGTTGATGCAACAGCAGAATCGCTGAAACTGCTAGTATATGAGCAATATTGCTCTCAAAAGTTAAGAGTCTCTTATTAACAATCGCTTCTTTTACAGCAAGCTGAAAGTTGTAGAATCCCAAATTCACGTTAAAATCACTCACAACATAACTATCACAACATGGGGCACTGAAGTAGATTGGGAGATGGTTGATTATTAACTCGTTAGTGGCATTGGATAACGAAGAGACAACTGTTGATGTCTGGATGGTTTGATCAGAGGTTTCCGCTTCTGGTGAAGGCTGTAGATCTCGTCTTACTTCCCATTCTTTCCAGAATTTTTTACTTTCTGTCAAGTTCCAGCTGTTAAAATTATTTTGTAGTCTTGTTTTCTTGTTGACATCGACAATCCAATTGTTTACGATAATGTTAAATCGACGTATCAGCTGAGATTTAGTATTCTGCATATGGGCATTAAAAAACGAGATATGATCAAAATTGTCAGTGTTTTCCAAACACCATTTCAATTCACTTGGTGCACGTTTCTTTTTTTCACGAACTAAATGCTTATCCATTTTTGTTTACAAGAAAAAGAAATGGTTGAATGTTTAGATTGTTATCTTGTCTATTAAAATTGCAAAAAGGAGGTATGTGCTACCACGCGTACTATTAGTGCAATAGGGGACTCCTTAAAAAAGCAGACCTCAGCTGTAACATAAGATGTTGATTTAATTGTCTATGAGCGTACAAATTAGCAGAATTAAAATAGGATTTCAATTTATGGTAATAATTAAAACAAGTTATAAAAATTGATGTTCAAGTTTTTAAGTATGGTGGATTCTGCCCTATTAATTATATCTATATTATGCCATAACTTTGTGGGAAAGCTAAATACTCTCATCAGAGGTAATACATTAAAATATTTATTGTGTTGTTCATAATTACTGCATAGACAGGAAGATGCTCTAGAGTTTTATCAATTCAACAAATACAGCATGTATCAACTAATAAAGAACAAAACTTTAGCCATCAATAGTCACTAACATTGTATTATTAAAAGCAGATAGAAGAAAGACCAGTTAGAGTAAGAAAAGAAATATAATAAACATCTTTATTTATAAATTTATTAATTAACAATAAAAATTTTAGAATAATAAGTTATTTAAAGATTCTCCTTCAAATCAGAATCAAAAGACTATATTTACAACACCATGCGTCATGTCGATACCTACAATAAAAAAAAAAATTAGTAAAGGTTATATTGCACAGAGAGAAAGCTGTTGTGCTTGTTACTAGGGGTTGAGTAGGTTTGTTACGCCTACCGGCCCATTCACAATTACAACGATGCAAGATGTTTCAGTTACTAGGGGTTGAGTAAGTTTTTATGCCTACCGGCCCATTCACTTAATAAATCCTAACATCTGCAACTGATCTGTGCCGTGTTGAGAGGGGGCCATACTTGTTACTAGGGGTTGAGTAGGTTTGTTACGCCTACCGGCCCATTCACTTAATGAAAATTACATATTTGCTTCAACGGACACTTCACTAAGTAAATTTTTTTTTTAAAAAAAAAAAAAAAAAAAAAAAAAAAAAAAAAAAAAAAAAAAAAAAACTTACATGGTTAACAAGTGAAGAAAAAAAAAAGAAAAAGAAAAGAAAAAGAAAAAGAAAAAGAAAAAGAAAAAGAAAAATGAAAAGAGTATTTATGGAGCATGTACATTTCACACACTAGCAAATCAAATATTTGAACCAATCAACGAAATACGCATGTAAATTCGTAAGTCCAATGATAGTCGATTAAAGCTTGTTTGTGTAATGGTTCGTTAGGGGTAAAATTGGCTTGAATAATGCTTCTGTTATGCTGTAAATGATCAAGCAGCTTGTTTAATATTCCAATCAAATAGCTATTCAGTTATAATTGATATTATAAATAAAATATTATATAAGTAAACATTTAATATAAAGCAGTAGGGTTTCATGTAAACCTTCAAAGTGTAATAATTATAAGCAATACAAGCATACAGAAAAGACTATAATAAGGAATAAGCCCTATAAATACTATAAATATATATTTATGTATATGTAAATTATAAAATAATACTCCATTTTACTTAAAGCAGTAACTTAATACTATAAACTTAAACATACATACTATATGTGTTGATACTATTTAGTATACGACTACAGGAAACCAAAAGAATAGCAAAATATTAACATTAAAGGGTATATAACATGTCATGACATTTGTTTTAGGTAATATCTAGTAAAAGCAATAATAAGAATAGTAGTCACTACCATAGTATATCATCTTCAAAGAAGGTTCTTAACTTTGAACATACATTTTAAAGCTATTTATTTATTTTAATTATTATAATGTATATACATCCCGTTTTTTCTATTATCCTAATTGTTAAATATTAGAGGTTTACTTTTTTTTCTTTTAGCGGGTTAGCTAAAGTTGTTCTAATGTATAACTTGAAAATATTTGAAGATAAACGATTGTAATAACTTTATTATTTGTTTATTATATATAACATATCTAATAGTTTTAAAAAGAGGAATATACATAAAAAATAAAATAAAAATAATAATAATAATAATAATAATAATAAAATTTACTATGATGCAGAATCGATTATTTGAGCAACTCCATCAACAATTTTTGGCGGAAAGCCTCGACTGCGCATTTGTTCAATTATTTTATCAGCCTTCTCTTTCTGTCCATTCTTAATATAAGCAGTAACCATTGCTTCGTATGTGCTAGGCTCCTTGGTCAATCCATTCGAATCATCACTCATATTGAAAAATCTCTCTTCCGCCTTATCTAGCTGCCCTTGTGTACCATAGCCAGTAATAAATATGTTTTCAATATAGGGTGAAGATTGTTTACCGTCCTTAAGCATATTATTATATAATTCTTCAGCATGTTGCATTTCATTATTGTCGATATAGGTATTCAATAGAGCTTGATAAACCGTTTCATCAGCTTCAATACCAGTTTTTTGCATTTCTCTGTAAACAGCTAAAGCAGATTGGACATCACGATGAAGACAACCATAAGAGCGGATCAAGGTTGCATAATGTGAAGTATTAGGCTGAATACCATGGCACTTGTTCATTTCAGATAATAATTTATGGGCAGTTAGCATATCATAAGCAGGGATGTTCGCATAAGCCTCCATGAGTAATCTATAAGTGTGAGCAGATGGCTTTAAATTGTACTGATTTAACATATTGTAGTATTTCAGGGCTTTCTCGCGATCTGGTTTTTGTTGAACATAGAATTGAATCATAGCATTGAAGGCACCGATACGAGGTTGATATCTAGGAGCTGAGATCATTTCGTGGAAATAACGAGTCGCATTGGATTCTGAACCACGGCGAATACATGCAGAGATAACAGAAGCATAAGTAATTGAATTAGGGACTAAACCTTGTTGCTTCATTTCGTCGAATAGATTTAAAACAATATCAAGCTTACGACATTTAGCTAACTTGGAAATCACAACATTGTAAAAGTAAACTGTAGGACGAACATTATTCTTTTTAACTTCTTCATAAATTGTAAGAGCATCAGTAGATTCATCTGTTGTAGAATTGTTGGGACAGGCTAAAAGAGAACCATATGCATCAGCATCAGGATACATATCATGTTGACGAAGTTTATTATAAAATATCCTGGCTGAATCAATATCATTATTGCGAGCATGAGCTGTAAGCATAGCGGTGTAAATGGCCTGATAAGCTCGATATCTACGATTTTTATCTAAATTGTTTATCGAATCAATTACAGTGTTGAAAATCTCTTGTGCTGTATTCAAACGGCCTAATCTTGTAGAATACTGAATCATATCACGAATAGCTTCAGGTGTAGGAGTGTGACCTTGATTTATAACTTTGTTTTTTAGAATATCAATAGCCTCATCAAATTTATCATCAAGGGCAGCATCCAGTGCAATACCAGAAAGTAGATCAGAGTCAGAAGTCATGGAGAAATTAGCATTAGAAGGACTATCACTGATAGTTTCTGTAGAATCGTTTGTAGATTTAGGTTGATTTTGAACTGATGAAATGAAAGGAGCAAATTCTTTTTCCCAACGTTCTTCATATTCTTTCGCATTATATTTCTTCATTCTAGTCAAAACACGAACATAAAGGCTGCTTGACGGGGGTATCTTTAGATCATTCATATCTTTCAACAAATCTAATGCATGTTTACAAAATTCTTCGGGTGTATTTTTTTTTCTAAAAACAACATCATACAACATAAAGAAAGAATCTTTATCCATATTTCTTGACAGTACTTTCCATTGATCAGGATCCATTTTAGCTTCATTATATAACTTATAAACAGCATTGCAAACAACTGGTGTAGGATGTACAGAATAAACACTTAATAAGCGAAGAATAGATAAAGCGTTGTGGATGTTATTGCATTTGAGTGTTATATCCATAGCCAAAACAGAAACTGGATTTCTCTCAGATAAAAAGTTGGTCTTTGAATACATTTTTATTACATATTGTAATGCTGACACTGCATCATCTATTCTGTTATTGTTAACAAAGGACATTACCAACTTTTGAGATAAATTCGTATCCAATTCTAATCCACGAGATATCATATCTTTAGTTACTGAAAGTGCCTCATCTGGCATGTTGTTCGCTGTACAAGCATATGCATAATCAGCAATATGTCCATACTCCTTAGATATATCGAATTTCAACATAGTCTTGTAAGTTTCTCTAGCTTTGTCGAAATTTTGAAGACGAGAATAAGTAGACAAAACAATACCATAGGTATTAGCATTAGGCTTGGGTAATCTAGGATCTGTCTCTAATCTATTAACTATAGAATCTGCCATCTCCATTTTCCCATCGAAGTAAGCTCGGCGAATGATTTTATTATATGGTAGAATAGATATATTTACTTTATCTTGGATCATAACTTTTTCAAGAATATCCAACGCACCCAAAAGATCACCTGTATCAGTATGAGCATGGACATAAGCGTTATAGACAATAGCGGGATCGTGATTAGGAAGTTTATTCCTCAATAGCTTATATTCTTTGAAGCATTCATGAACAGAAGGTAAGTCACCTGCAGAACCAAAAAGTGTAATAAGAGTAGCAAAAGTTGTACTATCAGGATGAGCATTACGAGCGCTTTCAAGATGTTCATAAATATAAATTCCATCCTTAGTGTTACCGTTAAAGGACAATCCACGAAGCAAAGTATTATAAAGTCCGGTATCAAAAGCCTGAGTACATTTTTCTTTTACTGCAATGTTGAATAAATCCAAAGCTTTTTCAATATTTTTTTCGTTTTCGAGATCACTTAAATTGTCAACTTGGTTACCAGTACGAGCCATTTGTCGTCGAAGCATACCAATTGTTTTTTGAACTTCCGAATCTCTACGACAAAGAGAACGAATAAGATGTGCGTAAATTTGTGAAGAAGGATGTACCCCGGTAGCTACTATAGCTTGATAGGCATCTAGCATGGGTGTCAAGGGTTGATTAACCCTCTGTAATCTGCCGTATGCTTTTATAACAGCTTCATATGTTTTCATTGATAAAGGCTTTTGTCCAATAGCTAGTTTTCCTTTAACAAAGGTTTCAATAACAGCTTTTGCGTCTTTTTGTTCGGCTGCCTGAAGAATACGTGCATCAACGAAAGCTGAATCGACCGGTTTTAAGGTATCATAAAATGCTTTTAGGCTATTACATGTCATTGTCTCCAATGGCCCTTTTTTTGATTGAGAAATTGCAACATTTGAAGTATTATTACTGGCATCAAGTTGATCCTGTTTCTGATTGTATTGTGGTTGACTTCTAGTTGTATAAGAAAGTTTACCAGCCGATACTTGACGAGTAGGTAAATTTACGAGAAATGCTGTAGATTTAGGTGCAACCAATTGCTTGGTCAGCATACCTTGCCTTGTAACAGAATTAAGTATTGTATATGTTCCTTTAACACCATACATAATACTATAAAAGAAAAAAAAAATAATATGTATTATACAAAAAGAAAGAGCTGAATAAAATTATATTTTCGGATGGAAATAGTTATAATCTTATTTGACTCAAAAAAAAAAAAAAAAAAAAAAAAAAAAAAAAAAAAAAAAGGGTCGGGATATTTCCTTAAATTCATTTAGATTAAAATGGTTATAATATGTATTTAGTAACTGTTATAAAATTAAAAAATACAGCGTCGTATCGGTTAAGGACAAAGTATGTTACATATCATATAATTACTGTCAAAAATATTATAATTAAATTCTAAAGATCATATAGCTTTTAATTCAAGGGGAACCTTGTACGAATAATAATTATTCGGGGCTTGATTATGATTATGTTTGAAAGGACCACTCAAATTCATTAAGGCTATGGCAAAGGATATTTGTATGAAGCTATCACACTTCTCTATACATTTTTCACATTAATAATTTTAATAAGACTACATTTAAGTTAAATTTAATAAAAGCTATTTAAAAACAAGAATTTTACAAATGGAGAGTTCGAGGGTTATAAATAAACTATGGGCTCCAGAATAACGAATCCAAAGTGGCAGATTAAATTTTAAGGGGGAAAAGAGATTTTATTATATGTTTTAAAGTATAAGTATTATAGATGGGATATAAAACTACCTTTATTAAGTATTATCAGTATTAATGATTGACCGTTCTTTGTTTCTAGTAATAAAAGAAGCGGTTACTTAAAAATTCTAATTATTAAAAAATCCTTTTTCACCATGAGAGCTCTTTATTTTGGTAAAAGCATAATTAGGATTGTTGCAAATAGAGGCACCATTAGTCATTCTTATAATTTCATGTATGTTGATTTTAGGACCTAAACTGGATATATAACCTTATGAAATCAGAAGACACGAATCTTAATACACTATGCTCGTTAGTAATAAATATTATTTTAATACTAAAGTCAACACCAAAGTCTCAATTGTTAACAAACATACATGATTAGGTACACTTCCTTATTGAAAGTAGCATATTCTTATGTCATAGAATAAAATTTATTCATAATTTTTCCTTCTGCAATTCATAAGTTCTTTTGTAATGAATTCTAGAAGAACAATTCAAATAATCATGATACATTGCTTCTAATTCGTTTATGGTGTTCGTAGTTGAAAAATTCGTTTGATCTTGTTTCCCTTCAATAACTCTAATAGCTAGGCTAGCTTCAGTTCTCTTTGAACGTAATAACACTTGACAAACTTCCTTAGTATTACTAAATTGATATATATATTTGCAAATATTAAAAGTATCTTTACAAATATAAGAAAAGTATTATTTATATGGAATAAATAATACATTCTCGCATATATATACATATTTAAAAAATATAAGTAAACAACCAATCATTAATACTACGGCTTCATTTGAGCTTCTAGGTTTCAGTTATTGATACGATAATAATTCTTGTATGTCGTATTTGGGAGTATCATACTATGATTCATGGCTTTTTATTTTTATTCCGAGTTCATTATCCTTATATTTATAGTAATTTTGTTAGTCTAATGTTTATTATTATACTAAACAAGGTCTATAATTATTCATAAAAGATACTTTTACTCTATTTTCGTAATTCAAAGGAAAAAATACTTATAATTAAAGAATATATAACATTACAAAATAAAGAGGACTAAGAAAAATTGAAGGAAATTTAAAAAATGAGGCGACTCTAATATATTTGGTATTGATAATCATGATTTATTGTGCTATGAAAGCAAAAAGGAATATAATACGATTGAATACGACTATATATAATTCAAAATTATAAATTTGATTTAAACATATATAAACCGAAAGAGGTAAATAGCAGTTAGAAAAGATACTAAAGCTTAACACGACTCATATACGTATTAGCAATTTTGATTAAAATAACAATATATATGAACATCAATACATTTTTAGAAATGTTAGAGTTGAATAAATCATATAGACCAAACACTATCTTGTATTTCTAGCTTCCACCAAGGTACTTATATTTGTACTTTCAGTCAAAAGAATTTCGAAAATTATACATTTCTTCTACAATTATATTCTTTTCATTTCTATCGCCAATTTTCTACTCTTGCCTATTATTTATATCTTAATATTGAAAGGAAAAGACAATAGATAACAGAAAAAGTGGCGATCGAGATTAGTTCTATATTTTATATTAGTTGCATTTAAAAATACTATATTGGAATTATCTTGTCATACCGTGATAATATGAAAAAGAAAAGCTAATACTTGAAAAAAAAAAAAAAAAAGAAGTATACTTCTTCTTCACATATCATAATATAAAAACAAAAAAAAAGAAACATTCGAAGCTACCAGGGGTCGAACCTGGAATCTCCTGATTCGTAGTCAGACGCCTTATCCATTGGGCCATAGCTCCTTAGTTGATTTACGAAGCAGTCAAAAATAATACAAGCTCCAACCTTCCTAATTTGGAAATATCACGTGACTTCGTAACTTTTCGGTGGAAACATGTTTAATTTAATTTCCGTTTTTAAGATGAATTTTATTATGGAGTTGGGTGATGGATGGATGGTTGGGGAAGGGGGAAGTATGTTACAGGATTGTTTTACCCAAGAATATCAGCTTATCCAAAAAAAAAATAGCCTACTCGAGTTTTTATAGCCAAGCTAGTATAGTTTGGGTACTCACACTTGTTTACGCATTATTCATCCATTTCCCAACTCCATTTCTCTACACAACACAACTTACTTCTACTCAATATATTACTTAAATGAATCTCACTACATATCACATTATATTTAGCTAGAATAGGGGTATTATAGATAACATATGATTACATTTATAAACTAGTATATTAAATAAGAGTAATGATCCACATGACTAATATGCATATATTTTTATCATTAGTTAACTCATAACATCGGTATTTGTTATTATGCTATTTTTTTTTTTATTCAAATCAACATCGCGTACATCTATTGTATAAAAAATTATTTATATAATCTCGGGTATGATTTAAAATAAGATGAGAAAAATAAATGGTAAGAGGAAAATAGTAGAATACATTTATAATTTAGTTTCCTGTCTTGGACCAGATGCAGAATCTATTTTCAAAAAGGTTAAGACAGCATTTCTTTCTTTTTTTTTTTCTTTTTACCTAGCCACTTATTCATTCTATTTAAAACTGTAACTGTATCAGTACCATGTGTACTAGTTGCATTAGTAGAGGTACTAGCTGAAGAACCTGTAGTATTAGCCCCTGTTGATGCTGTTGTTTTACGTTCCATCATAAGATAATGCATCTGCAATCTTAATCCATGACATATAGCTCTTAAACTTTGAAGTTCTTCTTGTAAACGAAATGTTTCTGTCATTAATGCCATATTTTGTTTTAATTCCAATGATGCAATATTAACAGATAAAGTTTCTAGTTCATTATTCATTCGTTGATTTTCAGACATTATAGATTCATTGCGTGCTTCCTCTGTAATATCTGGATCAATCATAAAGTGACCAGGAAACATACGATTTAGTTGATGTGATAGAGATTCAATGTTTTGTTGTATTTCATGTTGCTGACTTTTTAGTGATTCATTTTCTTTGTAACATTGTTGAAGCTCGTTTCTTAATGCCTTCTCTGTTTGTTGTTGTTTGTAAAGGTAATGCTTGATTGATTCATAAGGACAGTGAGATAAGTGGTCTTTCAAGTGCTGTCTTTCGTCGGTCCAAACACATCCAAACTCAGCATGTGGGCAAGAAAGAATAAATTGTGGGCAGTCTTTCAAATGAAAAATATGTTCAGATCTGGGATGCGAAGTTTTACAGTATGGACAAGTAATTATTTCAGCAGGACATAATTTATAATGATTCTATAATGTTTAAAATGTTACTTGAAAAAAAAAAGAAGGCATAGCAAACAAAACAAAGTTTATATTATATAACACGCTTACTTCTAGTTCATAAGTACAAAATTTCTTTTTACACATGTTACATTCTATAATTCTATACTTGCAATTTTCGACATGATTTTGAAGATCCTTTCTTAATAAAAGCTCCTTACATTCTTCTAATTTACATGGAGCCATAATATATTCACAATCATGTTTTAAATGTGATTCTATAAATTGACGTTGTCCTATATATGGACAACCTTGTTCTTGATGAGGGCAGTATACAAGTAATTCATTAACCATATTATAAATAATTTTAGCTGCTGGTTCGAAATCATCTTTCGATAAAGTTGATCTATCAATAGGGCAAATGGGTGATGCTTCAATTGCTTGAAATATACATTTTTTACAAAATATATGTCTATAGAAAAGTAATAAGTTATCTAAAAACAAAAAAACTTGATATTCTTTTTTTTTTTCTTATTATTATTATTACTATTATTTGAAGGGAATTACCCACAACAAGAAATTACTGGTTCAATAAAAGGATTTTGACAAATGCAGCAAATTAAATTATCATTAACTTTATCAACAAAACGAACAGCTCTTAGATCAACATGCGAATCATCCATTTTACAAATTATTACTTAAAAAAGAGAGTATATAATGCACACATACGAGTGTATTGTATTTAGTAGCATTTGGTTGGTGGAACAAAAGCGTGAGTAAATATAAATTATCTACATTAAGCTGTTCTATTGGCTGCTTAAATGTTTAGGATATACTCCGTTTGAAGACATCTTGCCAAAGTAGTATCTGTGTTTATGTTTGGATCTATAAAATAATTTAATGTGAAGATTTGATAAAGCTTCTAATAATCTGCTTGTCATTTCCCTAAGAAAATAAAATAAAATAAAAGTTTATAGCACTTACAATTAATTAAATACTACAAAATTTAATAAGGAAAAATGGCTTAATTTCTTTAAAATGGATGTAAAAATTGTTCGCTAAAAACTTTAGTATTATTTATATTGAAAATAATGGTAAAAGATGTTTGTAGTATTAGTTACTAATTTGCATACTAAAGCAAAACGTAGGATGATTACTTTGATATGTTAATCATTTAGCGTGTTTTTATAATCTCCCTTAGTCATTATCTATCTATCTGTTTTTTTTTTTTTTTTTTTTTTTTTTTTTTTTTTTTTTTTGTTTGTTTGTTGACTATGAATGCAATAATATACTGTTATAATTAATATTTGTATTTCTATTATACATGCAATATTATATTAATCTTCTTCTATTGTGAATATATGACATGAATCACCCAGTATACAGTCCAATAAAATAAATTCACTTATACAAAGTTCTACAATGATAAACATTCATATTTAATATCATGTTAGTTCCTACAAGTATAAGCTTCGTAAGGTAGTTAGTTTAAAGTATATTATTTATTTGAGACACTATAATCTTTAGAAAGCTTTCTCTTCTGATATTGGCTTTAATGTGTATATCCTTTTTACTTTCATATTTAATATAGAATTAATAGTTATATATTACTGGTAAAAATAATTAAAATAAGCATTGTCTATATTTTACCTTCACATACAGCTTGTGAAGCATACTATAATAAATATATAAAAGAAATTTAAGGTACTTAATGAAATGCTCATTGAATGCCCTTATGTTTTCTAAATTGTTCTCTTAAATTAATAGCATTAGTAGAGGTGATTAATAACAAATGAGGGACATAAGCAGAGTAGTTTTGATTCATATAAAGTGATGACTCAAACTTACTATCCCTTAAAAGCTTAGTAATAAATGACTGTTTTAGAGAAGAAGTCTTCTGTATCCCTCTTACTAGTTTTTTAAATAAAATGAAATAAAAAATAAAGAAGAGTTGGACCCGCAATTATTCTGGAGAGGTGTAAGCGACTGCGTGCATGCATACATACATACAGGCATTCGATGGCATAGGGTCTACTGAGTTAAGTGTACAGATAATATATATACAATATTTTAGTGTACCATCAGGTAACTAACCCAGGAAACCATCGAATAACACGACTACGTGCATTATAGGATAATAGATAGCCAAAGTATAGTATCAATAGTAAGTCAAGGATTTACAAGCGATGAATTAGTTTGGAGTGACGACTATCCCATATTTCTTTTTAAAAGAATCATTGAAGACGATTCCTTGAAGGAGTGGTCTATCTAGTGTTTTAGATCCTGCAGCAGGAAGCCATCAACACAATGATTTATTGAATTTATACCATTGAGTGCTCCTATTTGAACTTTTGGATATGGGGAAATAGTGTACGAAGTAATCTGTCAAAAGATAGATTATTAGTAAGGAAAAAAGGAATTGTGCCTGTTAAGAAGGACACTCTATCTGTTATTATTGTAGTTTTTTTTTTTTTTTTTTTTTTTTTTTTTTTTTTTTTTGTTTCTTTCCTTCAAATATCAGAGGTCCAAATGGGTGTAAATCGTTACTGATATGCATGTATTCAGAAGTTACACGCTTTTGTTTGTCTAGGAAAGTTTAATATGTTACTTTTATGAGCATCATCACTCATCTCTAATAAGTTTAAGAAAATAAAAGGGTCTAAATTGGCTTTTCATGTTGTCTAAAAAAGGTAAACATGACTTCTGAATTTTATTTTTGATTTGTCTAGAAAAAAACTAACAATGTCTGAATTCAAAGTGTAAAAAATGTAGTATCAAAATCTGTACACGCTATTGGTTTAAAAAAAATTTAAAGGTGATAGCAATGATTAAAAAAAGATAATAATACCTCTCAAAATAATATAAAATATTTTTTTTTTATTATTAAAAAAAACTTCCTTTTTTATTTTTTTTTCTTTTTATATAACAATAATAATTTTTGATTTCCTTTTATTTTATTAAACTTTTGTTATAATGGCTAAAGAGAAGGTTACTAAGAAATCACGTAAGTATTATTAAAACTAGAAAAAAAAAGGCGTGTTACTTAATAGATATGAATATATTAAATTCCGTTTGTACACACGTAAATACAGCTAAGAAGATGTCTCCCTACAATCAGTTCGTGAAGGTAAAATCAGTCGTTTGTATCTAGGAAACCTTTTAATTTAATCATTAAATTTAGGCTGAACTCGCCAAGATTAAAGAATCCAATCCTAGTATCTCTCACAAGGATGTAAGTTTTTATTATATCAGCGTTTTTATTTTGACATCGTGTCTAGACTCTAACAATTTTGGGATTTATTGTGCACAAAACTTTCTTTTGTAAAATGATGATACTGATTTTTTTTTTTTTTTTTTTTTTTTTTTTTTTTTTTGGATAATAGGCCTTCAAATTAGCTGTAAGTGTATATAGAAAATAAAATGCATTAATAAAAATATATATATTAAAAACGTTGTATCTAGGCTAAAAACTGGGCTGATTCTCCTGAAAACCCCAAGAACAAGAAGGTAGAAAATAAGGAAGAGAATAAAGAAGAGAATAAAGAAGAGAACAAGGAAGAGAACAAGGAAGAGAAGAAGGAAGAAAACAAGGAAGAAAAGCCTGCTGAATCTACTGCTGCCTAAATGAAATCATTTTTTTTTCCTATTCTAATAAATGGGTTTTTCTTAATTTAATATGTATAAAAAAAAGTATTTTATTTCAAATTTACAGTATATTTGTATTTGTATACATATAATGATATAAATATGTATATGTATATAGTTAATATGTACACATAACTAGAAACTGGGCCTATTAGTTTCTTCACTATTTTCATGATATGTATTGGTATAAAGGGAAGCTCTAAAAAATGTAAAAACAAGTGACATTTTCATTTCTACGGTTCGTAGCTTCTCAAGTATGTGAACTACTTCTTTATCATTTATTTTCGTTATTGCTGCATTGAGCTATTCATTTCATTTATTTAGTTAATTACAAAATTAAAATATATATATATATATATATATATATTTATATATATTAATCTTTCTTGACGTGTACCCTATTAATATTTTCTACTAATAGTTCTGTTTCACTTATAATAGCATCCTCATATGTTCGCATCGTAATCTTGAATTTTCAATAGAGAATTGGATCTTTAATAGAAAACACGTGAAATGAAAAATCAATTTTATTATTGTTTAAAATATAGTCACGTTTCCTTAAAAAAAAAAAAAACGTCTCCTACCTCCTTTTGGTTAACTGTATCTGTTTTAATTATTATAAATGGCATCAGCTCTCGAGCCCTTAACTATGTTCATTGTTGTCCGAAAGGACCTTGCAAAAGTAAGCTTTCGGCCAATATATACATGTATATATTTTATATCCAATTTTTTTTATATAGCATTTGTTTTTTTTTTCATATAATTTAGAAGCTTCAATGGCCAGCTGGCAGGTAATGAGAGAGTAATTAAGATGCTTTCAGTCTTATATGCGTAAACATATCTCTATTACTTTTTAATATTTATACTTAAGTTTATGTTTTTTATTTGTATAGTGTTATGACACAAGCATGTCATGCTGCTACTGCCATCTTACATATCACACGTGAAGATGAAAACACAAAAGCGTACCTTGAGGATTTGGATAATATGCACAAAGTTGTATTAGAGGTACAGAAATAATAGCTATTTATAAAAAGGAAAATACTAAAAAAAAAGTAATGCTTTATCTTTGAAAAAAAGACAAAAAACGAAGGATCGTTAGAAAAACTAGCCGAAGTTCTTCAAATTCATAATGTCCCTTTTAAAAAATGGATAGAACAACCAGAAAATATTCCAACTGCATTAGCAACAGCTCCATTACGTTCTAGAAGCCCTGAAGTATTAGAAGCATTCAGAAAGTGTTGCTCTTTATATCGCTAAAATAGGATTAGAAAATAAAATTATTCATGATAGAAAGACTAGCTAGATCCCTGTTAATAATAAATGAATTATTTCTGTTTGCAATTATGTACTAGCTTCAGTTATATAGCGAAAGGGGATGAAATGATTAACTCTAAAGTCTTTAATATCATATTATACTTAGACTATTTGGTTTTACAATAAATAATATTTAGGCTCTAGAATAGCAGCTTCAATACTTTAAAAATTGCAAGCATTTATGGACGCATTTGAAATCATAGGGATTCCCTTTTAACTAATAACAATCTTATGCTTAGTAAGTTTACTGTATTTTTAGAGTATTTGCTGACAAGATAGATGCAAATACATTACCAAATATTTTAGTAATATATAGCCATCAACTCTATAAAGCTGCTATAGGCTTATAAATCAGTGAATAAATGATTTGATTCAATATTATATAAATAAGAAGAGTATGATTCTAATATAAGCAATTTCAAACTAGTCCTTATTTTATTTCGTATTGAAGTTGACTATCTTAAAGCGCTTGAATATAGCAAATAACATGATTAATGTGCTTGTTTACCTGAACCTTTATATCCCTTTTATCGAACTTACTCCACAAATTGTTATATATTTTATTGTATTTACCTTTTTCAATAAATCAAAATATACGTTTTGTAGATTAATCTTCATAACTATTAGCTCCATCTTTTTACAATAATTAACATTTTTATATTAAGGATAATTGAATAAAACAAGTCAAACGTTAGAAAGCAAGTAAGTTAGTGCAGCAAAGTAAACGAAATATTAGTCAAGTTGTATCAATGTTTCTTTTGATGAATTTGATTGAATATACCCTTATTTTCTTTTTAGTTAATAGCAACAGACACCCAGTTTAACAGTGTGATAGAATGATTATCAAAGCTTATAATAAGATCTTTATTATGTTACTAGATTTCCCATTATTTTAATGAAGTAAATGAATATTACAATATGTAAATACACTAAATATAAAATAAAAATAGTATTTGTACATGTAGTAATTACTTATATCTTTTGCTTCAATTATAAATATGTGTATATGGACAAGTTTACTTGAATATAAGCTTCAAAACAATCCTTTTTTTTTATTAATGCTTCTACCCTTATAACAAAAAAATAGTCACACTATTTCCCGTCTATTGAAATTTCTGTAAAAAACAAAAACTTTTTTTTTTAATGATAAAAAGTTTATTGCGTACTATAAACCAAAATAGTAAAAGAGCGAATAAACGAATCATGTCTACAACATCACAATCATCAGAAATAGACATTACTCAATTTCATACTGTAACTGAAGGGAAAGCAACTATTCTTTTCCCTAAAAAGAATGAAGTATTTTATAATCCCGTTCAACAGTTTAATCGTGACATGTCGATCGCTGCCATACGTACTTGGAGTGAAATATTCAACCAAGAAAAGGCTGAACGTTTAGAAAAAAAGCTTGCCAGGGCAAAAGGTGATTAAACGTAGTTATAAATGTTTGATCTAGTTTTTTATTATTATTATTAACATCCAATTATTCATTAGATGAAAAATCAAAAAATATACTTCAGGAAGTAACTATTGACATTTGGAACTAAAAAAAAAAAAAAAAAAAAATTGAAATAAAAAGTTTCACTAAAATGTCTTTGATTAATTAGAAAATAGATGCAGTCAAAAATTCCAATAATTTCACAATTCTTGAAGCGCTTGCAGCTAGTGGGTTGAGATCGATTCGATATGCAAAAGAAATCCCAAAGTTAAAACAAGTAGTATGCAATGATATTGAAGAAGACGCTATACAAGCTATTAAGCGTAATGTAAAGTATAATGGTCTAACTGAAGATCTCGTGAAACCCAATCATGGCGATGCTATGCGTGTTATGTATGATACAGTAGGCACAAATGAAAAATATGATGTGATAGATTTAGATCCTTACGGTAGTGCTGCACCTTTTGTTGATGGAGCTGTTCAAGCAGTGTCAGAAGGGGGTCTATTATGTGTTACATGTACTGATCTTGCTATCTTGACAGGTGCAATGCATCCTGAAACTTGGTAAGTAATTATTTTATTGTTATTATGTCGACTTTTTTTTAATTTTTTTTTCTTTTGCAAAAAAAAAAAGTTTTGGTAAATATGGTGGTATGCCTTTGAAAAACATGTTTCCACATGAAATAGCTCTTCGTTTAGTTTTACAAATGTTACAGACTTCAGCTGGTCGATATAAGAGACATATTGTACCCCTTTTGTCATGTAGTATTGATTTTTATTTACGTGTCTTTGTGCGTGTATACACATCACCTCAAGGAGTAAAGAAATCAGCTAGTCGAATGGCAATTGCATATGAATGCTCTGGTTGTCATGCTTATTCTACTCAGTCACTTGGTAAGGTTTCATTAAAAGAGAATGGTGCTGAAAGACATACACCTGGTTCAGGTCCAACCGTCAACACTTTCTGTGAGCATTGCAGTAGTACGCATCATATTGGTGGACCCGTTTGGGGGGATAAAATTCATGATGATGAATTTGTTGCCAGGATGCTTCAACATGTGAAAGAGAATGAAACAAATTACGGCACCTCTGCACGAATGAAGGGTATGTTATCAGTTATTAAAGAAGAAATACATGTTCCCTTTTATTGGACTCTTGCCAGATTGTGCAGTACAGTACATTGTAATACTATTCCAATGATGGATCTCTATTCTGCTATTTTAAATGCGGGTTATCAAGTATCTGCTTCACATGCAGCTAAGCAATCCATCAAGACAAATGCGCCACCCTCTGTTATGTGGGATATTATGCGAGCTTGGGTTAAAAAGCATCCTGTAGTCATGAATAATATTGCAGAAAATTCACCAGCAAGGAGGATTCTTGCTAAGGAGCCAACAATTGAAGTTGATTTCACAAGACATCCTAAAGCAATGCCTGAATCAAAGCATGAACATTTAGTACGCTATCAAGTAAACCCTACTCCTAACTGGGGCCCTAAAGCTAGAGCTGGTCAAAAAAGAAAGACAGACGAACAAGTATTCTAATAAAAGCATTTTAACGTGTTAATATATTAGCTTGATTCCGTGCTTTTTTTTATTTTTTTATTTATTTACTATTTACTTTGTTTACTTTTATAATCAGGACACATATTAGATATAAAGTAATGTTGCTTTTATAATATATTATTCTGTGCAATCTTTGCACTACTAAATCAACTATGATTTCAGTTTGTCAAGTTTTATTTAAATTGGGAGATAAATCTGATTGACTTTATATAAAATGCAGGAATAATAAATTCTCTCCTCTTTGCATCACTGAGAGTGAAATTGAGTGACTAATAATAAAACACTCATTTTTTAATTACATTCGTGCACATTTCTTTTTTATTCTATAAAATACAAAATAAATAAATATGTCAACAGGGCAGCACAAATTTCAATCCTTTCAATCTATGACAGGTGCTTCAACTCGAGATCAAACAGTTGAAGAACGTTATGGTATTCCTGAAAACTTTTTAGAAATTGAAGTAAAAAATCCTCAAACACATGGTAAAATGTCTATTTAAAGTTGAATTGCAAACATGTATATAAACATCCTATTATAGGCTTTGGACGTAAAATGTATACTGACTACGAAATCATCTGTAGAGTAAATATATTAGGAGAATAATAATAATAATAATTATAAAAGTAATAGAAAACTAAATAACAATCCAATTTTTAGACCAACATTCCAGCATTCAAGTTGAAACAATCTGCAGTTCGTAGAAGATATAGTGATTTTGAGTGGTTTAGAGATGTTTTAGAACGTGAATCTACAAGAGTTAATATCCCTCCTTTACCTGGTAAAGTCTTCACAAACAGATTTTCAGATGAGGTCATTGAACAACGTCGAGAAGGTTTAGAAAGATTCTTACAAATGTAAGTCTATACATAAAAAGAAAGAAAGGAAGAAAAAAAAAAGGGTAAAATAAATAAATGTATTTTAACAAATTCATGTTTATTGCTGTAGTGTTGCCGGACATCCTTTGTTACAAACTGGTAGTAAAGTACTTGCCGCTTTTATTCAAGATCCTAATTTCTCCCGTGATAATTACAACTATTAATATTTTTTTTTACCCTTTTTTTTGTCATATATAATAATAATGATGTATTTTTTTATAAAAACCAAAAAAACCAAAAAAACCAAAAAAAACTGATAGTCTAAAGTTTTATTGTTTATTTGACAGCATAATATAGTTTATGCGCCTTTTAAACAAATACTAATAATGCATAATATTCTCGAATGTTTTCCTTTTTATAGCATTTTTAAGAAACATTACTTTGTTAAACGGTTCGACAACTAAATAGTCTTTCATTTTATATATGTTCAGTAATAAATAATATTGTTTATGAATAGAACTCCTAAATAATATTCTTTTTTTCCTTACTAGTATATCTTTTACAAGACTTGAGTAATCTATTTATTAGTTCTGTTACAGCAAGAACCTCGAACTATCAAAAAAAAAAAGGCTAATTATTCACTACATTTGACAGCCACACTTATCACTACTACCGTCATCAGCTCTACAAAAGATATACTTTTATATGTTTATTCATTTATAGATATTAATATGAAATAAAAGAAATCATCTTTATTATTCTTATTAAAATACTCATGTACACCATCCTATTCATATCAAGTAATACTCTAATATCAGATATTAAGGCACGATAAATGGAAGTATCAGATCCCATAATTCAGTTTGTTTAATGTATTAAAAAAGAACAGAGGCTTACTTTATGTATTCTACGTTTACAAAAAAGAATGGCAATTTTCAAATTATCTATCCAGTCAATACCAGAGCAGCTGCAAGAGGGTTTTGCAAGATATACTATATATATTTATCAGATTGGTTATGATTGTAGTCGTCTTTACAACCAAGTTAATAAAATCATTTATAAAATAATAAAAAGGTTATTCAAATAAAACTAGTGTATTGTACTTCACAGCATCATATTCATTCTACAACATTCAGTTTTAATAGCAGTCATTGAGCATTTAATAATAATTATGTACATTGTATTATGTAATAATAAGAATTCAATAAGATTATGACTGTTATATTCAATTACACAATTATTTCTGGATCATATATCTATGATGTTGAGTATTTTTACAAAAATAAAATAATTGACTAATATGCTTTAATCCGACTTTCTAATACCTACACCTTTGCTCTTGTTTTCTTTGCTGCAGATGCTCTTTGAAGTTATTAAACAAAATTTGGTCATTTGTATACGATTTACATAATGACAGACATATTATCGCAAGTCTTGATGAAAAGAGCAGTATTTCTGTATCTCTTACAAAAAATGATGGCAGAAGCTAGGAATTGAATTCAAAGAGACCTAGATTTGGGAAATTATACCCTATGAAACTCGAGACTAATACATGTGTACTATAGACGTTAATATAGAACCTGTATTAATGAATATTCTTGTTGGCAACCTTGAATAAAAAATAAAATCTATTAATTAAAATACTTCCGTTTTGTAAAACTTGCTAAAAGTTATTTATTTTATGGTCACAAAAGAAGTCTTCAAATGTGTACAAAATTTATTTTATGGTCAAATTGTAAACGTTTAAGTTTACCCTAAGTGGTCAATGCACGAATTTCTCACTTTTATTTGTCCTCCAGTCTATTATTAGTTTTCCTCTTATTATTGGTAAATAACAGCTAAGCTCTCTTTTACAACAACCAGTTAGACATACATATTATTTCCATATATATTATCAACAGCAAACGCGAATTAGTATAAATACCTGATAACTTTTCTATTATTTTTTTCTTTATTAAAAACTTTATAATTGTTATTTATTTCTTATCCAACAAGAAAACTCTCTCTTCAAACTCAAATCTAAGGATATTACACAAATGTGTATTATATTCTATAAAATCAATTATAAAAATTTATAAACCATATTGCATAAAACAAATATAACAAGAGTTACTAAAGGATCACCAAATTATATAATATTGTAAAGCATCAAAGAATTACTTTTATAGATAGATTTTAATAAAATTATTATTTACATCATTTAGAATCATTATGGGTGTAAAGCTTGACAAGGAATTAGTCAACCAAACATCTGGTAGTTATACATTTAGAATTCAAGGTAGCCCTTACAAGGAGTATCCTGCCAGTAAAAGGTTGCAAGTGCATCTTGAAAATGAGCAGCAAGTTTATTTTGATGAAACTGATGATCTTAATGAGGTTCTTGAGAATGCTACAATGCAGGAGACTACTTTGACAGCTTGGTTCAAAATTAATCGTGTTAATGAATTTGCTCGCACTATTTTATATCCCAATTTTCCTGAGCATTTCAGATGGAAATCGTCAGATAAACCAAGAAGATGGGTACCTAGACAAAGAGGATTCTCGGATACTATAGGCCGTGTGTTTACCGTGTCGCCCAGAGAAACAGAAAAGTACCATCTGCTTATGCTTCTTTACCATGTGAGAGGTGCTACCAGTTTTACTGATTTACGAACAGTAAATGACATTGAGTATGCTACCTACCAAGAGGCTGCAATGGCTTTGGGTCTCTTAGAACTTGATAATCAATAGGTACTTTGTTTAGAAGAAGCTGCAACTTTCCAAAGTGCATCTTCATTGCGTGGTCTCTTTTGCGTAATAATTGCTTTTTGCTTCCCAGCCAATCCTTTTCAACTGTTTGAGCAATTCAAGCAACAATTTTCAGATGATCTGCTACATAGTCTCCGTAGTAATCCTGAGCTTCAGAGTCCGGCAATAGACATTCAGACGCTTGCTGGAGATCTATGATCAGCTACTTGAGCATTACAACCTGGATTTCTCTGATCACGTTGGGTTTGTCATACCTCCAGTTGATACAAGAGCTAATGCTGTTGATCCTAACATCCCAAGGATTTTAAGGGAGCATCAGCGACTAATTGTAGAAGCACAATTAAGGCCAGTAAATGCCCAGTTAAATTTTAGCCCTGATCAACAGCTGGTTTATGATACTATTGTTGCTATGGTTGATTCAGATGATTCGCTGCCTTCGTCATGTGGGAGAGTATTTTTTGTTGATGGCCCCGGTGGAACTGGAAAAACCTTTCTGTTTAATGCTTTATTGAATAGGGTAAGACGAGAAGGTAAAATTGCTGTAGCAGTAGCCTCAAGTGGCACTGCATCTCTGTTACTTGAGGGTGGTAGGACATCACATTCCGTGTTTAAAATTCCCCTTAATGTTGATCCTGACAGTATGTGTAATATCAAACCAAACTCACCAACTGCTGATCTTTTGATGCAAACAAAATTAATTTTATGGGATGAGTCTTCAATGACCAGTAAAGACATTTTTGAAGCTCTCGACAGGTCCCTTAAAGACATAGCAAAGTTTGTAGATCCACAATTGAAGAATATCCCTTTTGGTGGTCGGCTTTTGGTTTTTAGTGGCGACTTTCGTCAAATTTTGCCTGTTGTTCCTAAAGGTTCACGATCACAAATTGTTAATCAATGCATTAATCGTTCATACCTTTGGAGCCATGTTCAAGTTTTACGACTTTGTACCAACATGCGTGTTCAGCAAACATTATTTTCAAATAACACAGCTTTGGCTTCTAAATAAAATGCATTTGCTACGAACCTTCTGGCTATAGGAGATGGTAGAGTAGACACTCACAAGATTAATTTGGGTGACGAACCTCCTGAGATATTTGATACGGGTCTCATTGAGATCCCAAACAGTATGATTATCAGAGGTAACAACTTGATCCATCTTTTGCAAGCAATGTACCCTGGACTGTATCAATTTCCCCAACAATTTTCTACAGCATCTCTTATCAATTCTGCGGTATTATCCACCACAAACAAAGATGTAGCTGTTATTAATGATTTGATATTCGACGTTTTTCCTGGTGAAGCTACAATCTCTTTCAGTGCTGATGCACCTATAATTGAAAATGAAGATCTCTCAGTTCCAACTGAGTTTTTGAATTCGTTAGAAGCAGATGGACTACCTTAACATGCTTTGAAGTTAAAGATTGGTGTCCCCATTATGCTGTTGCGGAATATCGGCTCAAAGCAAGGTCTTTGTAACGGTACTCGCCTGATCGTCAGAACAATTCTACCTCACGTAATAGAGGCATTAGTTGCAACAGGCTCTCATATTGGTAATGTTGTGTACATTCCAAAAATTAAATTATTTAGCAGCAATGAGCCGACTATCCTACCACTCTCATTTTCAAGGACTCAATTTTCTGTTAGACTTGCATTTGCAATGATAATTAACAAAGCTCAAGGACAGACTATGGATCGTGTTGGTTTATATCTTCCAAACCATGTATTCAGTCATGGACAGCTCTATGTTGCTTTGTCAAGGGTAAAATCGCCTTCTGCTATTAATATTATGATTGATGCTGATTCTAATAGTGGAAATAACAATGAAAAATCTTATACTAGAAATGTAGTGTACAATGAAGTTTTATCCAACAATAGCTAAAATTTCTTTAAAATCATTAACTATAAACATAACATTCATATTACATATTCCAAACAATAAATATCAACAATATTTTTATGTAACCACACAATATAAATGTACTATTTAGGCATTTCTTTTTTTTTTTTTTTTTTTTTTTTTAATAATTGAATGTTGAGTTCTTCCCAAACCCGCAGGGCGAGGAAGCCACCCCCGTAATGCAGGTCAAGTTTTTTACCGGAACGAGAGGGAAGGTGAGCAGCCTCGTAAACAATTAAAATAAAACGGATGAATATTCTGATTATTTGACGGTCTAAGATATGAATGATCTTTATTAAAGTGAAAGATACAAATGATAGATGGGATATTGAAGTTATATCATAGGTAGAGGAGTATTTATGTTCATTAACGAATCTATTACTAATTGAAGCCTGTATACAGCAGACGTCTTATTAAACAATGTGAGTATTTTGAATACAGTATGGTACTAACAAACTTACAACTTATTCCATATTTAGGTCAGACACTACTTTTTGGGTTATGTTGTATTTACTTGAAAAGGTTTCCCAATAGAGGCTTTGTTTCATTGACTATCAAATTCCAGCCAAGCATTTTTCTTTAGATCTTGTATCTCTTTTTGGTGACTAAAACGAGCTAGACTGTACCTTCCTCATTTACCCAAGAGAGCATATCAAGTTCCGGTGTACCATCTTCCCTACCTCAACTAGTTAACTCTGGGCAACACCTGGTTGCTTCTGGCAAGTACTAGCAGCTGAACAAGATATATAACAATCTTAAACGTTAGTCACCTGTCCTTTAGCTTCATACATTTTAAATCAACAGACTTAAAATGCATAATGGTAGCTAACGAAGCAGTCCAAGTGAGTACTTGTTTAAAACTGGCCATGACAGAGGTGAATCAAATAGTAATCTATACACAGATGGCTAATGACATACTGTCTAATAGGCATTTAATAAAGGCAATTTGAAATATTTCACCTTGTTATAATTAAAAGAAAAAAAAAAAAAAAAAAAATCAACATTGCAATTACATACACTATAACGATAACTAATTATTCCGAAAAGATGGCGTAGAAGACTTGTGATTTATACTTGCTTTTTTTTGGCAGGGTGGCGAAGCAGAATTTAATTATTGAAATTTGTATTGGCCAAGTTGGTAACTTGGATTTGCAACAGTTGATCTAGTATATTGAATACGTCTTCCCCTATCGATCTTTTTTTCTTTTTTGACTAACAAAAAATTTTAATTCCTACATCTCCTTTGATCTAGCCTAGGCAATGTAATATTCTTAATATTACAGCTGAAGAAAATAGGTTGGGCCCACAAAAAAAAAATTGTTCCATTTCAAAAAAAAGACCCAAAAAGACCCATTTCAAAAAAAAAGGACACCAATTTTGAAAATGGAACACTCATTTGAAAATGGGACAACCAATAGAAAAATAGGTCATTTAAGACAGCAATTTGAAAAGTTTTATTTTTATTACTTACGTATATTATGTGCTGTGTGTGTGTGTGTGTGTGTGTTTTGAGTTAATCAGTATCTTGATTTCATTTTTTTTACAATCTTTTTTCGCAATCTATGCACCTTTGCCAGAACGATAATGAATGTCGTATCCAACTTTCACAGTCTTCTTTGCTGATACATACTGATGCATTGCGAATGCGTTCGCTGATCTTCGTGCTTTGTCTGACTGAGGCGGGATCACTGTTTACAACATTTTTTAACTTGGACTAGAACTCTTCAATTGGATTTAAAATGGAGAATATGGTGGTAAAAAGAGAAGTTGATATCCTTATTACATAATAAAAATTATTATTATGAATGTAATTTTAAGTGGCACAAGTTTCTCTGAAATAAATAAAGTAAAAGTTGATAATAACAAAGGTCACCTGTAATAATTTTCATGCTACACAAATTCGTATTCACAAAATAATAGACTAGCTCAAAAATACATTTATTAAAAAGTACACCAAAAGTACACCAGCTAAAAAATACACTCACAAAAAAGTACACCAAAAGTACACCAGCTTAAAAATACACTCACAAAAAAGTACACCAAAAGTACACCAGCTTAAAAATACACTCACAAAAAAGTACACCAAAAGTACACCAGCTAAAAAATACACTTATTAAAAAGTACACCAAAAGTACACCAGCTTAAAAATACACCCACAAAAAAGTACATCAAAAGTACACCAGCTAAAAAATACACCCACAAAAAAGTACACCAAAAGTACACCAGCTTAAAAATACACTCACAAAAAAGTACACCAAAAGTACACCAGCTAAAAAATACACTCACAAAAAAGTACACCAAAAGTACACCAGCTAAAAAATACACTTATTAAAAAGTACACCAAAAGTACACCAGCTAAAAAATACACCCACAAAAAAGTACATCAAAAGTACACCAGCTAAAAAATACACCCACAAAAAAGTACACCAAAAGTACACCAGCTTAAAAATACACTCACAAAAAAGTACACCAAAAGTACACCAGCTAAAAAATACACTCACAAAAAAGTACACCAAAAGTACACCAGCTAAAAAATACACTTATTAAAAAGTACACCAAAAGTACACCAGCTTAAAAATACACCCACAAAAAAGTACATCAAAAGTACACCAGCTAAAAAATACACCCACAAAAAAGTACACCAAAAGTACACCAGCTAAAAAGTACACTCACAAAAAAGTACACCAAAAGTACACCAGCTAAAAAATACACTTATTAAAAAGTACACCAAAAGTACACCAGCTTAAAAATACACTCACAAAAAAGTACACCAAAAGTACACCAGCTAAAAAGTACACTTATTAAAAAGTACACCAAAAGTACACCAGCTAAAAAATACACTCACAAAAAAGTACACCAAAAGTACACCAGCTAAAAAGTACACTTATTAAAAAGTACACCAAAAGTACACCAGCTTAAAAATACACCCACAAAAAAGTACATCAAAAGTACACCAGCTAAAAAATACACCCACAAAAAAGTACACCAAAAGTACACCAGCTTAAAAATACACTCACAAAAAAGTACACCAAAAGTACACCAGCTAAAAAGTACACTTATTAAAAAGTACACCAAAAGTACACCAGCTAAAAAATACACTCACAAAAAAGTACACCAAAAGTACACCAGCTTAAAAATACACCCACAAAAAAGTACACCAAAAGTACACCAGCTAAAAAGTGTATTTTAACAAAAAAAAAAAAATTACTTGTAAAGTGATAAGAATTTATTTTTAATGTTTTTTATAATTGTGACATTCGCCGTAGATATTGCACTACTTAATCCTTTTGCAATTATGGAGATATTATTTTCGAGGCAGAATTTAATGACATTAATTTCTTCACCTTTTTTAAATTCTTTTTTTAATTGTATAACAATTTTGCACATTGGCTCCCAATCCTTGTAGTCGTTTTTTTTGTCGATGATTGGATCGTATTCCAAAAAAAAATCTTCAAGTTGATTAATCTTGAGTATGCATTTGTTGTAAACCACGGCAATTGCAATTATTTGAAGCAATTGTGAAGATATCGAAGCTAAGGAATTAGGCCCAAAACCATATCCGCATGAAGGCATACTACACAAGGTAACGGTAGTTGCCGGCATGGTCAAGGTGGTGTCGAAATTGTGAAGACTACTTCTCCATGGTTTATACGTCGAAACTTTGCTGAAATGTGTCAATAATTGTCTCATATTGTTCAAACTTGTAGGTATTGATTGGCTATTACCAAATCGTTTCAATAATTGTTCTTCGCAAGCTGTACGAACAAAGATACTGCATGTTTCAGGAGAGATTCTGGATTGACCAAAATCTACTCCTGGCCCCACGTGTACTTTGGGGTCTTTGGAGATCTCAACAGACGACACTATCAATATATTTAAAGAAGTACTTCCAATGATTAATTTTTGTACCTCTTTTCCTCCATCTGATTTAATATGCACTGAACAATTGATATTATTATTATCATCAGGCATGGAATACTCCGTCGATTCTGAATGAATATCAATATTATTGCTTCTAGAGTAAACTTCAGAAGTCAAAACAACTAAAGCAATGCTACTATCTTGAATAATAGCACCATGGAACAACGCAGGGATCAATTCCAAAAGCTGAGGCTTCAAACGGTAATCAAAGTTTAAAATTTTTTTTACTTCACTGCTGATTTTTGTATAGGGACCTAACTTGTTGATAATATTTGGTGTTGCAGAAGCCCTAACAGACATTTGAAGGATAGAATCATCATTGTTCATATTGTTTGTGATGGCAGTGTCTGCCTCTTGATGATCATTATGTACCTTTCCATTTTGATCTCTACTGAATGAAATTCGTCCAGAAAAAACTTCTGACACAATGTCATTTTGAAATGGGATATTCTTAGATAACATTAATGAATTTTCATTCGACAATAAGCAATATGTGGAGACAATTTGACTGGAGTTCTGTTTGAAAAATTCAAGCTTCATAGGCTGGCAATTAGCAAATTTGGTGTATTGAATGGTTTGATGTTGATCAAAATTTGAATCAGTCAAAACACGTTTAGAACCTTCTGCAAATGAAAATTCAGGACAAGTTTCATATTTTCTTTTTTTACAATTTATGCAGATTCCGCTTATATTTCTTGTTGCGTGTATTTTATGGAGACAGTATTTGCAGTATGATCTACTTTCTGATTGACTACTTGAATGAGTATTTTGAGTGATTTCATTGGGATCAGTGTCAGCATTATTTTTTTTCATTATGAATTAATAAAACCTTTTTTTTTTTTTAGTTTATTAAATATGTTATTTGTTAAAAAAAGAAAATGAAGCACTGCCTCTTTTTTGATTACGATTTCCAAACACGAAATTTTACCCCTTTTTTAATGTTCTTCAGCTATTCAAAAAAAAAAAAAAAAAAAGACGGTATCTATGGCAACTGGAAAATAAGAATAAGCGAGTCATATTTATTCTTATTGAACAATCAGGCATTAACACATAGTGATATACATTCATTCTTTAGTTCTTGTACGCTTAGAACACTATGATTTTATATACCGCTTAATTTTTACATATCATACTTTGTATTTATTTTAATTATACAGTACAATATACAAATAATTTATGGTAAATATACTACACAAAAACTTGTTCTCTGAGTTATTCTTTCTTCGGGTATACTTGCTTTGAGTTTTGCTACTCGTTTTTGTTTTTTAGACAAATTTGTTACAGAATGTAAGCCAGCTACTCAAGCATAATATAAAAAGATAAAGGAAGCTACATGTTAATGAAGTATTTGATTAAAACAGTCGCTCAAGATAATTAGTTAATAATTTATTATTTTTCTTTGGGAAAATATAAGACCAAATGATATATATTTGTTTATAAGCACAGCTTTATTTACTCCATAGAAACCCTCCTTTTTTTAGAAGTGCTCCAAATAGTATTTCATAAGAACACCTTACTTGTTACGCTATTTGGAGCTATGATTGGTTAAATAACAAAGTTGTTCAGCATTTCACCTTACTTGTGAGCATCATGTAGGGAGAAATAAAAATAAAATTAAAATTATTCCTTGCATTTAGAGCAAGAAAAAATGAAAGAAAACGAACTCATTACATGATTGATATTAACTCAGACGCACTTGAAGCATTGCGAGTAAAGGTCTCTTCTATTTTCTAAAAAAAAAAAATAATTTATTAACTATATTATCTTGAACATCCAGGCTCAATATACAAGGAAAATGAAAACTCTCTGCATCCCTACCGCACTAGTTGAATATCTGGCAACGACTTCATTCAACAAGTTCTCAAGCCTAACTACCGACAGGAGCCCTTGAAGAAGTTAGCAGAGGGCGCTAAACTGCATTCAATCTATTTCTTGTTGAGAGCATGTGGATATTGTAGCAACTTCGTTAACTAATGCATCCTGAAGAAAAAAAAATAAAATAAAAATACGATTAAGAATTATTTTATTTATAACAAAAATTTTTATAAAAAAAATTTAAACAACCCATGTGAGCACATAATACTGGCGTATTGGATTGCCCAGGTCAGTTCGAGAAAGGATAAAAGTGTTCTAAAAAACCTTTTTATAGGCAAAAGGGTAAAAAAGAAAGAGAAGGGAAGAGGAAAAGCAAGATATTTCAATAAATACTAGATTCAGAGTTACGTAACCAGTTTACAAGTTTTGTACCAAGGGGGGCAGTTTCTGGAGGAAGTTTACCATGATGGAGATAGTCAAGTTCAAAAAGTATAAGGCACATAGGAGGCCAACGAATCGTCCAGGCGGAAAAGACAGATGAGTTGAAAGCTGATGAGATTGGCGGCATGCGTTTTTGTTTATCTGGCAGCTTATTCAAGAGGAAGGACAAAGGGTCGAGTTCGGTCAAAGGCATTTGTAATCGTCGATGCATATGTAGACACCATATAGCATGAGATCTTATGAACAAGGCATTAGGGTGATAGATGCACGGTTTAGGGGCACTACCAGGTAACCAACCTAGACGCCAGCGGACTATTCGGCTGCGTTCTGCATTTGACATAGGTAACCAGAGGATAGGATCGATACCTAGGGTAGGACGGCAGGCAGACAAAAGAACGGCATTCTTACTGTTTCGTCGATCACCAAGATTATCTTTCAGGTATGCTTTACAGATACCAGCAAAAGCACGAGGATCATAAATATTATCGTCAAAAGAAGCAGTATACCGTTGCCAAATAGGTGTTTTCGAAAGCTTATACCATTGAGAATGGCTTGAAGAGGTGCGTATATGTGGTAAAAACTTAGAAACGAGAGTATCGTCCGGAGAGTAGATAGACCGAAGTAAGAATTTAGCTTGCAGGAGGTGATTACGTTCCTTCATTGTGGGCAGGTTGACCAAGTGCAACATAACTTTAGTTGAGGACCGAGTACTACTGCCAAAAAATTTTCGGATACATTGTGTTTGACATGTTTCTAATTTTGTGATTTGAATGACAGAGACCGAGTTAATAGCGAGGCCATATTCAAGCTGAGCACGTACTTTTTGAGTGTAAAAACGGACAGAGAGAAGCCAATCAAATCCTTTGTGATTGACACCGAGGGACAATACACATAATACACTATTTCCGGAAATTACTCGTTCATAAAAAAATAAAAATTTCGTTCACAAAAAAAAAAAAAAAATCCATCAAAAAAAAATAAAAACCCGTTCACAAAGAGATTTTGAATTTTATTCGTTTTTAGCGAACGAAATAAGCGAAACATTAAACTGGCTTTCGATTCAAACAATCATCAAACTTATCAATAGAGTAGCGGTAGGAACCTTGAAGGTCACTGAACAAAATATTGTTGCATGAATTTCGGATTCTTGATGTCATTGTCTCTTCCTCCAGTAACTTTTCTCGCTTAAGTTTACTTTTGACTACTGACCAAAATTGTTCAATAGGATTCAATTCAGGTGAGTAAGAAGGAAGATATATGCAACGATATCCATGACCTTCAATATACTTCTGTATATCTTCGTGCTTATGAATGGGGGCGTTATCCATTACCAGATAATAGTCCTTAAATTCTGGATGTAAATCCATGACATCTAAACAACTAGCAATGAAGTTGAAATAATGACCAGTAACTGTGCCCCCTTTCGTTGCTTGTTTAGGAACAGGTTTACTTCCCTCTGCTTTTCTTTTTTTTATTTGGAGCCTGAATTTTTGGTCGTCTTACTCTAATATTAACTACGCCATGTGCACATATGGCTCCTGGTATAGTTGTTGTTTTTGCCCTATTTTTAGGTACAGCAACTACAGCCCTTTTTCCTTTTCTAGATCAAGCTAATGATCTCTTCATGTTAATATGAATTGCAGCTTCGTCTATGAAAACGCAATTGCTGAAATAATCCATATCAGTTTCAAGTATCTTTTTCACCCAGTGGTACCGCTCCTCAATTTTTTTAGGACTATTTCTTTCTACTGAGTGGAAATGAGCTCGTTTAAGGGTGATATTACACTTCTTTGTTACAAAATTATGAATTGCTGATTTTTTTTATTTCAAGGCCGGCGAATTGACTAGTGAGACCTTCTATCATTTCTTCCAATACAGAAGATGGCTTTTCGTCAATGAAATTGATCAAAAACTGTTTATGTTCCTCTGTAAGAACAGGAGGTCTACCAGCTTTTCTACCACTTCCAGTTTGTATCAGACTCATTTCTTCATCCCCAGCAAGCTCGGCTTTCTTTTTCCAAATTTGTGCCGTACTTTGAGGCACTTTTATTTCCTCAGCAGCGGCACGTACACTCATCCCTTTCTCATAAATAATGTAAAAAAAGTAGTTTTTGACCTCAGGCTTATAAGTTCGGTATGTTCTTTTATTTCCGTTATTATCTTATTTTTATTTTATAAACATAACAGTTGATACTTTTTTTTTGTAGTTGTTTTTGTCCAGAATAAAGATGAGCATGCATGCAATAGAATCCTTTTAGGTGATCTTCAAGGATTCTGTAGATACTCAACCGCTAGATTCAAAGACTATTTAAATCGGAAGCCGATGTGGTTTTCTCGGGGGGGGGGGAAGTTTTTTGGTGCACTTCATGCACTAAATAAATCATGAATTTTTAAAACTAATTTGAACGGATTTTTTTTCCTGAGCCTGAAGTAATTTTTATTTTTTAAACTGAACGAACTTTTTTCTTGAAGGTGCACGAATAATTTGTGAAGATAGTGTACTAACTGTATTATTTGGGGGAAAATAATGCCTTACTTCTTTTCTATAATAATTCGAATAATAACAATGTTAATGAAAAGAAAAAAAAAATAAAAAGTTCAGAAATCACTGTAGATTCAATAGGAAAAAAAAAAAAAAAGAATAAGAATAAGAAAGAAGTGTAAAATAATAATAAAAACAAATGTTTAATAAATTTGCATTAAATAATTGAAATTTTTCAAAGAGATAGGTTAGCTCTACAGCGTCATCTTCTATTTCTTCAAGATAGATTTCCCCTACTTTCTCATTCTTTTTAAAAAGAGAAAAGAAAAAACAAGCTTATAAATTACTTTATAGCAATTATAATTATGTATAAACTTTCTAAAGACAACAGCTGTATGTGCATAACATCCTTATCTTACTATAATATCTGTTACTTTATCAGAAGAGCATGAAGTCTACTTAAAATAAATCTCTTCTAATCAAACTTATTTTGTCTTTATTAAAAAGAATCTGATTTCAATAAAAGTACTACACTCTTCTCTTTCTACAGATCAAAGCGCATGTGTATATCTTCATGCTCTTCTTTGATTTAGTCATCATTAGTCAGTTATTTGTACAGTCTTTCGCAAATTTCTTTATTAAATAAGGACTAATGAGGCACTATTTACATTCATGTGGTAATACTGTTAATAAAATTTTTCTGTTAATTGATTTTCCTTCTACAAACAATAAAAAAATATGATCCTCTTTCTACTTCTGCAACCATTTATAAACAATATTTTCTTTCATACTAACTAACATTTGAAGTAGTAATTCAAATTAATGAAAGATGTTACAAACTACATTGAAAAAATAAAATAAAATGATGAGTCCCTTGGTGCCAAGTTATAATGATTCTATTTTATCAAACAGCTAATATATTGCTTTAATAGCGTTTCTTTTAATTTTTTAGTTTTCAGGTGAAAGGTAACAAGCCTGAATCCTTTTCAAGATAGAATTCAAGATGAATCAATCATTTTAAAATATAAGGGTTATATTCCTCATTTACATGGTCAATAGTGGCTTTAATTTCATTCCTGTCATATTTGATGCCAATGTAGTCTTTATTTTTTAAATAAAATATTCTATTTTAAGTTCCTTATGATTCTCCAAATTAAGTAAGGAACTATTCCTGGACTTATTTTAAAATAAATAGGAAGGAAAGAATTCATTTTTACTGCTCATTCAATAAGTACTCAAAGATCCCAGATTTGAAAGTGGAACAGCCTTAGATTCTAAAAATAAAATTTATTTTTGTATTGTAAGTCAAATCGCAAGTATTCTTCTTATTATAGTAGTTTACATGCACATTATTTAAACTTCAGTTTAAAATGATTTCAACATTGTTTTGAGACAATTTTGAAATCAAAAAAAAAAAAAAAGTGATAATAAGAAAAAAAAATCGATTTAGTAAAAAGCATACTTCTTTATGACATTATATTTCTACCAGTAAGCACTTACAAATTTGCTCATCAAAGCAGCATTTTGTGACAAGAAAAACTTTGTATAGTATAAGTATAGGATTAAAAGTAAAGATAGAAATGAGTCCACTTTTTTATGAATAATACTTTAAAAGATTAAATTTATTTTATAAGAATATTTTTGTTAAGTTTAACTATACAACAATCAAAAAAAGGAAAAAAGCTTGATATTGATGAACAAATTTAAAGTAGTAAAGGATAACTACTGGGGTTTTTTTTTACACAAAATATACAACAAAGCATTGTATCGAATATGATTATACTTTACTTTGAAGAGAAAACTTGAAAATACTTACTAGTAGAAATATAATACCATAAAGAAGTATGCTTTTTACTAAATCGAAAATTTTTTTTTTCTTATTTGCTTATCACTTTTTTTTTTCTTTGGTTTCAAAACTATCTTTATTTTACACACGTAATAGGCCTTTTTCTTTTATGAGATATCCATTTTACTTTATTCAACTGTTGATGATGATTTACGTTCATATTTCTTCAACAATGTCTTGCGTCTACTCTCCCAACTTTTATTATCTACTGGTTCTTCCTCTTCTGATAATAATCTAGGTACTGAAGTGCTATTATTCACTAAAGATGATTTATTATTTGATGTAATCTTTTTATTATCCTGCGGTAGTGGCGATTTATTCCATTGATAATATGTTGATGTTCTTCTTAAAAGATTTTGAGATGAGCCTAATAAATGTCTTCTTTCATCATCGTCATTATCTATTCTAGCATTGCGTTTATAGCAATATAAAAGCAATAGTAAACAGCACACCACAATACATGTTATTGCAATAATTGAAATAATTCCTATAGTTAACGTTGATACTAAAATATCCATTAATAAATTTGCTTGTTTAAGTGTAATTAAACGTTACAATGAAGTTGATTAAAATAATATTCAAGTCTACTTGTTGATCTACTTAAAGTTACATTCCATTCATTTGTACATGTTTTAACCTGCATGTTTTGGTCATGACAGATTTTATTTTTATAGGAATTATATAAAGCAGAATGACAACAGCGCACTACATGCAGATTAAATGTTACTAATACAGTTATTTTTCCTTTTCTTCTTTTTTTTTTTTTTTTTTTTTTTTTTTTTTTTTTTTTTTACTAATTGCCATTATTGTTTATTTATAAAAGAAACTGTTAACAATAGTAAAATTGATATGACAAAAAAAAAAAAAAAAAAAAAATGCATTTTAAACTTTAAATTAAATATAAAATATGCAACCAAAAAGTTTATTTTTATTTTTTTACATTATTATTATTATTTTTATTTTTTTTTTTAAAAAAAAATATGTCTAAATTATGAAATAAAAAAAGGATATTATGATGATAAAGTAATATTCATAGTTCCATTTCTAGCGGGTATAGTTTCAAGAGGATAGACATATTGTTCTTCCCAATAGGGCTTAGTGACATTATTACAGACCAAAGCAGGAACGACATTAAAGACCTTTTGGATAGTAGGTAACCATTTTTCTGCCATGCCAACAGTTTGACTATTAAGTTCGTGTTCGAGGACAATGTGACCATGAGTTTGGTTTCCAGATTTTTGATCGGCAATCCAGCCTTTGAAATAACCATCAACAGTGCTAGGAGGTAAGTTACCACCACCGGGGGCGGGCATATCCCAATCGTTAGTATCCCAATCCCACATAACAGTATGCATACCCATTTGCCAAGCAATAGCACGAATACGATCATCAACGTCACCTTGAGGAGGTCTCCAACATTTAGGTGTAACACCAGTCACTTCCTTGATGATCTTCAAGGTCCAATAAAATTCAGCTACAGCTTCTTCATTAGAACAGGTAGTCATGGGAGGATGAGACCAAGTATGGACACAAATAAGATGGCCGTCATTAAAACCACGTTTAGCAGCAGCAGGATAGGTAGCAACATTGGAACCAATATACTAATAAATATATAATGTTAGTAATTAAGTTCAAGATTTAACAAAAAAAAAAAAAAGTGATTGACTTGTTCTACTTACGAAAAGATTGGCCTTTTGATTGTTGTGTTTAGCTAACCAGTTATAGAGTTGTGGTTCAGCCCAAGGATTTTCGAGACTAGCATGTTTTCCTGTATAAAGATTGAATGGTCCATCATCAAAGCCCAAACCCCAATCACCGGCACGAGGACATTGATAGTAATCAGCAGGGATATTAATCTTAGGATGAACACAATTGGTATCAGACCACCAACAATAAGGATCGTGTTTACCATCTGTATCAGGTTTGAAGTTACCCTTATGGTCTTGATGTCTTACAGGAGCCTTAGGGACAAGAGACCAATCAATTTGTTTGACAGCAGCCTGGACTTCAGGATGCTTGGGATCAGGCTTCTTCCAGATAGGTGGATAACCTTTAGTAATTTGATAGGTAGGCAAAGAAGTACTAAGATTATAAGGACCATAATTATATTCAGAAACAACATCAGTAGCAGGAGCCATACTAGGAAAGATGGGGGATTTTTGTGGTAAATAAGGCTTGGTAGGAGTACACTTGTCATGCTTAGTCTTGGTAGGATGAGCAGAGACTAATCCATAGCTAGTGAAGAAAAGAGTTACAGCGCCAAGAATAGAAATCTTCATATTTTTAATATATTGTTAATCAAAAAAAGAAGTTGCTGAATATTATTTTGTTTACAATACAATGGAAAAAAAGAAGAAGAAGAAGTGTTTGCCTTTATATACAAATCTTCATTGTACGATTTTTCACTCACCCAAGCAAAAAATAAATGTTCAAGTTCTAAAAATAAGTTCTACTGTCTACTACGATCCATTTACTATGTACAATTCAATCCAATTTTAGATTTAGATTTATTTTTATTTTTATTTTATGTCGCAAGAAAAAAAAAAAAAAGCATAAAGATGACGAAGAACAAAGTCATGAAACATTAATGGTATTTATCCATCATTTTTTTAAAGCACCGAGAGGGTAGCTTATTATTACAATAAACAAAAACGTCAAAAAAAAGGGGGTGACTCACGTGATATTAGCTGGCAACAGTAACTATAATAGCAACAGTGATTTTAATGCACGTGTAAATAAAAAGCGTCATTCAAGTATAATAATCGATGTAAGAATAGTACTCATTTTCTTTTTTTATAAGTTTACTACTAATCGTTACTGCTACAAGAAAAAAATTTTTTTTTAAAAAAATATTTATTCCCGGTGGCTATTTATAATTTATTTATAACAGCAGTAAGGTTATGAGTGCTATTATCCTGGTGAATACTCTTCTTTGTAACAAAAAAGAAATTAGTCAAATACTACCTTTTTTTTTATCTAAAAGAAATATAAATGAAAAGAAATTATAATTAAACTTTTGCTTACAAACTATTTTAATTAGCTGCATTTAAACAAGAATAAGATAATATAAGCGGCATAATTCTAGTTTTGTATAATAATGAATAAGCTACTATTGACGCTTCTGTCCCTATTATTCAGCTGTAACATAACTGAGTTTTTTTTTTTTTTTTTTTTTTTTCTATATTTATCTTATTATATCTCAGGGGAAAAACGGTATTTTTGAAGCTAAATAATCTTTGTTATCAACTTGGGTAGTAGATATAAATGATATATCATATTTGATAAAGCTTCGTGTTTTTTTTTTCGAGATTTATTTTTCTTCAGTTTACCTTCCAGTCTATTGAAGTTAGATATAAATTTTATTTTAAATCAATTCAAATAAATTTAAAATTAAGTTTTGCATTTTAAGTACAAATATGGTTATATTTTCCTTATATAGCGATATATTGCTTACATACAACGTTAATATGATTTTATATAGAAGTTATAATTAGTATCTTCAAATAGATACATACTGATGAAAATCTTTAGAACAATTTATTGCAATTTGACTTCGGCTGTATATCTTCTCCTCTATCTTTTTTTTTTTATAACACGTCTGCCTATTTGGTTGCATACAGCACTTGCCTAAACTGTATTCAATCAAATGCTATTTTTATCATATTCAAATTCAATAGTTTTTATTTGAACATTTTGTGTTAATTTTTCTATGAACTTTACAAATATTTTTATTAGCTGACCTCCTTCATTTGTAGATTATTGATTTAAAAATAGCTTTTAGTAGCGTATTGTATTTTAATAAACACAGGCAAATTTACAAATAGTGAGGTATACAAGTAATTAGACCATTAGTTTAAGAGGTGAACCAAAATTAATTCTGACGTTACGAGTAGTTAGTCTTCTATAACACAATACAAGCATGAATTTTTCAGTTACTATTTGTATTAATAGCAATTGCAATACAAATAATAGTATATATTACAGCAAAACTAAATTAGCATTTTTTTGTGCACCGCTGCTATTAACTTTTATAATATCTGTATAAATATATACCTATATATTTTGTGAGAATATGACCCATACTGTAAGTTGCTTATGGTCCTTCAAAATCATTAAAGTTGCTTATATCATTCAATTTGACAAAATAATAAAAACCTGCAAGAGTGGCTTTTCTATGAAATGCTTTTCTTTGTGTAAAATGAACAACGTGTGCTCTTGACCAAGTACTCTATGTATATTATTTACAAAACAGTCATTTATTTTTTAATAAAAGTTACTAGAGGTAAACCTTGTGTATACTGCTATCTAGAAAGTATATACATATTACCAATAAAGTGCTGAAAAATACACACTTTAGGATTTAAAACAGATGCTTTCATGAGTATTATTAGGTAATTATTATCTATTTATATCACACTTCTAAATGAATAACAAATAACTGTAATTAGACTCAAAAAATAATACAAATAAAGCATAGAAAGATCATAAATACGACTTACCATTACATAATCCAAGATTTTAATTTGATAGAGTCTAGCACTGTATACAAAAGGTCTAAATGACTAAATAGATCCTAGGCTTTCTCTTTGCTATTTAGTCTTACTATAAATACAACATTTTGTATAATAATATAAACTGTTACAAACCTTTATGTTGTCACATATATTTTAAATTATATAAGCGAATTTATGAAACCTCGGACTATAATAATGTATAGTATAAACTACGCATTTTTACAGTTAGAGTTAATCTGCCGGAAGTGATTGAAGATAGTCAAGAATCACCTTGACATTCTTTAATCTTATGGCTGGGGTTCACTTCTTAATTCTGTTTGATGAGGTATCATCAAAAGAACCTCAACTATGGCTGGCTTAAACAGACTTTCAGTAGTCGCAAGCCAAATTATTATTTTGGAATAGCAATCTATAAACATACTAATATATAATTAGTATACATAAAATGCTATATATATTTTTACTAACTTTCTTTTAATCATAATCATTATAATCTTTATAAGAGTAGAATTGAAATGTAGAAAACGATAAAATATCAAGAGAATAATTTTACCTTTAAAATTTAACTAGGATCTTCTTGATAAAAATATAACAAAGGATTCAAGTTATAATTGGTTTTCACAATACTTCTATGATGGATAAAACATTGCATCATTAATATACAGATGTAGTAGTATATATCTTTTAGTTACGAAACGCGTATAGCAGAGGAGTTGAATTATTAAAAGCAATGTGAAATAACTGTTTTTTTTTTGTCTGGCGTCAAAGCATGAGTAATAAGATTAAACTCTCCATTATGAAAATTTTACTATTATTGATTTCTTCACCTATATAGATATAACTGAAAGCGAGAAACTAGAAGAAATCTTTAAAAAAAAATCTATTAGTACTGAATGCGTCAAAAGAAGAAGAAGAAGAAGAAGAAGAGGAAAAAAAGAATCTTGACTTTAAATAAGATTAGTGTCAATATGTTGTTTTCGCATATGTAAACAGACAAAAGAATTTGTTTTTTTTTGTTTTTTTTTTTTTTAATAAGTAGAATGTACAGTTGTATAATAGTAATTGAAAGCGTATGATTATGATTATCAAGAGAGTTGAAAAATATTGTTTTATCCGAAATAAACCTCTTATATGACTGCAATCTATAGTTGTGGTATTCGTTAAATTTTGGACCTTTTGTGTAAAATCTTTGCATTTTAAAAAGACAATTTTTTTTGTGGACTAATCCAAAATTCTTGAGTCAGTTACAAATAATGTTATTTTTCATCGCTGCTATAGTACAAACAGGATCATTACTTTAATAATGTAAAGAGTATGAGTATAGTTCCTAATTAAACTACAGTTGTAACCTGATAAAGTGTGTTATATTAGCACCGTCCTCTGATATACTGCTCCTGCTCTTTGAATAGTACTACTGTCCTTTGAAGAGACTCATTTTCGTATTCGAGTACCTCTATCAGTCAGTCTTGGTGAATTATTCAATGCCAAGGAATTAACACAAAATAATATTAGCAAAGCACTCGAAGCTATGAACCAAGTTGCTCTTATTAGGCGTTAACGCTAAAGGATTTTCTTTTATCACCTTCTTTTCTGCTTACTAATTTTTATATTCAAGTTGTCCGATCTCAACTTGAATACAGTTTTACTATAAAACACATCCCTATTACTCATTTTGAATAAATTTGAATCGTGTCAAAGCCAATATCTTTGGTAAAATTTTGGAGGTAACTCTTGCTCTTCTACACAGGCATTATATTATTTTTGTTCATCAACCCACAATAAAGAATGAATATAACTATTACAAGCAAGAATTCTGTTTTCATTCCTTAAATCCATCAAAGATACATACTCTTTTTGCTCAAGTTATGTCATATTAGTGTATTCCAGGCAAATAGCGGTCAGCGGTATAAACCTTCTAAACACCCATTATTGCAATTATGCATATCGAATATTTTGAATACTATCGATAATAGCCTCTTTTTTTTTTTTTTCAATCCATTTACTGAATATTTCTATACGAACAATTTAATAAATAGTAACATCTATCTTATTCAGTCCTTTTATCCGCCTGTCATTCAACACCTATTACTGATCTTATCCTTATCCTTTAGTCACCTATGACTCAGATTGGATATAGCCAAGCTCTACAATGATATCTCGGTTAGTTATCTGGTAGTACCTTTCCACCCTCCTTCCAAGCTTTATATCTTCCATCCAAATCATAAGTTTACTTGGTCCTATATCACTATTTGTTTAAGTATGCATCACCGATTACAAATCCAATATTATTATATTATGTGCTTAATATTCAATGGTAATAAAATATTTCATTATTATAGTACTATTACTAATAGAACGGTTTAACCAACAGAATACGCCTCCCATGAGCTAGAGTATTAAATAGGCATATATATATATAAAATAAGCAAAACATCGAACTTGGGAGTTTACCTTAATAATGATGAATAACTAATGATTATTCAAAATAAGCACTTTCTCGAAAATTAACAAAATATTTTCAATTTAATATATAAAACAATCATTAAAAAAAGAATCTTATTCTAAAGTTAAAGTTAAGCAATAGCTACTAATGAATCTACTTTAAGTTAGAATATGGGGGAAAGAAAATCTTGTAAACAATTTTAAAGTATCATGATTGATAATATCGGCATTTATTATCTTTATATTACATAATTTATATCCTTTTTGTTTCTAATGTATGAATGTCCACTTCAAAAAAGAAATTCTTTTGAAACTAATAGTTAAATCTTATATATTAATTCTTAAAAGCAAAAGCGTATCAAACTGTTCTTTTTTTTACGAAACAATCACTTTTATTCTCTTCTTTATCAGGCATATTTTCTGTTCATCCTTACAAAATAAAAAAAAAAGTTATATTCATTTGAAAAACTTTTTAACTAAAAATTAAATTGCTGTGTAACGTTGTTGTGCTCACGTTTTTCTCTCTGGAGTTTAGCAAATAATTAATTGAAAAAAAAACAATTTTTTTAATTTTTTTAATTTTTTTTTTATTTTTTTTTAATTTAATTTTATTTTTTTATCAAGAATGGAAACAGCAGTAAGAAAGGGGACAAGGCTTGATTATAATCCACCTAAACAAAAGCATTTACAAAGTAATTTAAAATGTTATTATGAACAATAAAACTCAAGTCTAATATAAATGTATGTTAGCATTGATAAAATTAACTTTTCAGAGTCCTGGAAATGCAGCTAGTATTGTGGATCTTTTAGAAAAAAGATTAAGAGAAAACTCTTGGATTGTAAGTCTAATAAACACATTGTAAGCATTGGTTTTGAAAAAGAAAAAGAAAAGAAAAAGTTTTAATGTCTGATTTAATTTATGTTGTTTATTTGTCTGTTTTTTTTTATAGATAATTTTCAAAGTTTTAATCATCATTCATACTTTAATGAAAGCTGGAGATGGTGACAAAGTCATTTCATATATAGAAACAAGACCTTCTGCATTGGATACAAGTAAATTAAGAGAAAAGTCATCAGGTACAATAGACAAAATAAAGCAGAATGAGTGCTACATTAATTAAAATGACATTTTACTTAATTGTTTGTATAGGTGTTGTCCATATTCAAAATATATATTTATATACAGCTTATTTGGAACAAAAAGTAATTGCTTATAGAAATAGCCGTATTGATTTTGTAAAAAATACGTTGAGTAATAAAGAAGGAAGATTAAGACATTTATCAATTAAAAATGGATTATTGAAAGAAACGATTATACTTCAAAAACAAATAAATACACTCTTAAAATGCAATGTAAGTTTTTTTTTTTTTTTCTTTCAGTATGATATACAATAATTTACATAGCCTATTTTATATAGTTTATATTAGATGATGTCGATAATAATATTAGTTTATACGCTTTTAAACTATTAATAGAGGATTTATTAATCTTGTTTCAAGTTATGAATGAATCTATTGTGAATATATTAGAGCATTACTTTGCAATGGATAAATCAGATGCTAGAATAAGTCTTGAAATATATAAAAAATTCGCAAAACAAACAGAAGATACGATTGCGTTTTTAAATAAAGCAAGAAGACTTCAACATGATTTAAATATTACTATTCCAGAAGTGAAGCATGTAAAGTTTATATAAAGATATATATTGCTTAATAATGATGATATAAATAACATGTGTCATCCATTAGGCGCCTTTATCTTTAGCTGCTGCACTCCAAGAGTATCTTGATGATAAAAAGATAGAAGATACTGATATTCAAGAGAATCAAGTTAATACAGTTAAACCTCTTGGTAAGGAGAATCGTTTACACTTTATCTTCTTTAACTCATTGTTTTATTATCTAGAACAACCAAAAGAATTAACTGATTTTTTTCAAAGTCTTGAAAACGAAAAAGTCAATGTGTTTTATAATCCTATTATTATGCAACAACCTCAGCATGCGATATTTACCTCACCTGTTTCTACTACTACTACTACTATTAATACTAACCCATTTAGAGTAACACCGCAACAATCTGTATCTTCTTTATTACCTACTAATAGTCAAACAAATAATAATCCCTTCCGTACAAATACAGTACCTCAAATGAGTCTTTCTTCACCTACAACCTTGTATCAGAACAGCAACAATGATCTATTTTCATCCTTTAATAATAATAATAATAATAATAATCCATTTACAGCAATGAATTCAACTGTACTTCCTCCAACTTTGTTAGTCGCAACACCTTCTTCAAATAATAATCATAACCCATTTAGTAGTTATCCTACGCCTAAACAACAGCAACTCCAAACTTGGAGTAATAACACTATTTTTTAAAAAAGAAAAAAAAATGGAACTCACACTACCTATCTCTCTTTACCGAGGAAAGGCGCTTGTTTATTTATCAAAAATGCCAAATACATATATCACTATTATTATTATTACATGGAGAAATTTCTTATGAATACAATATAATCCCCCTTAGCATTCTATTAAATGCTGATGGACTATTTTATTTACTGTTAATTGAATAATAAACAATACGAACTTTTTTTTTTAAAAAAAAAAGAAAAACGCGTTTAAATAACAATTTTGATATACAAGACAAACAAAAACTTTATTCATATTATTTTATAAAAAAAAATTAATATAAAAGAGATCTACGCGTAAAATAAGAATTAGTAAACAAGTCTAACATTTAATAATTCCTGGATAAATTTCAGATATAAAACGACATTCGACATTCCATATGAGCGGTACACAGTTTGCTCGGTCCGTCCGCCCGTCGATAGTTATCATCATTAAATTTATATCCATGTAAATAAATAAAAAAAAACTTACCAAGATATATACCGAGAAAAAGAAAAAGAATTCAACTCTCTATAAAAATACATATTATTTTAGTAAAAAAAGACATAAAAAATTAAGTTTTTTTTTGTACATATAGAGAGAGAGTCTGACAAGGCTGAAGCTTATATGTCTTATAGGCAACATAATTGTAATTCAGGGTTGTTTATAATTATAAAACGGACAATTTTATCTTCATTCTCTCTCTCTCTCTTTTGTTGTTATATTAATCTTGTTCTATATTTACCTGTTTAAACAAAGATTTGATAAAGAAAAACAAAACAAAACAAAAAAAAGTCGAGGAATATATTTCTTTTATACATTGAATTAAAAAAAAATTTTTTTTTATCCTTCGTCAGTGACTGTTTTTTATAAAGAATCACAGTTTTTCTAAATATTTTTTTTTTTGATTCGGGGATTCATCTCTACTATGTTTAAATACATATTTTATTGATTAACCAATAAGCACGCTCATAATTAAATATCAAAATTGCCCGGGAGGAAGTTCTTTTAAAAAAAGTAAATGAATCAAGGAAACCTTAATGAGCTCAAGGGGAAAGGAGATCTAAATAGCAAAATAAGCTTAATAATGGAACCGTCAATGTACGATTGTTGAAGGCACAACATTATTTTTAAAAAACTAAAGTGACAATTCTGTACTACTCAGTGCTGCAGCTTTTTTTTTTTTTTTTTTTTTTTTTTTCAAATCGTGGAACTCCATTATAACGACGTTTCTTCTTTATTGGTATTATTGATTTTATTCTAATGTTTCTTTTCTTTTTTATAGAATTCGTCATTTATTTTATTTATATTGATTTACAGTATTTTTCGTTTTTTTTTTTTTTTTTTTTTTTTTTTTTTTTTTTTTTTTAGAAAAAAAAATACATAATTTAAGTTTAAAAGCATCTTTTTAATACGTGTAGTTAATACAATTGACGTAATTGGTTTATGAACAAATTAAACTTTATTTTATTATGAAATAGCAGAAATAATCATTAGTATACAAATATAATACATTAAAAAAAAACGTCTATATAGAATATAGAAATTAGAAGAACAAGTAAATGTGTGTGTGTGAGAGAAAAAGATACAAATTATTTGGTAAAACTAGCGACAATATCTTCAATTGCTCTGTTCTTTGTTTCTGGTAAGAAAAAGAATGTAACTACTCCAGAGATTGCACAAATGATTGCAAAAATCAAGAAAGACCAGCCTTGAATGGCATCAAAGATGACGGGGAAAACCTGTCCAATCAAGAAATTCATAGCCCAATTCATGGCTGTAGCAACAGCACCTACAGAGGAAGAGGCATAAATAGGTGTCAATTCGGATGTAATCATCCAGGGGACAGGACCAATGCCAATAGCAAAACTAGCGACATAAATAAAGACAGAGGCAACCAAGAGATTGGCTATATTGTATCGATAACCAACGACCAATAATACTGAAAAGATAAATGTACCCAATTCAGATAATAACAGTAATGAACGTCGACCTGTACGATCAATAAAGAACATGGCTACAATCGACATACCAAAGTTCACAACTGTTGTATAAATAGCCATATATTGTGCATTTTGTTTATCGACAGCTTGTTCAAATATAGTCGTTGAATAGTACATAACTGCATTCATACCCGATAATTGTTGAATTATATGATGGAAAAGAACAATAAGTGTAATCTTACGGATTGTTTTATCCCTAAATACTTCAATGATATTCATAGGTGGACGTCTATGGTCTTCATCAGCAGTTTCAATATCTGTAGTAGTAGTAGTAGTAGTAGTAGTAGCAGCAGCATTATTATTACGCTGACTGGATGGTGCATTAGCAGCCTCATTTAAAGCTTCTTCACGACCATAACTATGATTATCAAACCCTTCATCAAATGAACTATTATCATTCAATGCTGATTTCATGTTCGTATCGCTCTTTTCAAAGGAATTTCCTTTTAATAAACGAGTTGCTTTACCAACACCCAATTGACCAGCAACAATATCAAAGAATTCTTCATCCACTGAAACATTTGAACCACGAAGTTTTTGAAGGTTAGAATGAGCATCCTCCATGCGACCTACTGAAACTAAATAACGAGGAGATTCAACACATGTACCCATTAAAAATATTTGAATAACAGAAGGGATAGCTACAATTGCATAATTAAGACGCCAAAATGGGACATTAGCAGTTGGTAAACCAATAATAGAAGACAACAGAATTCCTGTTACAACGAAAAATCTACAATAAGAAAGGGAAAAAAAAAAGTGTTACTTGAAATAATAATGACGAAATAACCAATATATACCGAAAACTTACTGATTTAAGAAGCCCATTAAACCTCTTCCTTTACGAGTAGAGATCTCACCAAGATAGGTAGGAATCACAAGAGATCCAAGACCACACGATAGACCACAACAAATACGTCCAATAATAAACATAGCTGTATGAACTGAACATCCAATTAAAATTGCACCAATAATAAAGCCTGAATTGTTCAAGATAATAGTTAATCGTCGTCCTAATCTTGTCTGAATAGAACCACCAACCGCACTACCAATAAGGCCACCCACACAAAATGAAGCTACAGCAAAGCCCCTAAATTTATAAAAAAAAAAAAAAAAAAAAAAAAAAAGTATGATTATTATTTGTTTTACCATGTCAATAAATCTTCATTTTACCATAGCGATGTACTCATAGGTAAACAATCTGGAAAAGCAGGGTTGACAGTATGTGCACTACCTGTTGGACAGTTATGCGTAACTTCACCAGGAACATTTGGAGAACCAATTGTCCAACCGTTAGAAAAGGCTCCAATACCTGCTATTACACCGCAGTATAGCATATACATAGGTAAATTTAATTCACGTGAATCCATGATCAAATTTTAATATTTGGTTTTGTTAGAAAAAAAAATTGTATATAAAGAAAATAAACAAATAAAGTAAATAAATTAAAGGGAAAAAAAACGGACGAGGTTTTCTCTATGACTGTATTTATATCTTTGATTTATATAATGAAGTAAACATTGATTGGTAATAACATGCCGGGAAATATATATGTTAAAAATACTAGAAATAGTTAAGATCGAAAAAAAAAAATAAAAAAAAAAAATAAAAAAAAAAAAATAAAAAAAAATACAAGTTTCGGATTTATGGAAATCATGGAGTACTATTGAAAGATGTATGTCATAAATCATTGACTGAAATTATGCGTACATACGTATTAGTTTTTTATAAATGTATATTTTATCAAAAACAAAAGAAAAAAAAAAGATAAAATGACATGAAGGTAATACAATATGTATACGCTATCATATATTCATATTTAGTATGATACTATATAGTGTTGAGGAGGAGGAGGAGGAGGGGGGGGGGCGGTAGTAATAGTATATACTATATAAAACTGTATTCGAAATCAGAAATATGCTAATTTTTAATTAGTCAAAAATTGGATCTTAAAAATAATATCCGTATAAAAAACCAAAAAAGTTAACCCACATTGATTTCCTTTTATGTAATAAATGATGTCAACATGTATATGCCAAATATGTATATTATAGGGATAAAGTTTAATAATTATGGAATTAATTGGAAAAAATAATAATAAAAAAAATAGAGGCTAAATAAATTATGGAAAAAAAGGAATGCAATAGAATAGAGAAAATAAATGTACATGTAAATTTTTTTTTTTTTTTTTTTTTTTTTTTTTTTTTTTTTTTTTTTTTTTTTTTTTAGAGCTATTATAATAGACAGTGAAGTATTAAAACTCAGTAAAGTATTTTCGATATGGATCGGGCTCAGGTAGTCCATAAGGAATTCGTTCTTCGTCGTATATATCAAAATTACTTGCATCTCCTTCACCCTTCACTTCTGGAATAAAAGGTGGTTTTAGTTGACGTTTTGCTAATTTATCAAAATCAATGGAACTAAACCAGGGATGATCAGTAATGTCATGGTAGCCACGTTTTAAATTGCCATAGCGACTGCTCAGATCCGAAGTTAATAAATGTTTGAGCAAATCAACGACTTGGTCACTAAAATAGTCGGGATATACAGGATTACAGGCGACAATTTTTTCATATAATTTAAATTGATTATCATCATAAAATGGTGCGATACTACAAGGGAAAAGACGGGAAATCATTGAAATTCCATTTTTTTTTTTTAGTTTACATGAAGGCTACACACAGACACAAATGTCAAAAACTTACCCAGCAAGCATTTCATAAATTAAAATACCTAATGCCCAATAATCAACTGGTTTTCCATATCCTTTTGATTGAATAATTTCGGGAGCTATAAATATATACATATATATTTTTAAGTTAGTAAAATAAGTAAAGAAGTTTTCCTTTCTTTTATTATAGAACGAATCAAATAATGACCTAAATAATCAGGTGTACCACATAATGTCCATGTAATATCAGGCACAACTTTTGCAAATCCAAAATCTGTAATTTTAATATGACCTTCTATATCTAAAAGTAAATTCTCTGGTTTTAAGTCACGATAAATAATATTATGTGAATGAAGATATGCAATAGATAAAAGGACTTCCGCAGCATAAAATTTAGCAACGTCTTCTGATAATCTCTATATAATAAATGGAATGAATATTAGGTATTTTTTTTTTTTTTTTTTTTTTTTTTTTACTGACTATAGTCTTTCTCATAAGAGAAAATAATTCACCTCCAGGTACATAATCTAACACCATGTATAGGTTTGCATCATCTTGAAATGTACCCCATAAATTAACAATAAAACTATATTTAACACCAGCTAATATGGATCTTTCATTTTTTGTATGTTCAACTTGCTTCAACTGAACAATATCAGTTTTCTTAAGAACTTTAATAGCATAATAACTTTGATCTATCTTTGATTTTGCCAAATGAACTCGACCAAACGACCCTGTACCTAATGTTCTAATAAGTGTAAAGCATTTTAAATTAAGTTCTGTTGATGGTTTTTGTTCTAAATTCAGCGCACTATCATGTTTTATCATCTCATGGCTTTCAGATAAGTCAGCATGTGTTGATAATTCATTAAAATTGGTCGATAAAGAACCTAGTGGTGTTCTTGGTGGTGAATGCGGTAATGAATCACATGTCAGTTGCTCTATTGTTTGTTTGTTAAAAAAAAAAAAAAAAAAAAAAAAAAGGGGTTCAATAACAGTCACTATTTATTTATTTTTTTTAGCAGTAGTACGTAATTGTACATAATTATTTATTTTTTTTTTTTATTTTTTAAATTATAATTTTTATTTTACATACGAAATTGAGCACAAGTTTCTTTTGCTATAGTGTCGTCATCTCTACACCGTTTTTCAATTGAATTTATTAGTTTGACATTAGTGTCTAGATCATAATGAAAAAAAAATGAGTCAAGATCGGAAAAATTTATGCACGAATATATATATTCCTTTACTTGGCATATTATATTGAGGCGATTGAGGTGGTGAATGATGCAGATTAGTATTATTTACTTTTAATGACATGTTTCCTTTTTTGAATGAAAAAAAAAAAAAAGAAAGAGAGAGAGAAAATAAAATAAATAAGCTATTTTTATTTTATTTTTTTATTTTTTAGAGAAGGGGTCTTCCTCAAAAAAAAAAAAAAAAAATAAAAAAAAAATGTTTTAGGAGAAAATTCATGCTAGAAAGGCTGTTTATAAACTGAAACATTCACTTTTTATGCCGGTGCAGAAAAAAAAAAAACTTTATTGATAGATTTTAATACGCGAGCAAACTTCATTAAACACGTTCAGCTTATTTTATAATATATGTGTGCGGCTAAATTTAAGAAGAATAGATACCATCAATTTAATCTTTTGACAAGTGATTAAATCGATGGTTAATTTAAAGTAAATGACATTAATCATAATGTCCATTGAGGTAATTATATTTATAAGGAAGGAAATTATATTTACTCCTATGTTTGTAAAAATCATTTTTTCTTTCCAAAAAGTATGAAAACCCAAACTTCAAGTATTTAATAATAAGGCATTATCTGATAATATCATTATGATTAACCATATTAGTAACTGATAATAACATGGATATATCAACTTTATTATGAAAAAAGAAAAAGACATCAAGTAATAAATGCTGTAATAAATTCCAAAAAAGTATATAGTTCGAGAATATGTTGAATATTTCTATATTCAATATGTTTTTTTTTCTTTTTTTTTTTTGTTCAGTTTCATTGACTATTTCTAAAACTACTGTATTTTTCAAATAATTTAAATAAAATTTTTTGAAGCATAATTAAAAAATAATTGAAATATCAATTAGAGTTATTTGAAAAAAAATAAAGAAATTATTTGAAAAAAAAAAAAAAGTAAAATGAAAAGGTTAGAGAGAGTGATAGATAATAATATAATATATACTACGTACCTGTTAAGTAAGGGATGCGAAACCGTTATAGAGATCGTATATATTTAAGAAGATCTTTGAAATTCACGAGGTCTTTTATTTTTATGTTGTGACATGTATGTAAAAATGTAGTTTATGTTTTTAGCAGCCATCACGTCACGATTCCATACCGTACTGCAAGAGTTACACTTGAGTACAGCATGAAGTTCACGCTTCGATTTGGTTGTAGTAATATTAGTTAAGTTTTGATTTTTACAATGGTTACATGTTTGACTAGTCAAATATTCATCAACATAGATAAAAGTGTTTTTTTTTTCAATTCTTTAGACATTTTCTTAATTGCATCCGTTATCTGTCTAGTAGGAGCAGGAAGTTTTCCTTTCATAGAGCTACTAAATTTAGCATCACCAAAAGCAATAATTCTTTTTTTAGATAAGTTATCTCTGGGAGCAGTAGGGATTCTTTTCTTCTTGTCAGAAGTACCAGAGTCAACAGCAGTAAAAATATCAATTTGTCCAGGATCTATAGCTCAAATAAGTGCATCATCAGCAAAATACATAGGAGTCAATTCATCAGCAGTAGTATTCTTCTCTGACTTTTTGGATTTCTTTTTAAAGTGAAATTCAACAGAATAACCATTTGTTTGAATTAAATTCCTATGTTGATATACGTTTTAGTAGTTGGAAGTTGTAATAAGAAAAAAAAAACTTACCAAAATAATCTGTTATCATTATCAGTGTTATTGTTTTGTTTAATACCTATTCTAAAAAAATCAAAAAGAGTCAAGTACCATTCCTTAAGATATGTTTCGTTAGGATTTTTTGGAATAATCTTCTTATATTCTTCTTTGTCATCCTTTACTACTTTTCTTACAAGTTTCCAAAATGTTTGTTGATTTATTTGAACAGACTTGGCTTTGCAATCACACAGTAGGAGTAGATTGTGCCTTTTTCTTTGGTAGTAGGAGTTATATTAACTGCCTTTCCTTTACCTTTGTCTTTTTTAACAGGAGTAGTTTTAACTGATAAAACTGTGAGTACTGTTGTCAAAAAAAATATTTATAAATTATTACATTGTTCAGTGGTACGCTCTGTTTCTTTATATTCTTTATATTTCTTGAATGATAAGTTTTCTTGATCTTAATTTACATTTTATCAGTTTTTACTTTATTAGTTCAATCTAATGAAACTTACTTGTTCTCTTGCGAAGTTTTATTTGTGGTTGAAAATCATTGTCAGGGACTTCTAGGAGTTCATCATAGTTGGTAGTAGTAGTAACAGGTTTGAGAAGAGTTTTACTCGCTATTACGAAGACACCATGAGTGGGTATACTATTAAGTAATGCTTTCCCTATTCTGTTACATGCCTCTTTTTTTTTAAGAGTGACCCCCTCTTCCTTAGGGTCAGGGGAGGACTTCCTTTTACGTTTCATACTATGATGGCAATAACAGGTAGAGAAAAAAGAAAGAAAGGGTGATAAAAATAAAAATTTTGCGGTTTTTATAAGCAGGCTTTGATATATTAAGTGTTGTCTGTTGTAATTATTTTAAAATATAAACCCTTTTGATACTGAATAATTACATACGGAACGCATAAAACAGTTTCAACTGTATTATTAGGCAGTCAATTTTATTCTTTGAGTGAAGAAAGTATATGGTTATAGTATCTTTAGAAAGTAAACGAATATCTAGTTGTTTAACTAGACTTTTTTTTTTCAATTAATTACGTTTATCTTTGCAAATAAATGGAATTTCTATTTCAAATAACTTGAATTTGTATTTCAAAAAAAATCAAATTTATGTTTCAAATAATTTGGAAAACACAATATTATAAAGGCAGTCATAAACAATAATAATGAAGCTCTCTTTCTTTCTGATCAAAGGTAAGTAGCCTGTACATACATAATAGTAATTACTTATAAATATACTACGTTAGCTTTAGATTATGAATTATTTATTTAAGCTATACTACAAAATAGTCCGTCAATTACTATTGTATAGTAACGACATACTTTACATAAACATTATCATTATTATATAATAAAATAATAATGCATAAAAAAATGCATGTATTACGCTTTAATCAGTGATGAATCAGTATTGGTTGTTTTACTTGTATTCTCTATTTCCTGTTGACTTTTTAGTAACTTTTGATGTAGGTGTAATTTGTCTTGCAGTTCTATAAGTTGTCTCTGTTGAAACATACTGTTTGAATGCTGCTCTGCTTGAAGTCGAAACTCTAGGCGCTTTATCTTTTCTCTTAAATTTTTATTCCTTTTCTCTAGGTAGTTGATATAATCTACTGCTTTAAATAAGACTGTGCTTTTTGAGTTATTGACATTCTTTAGCGTTGGCACAATCTCTGTTAATTCTTTAAATCCTGTCCGAATCATGCTCCGTCTCTTTTGTTCTGATGCAATGTGGTTGTTTCTCTTTTCTTCTTCTGTTAATAATTCTTTATGTCCTCTTCTAATAGCTCCATTACTTGGAAGAGTTTTATAAGATCTTGGTGGCAATGGCTTTCGTTGAGTCACTTGTTTGTTTTGTACATCTAAAGAAGATGGAAAAATACTGGGTCGACGTTGATGTTCTTCATTTTCTTGTATTGACCGATGAAGGTTTGAAGGTATATGAGGTTCTTCAAGCATGGAGAATTGAGGATCAATTTCCATGTTTGGATCAATAAAGAATTGGTCTAAAAATTGACTAAATGTCTTTTGTTCTTGTTCATTTAAAACAGCATTATTATTGTTGTTGTTATTGTTGATTATTGTCGATGGCACTAAATCAGTCATTGGGTAAAATATGTTATTTTCTGGTTGTGATGGTAACGGTGGTGGTGATATATCAAATGGAATAGGCATAGCAAACTCAGGATCAAGACCTAAACTAAACTGGAAATCTTGAAAGAAAATAAAATAAATAATAAGCATGAGGTTAATTTCCATGTACTATGTTGTACCTTCAAAGGCAACTGGCTCTTCTAACGGTGTTGTACTATTTAAAGGATTCCAGTGATTAGAAGGATTCATGTTAACATTTACATGTTGTGAATAGTTCATTGTATATGAGAAAGAAACCAAATAAATGTTGTGTTAATATGTGTGTGAAAATTATCACTAACTAATGTTACTTTAAACGGTTGTGATTTTTTTTTTTCCTAGACAAAATAAAATTGAAAATCAGCAAAGTAATTAATGATTTTAACACGATTGACTATATTTTTGATCTTTAGTAAACAGATAGTATCTAAATGATGCTACTGGACTACTCAGATCTGTTCAACAAAATAGGAGTAAAAAAAGAAACTTAATAAAAAAAAAAAAAAAAAAAAAAAAAAAAAAAAAAAAAAAAACCTCTTTGCAAGAAATACAAGGTAAAAATGAAAGATAGAGAAGAAAATAAGTGAAAAGAAGATGATTAGATAGTGAAGAATAATACATTAGCTTCAGTTGTTAAATAATGTGAGGGACAAGGCTTTTTAATAGGTAATGAATTCAATAGAACAGATATTGGACCAGCAACTGTGAGAGAAAGATATAAATGGTAAAACATGTGTACATAATGAATTAAATGAGTTTGTCTTCAAGGAATTATGAATGATATGACTTGATTATAGAACAATCCAAATCTTTTTTTTTTTTTTTTTTTTTTTTTTTTTTTACATAAGACGTATGCACTGTATTTATGAAAAATAATAATAGTGGCAGCATGATGGTTACTTAAAAAGAGCATTCTTCTTTTGGTTGCTAAGTTCATAAAGACTATTGGCCAATAATAATTTAGGATCAATCGAATATGTGTACACTTTATTGTGCATTATCATTTAGCTTAGTAACGTCAAATATAGGATGTTCTGCATACCTTTCGGTTAGTAGTACATAATAATGAACCTTTATTAGAAATGCTACATGATTAACACTAATAATTAAAAAAAAAAAAAAAAAAAAAAAAAAAAAAAAGGTCAACATGATTCAGTTTATTAAAAGTGAATATGACAAGGTTACTAACCTGTTTGTTAGTAAGACTGATGGCTGTTAGGATTCGATTCATGTACTATTTTATAGTTATACTTTTATTTCTTCTTTATTGTTTCTGATAAGTCACCTCTAGAAGTGAATGAAAACTTCTCTTTTTAATATTAAGAATTTGCTTCGACGTCATTTTTTTTATTTAATGCGCTATTATTATCTCATCACTACTATAATAATATGTAGTTAAAGATCACATATATATATTTATGTTATTTCTACTATGTATACATTTGACATGAAGTCTATATCAAAAGTATAATAAAGTAAATACTTGGTCATTTTTGTTAATGTCTGTTTTTTTTTTTTTTTTTTTTTTTTTTTTTTTTTTTTGCAATAAAAATCCTCTAAAAGCATACTGCCTTGTGTTAGTTATATAGCTTTGCTTGAAGAACTAGCTTTTTACCCTCAAAATATAACATAGGTTAGCATTTAATGCTAATATTAGCAATACCAAGTAATCTCGGTTTTTTCAGTGCCTCATACCTTTTGGTAATAATCAAATGCCTTGTAAAATTATTAATAATTATATCTGATCTTCTTTTATACGGCGGATTTATTCTGTCAATATAATTATTCCAGTACAAATCTAATCTGAAATAGATGACATTTTACTTGATAAGTTATCATTCAGCATCATTCATTAATAAACTCAACTTGAAAAAATAAAATAAACTGAATTGTTTGTTGCATAAATAAGATACCTCATTTTATATGTAGTATTTTTTTGTTGAAAAGTAAATATGGATAAATACTATATTTATTTAGCTTTGATTTAAAATAGATATGGGTATAGATTACAGAATGGGAGTTGTGCATTTTAGCCATTCAATATAATGGAATTACTATTTAAATTGATCGATCTCGACATGGCTTTATTGATTAAAGTTATTTCTTATTTCTCAAAGACAGATCGATATAATAAAAATGCAAAATAGTAAAAGAATTCAACTCTCTGTACAAAAAAAAAATATCATTCGATATACACTAACAAGCTTAAGAGGGGAATCACTTCTATTCTGGGATTAAAAGATGTTATGCAATTTTACCATTTTGTCTAAATTAAGTCAATTAAAACTTACAACTGCTTTTTCTTCCTTCCCCATACACACAATTAAATACGTCGTACAATTCATTATACATGTGACGATGTTGTAAAATAAGCTATTTAACCTCCTAATTTATAAAATGTCACGATTTGCTATTTGTTGATTTTTTTTTCTCTCTCTCTCTCTCTTTCTCTCTTTTTAAAATTCTAATGACGCTTGCAGAAGAAGTAGATCCATTTCGTTTTCGAGTATCTCCTTTTATTGAATTCAATGAAGGCCAGCTTGATACACTTAAAGTCATTTTAGATACTTTTATTGCACCCTTACCTAAACACCAAGAAGATACCTTGGTTGAAAAACTGAAAGAGACTCATTCACCTTCAGAAATTCGTCAGTTTTGTCAATTAACAAATACTTCACTACAAACCTTGGACTCTATCAAGAGTTTCATTAATCGTACCGTTTTACCTGATAAACGTAAAGAGCTATTAATGATATTGTCCTTATTATCTACAAGGGCAGGTACATTTGCTTTAACAGGTTACTTTGATGAATTTAAGAATTTATCATTAGAAGACCGTGAAAAGATATTTTTGAATTGGAAAAATTCTTATCTACCTCAATTAAGACTTATTTATAAAACTTTCCATTCCTTATCGTGTCATCCAGCATTTGCCAGTCATTCAAAGGAATTAGGTGAAGCTATGCATTATAATAACTTGATCAAAGATAAGAAATACGATAATATACCTGAAAGGTTAAATATGTTGAATCCTGAAGAGATAAAGGAGAATATGAGATTTGATGTGATTATTGTGGGTAGTGGTGCTGGTGGAGGTAAACTTTTAAGCAGCAGTATATTATCTATAATAGATACTTACATATATATATGTAATAGGAGTAATTGCTAGTCAATTAGCAAAGGCAGGAAAATCGGTTTTAGTTATTGAAAAGGGCGCATATCATCATGAAAATGAATTTATCGCTGATGAATCAAAGGCATTTGAAAATTTATACGAAACTGGTGGTTTTGCTCCAAGTTATGAAGGTTCAATTAATATATTGGCTGGTAGTGTTTTTGGAGGTGGTACAACGGTGAATTGGTGCGCTTCACTTAAAGTAATATAATTTTTTATACCTTTTCTCTCTCTCTTTGATTTATAACCTATTTTATTATTATTACAGCTTCAACACTTTGTACGTGAAGAATGGGCTAAACATGGATTGTCCTATTTTTTATCTCCAAAGGTTATACATAATATATATATATATAAAGGCCTGCTGATTTATTTATTTTTATTAATAAGCTTTATAATTAGTTTGCTAAGGACCTTGATTATGTATTTGAAAGGATTGGAGCAACTACTGAAGGCATTGTTCATAATAAAACGAATCAAGCTTTAATTGATGGTTGCAAGTAAAATATAGGATTCACAACAAGAAAAAGAAAAAACTTGACTCTAATTTTTTTTGTTTATTAGAACTCTGGGCTATCCAGTTGCTGATATTCCACAAAATACAAGTGGTCGACCTCATGAATGCGAATTTTGTTTTACAGGTTGCAGAGCTGGTATCAAGAACGGTACGGTGAATACATGGCTTCGTGATGCGGATGAACATGATGCAAAATTCTTGGTAAAAACTAAAGTTGTTCGCGTATTAATTAAGGAGGGTAAAGCGATAGGTGTTGAATGTCTTGTGAATTATGATCGCAAAGTCAGAATAATGGCTAATGCTCAAGTCGTTATCGCTGCCGGTTCTTTACAATCACCTGGTATCTTATTGAGAAGTGGTTTAAAAAATAAAAACATTGGCCGTCATTTGAAACTTCATCCGTGTTCTATCACCTTTGGTTTCTTTGATCATGAGATTCGTACCTTTGAAGGCTCTATTATGACAGCCGTGAGTACAGTTGCTGAGAATAGCGTTGAGAAGGATGGTTACGGCGTCAAATTGGAGGTACCTTGTCTTCATCCTGGTAGCTTCTCAACTGTCATTCCTTGGAGAGGTGCAGCAAACCATAAAGAACTTATGATGCGATACGACCGATGTGCTCCCATCTTAATCTTGGCTCGAGATAAAGATTCAGTAGGTGTCGTTCGATATGATGAGAAAGAAAATGTCATTGTGGATTATACTTTATCCAATCGTGATCGTCAATCGTTATTAGTAGGTATTGATTATTCTTTAAATATCTTGGTTGCTGCTGGTGCTCGTGAATTACATACGGGTCAGTTTGGCGTAGATCCATTTGTATTTGAAAAGGGAGAAGAATCTCGTATTGATCATCCTCGTTACATTGCTTGGAAACAAAAGGTAATGGCATATGGTTTCCCTCAAGATGGTGCTGGCGTCTTCTGTGCTCATCAAATGGGATCTAATCGGATGGGTATCTCTCCAAAGGTATCAGTCGTTAAGCCTACAGGTGAAACATGGGAAGTGAAAGATCTATTTATTGCTGATGCATCTGTATTTCCTACTGCTTCAGGGGTTAACCCAATGGTTACAGTGGAAACAATTGCTTTACATATTGCTGATTGCATTTTAAATAAGGACACAAGTGCAAAACTTTAATTATAAATACGATAACAAATATTATATTATATACGTTTATTTATTTATATGTATGGACGTATGTATATATATATATATATATATATGTATACATATATTAAACAAAAAAAAGAAAAAAAAAAAGAGAGAGAGATGTGCTTTTATTGATGTTTGGCCTTCTTTGGCTCAACATTTTCATCACTACCTTGTTGTCGTGCAGCTCTTTGCCTTTTATGTTCAGAAGCAGGAGGAGGGATATAAGAGTTTCTATGACGACCCAACTTGGGGGGAATTTTCCAAAAGTATTGCTTATCTTTTAAAGTACATTTACGGGCACTTCTACCCACTTGAGTATATGTAGCACGACGCCATTCAACTGGATCTAATTCGCTATTATAATAATATAAATTCTCTTTAGGACTTCCATCTGCTGTCTTTCCTTTACGTTGAATTTCACCAAAGAAGGGTTTATCTTTTAAAACTGTTCGAATACGTTCAATCCAAATTTCACGTGGTTGTTCTGCATAAGCAGGATTTGCTTTCAGAATACGTGAGCAAATGTCACTTATTGGCATAGAAGAAGTACGAGAAAAGACTTTTTAAAAATATACATATATATAAAAACTTTAGTAATTCATATGCAACTATAATATTAGTGTATACTTATTTTACCAAGAGCATCAATAATGACTTCAGCATAATCATGAGCATCTGAAGCAGGATTTTTCTTTTCTTCTTCTGTCTTTTTTATTTCTTCTTTCTTTTCTTCTTCTACCTTCTTCATTTCATTCTCTTCTTTCTTTTCTATAAGAATTTCAGTATTTTTTACTTTTTCTTCTTTTTGTTTTGTAGCTTCAGGAACACTCATATCTTGTTCAGGAGATAATTCTTTTTCAAAAGGAGTCAAGGCACCTTCAGGTACTAATTCAGAAGGATATGATTCCTCTTCTTCCTCCTCCTCCTTCTCCTCCTCCTCTTGCCCCTTTTTCACTTCTTTTTCCATATGTATCGACTTTGGTTCAATGTGATTATTGAAAGTATCCATGGATCTATCTTGATTCATCTCTTCTTGTCTCATCATCTCCTTTTTCTTCATTTCTTCTTGTTGTGAAGAAAAATTCATAGGTGGTGGTGGTATCCTAAATAAGAATCTATCGCCCAAGACATCAACAAAACTATTATCATCAAGAGGTACAACAGCGTGTTGATCATATTGTACGTTATCGACACAGGCACCATTCATACCCAACACTGTTAGCTCGAATTGCTCTTGATGATTATTAAAGGCAATAGATAGATGAACACGACTAACCTGTCTGTTACGACGGCCAATCTTGATAGTACAAGCACCTCCTCGTCCTAACGTGACAGGTTTTTCGTAACAACCAACGATAACAAGATTGTGTCGAATGCGTTGATAGTTATAATAAGATGAGGAAAGATGAAGATTTGAAGTAGGCTGAAGATCGTCTGAATTAGTGGAATATTTATCAATAGGACTATCAGGTAACTCTTGTTGTTGATAATCAGCACGATTGGGGCTGGCTGTCCAATGTTGTTGATTATCTGTTAATTCATTTATCGAAGTTGCCATGACTAGAATTGAAAAAAAAAATTAAAATAAAATAAAATAAAATAAATATATTTTTTTTTCTTTTTTCGTTAAAATAAAATAATATAATAAATGTTGAACTTTACTGGAATTAACCGATTATGATTTTAAAGTATAAATGTTAAAAAAAAAAAAAATAAAAAAATAAAAAATAAAAAATAAAAATAAAAGTTTTTGAACTTTGTTACACCCTCCTCCTCATCCTTATCATCCTATAACAACAACAACAACAACAGTACAAATGTTCGCGTAATAAAATTGGCGCGTCGTCACTTCACTGGCCAATCAAATATCAGCTTTTGTTGTTACTTTTATACAATGTACACGCGCATCAGAAAAAAATAAAATATAAGGTATGTATGCATCATGCATGCAGATAAATTATCACATAAATATATTAACAGTATTATCAAGAAACTGCTTTTTTGTTTATTTATTTAATACGATTGACATTTGTTCACTACACCTTTCCGGAGTTTGTTATGTAATCATTTTTATTTATTACAACAATTATGTAATAGGATAATTTTTCTTTTTATTTTTTTTTTATTTTTTTTTCTATTCTTCTATTTTTTTTTTTCTATTTTTCATAAAAAAAAACGACATGTCAGCTAAATTACCCGAGTTTAAACAAGAAGAGTATCCACACGATTTAGAATTAAAGTATGTTCTTAAAAATTCATAACAATCTCATGCTAACTTTCAACAATGTAGACTTTTACAAATTGTTCATAGACATGGTAAGAATAACCACGACAGATGCAGAGGAAAATATATATATACATTTAACAAAGTTTTATTTCAAAAGGTGAACGATCGCCTGTTAGAAGACGACTAGAAAATATTATTCCATCTATTTGGGATATGTGTGAAGCAAATAATGCCATGTTTGCTACAATTACTAAATTTGAAAAAGAAAAAGTCCAAGGTTTAGGCTCTGTTCGTATGCAAAGAATAATTGAAACAAGTGAAACGGAGGGTCGTTCTTCTGTATCAACTAAACCTGGCTCTTGGTAATACATATTTAAATATATATATATATATATATAAAGAAAAAGTAACTTCTAACATTCATTCACATTTAGTTATTTTGGACAATTGACGAATTTAGGAAGATATAGAATGACACTTCTCGGTGAACGTATTCGAGATTTCTATATTAAAAAGTAACCAAGTGGATTCTCCATATTTTTTTTTGTGCGTGCATGAAAAAAATTAATCTTATTTATAACAATAGACTACAATTTTTACCTGATTTATTTGATGAGGAAATCATTTACGTAAGAAGTACAGAATACAACCGTACTCAAGAATCAGTACAACAACTAGTAGCTGGAGGCCTTTATCCAGAAGGTAAAAGATCTGATAATTTCACTTTAAAACTTCATGTTCGGTATGTTTTTAATATTCGCATGAAAATAAATTCTTTACCAACACCTTTTTATCATTTATTATTACATACATTTAGTGACCCAAGAGACGATCTTATGTTTCCCAATCCAAACTGTTATAGACTTCGTATGTTAGCAAAGGAATTTAATAAAAGAGTATCGATTTTGTGTCAAGATAAATTTAAAACACTTTCTGAAAGATTTAAAAAATATGTCGATGAAATCTCTTTGGATAGTCACCCATCAGCAAATGGCGTTTTAGGTAGTGACGTCTAAAGAAAAGAGAATCCCCTTATGGTGTGCTTAACTTACTTACTTTTATTGATAGATACTTTAATTGCTGCTAAGGCTCATGGATATAAATTACCTACAGATATTGATGATGAAAACCTCTTGAGGGAATTAGAAGATGTAGTTGTTAAAGAATGGTTTTATGGTAATATCGTCTCAGAAGAAGTACGTAGATTAAGTTTAGGTAGATTGATGGGTGAAATTCGTGATCGGATGATTAACAAGATTAATAATGAAAGAGAAGAAAAGCTTAAATTAGCTATTTATTCTGGTCATGATACGTAAGTAATGTACTATTAGAAAGAGAAAGCTTAGAATTAATCTATTGTGTTTATTAGTACTGTTGCTCCCCTTTTAATCATATTAGATGCATTTGATAATAGGTAAATGTATATACATATTTTTAATGTTAAAATTTTTATACTCATTATAATATAATAGATGGCCTCCTTTTGGTAGCGCTATTTTGTTTGAATTATTTAAACAAAAGGGTACAGATGAACATTTCGTTAGAATTAAATACAATGAAAAAACTCTAAAATTACCTGGCTGTGCCTCAAAAGGTAATCATAAAGAAGGTGATCAGTCACTTTGCACACTGGATGCGTTCAAAAAAATAGTTAAAGATCAAGTACCAGTTGATTGGGAAAAAGAATGTCAACTTTAGTATCTTTTCCCTCCCTTCTCCTCCTCCCCCCTCCCATCATTATTACGTAATATTATCTGTCGTTGTTTTGAACTAAAACATTTTTTAAAGATTAAAATTCAGTATACGCTCGCATTATCTTTTTTTTTTTTTTTTTTTTGTCTTATTATATTTATAGACGCATTTATTTATTTTATTTTATTTTTTATTTAAATTACTATGTCTAGCACGAATCCACCTAAAACTAGAAGAATTGCAGTACTTGGTGCTCGTGCTGTTGGTAGATATATAGTTGCTTCTTTCATATAACATTAAATAAGTTTGTTAATGTTTATTTGAAAAAAAAATTTTTTTATGATAAATAGGTAAATCTTCTCTTGTAATTCAATTCTGTGAGAATCACTTTGTTGATAGTTATTATCCCACCATTGAAAACACATTTACAAAAACTATTAAATATCGAGGAAATGGTAACTTTACTTTCTGAAACTTTACGTGCCTGACAATTCTATAGAATATAGTGTAGAAATTATGGATACAGCGGGTCAAGATGAATATTCAATCTTGTCTTCTCATCATGCTTCTAGCATGAATGGTTATGTCCTTGTTTATTCAATTGCTTCTCGATCTAGTTTCGATATGGTCAAGATCATTAGAGATAAAATTTTGGACTTTACTGGTTTGGAAAATGTACCATGTGTTATTGTGGGAAATAAATCTGATTTAAATATTCAAAGACAAGTGTCAATGGAAGAAGGAAAACAATTAGGTCAACAATGGCAATGTCCAACTATTGAAACCTCTGCTAAACATGATGAAAATGTTTGTAAGTATGAAAACGGTTTCTATTGACCGTAATAGGTTCTTTTTTAATTATTTTTTCTTTTCTTTGTAGCTAAAATCTTTGACTTGCTTATTGCTCAAATTGAAAATGCCAATAAACCTCCAGCAGAAGAAAAGGGCGGGTGTATAATTTCATAAATAGAAATTGATATAATGAATGAAGATAGAAAATGTGGTACATTATCTTCTAGCCACATTTTATTTTCCATGTTTAAAATAATTATAGTAAAAGAAAAAAAAAAGCAATAAATGAAAGAAGAACAAATAGTATATTTCCATATTTTTTTTTTATATACATGTATATACATCTTATTTACAGAAAGTCATTTCTGAATGATTAGAGTTTGTTGAATCATTAGTAGTAGTCTAGTGACTGTTCTATGTTAGTTCTTTATGACACTATTTGAACAAATTCTAGAAGTTTAGAAATAGCTGTCTATAAAGAAGCAAACAAGCTATGTGAAGAAAGATTTTTTTTTTTTGTAGCATACTACTAAGGTAAACTCGAACATTTTATTTGCCGAACTATAAAAAAAAAAAAAATGAAACTTCACTGCTGTAATAAAACATAGTCATAGAAAAGGAATATCATCTCTTTTCCTCTTCTCTTTATTATCCTTGGGGAATATGGGAATAGTAGAAAAAACAAATAATTTAGATAGGCTTCTACTTGTATTTGTACATGGTTTTAGAGGTACTGATACAAGTTTTAAGGTATCTATTTCTTAGTGATAATAATTTTCTTTTCTTTTTCTTTTTACAATACATCTATAATATATCTTTAGGATTTTCCTAATAGACTTCAAACTCTGCTTACAAATACTATTAAAGCCAATGTAAATGCACTAATTTATCCTTCATATAAAACTGCGGGGTAAGTATCAATGTACGTTATAACTAGAAAATTTCCTAATTTTTTTTTTTATGTTATTAGCGATCTTCGAATTGCAGTTGAAAACTTTTCATCATGGTTGTGTGATCAGGTGTCAAAAATTCAATTAGAATTAAATCAATTACAAAGTACTGGAAAAATAATGATTGTCCTTCTTGGTCATTCTATGGGTGGCATTGTTTGTAAGTCATCTTAAATGTAAAATAGACTTTTTTTTTTTTGAAACTAACAAATAAAGTTTGCATTATTTAAAGCTGCAGAAACGATTTTAAGGTTTCAGGATAATAAAAATAATGAGAAGCTGAAAGGAAAAATCATTGGTTTACTCGCATTTGATACACCCTTCTTTTCAATTAATGAAAACTTTGTTACTGATAAGGCTGTATCAAGTTTGGAGAAAGTGAGGGGTCTTAGTACTTTGTGGAATACAGGCACTGCAACTATGACGACAGCAGCAACAGTTGCTAAAAGTATGACAGCAAGTGGCCATACGAATACTACAAGCAATAACAATAATAGACGTAGTAATAATAATGTTAATAAATGGGGTCTGTTTGCTGGTATAATAGGTGCTGCTGCTATAGGTACTACTGCCTATATAGCCCGTGATAAGATTCAGGCTACATTAACAGATGTTTATGATCATTTAACATTTATTAGCGATCTAACTGATATAAATGGATGTGATGAGAGGTAAAGATGAAATAGAATAAAAGCATGCTTCTTGACTCTTAAGGGCGTTATTATAGAGTAAGGAAATTGATTCGAGTACCTGATATCCTCTTTCGATGCTTCTATGTCCAGGTATGCAAATATATGTATACATATATATATATATATATTTAACTGGATTGCTTACTAACTATCTCTAAATACATATGTTAGCTTCATGAAATGGACAAAAATAATAAACCAAAAACGTTTATCAAGTTACCACCTGATGATTTATCATACTTATTTATACCAGTACTATCGTCGTCAGATAATGAAATTCAAGCGCATACTAGCATGTTTAATTCGAAAAATACAACTTATTATTATGAATTAGGTAGTGATTCAAGTGCGCTAATTAGCGAAATGGTGGCTCGATTTCAACGTAAATTTAAATAACTATTTTTTTTTTCTGGCAATATTTTCGTATACCTTAAACATCATTAAACAAAAAAAAATAATACTTGTCATAAAAGAGATAAAAGACTTTATATATTAATGATTATCATGATATTTTATTGTTTTTTCCTTTAATAAAGATCAAGTTTAAATACTATTATCTGTATTAAGAAAAAAAAAAGGAAATTAAATACCATAAGCAGTCTTTGCACTACTGAAGGCATTATTGATGTCAGCAACATAAGCGTTGGCTTGATCAATATGAGTAGAGGGAGTCTTGGCGATAAGACAAGTATCCAATGTCTTGGTTTGAGTATCCAAGTTCTTGATGTCACCTTTGACAAGAACTGTAGCCAAAAGGATGGCATCAAATTCGGGCTTCTTGTTAACAATAGATGTCAAAGAGGCAGTTACATCAGGAACAAGATTGCTGATAACGGCAAGAACAGCATCAGCTTCTTCAGTATTGAATGTACTAGCAATTGCACAACAGTCAGTACCGGCCTTCTTGAGACGAGTTTCAAGCTGTTGTTCTTTATTGTGGACAGCAAGAGCAGCAGGATAACCACCAGCTCTAGTGAAAGCATCAACCTATAGATTATAAACATAAAGTGAATATGTCAATACAACATATTATATGTATTTATTTCATTTCTCTCACTCATTCTCTCATTCTCTCATTCTCACACACACACACACACACACACACACACACACAAAAACCATTACAAAATATAAACTTACATCAGCCTTTACAACAGCAAGTTGCTCAGAAACAGAGACAATGTCATTGACACAGAGTTGAACTTGAGCAGAGACACTTCTCTTGTTGAAAGAAGCAGCGTTAGCTAAAGTTGAAAGAAAAAAAATAAAAATAAGTATAACATGCTTTCAGTCACTTTTTCACATTTCAAATATTATTGTTTACCAGAAAGAGCAAGAGCAGCAGCAATAATCAAAGTGGAGAAAGCACGCATTGTTAGTATTAGTATAGAGAACTATTGGAAGATTTGAATAAGTCTGAAGTAAAGACAAAGAATAAATAAAAATAGACACGCAGGAATTGTAAAGTATTTATATTGATTTTTTTTTAAAAAAAAAAAAAACTTCAATCAGTTTACGTTAAACATTAAAATAAGAGAAAAATCGGAAATATGCTCATTTTGTAGTATGAAATTTAAAGCGTGTGTATTTCTAAAAGGCTTTAAAATAGTTGTACACGTATCAAATTCACAAGAACATTCTTTCTCTTTAATGTTAATGTAAAACTGGGCTATACAATGCATATGATTAATGGTCTCGGTTTTGTATGAATGCAGTCTTTTATTAAATTAAAACAACGAAACAATTTTGTGTATAATATTGGCATAACACTAAGATGGCCTAAAGTGATCGAAGTGCTACAATGTGATTTTAAATTATTAGTTTATTCTAAGAACAAATAATTATTAAAATAGGAAATGAAAATATGATCTAGAATTGTGCAATAATATAACTCAAAAGATATGTACGACGCATATATCATACTATTTTCACAAAGAAGAAGAAGAAGAAAAAGATCAATATACTTACTCATGTAAATGTTATCTTATAACAATATCATTTTATACTTCTTATTTTTTAGAGTTGAAATAACATATAGTTTAGTACATATTTATTAAGCAGCAAATTATAATGTTTATATGTAGTCATAATAATTGGCGCCTTAAGATAATAAACAACACGTTTAACATTAAGCTTTACTGCAATTATTAAACAATACATGTAAAGAAGCTGTAATATTAATACACAGCATAAATTTAAGCAAGTATAAAACTTAGCGCGTATAGTGAAGTTATCCGAGAAAGCAAAATCAACTACCCTTAAACATAATTTAACCAAGGAAGATTTAAACTTGTCTCTTTTATTCAATATTTTTCATTTTAATTTTTCCTTTTCAAAACTATTTTAGACCTTTTGAATTTAGTATTGCTATGTAACATAGACAGCTCTTAAAATATAAGAATCAATTATATGAATATATGTAATAGCATATAAAATAATTTATACACAATCATTATTATATTTATCTTATCTATATTTATAATATAGTCATTTACCTTATCTCCAATTTATTAATGTATAATAGTCAAATGATAATAATTCTATTAGTTCAAAATGCTCATATATACAGGAGATAATGTATGGAGTTTATCTACTCTAGCATGTACTTCTAATTTTAACTAGTGATTTAATAATCTAAAGCGTACACTTTACTCATATTATTAAAATTGCTAATGAGAAAGACGATGATTTAAGAACGATTGAGATTAGTGAGGACGCCTCACATTAGTAATATAATAACTTTTTTATGTACTTTAAATTTTAAGTTATAGCAACTTAAATAATTGTCTCTATGTTTGAAAGATTTTGTCTATTAATTGCTATTATTGTGCTTAAAAAAATAAAATGAAAGTAAACCAATCTTTACAAGATCAATTTCAGCTTCGGTAATATTCTACGTATAGTATTCTCAATATTGTTTTCAAATGTAGTATAAAGAGAACAAACAAGTTCCAGATTGATAGTGACTCCTGTTGTATTTATTTACACATTTACTATTAAATAAAAGGAACGAACCTTTGCTAACATTCAAAGGTTATATAATGATATATTTGTCTACAAATATAAACTTTTACTATATCCTCTAATGCAGCCATATTATATGGAAGTAAATACTAGCACATTTAATTGTGAGAATACATATATTGTATTCATGACTTAATATGTTAAAAATATATTTTAATATAAGCTTGCTATCATTTATTTTCATTTTTTTTTTCGTGTACAACAGAATAACGTAAAAAAGAGAGAGGGAGAAAATGTATTACTGTGGAAACAACTACGTATAGTCATGAACTATTGCAAAGCATGAAAAGCAAATGTGCAAAGTTTATTACACGCATAACGTTTGTACACCGGTTCCATAATTTGCTTATTATGTTCAACCGATTTTACGGATGAGAAAAAAAAGGTATAGTATCACTAATTCATGCTATTCATATTTCACAAAGATCGCACTGACATCAAAAGCAGATATTCTGTGTAGTATACACAAGTAAGAAGACTCAACTTTTTTTGTTGTTCATATTCTTTTCCTTTAATTCTATTAAAGCCTTATTTGATATGTTTGAGCCAAGTTACGCTAGTACAATTTTTTTCTTGTAAGCAAGTTACAAAAACACAATTGTGAGTAAAATGCTCGGATACATGTAATCAACTCGTTCATCAATGTATTTGACAAAAAACACGCATACATAGTCCGTCATAATTTCATTCAAGCAAAATATTGATACTTACCGCTCTATTTAGAACCAAAGATGCAATATAAAATAACTGTCTTCAATTTCTGTACTATCTCGGACCAAATATATTTTGTATTCCTGTTATATATGTCTTTAAAACATGATTTCATTTATCTAATAATCGGAAACCATATTGTACCACTTCGATCATTGTACCATAGTACGCATAAATAATAAACAATGTTCATTTTATTAGCTTAATGAGCAGTCATTTAAATCAATAAGAAGTATACAATACATGTAAAATTTAAAAAGAAAGCTCTCTCAGAGTGATTTTCACATGTATGCCAATCATTTCAAACTTATAACAAGGATGCACATTTTGGAAGTCAAACATAGTTCAAATAAATATATTTGTACGAGAGTATAATGTAACTTCACATTGTAATATAGTGAAATCATTGAAGTATTGAAATAACAAGCAACAGAGGCATTTAATTTATAAGGTACACTAAAAGAAAAATTAATATAAATACTTTACAATTCCTGCGTGTCTATTTTTATTTATTCTTTGTCTTTACTTCAGACTTATTCAAATCTTCCAATAGTTCTCTATACTAATACTAACAATGCGTGCTTTCTCCACTTTGATTATTGCTGCTGCTCTTGCTCTTTCTGGTAAACAATAATATTTGAAATGTGAAAAAGTGACTGAAAGCATGTTATACTTATTTTTATTTTTTTTCTTTCAACTTTAGCTAACGCTGCTTCTTTCAACAAGAGAAGTGTCTCTGCTCAAGTTCAACTCTGTGTCAATGACATTGTCTCTGTTTCTGAGCAACTTGCTGTTGTAAAGGCTGATGTAAGTTTATATTTTGTAATGGTTTTTGTGTGTGTGTGTGTGTGTGTGTGTGTGTGTGTGTGAGAATGAGAGAATGAGAGAATGAGTGAGAGAAATGAAATAAATACATATAATATGTTGTATTGACATATTCACTTTATGTTTATAATCTATAGGTTGATGCTTTCACTAGAGCTGGTGGTTATCCTGCTGCTCTTGCTGTCCACAATAAAGAACAACAGCTTGAAACTCGTCTCAAGAAGGCCGGTACTGACTGTTGTGCAATTGCTAGTACATTCAATACTGAAGAAGCTGATGCTGTTCTTGCCGTTATCAGCAATCTTGTTCCTGATGTAACTGCCTCTTTGACATCTATTGTTAACAAGAAGCCCGAATTTGATGCCATCCTTTTGGCTACAGTTCTTGTCAAAGGTGACATCAAGAACTTGGATACTCAAACCAAGACATTGGATACTTGTCTTATCGCCAAGACTCCCTCTACTCATATTGATCAAGCCAACGCTTATGTTGCTGACATCAATAATGCCTTCAGTAGTGCAAAGACTGCTTATGGTATTTAAACTATTTATTACTTATAATCGCTGCTATCACGTTTTATCTATTTTTTTTTCTAACAATTTATTAAGAAATTGTTCTTAACAATTAAAGAATATTTCTTAAAGTAAAAAATAAAATAAAACTAGCATTTGTAGTATTGATACTTAAATAGTTACATCTAGCTTAAGTTGTTAATTTTTTTTTCTCTTCTTCATAAAAACTCAAAGGATAAAAGCCCTGGAAACTAAAAGACACAAATCGATATGATTTAAACGCCCAGGTGGAAAGATATTACTTGTCTTGTATTAAAGAGTATTATCTCTCCTTGTATTAATCACAATTAATTTGTACGACAGTGTTGAAACACTTTATTTGAAGCTAAAACTATATAAATTGTCATGGTTGTAAGATTTATAACTTAATTCAATAAGATGAATAGTCATAATAGAATACATAGTGCATTTGTATAATAATTCTGTCTATAAACATATTTAGTATATTTACCCTTGTATAGAAAAATAATTAATTAATAAAAAGTCCTACATCTAAAAAATATCTCTTCTTCTATTATTGTACTATTGAATATAAATTTATATCAAGCTAAACTGGAGTAAATCAAGTATAATACAAGTACGCGCAATAATTAATTCCACTCAGAGTACACCTATTAGTTATATACAGAAGACATGGGTCTTTATCTATAATTATAACTCTTAGTAATCCTTCTATAACTGTATTATCAAATACAATTTGTTATATTTTTATCTTCTTATTACTCATCATCCTTATCCACAAAATATATAAATACTCTTACATTATTCACCCTTATTTTGTATAACTCATAACTTATAACTAACAACAATACTTGTATTGAATTAACTTTTAATAAACTTATTGACAAGTCTCAACGTACTTCTTCTGTTTTATTTTCTTTTATTTTTATTTCTTTGACTTCTATTTTAATTATCTGAACTTACCTAAACCACAACATAAATTACACAGACCAACAAAATATAATTATTTGCATTTCTTTCTTGAAAAAATATTATGTTTAAAAAACCAGCAGCAAAAGAATCCTCTTACTTAACTTGGTTATCAACAGCTTCCCAACTTTCTCCACCATATGATTACTTCGACTTTGTCAATACATTTGTTGAAAGCAAGAAACGCGTTAATCTTTGGTACAGCAACGCGATGAAAAAGGCTTTAACTGATGCAAAGGGAGAAGAAAAACATAATATCACTCAAAGAATCAACGAATTTAACGTAATAAAATATTTTATATAATCAGCTGTAAAGTTATTATTAACTTCTGTCTCTACTTTTTTTAATTTAGTCAAGAAATACCAAAATATCAGCCTTTTCTAAAAAATATCAACAATATTGGTCTAATCGAGAGGAATCTGAATCGTTAGAGAGGATAGCAAAAAGACAAAGAATAGCAGCTGAAGCAGCTAACGAAGCAGCTTGCTCCACCTTTGAAGCATTAATAAATAAGGTAAATTTTGGTAGAATAGAATGATGATCGCTGAAGTATTAATTGCATAAAATAGGTTGCCGCAGCGGCTTACAGTAGCGGAGTTATCACTAGTCCATCAGCAAATGACAATTCTGATAGTGACGGAATTAATAGTTGTTCAACAAATAAAGAGTACATTTGTTAAATTTAAATTCGATTGTTGTTTATTACGTTTGATCAACCTCTTTTTTGCTTTACGCAGATTAAATGAGAGGTTTATATTCTTGGACAAGGACGGCTCCAGCAACAGTAGTGATACTGTTTGTATTTTAGCTGATATTACTAAACTTCCTCAAAAGCCCGTCACCAATGCATGTCAATTATTACTCAATAAATTAACCAGTTGTGCACCAACTGCAAGAGTAATGAGACATTTAATCAGGTCTCATACTTTACCAATGGAAGAACCTTTTGATCTTGCAATTCACTATGACCTCAATTTCACGAAAGTAATGTGCATACATTTGTAAGTTGTTCATTTTTTGTAACATTAACAAATATCAATAAACTAACTTTCCCTTTTTGAATACGATTAAGAAGAATTTTATTTAAAAAATTAAAAAATGACCAATGAGCACATAGCATTTATATATGCTGTTTTGTCCTGGTCAGATCGCTATGGAAAAAAAAAAGGAAAGAAAAACCCTTTTGGGATAAAAGGGAAAATGTTAAAGTATATGTATAGGTGATGATAATTAATTATCAGAAATTCGTTTTTGTATTGAAAGAAGATGATTGACAAAGGGTTCACCAAGATGGTCAGAGGGTTCAGGGATTTGGGAGTGAGCTAGATAGTCCATCTCAAATAGAATTGCACATATAGAAGGCCAGCGTATGAGCCAGGCCCCTTTTTGAATACAATAATCACAGTTTGAATTTGATCGATAGTCCAAGAAACCCCATGCTTCAACAACAATTGGAGAGAAACACTGCTTTTCTTACTACGATCCCCATTCTTCATAACTTGTTTGTTGACTGCAACGATATAATCAATATGCAATGGTAAGTATAATTGTCAACTCAATACTTGTTTATCTATCTCATACAACTTACAAACAATATAGGGTTGAGAAACAGGCGCCTTTGACTGGCAATATTAAGTGGGATGGTGTAGCATTCCTAGTAAAAAATAAGCTGGTAACTCCTTTATTCATTGAACTCTCTGGAGGAATTAACTCTAATAGTGGTGCTGAGAAAGCAGGAAGTGATGAAGAAAAGCTGATACAGCAATTATTGAAGTTGTTAAAACTTAAGAAGGCTGAGGGATACGAATTGCCATATCAATTTTATATTAGATATCACAGTAAGATCATCATAACCATTACACATGTATAATACATAAAAAATGGCTAATTAACAAAAACGCCCTTTTTTTTAGGTTTAAAGATTCATTTTGAATCTTTGGCTTACTTTGGAGATTGTTATATCAAGCGAACTTACTTTGAGTTAGTATGTCCCTCAACTCCTAATGAGTTAAAGGAGTTTGTTGAAAAGATCCCTGAACTGTTTCAATATCGCCAAGCTCTTCTTGACCAACTCAAAAATTAAAATGAGTTTGGTAATAATATGAATGTGGCTTGTAGTTGATCATGTATATAGTAAAATAAAAGAATATATTATTGTTATTATTTCATATACAATAAAAAAGAAAAATATCGAGTATCGTTTGCTCAGAAGAAGAAAATTTCACTTGCATGTATGTCTGTTTCTAGCTCGATTATATGCAAGTTATTTATTGAATATTGCTACTGTTCATTTCATTAGCAATAAATACAGTAGTGACCATTGTTTTCCGTTGTATATATTTGAAGAGTGATGTTGTAGAATGAAAGTATTAGTTCCTACATAAATATTGTTTTTGAAAGAAACAAAAGTCTGCGTATAGTATTGTGATTCTATTCTGCAAATTAATGTATTCTAGTGAAGTTACCAAGCTGGACAGGCAGTAGTATTTATTTGCAACCACTACGCTCTTTGAAAAAAAAAAAAGATGTAGGATTTGCTATTTGCATATATCAAGAACACACACCAAGTACGAAGTATTGCTATTATTATCATAGGCAATTAAAAAGAATGGTTGATAGAGCCAATATAATTGGGTATTTCAGGTTTAAGAAGGCGAACATTTTTCTTGTATTTAATTTAGTTACACTCTTTTTTTAAAAAAAATTTTCATGCATAAAGACTTAGTAGCATATAAGAGCCAAATATTATTGAATAATTTCTTACATACTATATTTCATTTACGTTAATACTGATTCAGGGATTATATGACATAAAAGTTCATATTAAAAAAGGGATGTATGTGATACGTATGTAAATAAACATATGAAAATAGCAAAATCCTGAAACGCTTCTAATATTGTGAAATTAGTCCTAAATCATGATTGTTATGATTGTAGTAGCTTTTATAATCAAGTCAATAGAAATAAACTATCATTTATTACATAATAAAGAGGTTATTCATATAAAACTAATATATCGCGCTTCACAGCATAATATTCATTCTACTCTCAGTTTTGATAATAGTCATTGTTTGAGTATTCGAGCATTAAAAATAATTATATATGTTTTGATAGCAAAAAGTTAAAGAAAGAGGAAAAGACAAAAGACAAGTCTGTGAAAACTTCGTGTAGTTTTTTTATTGAGAAAAATAATACAAAAATTGTACCAGGAAAAATTATGTGAAAAAGTAAAGGGTTATTTATATGTTTTTGCAAGGTAAGTGATATTAATAGAACTATGATTTGGATAAGCAAATATTGCTATAATAAAGTATTAGTCATAAATATTTTCTCCGAATAATTCTGCCTACAATAAGATCTATTTTTATTCTTTTCTGCCTGAGCTGTCGCTGTTACTAAAAATATTAAATTATTATTTCTGGGGTAAGCGACGCGTCAATATTAATTCACAGTGAATATGTCAGCTATAGCAATACCAATTATTTATATGCTACTATTATTATTATCCTATAAGATATTATTACATAACAATATTTATCTTTATAGCTATCTATATATAATATGTATGACTTATAAATAATTATGTAATTGAATATAACAGTCATAATCCTATTGAATTATTATTATTACATAATATAATGTATATAATTATTTTTAATGCTCGTGTGATGGAATGTAAATAAAGATAAAAGATAAAATAAAAAGAGAGAAAGGGAACAAAAGGAAGTATAGTTTGAGACTGTTTTTATTCAATAAAAATGAAGAAGGTTAAAAGAAAAAATTAAAAGAAAGAAGTTCAAGATTATTTTGTGTCTAAACAACTGCTTGTATTTATATTAATGAATCCTGAATCAAAGAAATAAAAATAACCGCCAAAGAACATGAGTCATGAAACAGTATTAGTATTCGGATATACGTCTTGTTGATTCAAGAGACTGATCTATGGATTATCTATTGGGTGTTATAATGATCTGATCAAGTTTTAAATAAAAAATTTATTGTTTAATCTGAGTATATGTTCCTGATATCTTTTATGTTTTATTTTATTGGATCAAAGACGACCTGAATCCTTTATCAAGGTTATAAAAATAAATATTTAGAAATGATACGATGTCTTATAATTGATACATCTAGACAATTGGATGTCAATAAGTTTTATATTATTTACAAGATGTTATATACAGAGTTTTATTTCATATTCAGGCTTATATTTTATCCTGTATTATGTAATTCATCTATTATAATATTACTTATGATTATATCCAGAGCTTGTTCTATAACAGCTCGAATACTCAAACAATGACTATTATCAAAACTGAGAGTAGAATGAATATTATGCTGTGAAGCGCGATATATTAGTTTTATATGAATAACCTCTTTATTATGTAATAAATGATAGTTTATTTCTATTGACTTGATTATAAAAGCTACTACAATCATAACAGTCAGATCATGACACTAATATCGTAACAATCAAAGCTGGAAAATTAGATAAGAAGGTCACAAAAAAGAAGACAAATACATCATGTCAAATAGTAGCCGTTAAAATTTCGGCAACAAATATTTAACAAATATAAAATAGCAAAAAAGAGAAAGAATCAATATTACTATGTCGGAGTTTTAATTAGAAATTAATTGGTTATAATTTAATACAGTAGACTGAAAAACAAGTAAGTCGCTTTGTCCGAGTGGTTAAGGAGTATGACTAGAAATCATATAGGCTCTGTCTGCGCAGGTTCAAATCCTGCAGGCGACGATATATTTTACTTTTCTCATAAAATGTAGTGTGTGTAGTGCCTGCTATAGTTAAAACGTAGACTTCGTGGTGCACGTTAGCCACATTGGTCTATTAGATCTATTTTAGCTAAATTGCACTTATCAACCATGTAAGAAATATTTCTTAACTAACCTCAAGATAGCGCACTTAATGCAGAAGAATAAGAATACTTATTTGGTTCTTTTATTCTATTTATTATTTTTACTTTTATATTTCATTTTCGTTTATACTTTGTTTTCTCTATTTCATTTTAGATCTACTTTTATATACATGTATATTTTCTTTTTTTTTTTGAAAAAAAAAAAAATAGCTTTCCGAATGATGAAGCCAGAAGTAGTGTTGGTAACTTGTATACGTTGGTTAGGAAACGCTAACAGGAAGGATATATAGTATATTATTACTAAATATGGATACATTTTGAATTGCGTAGAAAAAAAAATATTGATAATTTTTTATGCCAAACTTTACTTGTTATAAATAAGTTTCAATGAAATAATTAGAAACAACAAAAGCGACTTAAGGTCAAAGCAGAAAAGACCTGTCACATGTATATTTAGAAAGTATCACCTTTATTAAGAACTGTTAAGTAAAACATTACAGGTGAAAAGATTAAAGTATAACAATTTTACATTAACGAAGCGTATCAAATTAAAGTATGTCATTGCATGTTGTTGATTAGAAATGGGATATCATTTTTTCATATAAGTAACACAATATATTGTTATATTATGTAAAATATCAGGATAATTATCGAATATGTACCTAATTCTTTTATATGTATATTGAAAATTAATGTTATCTTCTGGTAATTATTCTTTTTTACAGAAAGCTCCCGATCCTTTGGTTTATATAATAATGAAAAAAAAGCAAGTAGTTACCCATAAAATTAATAAAAAAAATGGAAAAGTGAAGAAGAATTATAGTGCTATTAGACTTTTTCATAACATTATTAACAAGCAATAGGATGGTTGTCAGAGATGGTGTTAATGATACAGTTATCATTAATAATAAGGAACTATACTTTTGAAATAAAGCTTTTAGGTTAATCTATAATAATTAAGCCTATTATTAAGTTTTAAGTAATTAATTAGGCATATAGTGTATCTTTTAGCTATTTACGCTCTTCTAATGGATAACATATTTAAGCATATCAAAAGTAATTACTTTGTTATTCATTCATGTATTTCGGATCAGTATAACTATGTTTAATGCTAAAAGGTAACATAATTATTTACTAAATAATCTTATAATACTTATGAACAACTTAAATAAATTAGGGTACAGAATAAACTATAGTGTTGAAAATATTCTAATACTTTAGCAAATTGAATAATATTAAAGAATATGCAAAACTTAATATTTTATATTAATGATAAACTGTCAAATGCATTATTTAATGTAAAAAATGAGATATACATTTCATATATAGTGTTTGGCATTTGAAAAAAAAAAAGATATATAATATATAGTAAGTACAGATATATAAACATATTCATAATAAAAATAGTAATTAATAGTAATAGCTGTTCTTAGTAATAATATAATTTTAAATGAATAGCTTCAAAAACTCTTTTTAAACTGGTAAAACAAATCTAGTGTTTGCTTTAGTTGTTGATATATTAGATCCTAGTTTGGTGCTAGTTATTGTTACAGCTTTTTTTTTTTTTAACTCTAATAGTGGTTCTTTATTAGTTGGCTTGGTATTTCTGTCTATTGATTTATGTTATAGTACTTATTGTGGATGTAGATGCTCAAAATGTTGATGAAGTAGTAATAGTACTACCAGCTTTTGATGCAGATTCATTTACATTGCCTGCTAAAATATTCTTGACCATTTGTTCAAGTACGTTTTGATCAGTAATTGATGTAATGTTGGACGGAAGAGATAAATTGGAAAGGGAATTAGTGGTAATGACAATTGGAGGAAGATTATCAATTTGGATACTGAAGGGGACCTTATTTTGATAATAATACATTTGCGTTTCATAGCCATTATTTCCCACAATAACAGTGATATTTTGCTCTACATCAAAATATTTATTAGGATCAAGAAGTAGTTCTATCAGTTGCATAAAATGCTCAACACCACTACCAATAATAGCTACAGGCCATTCATTTGTTGTTGCTGAGTCTTTGGCAGGAACTGTAGAAAGACTAGTTAAGTTATAGTCAATTGTACCAACTGTAAAAGATGAAGCCCCAGAACTTGGATGAAATACAACGGAAGCCTGTATAGATTTAATAGAAAATGGAACATTCAGTGGATTCTGAAGTGTAATAACAGATTCAGCTTCTTTTTTAATTATGAGCCCGATAATGCTACCTTTGACAGCAACATGACTAATTAAATTAGCAGCAATACCATCTAACTCTGTAGATAGTTTGACTGATGATAAGGCAGATTGAAGAGGCACTATCGCTGTAGAATCGGATGAACCTGCAATTGTTAAAGGAGTTATAGCAGAAGTCAAGAAGTTGCTGAATAGCTGTCCAATAGTTTTATCATTTGTACTATTTTCGCCCAGATGCATTTGTGCATTAAATATCTTTGAGCCAGGTGGTATAACAGTATCTTTGACATAAACTTGACCAACGACAGCATTGCACTCATTCATGATAACGTCAAAATTGATATCACCCAAAGTAATAGTAATGTTGGATGGGTTATAAAGCGAAAATTTAAGATTAATGAGAGTATATTCTGGTGTACCATCAATAACATCAATAGAAAGGATTGTTATTTTTCCTCCAAAATTATTAAAACCATCAAGTTTAGTACTAACATCAAATTCGATATTTCTAAGATTAAGTTTTCCAATTCCAGTTTGAGCAACAGCATCAGAAATACCTCTTAACCCAAAAGTGGTACTTTGTTTCATAGTTAACAATTGAACAAATCTAGCAAAAGCAGTTTTATCAATAACCTTGAAGGGAATATTACTAAATTGGGTGATAACTAAGCCAGTTGAGCTAGTAGTAGCCTTCTCTGTAGGAACCTTAAGCGAAGCAACTTCTTGTCCATTGTAATTGGCAACAACATTCATATCAAGTTTATTAACACTAAGAGGGAAACCAAAAGGGTTCTTAAGTTGAGCTTGTACATTATTTGAGCTTGCAGATGGTGCCCAAAAGTCTTTAGTAAAATCGAGTGACATATCTTTAAGTGTAATAGCAGGGATTAGCTCTGGCTTACTTTTTGGACCAGGTAAGATTACATTCTCAATGACTAATGTTTGAAATGCAGAAGAAAGCCACTTAACTTGACCATCTGGTCCAGATGCTGAAACACCCTTCACATCTAGCAAAGAATCTTTAGCATTTAGATAATTTTCAAAGACCTCAGTCACAGCTGTGATACTATCAAGAGAATTTTGGGGAATTAATCTGCCTTTCATAGAGATGCTTGCAATACCCTTGGCTGGGAATACAGCAACACCATCAGAAGCAAGTGGACCCAGATTAACATCCTTATAAAATGTTTCAAAGGCAACACATGAAAGATCAAAGCCAATTTGACTGGGATTTTCGATAGTTGTTTCAGCAAGAAGAGTGATACCTCCATTAGGATCATTTGAAGGTAAGTCAAATGAATTAATAGTAACTGCGTTTTTATAACCATTTGCACCAGTTAAAGAAATGGACTTGTCCATCTTTATTTTCGAAAACGTAAAACCAAGCGCATTAACATTAACATCTTCACAAGTAATATCCCAAATAAAATCATCATTATTAATAAGATAAGCAGCAAATCGTGACATATCATCTGTATTTGCAATACTAAATTTGCCTTTAACGTCAAAGGAGGCACCAAAATCAGCCTTGGTATGGATATCTGGCATAGTCACTGTACCAAGGATTTCTCCCTGCCAAAAAACTTTTAAAGATGTAGGAAAACTAATAATTGCATCCATTGGTCCAGTATTGGTAATGCTGCCTCTCATTCGAACAATAAAATTATCATTAGTAGGAGAAGATAGAACAATAGTTTTAAAAGCTAACACAGAACCATCAACAATTTGCTGTACAATTGGTTGCCCTACAAGTGGAATTAATTGAGTGATAGAATTATCAGTAGAAATAGCTACACCACTTTGAGATAAAACCAATTCATCCAAATATTCCCCTATCTGTATATTTGAAAAAAGTGATATATCAACTTTTAATGCCTTCATAGCATCTATGACATAAGATGAAATATTAAAATCAGAGAATAGACTAGAGTCCGCTACAATAGTTTCTTGGCCAACAATTTGAAAATCACCTAAGCCTAGTAAGGCATCGAGAGCACGATTATCCAAATTAGCCTCAATAGCAAGTGTACGAAGTAGTAGTGCAATTGAAGCAGGTTCAATATTCATATTCATACTTAAATATTGAGATTCTGCAGTACCTTTACCAGGTACAATAAAAGTGTTGCTGCTAATATCTTGATCGATTTTACCTATAGGCATACCCTTAAATGTAGCAGCAGCAGTAACCTTTGAGATGGATAAATCAGCACTAAAAGGGTTTGCAATAGATACTTTGACCCCAGCAATACCTGTAATAACGGTATCGCTAAGTATAGTTAATGCGCCACTTTTAATTAAGGATTCCTTGAGACCAGGAAGAGTGGAACCAATATTAATATCGCTCAATGGATTCACAAGTGAAGCAATATTTGTTGAATTACTATGACCCAAAATTTTAATAGCATTATTATTGCCCATAATGAAACTATTTAAAAGATTCTGGCCAATATTTGTAGACTTGGAGTCAAGAGTGGCAGTAGCTATGACAGTATTCTGACCACGTGTTAAGGAAAGATTGTCTAATACAACAAGACCAAGAGCAGCATCTTCAGCGCCCATAATAAAGCTAATATTACCAATTGAAATATTGAAATCAGAAGGATTCATCATAGTAACATTTATGGATAATACAAGTTTATCAATAGTGCCACCTGTGACATCAATAGAGTTAATGATAGTAGCAGTACTATTTAAAAACTGAAGACCATAAAGTGAGGTAGGTAAAAAGAAAGTTATTCCTTCTAAATTAATTGGGCCAACAGGAGTGTTTGTTTTGATGGAAACATTCCCAGAGATCATAAATGTATAGTTTTTAGAAGTAGTCAATGCGTAAGTGTATTGATTAAATATACTCTCTTTCCCAGGAATACCAGCTATAGGATTATTTTCAATAGCAAATCTTAATGTACCTGCTTCTTGATTATTGGTAGTAGGAACATAGGGGATACTAATTATAGCAAACTCTGTTGATTCTGTACTAGAGGTATTAACAGCAAGAGAAATATTTTGAGTAACTTCTGTTATATTTAGTGAGAAACCAAAAGGTATTTGATATCCTGCAGTAACATTAGGGGCAATAGCCATAGGGGAATATGGATTAGCAGAATCAAATTTTAAATCCAAATATCCCATATCAATCGTATTAATAATATTAAGAGGTTTTGTAGCACGAAGAGCAATATTAAGTCGAACTGTCTGAAAGCCTTCGGAAAGCCATCCAACTGAGTTAACACCATCAGGTGCAGCTGAAATACCGGTCGCAGAGGTATTAGATATCCTTCCAGAAATATAGTTTGAGAATAATACACCAATTTTATCAAGGGATTCAGTATCATTATGCGGAATTAATGTACCTTTTAAGAAAATGTTATTATCACCCTTTTGAAGATTAACATTTGTTGCTTGAACATTCCCCAGATTGATTCCATCATAGCCTAAAGCAAGACTAATCGTACCCAGTTGAACACCAATTGGTGAAGGACTTGTAAGGACCGTATCTAACTCTACTAGAATTCCTCCTTCTGGTGCATTTCTAGGAAGTAAGAAAGAGTTGATTTTCACATCAGGAAAGCCATTCATGCCTAAAAAAGTTCATGAATAAGTTTTTTTTTTTTTTTTTTTTTTTTTTTTTTTTTTTTTTTGCTTTTTAAATTGTAGATCTTACCATTCAGCACAATTTCTTTTTCAAGATTAACAGTAGCAGTTCTAAAAAATTGTAGATAATGAACAAGACACAATTATAAAATAAAAAATCTATATTTATTTTACTTACCTAGTAAGGGCAGTAATATCTAACTTCCCTCTAAGAGTCCATTTAAATTCCTTAACTGCCAACATATCTTTCGCAAAAGAAGTAAATGCTGATTCATTCTTGATAAAGAAGGGAGTAATTGCATTTAAGGTACCATGGCCCCCGGAGACATGTGTATTATTGAAAATGTAAATATCACCTAAAAGTTGATCTTTGTAAAGAACCTCGATGGGGTTATGAAATTTAATATTGACAGAAAATGGACCCGTATTACTTAGAGAACTTTCCATATGCATGTAAAATGCTGTATTTATATTATTGTTATCATTACGCTTTTGACTATAAGCTTGACTGTCAAAAATGTCAGGTTTACTGAATGTAATTTGAGCTGCACTAACGTCAATTTTCGATTGATTCATTAAAGACTGTGCAATCTTTGGAAAGAATACAAATAAGGCCAAGAGAACAATTACAATAATGAAGATAACAGTTAAAATGGAGCAAATAATCCAATATTTTTTCTTTTTGTAAACTGGTCGTTTAGATGACACAGTTGGCTTTTCAATATGTTTTTCAATTAATTCATTATCTTCAGTATTACTGATATTTTTTGGACAGTATTTGTTATTATGCTGATTTACAAAGGCATCATTGCTATTATTGGTTTTGCTACCAACATAATCAATCATTTATTGCTATTGTATTATTAATGAATGGAGTCGATATTTTGATATTGTAAAAAGATAGATAAATAAAATAAAAAGGATAGTAGAAAGTTAACTGAACCGTAACACTTATAAAGATATTATACTTAATCAAAGGAATGTCTTTAAATATATATAATATATATAAATTTGTCAAAAAAAAAATGTACAAATCAATATATATTTTGCCAAACACAGTGCGAAATTTAATTAGATTATAGATACTTCTGTCAAATAAGTATAGAATTTAGTACCTACTCTTTGGAGACACAAGTACGAAGAGCATAAGGTGTTAATATTTCATGTGAATTGTCCACATGTATTAATAAATATGTATATTTTCAAAAAAAAAAAACTAACTTTTGTTTTGAGAGTATTAATAAAGCAACATACTTCTTTTAAAATAAATAACGAGACAGTCAATCCTAAAATAATAATTAGTGTTGCTACATATTAGCTAATGTTAGCCTGAATAAAAATAGAAAACACAAACTCAACAGTTAATAATTTGCCGATAATTATTTCATGATTGACTGAATTAAAAATGCTTACAATATATGATTGGCAGTACATACAAACGTATATATAATTTACATTTTACCTAGTGGTCATTGTTCCTTATTGAATATAGATTTTCGAATCAAGCCTATATATAAACTAGGAAATACAAGCTCTTTTTTTTTTTTTTTTTTTTTTTTTTTTTACATGGTTAGTATAAATGATTGTATCAATGAAAGTTATGATATAAAGCAAAAATGATATCACATATTTGAATGTCAAGAAATGAATATATAAATGATTCTTTTCCTATGTATATACTCTATATTTATGTACATATTCTAATGTATATTTAATTAAACGAATGAAGTATATATCTTGATTTTATCGTAATAAAAGGCAGCTATGTGTATTTGCTTGCAAAAATTCATTTTTTTTTTTTTTTTACACACACGTATTATTGTTCTCTTCTCCCCCACAAAACAAGCTATATAACTACTAATAATAATACATAACATATATAAATGTACGAAGTATGCTTTATTAAATTCTTCTATATATGAAGTAATTATGTATTTTAGTAGGTTTTCGCATCTTTGGCAAAAAAAAAAAATTATACATTTGGATCTGTCTTTTTTTTTCATGTGAAAAAGATAAAGTTTGTGTGTTAATATAACGAAAATTATAATCAATTATTGATAAAGATATACAACATATTTAAATATTAAACTTTAAAAACTTTACTACAAGTTATGGAAGTCTCATAAAAGTGCTTTATCTGATCTTTAGCGGTATTTTACGGAATAAAACTATTTATTTATTTATTTTTAAAAAAGGAAATAAATTCTCCACAAAAAAAAAAAAAAGGATTAAATATACTCCACAATGGTAAATAGTAGAAAAACACCTTGTTTAATTGACAAGTTGAATATTCATTGCCAAGAGAAAACTTAATATGCGTGTCAGGAATAATTTCAGTTGATTTTCTGGTGAAAATGCTAAAAAATTGCAAGAAAATGAAATTATATAAATAGGCGCTAGTGTTTTTTTTCTTTTAAAAAAAAAGATGTGGCAAATCTTATTTAAAAAAAAAAAAAAAAAAAGCTTGATCCAAGTTAGATATATCAAAAGGATGTATATTTAAGTTAAAATTTGAATATAGCCCTGTAGTAAAGAGAGCTTGTAAAAAAATACTTGATAAAAAAAAAGGTAAGTCGTTTATGCCTTTATTCATCAATTCAGAATTGTCTTGGAAATAAAACAAACCACATTTTATAATTGTGTTAGGCGTTACAATTTGTAAATATGATCAATATTAGCATCATCACCAGAAATTAAAACCAAATTTAGCTTTTAAATACCATTAAATGTTTCTTATTTTAATACTTTTGTCCCTCAATCTCTAATTTGATAACTATAAATCATAATCATATGAAATATATTGGACTATGTTATTTATAACTATACATTTAAAGAAGAGCTGTTTTCATGGTTTTACTAACTAAGCATATTATATATGTAAGTGGATATTCTTCGTTTCCTAGACTTGAGTTATTATATATTTTTGTGACTTGCAATAGACATAGTGTATTAATTATACTAGCTATTTTTATTATAGACCTGACTCCTTACGTAATTAATATTTCACGTTTATATATTATTATAAAATAAAAAGGAAAGTATAAATATATGCATATACGTATTATACGTATGTAATTTGTTATACGAAGGGTCCTTTTAATATACAGTGTAAAAATCTTAGAAATACATGTATAAATTCGTATATATTTATTTTTATTCTATTCGAAAGTTTTCTTTCCTATTTTATACTTTTTCTTGTTATGTATAATAAGCAACAAAAAAAACACGCTTATTTATGAGAGGAAATAAATAAATGATACACACATGACATCTCTTCTAACGACACAGATTTTTATTTTATCCTAAATGTTTTAAATGTAGTCTTCATATTTAAGAAGAATCTGAAACATATTTCTTTTTTAAAGACCATATTATTCATGTATTATGCTTTCTAATGATGTGCAGAAAGTATTGTTAACTTATCAAATCATAAACTCCGCAAAATAATAGTATGAAACAAAGGCGAAAGATGTTTTTTTTTTCTTTCTTTCTTTCTCATTTTCCAATTAGTTTTCTTCTTTTTTTTTTTATGCTCATTATTCATTCTTTTTAATCATGTATGGTCATATTACTAGAAATCCCTGGGAAGAACATATAAAAAATAGTAATCATTTAGACGAATTACGAAAGTCAATCCGAGAACAAAAGATACTTTTAGCGGCCGCAACAGGTGCTGTCGACGACGATCAGGGTAATCAGTGCAATACTTCAACTGTTGAAGATTTAAAAAGACGTATTATTTCTATTGATAAGGAATTAAAGGAAAAGCAAGGGAAATTATTTATTAGAGGTTATTCAACTCAAAAACAAACACAATGGTGGACTCGTTATCAGCGCAACTTGCGTGAACTTGAAGATTTGGCTGACCAGCGTCAAATCTTATTAAAAGAGTCAGATTATCTTATAGGAACAAGCATAAAGAATTTAGAGAAAGAGATAGAGGCACTTGATTATCATTATTATTATAAAAAAAATGCAAACTTTCCTTTAGGAGATAATGGTGTCACTGAATCAGAACGAATTCGGGCAAAAGCTCAAGCGATGGTCGCTGCTCGATTAAACAAAAATAAAAGCACAACATCCATGCATGACGATTCATCCCAAAAGATATCTCAACTAATAACTGATATACAACTAATGGAAGAGCAGATAAATCATATCGTAGGGGAAAATTTAACAAGTATTGATGATAACTTGAATGATGGACTTGCACAAATTAAAGATCGACAAATGTTTGAGCAAGGGCTTTATGTGGATGATACTGTGGCTCGATTCATTGATAACCTAAAGAGAACTACTATAACTGAAAAAGAACCTACTATTACACATACTTTGCCACCATTACCACCTTCTTTATATTCGACTCAACCTTTGTCTCCGCAAAAGCCTCCTCCTCCTATACCCACCTCTCAACGACCGGGCACTCCTAGATCAGAAGCCGATATTAAAGCAGCTGCGTATAAACGTATTGAGGAGCGTCGAAAATTATTTATCAAACAAGCTGATCAGAACCATGAAATAAATAAAAGTAAAACACCTAATAAAGTCAGTGATGAGGAAAAAGTTGCACAGGAAAGAATGAGGCAGGCGGAATTAGAGGCACGTGCTCGATTAGAATGCATGCGTGAAAAGCGCCATTTGATGCGTAAAGAGGCGGCTGAAGCAGAAGAAAAAAAGAAAAGGGCAGCTGCAGAAGCAGCAGAGACAGTAGAGGCAGAGATCATTGCTGAAAGAAAGCGTAAGCAGTTGGAAGAAGAGGAGCGTCTTACAAAAATTAAAAAGCAACAAGAAGAATTAGCTGAACGGCAAAGAAAAGAACGTGAAGCGGAACTTGAAAAGCTAAGGATGGAGCAACAAATACAAGCTGCAGAACGCAAGAAAAGGGAAGAAGAGGAACGTCTAGCAGAGGAAGCTCGTCAGCGGAAAGCAAGACAAGCTGCTGAACAAGCAGCACGTGAAAAAAGACTACGTCGTATGGAGATTGAACGTAGAGAAAAGGAATTAGAGGCTGCAAGGCAAGAAGAAATAAACCGTCGTAAAAAGTGGGAAGAAGCAGAAAAACAAAAACGTTTGGAAGAAGAAAGGAGGATTAAGGAGAAAGAGGAAGAGGCAGAAAAATTAAAACAAATGTTAGAAGAGGAAGAAAAAAAACAAGAAAAAAAAAGACATCAGGAAGATGAAGAAAGAAAACAGCTTGAAGTAGAGGAAGAATTACGTAGGAAAAGAGAGGAGGAAAGGCTACGAAAAGAAAGACTGTTACAAGAACAAAGATTACGTGAAGCTGAGCAAAGGTTACAGGAAGAAAAGAAAAGGGAAGAGGAAAGAAAAAAAGAGCTTTATGAGCAAGAACAAGCAACTGCAAGAGCCGCTGAGGAAGCTAAACGAATAGAAGAAATAGCAAAAAATTCGACATCATCGAGTACGCTCGTAAATGCCCACAATTTCTCTGCGCTAAATAGCACAACTGCAGGAAATAGTGGTTATGGAATTGATATTGAAGATGAAGTTAATTTTAGTAAAAGTAAGTATACACAAAAATATATTAAAATTGGGAAGATGTTTAATTTTATTTTTCAATCAAGTATATCGTGTGGTTACTTTATATGAATTTCAAGGTATAAGAGAGGATGATCTATCATTTTCTGCAAATGAAACATTGAAAGCCCATCCATCGAAGGATAAGGCTAGTGACTGGTGGTATGGTACCTCTATACTTACAAATCAAGTAGGCTTTTTTCCTCGTACCTATGTCGAAATAGTGGAAGAAGGTAGCTATATATACATACATACATACATACATATATACATATGTTATTATAATAATAATCAATGTATTAAGTATTCTTTATTTTATAGCATTTTACGTTAGAACATTATATGAATTTAAAAAGACACGTCCTGATGACCTTGGATTTGTTGAAAATGAAATTATTTTAGTCCAACCATTCCAAGACGAAGAGAGTGAATGGTGGTATGGTACAAATGAAGACACAGAAGAAAGTGGTTACTTTCCAAAATCATATGTTGAAAGAATTAGTTCATGTAAGTAGTATATATATATCATTTCAGACTTTTGGTTAATTTAGTTTTATATATGTATAGCTTCATCCAATAATCAGCAACCTCAATATAAGGTGACTACTACTTCTATACCAATACCAATTAAACCCTCATCTAATAATTATCAATCTGATCAATTAACGGTTTCAAATCATGATTTTTTACGAGGAGGTTTGTCAGCGCCCAACACACCTATAATGAAAAAGACGAATTTAAACATGAATAAAACACAGTTAACGAAACGACGTAGAGCTGCAAGCACTGTCAGCACGATCAACAATAGCCATATTGGTACACCACAGCTTATTATTCCACGATCTAACAGTATATCTGAAAATCTTGAATTGCTAACTTGGGCTAGTACAATGGATGAGATTGAATTAGAGGCAATACCCTATGAAGAACGTAAGAGACAAGAAGCTATTTTTGAGCTGATTTCTACAGAAAAAACTTATCTTAACGATCTTCAGATGATTATTAATGTAAGTCTATATAAATAGAGTATTAAAAAAAAATAAAAAATAAAAAGATCAATGAGTAATTTACAGATTTTATTAGGTCTTTTACACTGACTCTGGAAAATATCTATCACAAGATGAACGGGATGTTGTATTTTCTAATATAGACGATTTATTACTTTGTAATACGGCATTATTAAGCGATTTAGAGAGCAGACAAAGAGAAGAAGCAAATGTGATTAACCAGATTGGTGATATCTTTTTAAATCATGTAATATTTACTTACTTTTAAAAATGTATATAACATAAACTTATTGCTTTAATAGGCTGATAGCTTGAAATGTTATTCAATGTATTGTCGGAATCAATCTTATGCTTCAAAATTTTTACAAAAGAAAAGGGAGGAGGATCAATGGTTTGATGTGTTTCTAAAGGTAGGATAAGAGTTCAATAAATACGTTTGCTAACAATTACTTTAGACAGCACAGAATAGACCTGAATGCCGTTCTTTGGATCTTTCTCATTTTTTACTTGAGCCTGTACAGCGCATCACTAGATATCCTCTTTTATTGCGCCAGGTAACGAGGCTGCAAATATTGTGTATAAGAACAAAAAAAAAAAAAGTCTAACTCTTCCATATACAGATTCTGAACTGCACTTCCAAAAAGCATCCCGATTATACTCTTGTAAGATCATCTCTTTCAATTGCACAAAGAATATTAGAAGACGTAAATGAAGAGACAAGACGATATGAAAGCAGCCAAAAAGTGTCAGAGTTAACACGAATTATAGATATGGAAGCCACAGGTGTAAGTAGAGATAATTTATATTTCTCTAATAATCTACTAAATTTCATTGTGTAGCGATTAAATATTCCTGGTCGTGAATTTGTTATGGATGGCGTACTTTTCAAAGCTAAAAGTGGACGAAAATTACATGGATATTTATTTAATGATATATTGATTCTTGCAGAGCCTTTGAAAACTTTAAATCAAAAAGGGTATTTATATAGCCTTTATCGTGAGGTAAAAATAGTTTACATATTTCTACATTGTCTATAATAACTTAATAGTTTATATTAGCCAATGCCACTTGAAAGAGTAAGTGTTCGTCAGCAACAAACAATATCCTTAAAAGCCTCGTTTGGAAGTAGCAATACTTCAGGTAAATAATATAATTAAAACTGATTATTGATAGTTTAATATTTATTATACAATTATAGATGATTTATCATTCCAAATTGTCACCATAAATCAAGTTATCGCTGTTAAAGCTGCATCAGCAGCTCAAAAACGTCAATGGATAAGTCAAATTCAACATTACAGTGCGCTCCAGCAATACAAATAATATACATACATATATATATATATCTCATAATTATTTATCAAATTGTAATATACATACTATATATCATGTTAATTGATAATGTATTCATTTAACAGAGTTTTGAAGTAATTATTAAAATTTATGTCAAAACATTATTATATAATAAGAACATTTACCCTACAACAAGTTATATAATATTCATATATACAAATATGTTTATATTTATATTTATGTATTTAATAATACTATTACCATTGCAAAAGAATCGTCATTTTTTAAAATCATAAAATAATGATAATCAAGTAAAGTAGAGATAGCTTAGCTTATTGTTATCATTAAATGATGCTGAAAGTAAAATCTGAAAAATAAAAAGCATTTGTCCTGCTGCATAATAACAATAGAATAAACGCTGCTATTGTCCCAGTTTATAAATGCGATGACTCCATTTGTATGAAATGGCTGATACCATCAAACCAGAGTGAGAAAAAAAAAAAAAAAAGCACATACGTTAAAATATCAATTAAATGAAAGAAAACAAAAGATTCATTTTATTTGCAAGTCAGATACCATTGTTCTGCTGAAATTTTGTTTGAATTTCACTATGTTTACAAAAGTCAGCAATCATTCGGGGATATTATATTAATAAATAATAAAAAAAAAAAAAAAACGCATTAAGCTTTAAATATTTTCTTCTACACGTGCAATAGTTTAAAGTCACATTATATTTGTATAAAAAAACTTGTTGTCAACTAGAAAGTATTAACTTTGGTGAATCTACTTGGCAAGCATACTACATGTGTGTGCTATAAACCCTTTTATAGCTTATGTAATGAACCTACTTATTGTAATCTTATTTTTTTTTTCAAGCCCTCGGGAGGTTTCCATATTAAGAAATTATTCCTGTTCCAAAAAGAGATTGTAGCCGATGCTAAACAAAAGAGCGAATCCTGTTTCGTGGTTTTTAAAATTTTAAATTTCAGGTATCTTGATTATAGACACATAATTAAATCTTGAAAAATAAATTAACTTTTCCACAAGTCTTCAGGTAACACACAGGCCCCAACATAATATCCTTTTTGGGGTTAAAATATTATCATCTGTCAAAATAATACATGCACAATTCAATGAAGTTTGATTGCTTCATTTTACTTGGACATTCGCTTAAATGTTATAAATTCAGAAAGTTTCAAAAAAAAAAAAATCTTTCTGAGTTGCTAATGAAATTTAATAGCCAAAAAAAAAGGTAATTTTTGGATCTTCATTTTTTTTTTTTTTCTTCTCCATTCATTTCCCTCTTCTCTCCTTCTTTTAATATATTTATTAATTATGCCTCATTCCACAGACGATAAGGTTGCTGCTACTACAGAACCAAATGAGGTTTCTGAAGTTATTACACATCCAGTACCTAGTCGTCTTCTTGACCCTAAACAATGTCCTACACCTCATGTTACTTCTATGGAGCAATATCGTTCAATGTGGAAAGAGAGTATCGAGCAACCTGAGAAATTTTTTGGAAATGTATGTTATAAGAGTAGTAGTAGTAGGATGTTGATATTTTTTTTTTTTTTTTTTTTTTTTTTTGTAAGAGACTTACACACTCTTTTATTAGCTTGCTCGTGAACTTTTAAGTTGGGATAAACCTTTCGAAACTGTTAAACATGGTTCATTTGAAACAGGTGATGTAGCTTGGTTTTTAGATGGTGAATTAAACGCTTGTTATAATGCTGTCGATCGTCATGCACTTAAGAATCCTGATAAGATTGCTATTATTCATGAAGGTGATGAACCTGCTAACGTTCGTCGCATCACATATGGCGAACTCTTTAGAGACGTATGTCGTTTGGCTAATGTTCTCAAGAATCTTGGTGTTCGTAAGGGTGACAATGTTGCTATCTATATGCCCATGATTCCAGAAACTTTAATCTCTATTTTGGCATGTGCTCGTATTGGTGCTATTCATTCTGTTGTCTTTGCTGGCTTTTCAGCTGAGTCACTTTTGGATCGTGTCGCTGATTGTGGTGCTCATATTGTCATTACTTCAGATGAAGGTCGTCGTGGTGGACGTAATATTGCAACCAAGTCCATTGTGGATACTGCTTTGTCAAAGGAAGAAGCTCATCAAGTTGAACATGTCATTGTCTATCAACGTACTGGAACTGAAGTACCTATGATGGAAAATCGTGATCTTTGGTGGCATGAGGAGATGGAAAAGGCACGTCCTATATGTCCTTATGAAAAGATGAGTGCAGAAGATCCTCTCTTTTTACTTTATACCTCAGGTTCAACTGGTGCTCCCAAGGGTATTGTTCATACTACAGGTGGTTATTTATTGGGTGCTGCTGCTACTGTTAAATATATCTTTGATGTACATGACGATGATATCTATGCTTGTATGGCTGATATTGGATGGGTTACTGTAAGTAGTATAAAATATATATAGAAGTATATTGATTGATAAAATAATAATAATACTAATATTATATATATATATATATATATATATATATAGGGTCATAGTTATATTTTATATGGCCCTCTTACACTAGGTGCCACTACTGTCTTGTTTGAAAGTACACCTACTTATCCTACTCCTGCACGTTTTTGGGAACTCATTGAAAAACACAAAGTAACTCAATTCTATACAGCACCTACAGCTATTCGTGCTCTTCAACGTCTTGGAGATAAATGGGTTGAACAAAACGATCTTTCCTCATTACGTGTTATTGGTTCTGTTGGTGAACCTATTAATCCTGAAGCATGGAATTGGTATAATGAAAAAGTCGGTAAAGGTCGCTGTGCTGTCGTTGATACCTACTGGCAAACAGAAACAGGTTCAATTATCATTAGTCCTTTACCTGGTTGTACACCTACTAAGGCAGGTTCTGCTACACTTCCATTCTTTGGTATTCAACCTGTCCTGTTAGATCCCGCTACAGGCGCTAAGATTACTGAACCTGATGTCACTGGTGTCTTAGCCCTTAAGGGTGCTTGGCCCTCCATGGCTCGTTCTATCCATCAAAACCATGAGCGTTTCCTTCAAACTTATATTGCTCCTTACCCTGGATATTACTTTACAGGTGATGGTGCTTCCATGGATAAAGATGGTTATATTTGGATTCGTGGTCGTGTTGATGATGTTATCAACGTTTCAGGTCATCGTCTCTCTACTTCAGAAATCGAAGCAGCACTTTCAAGTCATAGCTCAGTTGCTGAATCAGCCGTTGTTGGTGCACATGATGATTTAACAGGTCAAGCCATTCATGCCTTTGTTAGTTTGAAGCCTCATGCTCAATCCAATGAAGGTTTAGATCGTGAATTGATCTTGACCGTTCGTAAGATCATCGGTCCATTTGCTGCACCCAAACGTATTCATATTGTCCGTGAACATCCAAAGACACGTTCTGGAAAAATTGTTCGTCGTATTCTTCGAAAGATTGTCAATGGTGAACATAGCCAACTTGGCGATACCTCTACTTTAGCTGATCCCTCTGTCATTCCCTCAATTGTATCTCTTGTACATCAATAACTATCATTTTGTATTTATAACACACACGCACACGTACACGCACACGTACACATACACACATACACACACACATACAAAAAAAAAAAAAAAAAAGAAAACCCCTTTGTATAATTTTAAAAGAATAGAAAAAATAAAATAAAATAAAACTACTTTGTATAGAATTGACTTGATAGATCATCATTAAACGTTCAAAAGTCTAAGAAGCTTGTTTATTTTTATTTCATCATAGAGTACAAAGATAAAATTAGATATAGGGTGTATTTGAAAATAATAAAGTCCTAACAAAACTATCATTAGAATGAAATAGTGTTGATAATAAACGGGGCTAAAGATGGCATATATTAGCTCAAGAGATATAAAATTGAGAATTTGTATATTTTGTTAATAGAAAGAAATAGAGCTCTTTTTATATACATATTTATATGAGGATTTGGTACAATACAGGACTGTCACACTGTATAAATAATAGATTTATGCAACTATAAATTAAAGCAAAAGGAGTACCACTTGAATAGATAACATTTAATTACGCAAAAATGATAGCAATAACTAATAAACTTAATAACATCATGATTAATCTTGACATGAATGCACCTTGTGGTGTTTGTTGTTGCTGTGAATTACCATTTGAAATATTCTAATTGTAGATAGATGTAAATATAAAAACTAAAAGTTTGACATAACCCATAAAAACTTACATTGTTTACAAAAGTGACGCCTAATGGAAAAAACCCAAATCCTGCAGAAATTGATATTCCTCCTCTATTAAAAGCACCTCCAGTAAATGGTTGACCAAAAAATGATGTTGCAGGTCTATTAGGATCACGAATAGGCGGTGGCCTTTGTCCAGCTGGTCTTGTAGGTATAGACGGGTCATTTCTAATTTAATCATAGGTAAAATAAAGGAATAAGAAAATGACTATTACAATATACTTTTTTTTTTCTTTTTTTTTTTTTTTTTTTTTTTTTTTTTTTTTTACCTTGGGTCTTTTTCTTCTTTACCACGACCATAAATTGGAATTACTTTATCTTTACCACAGCCCGCTTTACAAACAGGACAAGTTGGATTTCTAGATTGTGCATTTAACCATTGAGCTAAACAAGACCAACTGACAAAAAGACGTTGTTATTTTATTTTATTTTTAGATTACATAATGTCTTATCACTTACCAGAATAAATGTCCACATACAGTTAAGACTGGATGTACTGCAGTATCAAAGCTTATATTATAAAATTATTTAAACACATAGAAATAATAAATACAAATTATAATATCTTACCAAATATTGCATTCATAAAAACCACCTCCATTTGAATTAACATCATCTTTATAATTGTCTGTTGCTTTTAATGTTACATTTGTATTATCTTTATTAGGTACATGTCTTTGCCTTAATTCGTTTACTGTAGTATTTGTTGGAAGTTCAGCGACATTTGTCTCTACTTCAAGTTCTTGTTGTTCATTTTCAGTTGTAGTTTGGTCTATATTATTATCTGATGATGTTCCTAATGTTTGTTCTGTAATAGAATTGTTTGTTTGAGAATCAGATTCCATATTATAAAGATAACAATGAAAAAAAAAAAAAAAAAAAAAAAAAAATATGATAATAATAATAATGTTTTATGTGTGCAAGTTACAAGAAAAACGAATAGAAAATCTTCACAAAGTATCGGAAATTGAATGACTTTGGATTTCTTTTTCTTGAACCAACAATCTTCTACTTTAGTTCTCAATAATTGCAGACAATAGAAAAGAAGAGCTTCCTATATTTTCTCTTCTTTTATTATAGTGATAGTTTCTTTTTATATGTTAGTTAGTAACTCTAATGTATAACTATAGGAAATAAAGAAACATAAACCCGAGATATAACACATATAAAATCCAGACAAATAAGTTAAAACAGTTAATGATAAAAAAGGTAAAAAAAAAATATATATATATCTATGTATATAGCAATAAATATCACTTTGGAAAAAGACGTACCAAGAATAGTAGAACTTTGATATTACAGTTCAATTCAGTAGTAAGAAATAGATAAAACAAGACTTCAATACCAAAATGATGTTTATTCCAAGGTTAATATCTTGGTTGCTAATGACATACTCAAAATGTATTAAAATGAGTATAATTGGCTGTATTTATGATAGAGAACTAATAAATGGTAACAGACCTTTTTTTTTTCTTCTAATAAATAATAATAGCTGTTCTGTTGTGAATGCACTTAAATCTTGTACATATAATAAATCATTCAATTGAAGAAGTTTGCCGTTTAAAAAAAATATATATACATTTATTAACTTAGGATGGTAACGTCTTGAAAATTATCTTTTTTTCTCTTTATAGAAATAGTTCTGCCCTTACTTTTTTTACCTTTTGTCCGAAAAGATTTTTTTTTTTTTTTTTTTTTTTTTTGACTTTGCTTAAATTCATGAGGAATCAGAAGCAAAATAAATATATGTATTTTCAATTATGTGCCTTGTAAAAATATATTGTTCAGTCTCGTTGATTTATTATACAAGCTTATGCATATATTAATAGAGATATCGCCCTGAATGCTATACTCTTTTTAATTAATCCCTTTATTTATTTTTTAACGATAAAATTATCCATCATGCCTTTTAAAGGCTTTGTTGGTAATATGATATAACCTTCAGTCATTGGGTTTGATTCTTCTGTTTTAGTAACAGCTTCATAGTGCAAAATGTATATTATCACGATGGGTCTATATCACTATTTTTAATTAAAATATTACGGTCAAAACCTGGTTTTTCTTTTATTCTCATTAATATTACTAATTTAACAATCCTGTTTGCTAATCTTTACACCAACTTATAAAGATGATAATCAATACAGTACATAAACAACTACAAAGCTTATTTAGTTAGTATTGAATCATCTTCTACAAGTCGTTATTACATAAAAGTTTTTTTTTTCATTTATAATTAATAATAAAAAGGGTAATGATCCAATTAGCCAGTAGCTTCTTTATATAATAAAAAGGACTACTGTTTCCAGAAGCAACCAATCGTGGAGGTTGATCATTATGTGCTTCCTTTCACAGTTTTATTTAACGAGAGACGTGAAAACACCAGATGAAAGATACTCTCGGGATTGAATATTTTAAGTGACCAATACATCCAAATAACTTCACTGAGGATTTATTGTTTACAGTGACCAATATCCTCAGAATATCACTTTCACAAAGAAGAAGAAAAGAAAAATAAATATTTTTCTTCTCCTATTTACATTTTTTTCATGTAAACAAAGGCTCTAATAGGTACAGTGCTTTATTGTGGCTTATTGTTTTTCTATTAGAAACATTGAACGATATGACTCTGTTTATTTTTATCACACTTTAGATATAGACCATCATGCATATTGAATTCCAAGCTCCTTTCCTTCCCCCCCTTTTTTTATTTATTTATTTAAACGGAGCTTAGTCTTAATTGGTATGTTTTTTTATTATTATTTTTTTTTTTTATTTCTTCTTCCATCTCAAAATATTTAATGAATCTGTGAAGGTAACCACGCAAGTAAAAGAAACACGTTGATCTTGTACACATGAACCCTGCCCTTCGCCGGAGAAATTCGCCGGCTGCTTGATGACTCTTGTAGTTGTCCCCAGCTGGGAGTGGGAGCCGTACTGGTCTTTGTGGGAAGATGGCACAGTTGAACCCTGCCCTTCGCCGGAGAAATTCGCCGGCTGCTTGATAACTCTAGTAGTTGTCCCCAGCTGGGAGTGGGAAGTTGTCATCTTTCTCTTTTACTTTGCGTTAAAAAAAATTAAATGGTAAATGTGCAGCTGATTTGTTAGATGCTACACTATATTTTTTTTTTCTAGGTAAAGATGTTTCATTATGTCTGGATCTGGATCTTCTATTATTTTCTAATTGGTGTTTAACAAGAGAAAACTTCTAGTAATTTAATGATTCAAAACTACCTATGCTTTCTAAGCGAACTTTTATTTGATAAACACTGTTTTTATTTTACACAAACTCATAGCATAACTTCTAGCCAGTTATATGCAACTGATTTGTGTTGCTGCTATTTTACCTTTTATCTCTTTTCACACTCCAACTGTAAACTCTAGCTGAGTAACTGTGATATATACTACGCTTTAGAACACACTAGCTGTAAACTTCATTCTTTCTATTTACCACAAGCATTTCAGTATTGTTTGGTGTACATGACTTAAATTCTCTTTCAATAGTTTAACATTATTAGTAAAATAAAACATTATCTTTTACAACTTTGTTAATAAACTTTAATAATTTGTTACTATTATATTAAAAAAAAATAATAATAATACTAAAACTAAGAGCTAGGGCTTTGTGGGCCTTCTTCGGCTATTTCATCCTTATACTTGTTCTCATTTAATTGAACAAGAACAGGATTGACAAAGTCAAGTAAAGAGACACGGGTATTGTCATCGGTTCCAAAGTAGGTCTCCCTCAATACTTTGTCATGCTCTTTACTCAAAACTGACAAAGCGTTCATTGTTTCGTCCAAAGATACCTAGTGTGATTTTCAAGTTAGTCGTTTCCTCAATATACTTGACAGATAAAAAAAAAATAAAGATGCATATACCCCTAAACTAATAGTAAAATTCATGAAAGGAATAACACCTTCAGATTTTCTTTCAAAATCCTTGATAATATCCACCTTTTGTTCTTTGTTCATAAGATACAATCCGGGGGAAGGAGTGGACATACTCCAATGTCGGATTGCATGATCTATATGTATAAGGTATTTAGCAAACATGTAATGTGTTTGTCAATTTTACTTACTATGAGTGTGAATAAAATGAACTTTCAAGTTCTTAAAACTATTAAAGCTAGCATATTTATATTTTCTAGCAAGAGTACGAAGCATCATTAATAAACCGAACATCGCTTTGTAATGGTCAAAGCTAGTTTTTCCTTTGTTGTTTTCAGCAAATGCTGAAGATACTTCAGACAATAAAACTTCAGTTTCAAGGCTATTACATAAAATTGTTCCATCTGCATTGTATCTGAGACGTTTATCTGTAATGCCTTGATCTTTGAGTTGAACTGTCATGGCTTTAAGTTCTATTTCACCTGGATAAAAGGTAACATTATGACCATTATCCTTGAGATATTTGTTACATGCTTGCAATAAAGGATCAATAACATAATATCGCAAGCAACTTTCAAAAGAAGATAACGTTTCTGAGGCACCATCAAAAAGATTAGAACTACAAAAATGGTTAATTTTTATTTTTATTTTTTGGTGTAATGAAAACTTAAATTTTGATACAACTTACAATATATTAAAGATACATGTCATTAAATCTCTTTTAGCAATCAAATTGACTGTACTACTACAATTTCGAAACATCTTAACTTTATCAAGCCATTCTTCTTTGTTACCCTGTTATCATTTTGAATATAAGTTGTGTTATTCTCCACATTTAAATGTGTGTGTTTTTTTTTCCAACTTACTGTATCAAGTGCCTCCAATAACAATTGTTTAAAAATACAATCAACCCATTGCATTTTGATATTTGGAACTTGTTTGTTTAGTTCTTGGAAAAACTCTACAGGGAGCACTGGTTTATAAAGAACTTTTTTACCACACCAAATTATATTGTGTGATTCAGGACTAGGTTTTAATTATTAATTATTAAATAATGCAAAGTTATTATGTTACCTTAAGGCTGGTAAAACAGTGGATTCTCTTATACTTTTTAATAATCTTTTCCAGGATTCCCAAATATTATCAACATCATTTTCGTCATCTTCTTCGCCACTATTGTTGGGAGTGTCGTGAGCTTCACCCTCATCTTCTTCGGCTTCTACCCCGTTGCTCTCGAACAATTGCGTATCTCGTACTCGTTGTCTCTTCCCACTTCTAATTTCGCCTTCATCGACAACTTCTTCGGCCATTTGTCCTCGTAATTGGTACTATAAAGGCATTTCAAATTATTTTTTTTAATAGTGAACTAAGAGAATAATGTAACTTACCTTCGATTTTTCATAATTAATAGAGGTTGAAGCAATAGTACTAGAGTTTTTCCAGAACTCACTAATAGCTGCTTTTCCTTTTGCAGACTAAACAAACTTTATTATTAACTCTTCTCTACGATTTTTTTCTTTATACCTATTCTTACTTTCAAAGCACCTTCCATTTGACGCAACACTGTATCTGCTATTGTACCAGGAATAACATAAGCTTGCATTATTTTGGTATCTTCTGTGAGAGCTTTATTTCCGTTTCGAGTGGTGATTGTAGGATTCTTTTGTATAAGCTGCATGAGATAAGCATTTGCATTCCAGTTATGGGGCTCTTCTGCTATAAAAAATTCTACAAAGAAAAAAAAAATGAGCATGTAAATATCAAGATGAAAATCAAGATATTTTACCTGGGAAAAAGAGTTTTTCGTATGCCTCAGAATGGAATGTATCTATAAAATGAGTTGGCTTTTGAGTAATCATGGTAACAATGATGGGAAATAGACACTTAACAACCTGTTGTAAACAAGTTTCTGGTCTGGTTTTTGTAACAAAGGGGTCGGGAATTGAATGTAGTTTTTTTTTTTTCTTTTTTTTTTACTTTCTTACTTTCTTGCTTACTTTCAAAGAAGATAGTAATGCTTTACTACATTCAAATAAAAGGCAAAAATTATCTCTAAAGTATTAAAAAGAAAAGAGAAAAAAAAAAGACAAGGGGAAAGGCAGGAGAGAAGATTTAACGCAAAGTAAATTAAAAACAAAAACAAAATCACTAAAATTAAACTTTAACTTCTCCTTTTCGTTTATTTTTTTTTTCTCCTGAATTTTACTATAAAAAAAAAGGTACATTTTTTCATTTTTTTCCCTTTTTTTTTCTTCTTTTTTCTTTAGCTTTTTTTTTATTTTTCCTATTCTTCTTTATTTTTACTTGAAACTATGGGTAGACATTGTCAGGGTTATGAAGTGTGCTCAAGTCACATAGCTTGGCTTACTTGGGAGTGTAGAACTGTCCGTTTATAACATGGCTAAAGGAGAGGGCCTAGACTCTCTTTTGGTTACTACATGCATATCCGCCTTCACCTTGGGTTATTGCGACCTTAGATAATTGATGGGACCTTATCGAATTTTGACTGCTCAAGTTTGATTTATTTCCAAAGGGGGAGGGAAATAAAAAGGATACTTGGGGTTGGAAATTGTAAACCTGTTCCTTTTTAGGGAGATTAGCGTACTCTTTGTCTGCACCATTGAAAGGGCTTATCTCAAGGTTTAGTTTTTCTGTTTTTCTTTTTGAAGGTTTTTCCTTCTTTTTATTTTTATCTAGTTGCTGCTTATAAAATAAAAATAGATAAGGATGCACAGCTTACGTTTCTGACCGTGGTTTTTTCATCTATTTATTTAGTTGAAGAATCCCAACTTGTATTTACTGTTAAGTCAAAAGTAGATGCTAGGGGTCAAAGAAGGGACATTCTCAGGTAAACAATAGTCAGGTCGTGCACTTCATGTATCTGGATTCCTTCCACTTCGCCACGCTACAGGTCAGAATGTTTAGCCCGGCTTCCAATGAAACTTACATCCAACTGTATTTTTTTATTGGGTTATGGGGTGAGGAATCCTATCTTTTTCTTCTAGCAAGGCTTGGGCCAGGTTGGACTTTGCCAAGTGTCTACTAGTTGAAATTGGACGTTTATCTTTCAAGTAGAAATTTAGAGGGAGAAGAAAAAACTACAGCCTCTATCAATTTGTTTGTGTATGGGTTGTAATATTATTTTTGGGATTAGATATGCTTTCACCTTCTCGTGGTTAATCCTGTTAGTATCAAGTCTCTTCTACTAAAGAGATTTGAGAGCTAAGAAAAGCATCTTTTTTTTATAATATTAATAAAAATGAAAAAAAAAATCAATTTAATAAAATCGTGTTCTACAATAAAGTTGCTTCTCTAATAGTATTTTATTATAACAAAAGTGGTGAAAGACTCTAACAGCACAGTGTATAAATATCAAAAAGATTATTGTATATTTTCCCTAAGATTTCTTTCCTCTCAAGGTAAATTCTATATGGTTAAATAAATCCAGCATCACTAGAATGTACATTGTTAGAATAAGACTAAAACTAGCCAACATTCATAATGAGCATTCATAATCTGATTGCTGTACAAAAGACTGTTCATCTTCAGGGTATAACTTGAAGTTGTTTCAAGTCTTGCCTTCATAAACATTCATTATTCTATCTGGAAACAAACTAACTTTCGTTTTCCAACTAGTAATTTTTTTTCAACAAGGAAAATTTTCTTTGGGTATTGATTATTGAGTAGTTATATATATATAAAGACTGATGGGAGGCTTCACCAATTCATCGAAAAGAAGTTGTTGAAATATCTCAGTCTTTGCAAAGGAATCTTATTATTTTTATTACAAAATTTTCCACAAAGACAATTCCTTTACTCCTCAGTATCGTATCTACGGATGGTATAATGACACTTAATACAAGAAACGTATTCTTGAAGTCTACCATGAAAACAAAAAAGGTTGCCATTTAACATCACTTGTAAAACGTAACAACACGTTTTTGGGAAACGATACTGTTACATAAAGTCTTGTCAGTTATATATTGCTCTTGGATGAGCATTGACTTCATTATAAAGAATATAAAGGGTAATTGCTCCTTCAGTAAATTTGTCTCGTTACATGGATTAATTAAAGGAATTTCTATAAATTAACTAAAGTTAATGCACATGATGCGAACATACATTTAATAAGAAACTACTGCTATTTTTTATTATGGACGGTGCTTCTTACTATTCGATGACTTCTTTTCATAATTTATATATTGATGCACTCACTATTTATCACTAGCTTAAACCCACCTACAATGCTTGAAAAAATGCGCAAATAAATTTTCCGTTTGGTGTATGTCTAATTGGCCAATTTTTTTTATTTTTCTCTGTTTCAAAATTTATAAATAGGTGTATTACATAATCAAATTCCTTTAACCTTATTTTTTTTGTATAATTTATATAGTCCCTTTTTTTTTTATGCACTTTGTTCCTTTAAATATTTGAAGATATGGCACCACCTGTGACAGAAGAAGTTATTTTTACTGACCATGTTCATTCATGGGAGGAGATTGTTCACTATGTTTGTAATATTTCTTGAAAACTACTTTTCTTCCCCTCCCCCCCGCCTCTTCTCTTTCAATACTATTTTACTTATTAATTATTATTATAGCTATAAACCAAGTTAGTCAACTACGTAGAAATAAGGCAGGTCAAGATATTTATCGAAAGTGGACTAAGGCTACTATCAATAAATATGGTTCTGTTGAAAATTATTTATTGAAAGAAAAGATTCATTTTTCTTCAGACTCTAACTTTTTAATTTTGCCAAATGACTTTCCATATTCAATTGATCCTGGTATTGAACATGTTCTGATTTGGTCAAAGGAACCTTTAGCTGCTGATTTTGTTGAATCACTATTAGAAAAGAATTATGGAAGTTCAGTTTGGGAATGGGTTTATTTTGTTAATCCTCCTGAGTTGCAAAGTATACCTCGTTTACCTCATGTTCATGTCTTTATGAGAAAAAGAATAACTGCAAGTCACGATGATGATGTGCATATTTAATATTTATTATTATTCTATAATGCTCTTTTTTTTTTTTTCTTAGTTTTATTTTTTATTATTATTATTTACACGACTATAATAATAAAATGAACTTTTTATGGTCATTTGGAACAAAAAAGGTACAACTATTTACCCTCCTTTTAACTATTCAATGTTAATATATATGATTAGGAATCGGTGCCTACAACTGTTATTCCTGAAACAACACCGAAATCCTTTAAAACGATGAGTAACGCTTTTCGAAAAGGAGTTCAGTATAATAGTATGTTTGTTCATAACAATATATATGTATATACATATCCATATTAAACTACGATTATAACCTCTTCTTGTTAGTGAAAATCATCTTACGTGGTGATGTCATGACGGGCAAATCAAATCTATGTAAATAATGAATTTTATGCAAGCATCATATATTTGTATACATTAACTCTTCATTCAAGTTCAACGTCTTCAAGGTGCTGAATTTGATAGTAATTACTCCTCCACACCACAGATTCAAGTGGCAAATATTCCTTGGCGTTATAAAGGTAAATGTCACATAAATATATATATGAAATTCATCTAATTATATGACTAGATTCAAATGATATTGTAAAAATTGAGGTTTGGGATGTCGTAGATAAGGCACATAACAAATCCAATACAGTAAAACCAAATATGGGTATTAAACTGGAGCATAATGAAATGACTCCAAAAGAATCATCGCAGGAACAAAGAGATGAGTCAGATCCTTCAATGGGATTAGATGCTACAACTGTAAATGTGTATCGAAATACACATGCTGCTATTTTAATATTTGATATTACTAAACCATGGACATTTGACTATGTAAATAAAGAATTAGAAAATGTTCCTGAAACAGTATCTGTTCTTGTGCTTGTGAGTTATTACAGCAAAGATTATAAATTTTACTTATTAACAATATATTATTATTATAGGGTAACTTTTGTGATAAGATGTAAATAGACTCTTTTATATATGTATATATTGTTTATTTAAAAATATTATTTTGATAGACAAGAGCGTAAAGTAGAATTAGATACAATTCATGCAACATTATATCAGCATAATCAAGAAAGAATTAAAAAAGGTGCAATAAAACCAAACTTGATTCGATATGCAGAAACTAGCATGCAAACAGGAATGGGGCTAAAATATATTTATGAATACCTTGGAGTTCCCTTTTTACAACTCATGGTCAGTATTAAAGTAAAAATAGAAGAGCAATTCTTTATATATTCATTATATATATATATATATATATGTATATAGATCGAATCATTAAATAAGCAAATTGAATTAAAAGCAGTAGAAATTGTTGATTTATTAGAAGTTTTGGATACAGATGATCATGTTCCAGATGAAATGCATAGAAGAAAAGGTCAAGACAATTTTAATCAACGTAAGATATATATATATATGTATACATATTAGAAAACATGTCCTAATCATAGTCAATATAGCTTCAGATCTACGTCTAGCAAGACAACAAGAAGAAATGAGATCTGTTTGGGATCAAGAGCTAGAAGCAATTGCAGTAGATCGTATGTTTATAAATCGTTTAGTAAAACTCAATAGAACTCACTTTATATATGTATAGATCCAACAATATTAGATAAAACCGAATCTCCACCCACAGAGCCTGTAAGAACAATAATAGAAGATAATATTCAATTAATATCAGATGAAGTACCACCTGCTATTGATATAGGGGATGAATTAGCTGATGATTGGTTTGGTGAAGATTCAGGAACAATTCATCTACAATCCTCACCACAACAAAATGAATCTGATAATGAGGGTCCTGGAAATCCAATGGTTTTAGACGATGAAGATATTGAACCGACTTTATTTTATAACCATGAGTCTGCTTCTACTAAACAAGACAATGAAAAAGAAGAAGAAGAAGAACAGCCATCTCACTCTTATCAATCAGCACCTCTATTTAAAAGTGATTTTAATGATATATGGAATCGAGAGCCTGAAGTAATATCGAATAGTGAAGATGAAGATAATGTGATACATAGAGTTCATTCAATATCACTTATGTCATCGCCACTTGAACAGATATCAAGTCCATTTATAGATTCTCCAACCTTTCATTATGAAGAAATTGGAGAAAAGGTTGAAGCAGCAACCGAAAACCCATGGTCAGTTACAACAGATGATGATAAGGAGGTAAAGTATTTAACAAAGTGTTATAAAATCAATATTTAAACGATATATTTATATTTAGAATTCTCAGCAAAAACGAGAAGAAAACAGCTCTTCTAAAAAGAAGAAGCATTCCAAAAAGAAGTCTAATAAGAAGAAGAGACAAAATGCGAACAAATAAATAAAAGGAAAATGACTATTCAAAAAGAAAAGAAAATAAAAAAAAAAAAAAAAAAAAAAAAAAAAAAAAAACTATATATAATATGGCAGTGAACAATTTGAATAAATTTACATTATCTGTATATTAACATATATGCAGTAATACCGTTATTTCTTTCTTATAAATATATTGGCAGTATATCAAATACAATACACTATTAATCCACAGTGAAATAATCTAGGTCACATATCCGGACATATTACACTTTGAATATTGATATTCATTTGTATAAATACCATAACCATATTATTTATTATTATAGCTTGGAATTATGTTTAAAAACACATAGATGTAAAGTATTTACTTTATGGACGGCATATAAGCTACTATTATTGTTGACTTATTTACAAGAATGATTTACTTCCATAACCAAAATTCTGACCAAGTTGAGTTGTTTGTTTAAATAATTCTTTCTTCTGCTTTCTGTCCAATTTTCGACTCCCTAAAAGATCCTTTTCTCGATCAAAAGGTCGATTTCTAACATCGTCAGCTGAAGATACTTTCTTCCTCTTTTTTAGTTGATGCATCTCTAATAAAGACATAGGTCTTTCATGTTTCTACATATATAAATTAATTAATAAAATACTTGTACACACACACTTTAACTTTACGTTATAGGCTTCAATGTTTCTTCTCATTTCCATCTCTGCTTGTCTATTCACATAGCTCTCTTCTGTTTGTGGCTTTTTTGTTTTCCCTGAGCCTTGTCCATTTAATGAATTCTGTCTATCACTAGGTGTCTCTGTCCAACTACTATTGTCAATTTGAGACACTGACTTATTTGAAAATTGTCTTGATCTTAATGAATTTGCATTTTTAAGATAGTCAACTTCAGGAGGAACTAACATCCACTCAGGTCTTTCTATTTTAGTCGAACTTTCTGCTTCTTTCTAAAATAAATAAATAAATAAATAAATATAGACATGTGTGTGACACCCATGTTAAATACCCACTTTTGCTTCTAAGGCTTCTTTACTTTGACGTGCACGTTCTTCAATAGCTTGAATAGCAGAATATTTTGATTCTTCTTCTGGGTTATAATTCCTTGGTAATGTTGGACCTATGACAAAATCGTCGTCATTGTCTTGCAGGGCAGAAAAGCTTGTAGAAGGAGGAAGACTTGGTCCTACGGGTCTACGTCTTCTGGATGTAGGCTGCTGTTGCTGTTGCTGTTGTTTGCGACGTTCTTCAAGCAAATCAGGTGGTAATGCTGGTGCATAATCATCAGAATCTGTTTCTGCTTCTTCATCACTGTTTCTATTTTCCATTTTGCTTTTGTTTAAGATATCTTGTGGAATGTGGGGTCCAACTGTTTCTATCTTCTCTACTGAACTCATTTGCTGTTCAACGACTTTCTTTTTATCTTCAATACTGTGTTGATCAGTTTGAAATTCAATGTCGTCATCCGAAATACTGATTTCGTCAGCATTATGAGTAGTTTGTCTCTTGGCTAATAACTCTATAGGTATTTGCGGACCAATTGATTGATCTGTATCTTGTTCGTCTTTAGAATGGTTGATTTCATCAGTATTATTCATAGTTTCTACTTGCTTGTTTTTTAATGAATCAGTAGGTAGTTGTGGACCCATCATTGGATCTGTATCTTCATCCCCAGAAAGTGAAATTGGAATTTCTGCTTCGTTATGATGTCTCTTTTTTAAAAGATGGTCAGGGATCGTTGGTCCAATCATTTTAAATTATAAAAAGATAAAAAAAAAAAATACACACACTATTTAGATAGAATTATTCTTAAGCATTCCTATAACACTACATACACACCGTTATATATATATATATATACATGTATACAAGTTGTTGCATTTAATTGTATCAGTTTGTCTTCTGCTTCCTTATTTATTTTTTTTTTATTATTATTTTCATTGTTTATTACATATAATAGTATGGCACCTCGGATATCAAAAGCAATATTGGTCATATCAGGTGCATTAACTGGTATTGCAGCTATCGCAGCGTTTTCACATTATAGATCTCGACATGATGTACCTAACAGTACCACAACAACAACAGAAGCAATAAATAATAGATCGAGTCGACTTCGTCGTTCTCGAACCGTTCGTAGAAGAAGAAATAGATCATCGCCTGTCAATAATGAAAATGAGCCATTGGCTTCACTTTCAGAAGTTGAAGATGATGCAGATAATAAAGTGCTATCATTATTTAAAGAATGGAGTGAAGATGATAATCGTAATCTACTTAATCTGTTACATGCTATTTCAGAAAATCAATCTCGTAAAGGTATGATAGTAATTATATTCCCTTTTTTTCTTTAAAAAAAAAATAAAATAAAATAAAAAACTAATCTTGATGTTGTAGAAGGATTCATTCATCGTAAGTACATTCATATCAACTATCAGTCGCTTTTTTTTCTCTCTCTCTCTCTCTCTATCTCTCTTTTACTTAATCATTTTATTATAAAGGTGGAATTACTTGCAATAAATGTAACATGTCACCTATTCGCGGCGTTCGATATAAATGCGCCAACTGTGTTGATTTCGATCTTTGTGAAATGTGTGAAGGAGCGAATAGCCACATTAATACACATGTATTTTTGAAAATTAGAATACCTATTCCACCACTAGCCAATCCACGAAGTGCACTATTACCGACATTTTATCCTGGAAAGCATCATAACAAACCGCCTATATCAATAGAGAAATATCGTGAATTACAGCATGCTTCACATTGTAGGCTAGTAGTTTGATAATGAATATAACAAGAAAATAATGTTTTTTTTTTTTTGATAGTTGATCAAGTAGAATTGGAAGCACTATATGAACAATTTAAATCACTTTCAACAGTGGATAGAGATGAAGGGGGTATAGATCGAGAGACATTTGAGCAATGCTTAGGACCTTTAGGTTTAGAAAAGAATCTAATTACTGAAAGAATCTTTACATTTTTTGATCAAGATAAAGATAATGTTATTAGTTTTTCAGAATTTATTGCAGGTCTAAGTGTTCTTTGTAAAGGAAATCTAGATGAGAAAATCGAGTGTAAGCTATAGATGTAAAGAAAGACTGGAAAAGAATGAACTCATTATGTATATAATAGATGCATTTAAAGGATATGATTTAGATGAAGATGGGTATATTTCAAGAGATGAACTTTATCGAATGTATAAATCCTATTTTTATCTATCAATGGAACTTGTAAGAGATGTTGTAAGCGCTATGGAAGATGAAATGATGGATTCCTTTGAATTTTCTGCTTCCCAACCTGTTAGTGCAGCATTTAATGTAGCCATGCCTTCTACTACAACCTCTGATAGAAATCAAAGTGATAATAATGACAGTGATGAAGAAACAAATAGTAACACTGCATCCATTAATTATCTATCTGAAGCAGGACCATCTAGTAGTTCTAGGAAAAAAAGAAAGAGACGTTATCCGATAAAAGAGGACCATTTCCTAAGACAGTATGCAATAGAAGCTGAACAGGCACAGGCACTCTCAGATGCTTCTAAATCACAAGTGGATGATATAGCCAATCATGTTTCACGTTCGGATAGTCAACGATTGTCATTACCTATTACTAAAGAGAATGATGAAAAGAAGCAAGAGATACCTGGCAGGAAGGCTTGGGAAGAAAAATTCCCTATTATGGAGACAATGTCACAAGGAGCTATTAATGAAATGGTAGACAAAACATTTAAAAGCATAAAAACTGAAAAGAAAGGATATATAAATTTTGAAGAGTTTAAAGAATGTGTTCAAACAGACTCAAGTATTGTGAGTTGGTTTGAAGCCTTAGGCACTGTATTTTAGATTATTTTCCCTTTCCTTCAAAAATAAAAAATGTCTTTTATTACACCTTCTTTGTAACAGTACCGTCTTTATGAACAACCACCGTTTCTGCAACATCACCGTAAATATCAAATCTACGTTGATCATAAAGAGGTAAATATTTACGATAAGTCTGAACGTTAGCAGGATCTATGATGATAGGTTAATAGATATTATATACGTTATACATAATTAAAATTATATACCAATATCAGCATAAATAATTGTCTCTTTTTCATCACAAGTAGCTATCACTTCCCCTCTAAAATAGACTAATGATTATTATTTATCTATTATTATACATTGTTTCTTTACTTTGGATCTACAATAGTTGAATGTCCCCATGCAACATAGTCTGCATTTACATCTCTTGCTGGTCCACAAGCAGCAACATACATTTGATTATCAACAGCTCTAGTAAATAAATTATACATATAAGAAAATAAAACAAACAAACAAATGAATGCAGTTCTATCGTTTTCTTTTCTTTTTTTTTACCTTGCACGTTGTAATAATTCCCAGTGTAGTGGTCCTGTTGTCATATTAAATGCACCAGGATAAATCATTGCTAAGCAACCTTTACGAGCAGCGATCATAGCCATTTCTGGGAACCTCATATCATAGCAAATACCGACACCAAGTTTACCGTATTCTACAGATTATAATTTAATAAGCCTTTTTTTTTTTCGTTCATTTATATACATTACTTGTTTCTATATGAGTTAACCAATCTCCTTCTGATAAAACATCACTTTCCTTATTACATCATAAAAGTCAGTTATTTATATAGCATCATACCTTATTACTCACTTTAAATCTTATCTGGCCAGTAATATCAATATCAAAAAGATGAACTTTGCGGTGCTTTGCAATCATTTTTCCAAAAGGATCATAAGCTGTCAAAGTATTATATATTTTACCTGTGGATTCCTCCTTTTCAGGAATAGATCCTATTTATGCGATTAATATAACATAATATAATATCTATAATAGTAATGTTTTACCACCAATAAGGTATACATTTCCTTCCTAAAGCATACAAAAAACGTAAGAAAAAAAAAAAAAAAAAAAAAAAAAAGAGAGAAATTACAAGATTATAGATGTTTTTTTTTTTACCTTAGCAGCATCTGACAACATTTTTACTGATTCCCCTCCTTCTAAATTCTCAGCATATTCAGGAAAATATTTAGTGCCGTAGGGAGAATTAAAACATTCCTATCCAAAAAAGAAAAATGAACGATTTGTTATTTCTTGTTAATTTACAATGCTTACAGGCAAAACAACAACTTGAGCTCCATTTTTAGCAGCTTCGAGAATTTTTGCTTTAGCATGAGATAAATTTTTAGATTTATCAAAGCCTGCACCTATTTGAACAAGTGCAAGTTTAAAAAGTGAAGAAGAAGCTAATACGTTAGACATTGTCCTAAACGTTTTAACAGACATAAAAATAATACAAAATAATAATAATAATTATAAAAAAAAAAAAAACTTTCTGATAAAGACCTGCTGTTACTATTACTTGTATTTTGAGATTGAAAGTTGTCATACTATTATTTCATTGGCTAATTGGTTATAGGTCATCATCATCTGCATGATAACAATTCATTATTATTATTATTATTATTATTATTTTCCTTTCTTTTTTTATAAATGCAAGTATACGAAGATCATATAACTTTTCTATTACCTCGACCTATCTGGGTCAATGATATAGATGTATCTCATTGCTCTTCATGTAATAGTGCATTTAGCGCTTTAAAACGAAGGGTAAAATATGTCTTTTAAAGATAGATTTAGATAATAACCTTACTTTTTTTTTTTCTATAATACCATCATTAAAGCATCATTGTAGAAATTGGTAACAATATTTATTATCTATTTTTTTTTCGATAAAAGTAAAAACTAAAGTTTCTAGTATAGTGGTAATATATTTTGTCATGACTGTTCTGCTCGAAATGTCCCTTTACCTCAACTAGGTTATGGTACAAAGCCAGTTCGAGTTTGTAATGGTTGCTTTGATGTTGCCTATCTTGTAACTTATTCTATCGATGAGGATCATGGACGTTCTACTCAGGTAAATAAATCGGAATATAGATGCTGAATAAACTAAATTCTATTTATAAAACAGATGCATGGAGTTAGAGGTCTATTAGAATTAACAGAAAAAGACAATGGTAAAAGATAATTAATTTCTATAAACTTAAATATTAACATGAATGATAGAAAAAGACTTACATAATATGGTGGTATATGGTGGTATAGATGCACTTATTTGGCTTTGTCGTTCATCAAAAGATATAGAATTGCAACATTTAACAACCACTATATTAGCTATGTTATCAGAAAAAGGTAAAGTCTTTATAATAATAATATTTGCCTGTAATTAATACAAATAGTAAATAGAATCTATTCGACCTGTTATTATCACTAAATGGGCATTGCCTCCTTTACTTGCACTTATTCAACATTATACCACTAAAATACAGCAAAATAGTAATAAAAATTCTTCAACAAATTCAATTCATTTAACAGAATCATCAACAGATACTACTTCTCAAACAAGTATCATGTTAGAGATCATTATCAATTGTACGCATATTATATATCAGCTTTCGAGAGCGGGTATTTTAAGTCAAAAAGAAGTTATTTCAGATAATGTGTTCAATACATTATTAATGCTTGCTACATTTGATATTACTGAAGGAGATGAGCAAACGATGAGTCGAGTGAATATAATACAAAGTCTTGCATCCAAGACTATATCATCCATTAGTTCACTCATTTCTTTACAAATAAATATTATTGAAGAAATACAAGAAACGAATAAGTTATCAACTTTACTTCGATCTTCAAATAGTGAAGTACGAAAATATGCAGCAAAGACGATAGCCTATTTATCTCTTCGAAATGGTATGAATATAGATAGATAAATAGATAAAAATAACCTATTACTGATATAAAATTATAATAGATAAATATAAGCCAGTCCTCTTGTGTGGCGACGGATCTAGAGCATTAATATCTATTCTTGCTATTCTACCTGAAAAAGAAATGGATACAGAAACCCGATTAAAGGATATTTTTTATTATTTACCGCAGCTAGACATAAGGCAAATTAAAAATAGAGAGCAACAGTCAGTCATTCACTCTGCAGCTGTCTCTCATGTGTGTTGTGCTTTAGTGAGTTTTACCATTATTATTATTCGTTTATTATAAACTAAGCATATATATTGTTAGGCAAATTTTGCAACAAACAGTAAGTCATTGTAAGACGCATACACACGTATTTTATAACTTTTTTTTTTTTTTTTTTGAATAGATGAATCACAGGTTAACTTGATGTCACAGCCTCATTTATTAAGATATATTTGTAATGTTTTCACGAATTTCCCTACTCATACAGAGATCCTTAGGCATGTTGCTCGCTGTTTAGCAAATCTTGCACTTTATGGTAAAAAATGATTATGCTGTAGATAATGATCTATTAATATGATTTATGTATTTGTAGAAGAGAATAATGAAGTGATGCTATTTAATGATAAAAAGGTTGGAGATAAGGATTGTTTTAATGTCTTACCTACACTAGTATCAATGGGTCAAGTATCTAAATCTGACGTTCAACGTCACATTATTAGGGCTATTGATAATTTAAGCAGCAATGGTAAGCAAGATGGACTGGGAAAATAATAATAATTACTGAATTTACTATTTTAATTAGTACCATTAGGCGATGATAATAGAACCTCTTGTTGGAGAGAACTATTTGGAGATGCTTATGTGTATATAAATAATATTTTAGAAGAAGAGGATGAAGACATCAAGGACATTGATACTATAAAAAGAGCAAAGAGTATTATTACAAGAGAAAAATTAGAACCAGTAATCGAAAATAGAAAACAAAATAAAGAAGAATGTATTGTAGCTGTTAATGTTATATCGTCAAATGAAGAAGAAGAAGAAGAAGAAGAAGAAGGAAATGAAGATGTGCGTATTGATGTTAAAAAGACTACTCAAAAGCCTTCAAAAAACAAGAGGCGTTCCAAGAAGCATAAATAACTTTTTCAATAAATAAAGGAGTTACACGGAAAAAGGAAAACACATGAAATACTTGTATGTGTATATGTATATGTAAATGTATAAAAAAAAAATGAAACGCCTACTCCTTATTCCTTTTTTTTATATATATATACAAATATATTTATTTATTAAAATGATAGTAAAAGATAGTAAAAATAAGCAAATACCATTACCAAGTATAAGCCATTTATTAGTATCTAGACCGTCTTTAAATACTTTTTTACTAAAGGAAGAAAGAACGACAGCATCTGATCATGAATCAAATGTATTATTGTCGACAGACAAACAAGTATTAGAAGAAGCTTGTTTACTATTCTGTAATGATAATAAACAGTCATTAACAACTACTACCTTTGTCACTGAAGACCATTATTATAATGATTTTATTATATTTGATTCATCTTATTATCCAACAAAAGAGTCAAAAATTCAAATGTTACCTGATTTATCTATTATATAGCGTTTACATCGTGATAGGCTTTTCTTTTGAAATATAGTATTCACACTCTCTTTTATGGAAAGAAATAAAATAAAATAAAACGTAGTACTTACCCTTTGATGATGTTAATAATAAGCGTTTAATAGTAAAGTGTACAGTTAAATAAATAAATAATAACTTATAATAGTCCTGAAGCATATTTTAATATAAGTTTTGAGGCAAACGTTAAGTAAGTCTGCTCTTTTAAAAATAAACTAATAAATAAATAAATAAATAAAAAATCAACTTTTCTGCGATATATAAACCAAATTCAGTACATAATTTGATAGATACATTTACACATCATATAATGAGTAAATATATATATAAACACGTATATATTTCAAAAGGATTATATTCTAATGACATATAATTAATATATCTGAGCTACAAGTGTTTCGTCCTGTATATATTTTCTAAACTTGTGAATGAAATGTTTGGATCAAAATAGTCTATAAAAGGGACTTTGCGTGTACGAATATAAATATTAATTAAGGAAACTACTATATTTAACTTGACTGTTAGGATAATAATAAAAAGTTTATCTTCGAGTTATATCATATCACATATTATTATTTAATTGGAGGTATTTATTCTATTTATAACTCTGTATAATAGTTGAAGAAAAGAATAAGCACATTATAATTAAATAATATTGTGTAATTAATTATAGCTGGTTAAAATAACTTTATGCAGCATTAATAATTAGCTGATAACGTCATCATACTCTATTATTATAATTTCTAGTAAAAGATGCATTCATTGTTGAATCCACGGTTGTCTAAAGAAACTACTTTATATCAAATAGTATTATCCTCTACAAATTAACTAGGAGAAATCAAATTTATGCCTACAACCATTTAATTTAAATTGATTAATTAAACTCACAAACAGTATGCGATAAAAACCATAACCGGACATTAGCATGATAGCTCGAAAAATACCGCAGTGTCACGTGACTGTCCGGTGATTTGATTATCTATCATTATATATTAGTTTTTTCTTTCATTAAATGTAAAATCCTCATTGGTCCAACGGCTAGGATTTGTCGCTTTCACCGACACGGCCGGGGTTCGACTCCCCGATGGGGAATTTCCTTTTTACTTTTTATCGCTTATAGTAGTGTCCGTAGTATTTTTTGATTTTAAAGAATAATATCAAAAAAAAAAAAAAAAAAAATAAAGAAAGTTCCACTTTTTTTTTAGAAAAATCGTTCAAAAATCTCTTTATCCATCTCTCTCTCTCTCAATACAGCTCAATTTTGAATACAGTTTAAGGTGATTTTCATGAAGCATAAGAATCTTTAGATCAAACTCTTTGTCTAGCTGAAATTTGTAATAAAATTTGCAAGCAATGTGATTTCATATCTGTCATAGACTTCTTGGATATAAAGTTAGCTTATGACACTATTATTGTAATTGTATTCCTCCTTATTTATTTTCTATATTATAAAGCATGTTTAGTGATATATTAATCGAAGTTCTTCTACGCGACTTTTGCATCTCAGCGCTTCTCTCTCATACTTAGTATTCTCCGAAAATAGCAATTCATTCTGAAAAGCTACAGTCAAAGCTAGCTATCTCTGTATGAACAATATAGTTACAGATAAAATATATTTAAATAAACAACACTTGACCTCTATGATGATCAGCCCTTTATATACTCTATATCGTAGTCTTACATACATCAAATGCTAGGTTTATTTCTATATCCAAGTGCACCTATTAAATCAGATAGATATTTGAATCTCCTGAAGCCTTAATAAGAAAGTAATATTATTAAAGCTCTTCAAGCTATGCATCAATTAGAATATATTACTCTTAATCCAAATGGCCTTAATCAGTTGCTGGCTATACACAAATAGTTCTTTTTACTTTTTCTCTATCTTTCATTTTTACCTTGTATTTCTTGCAAAGAGGTTTTTTTCTTTTTTGTTTAGTTTCTTTTTTTACTCCTATTTTGTTGAACAGATCTGGGTAGCTCAGTAGCATCATTTAGATACCCTCTGTTTACTAAAGATCAAAAGTAAGTTTAAATATGCAATTTAATCGTAGAAGGGAAAATAGTCAATGTGCTCATTGGGTTTAAATTTTATTAATAATAAAATGTATATTTTAAACGTAGAAAGGAAAATAAGGAAATGGGAAATATGTGTACATGTAATTCTTTCTTTCTTTTTTTTTTTATTATTTTTTTTTCTTTTATATGTAAACATATATCATATTATATTATTGGTGGGCATACATAATGGTCCATTGACGCGCTACATAATAAATTTAATAACAAATAAATAAATGTATTTATCTTGTCAATTTTACCTTGTTCAATAGCACCTTTTTCGTCTTCTTTCCAATGAGAAGCAACATCATTAGCTAATGGATCCTCAGGATTAGGTGCCGATAACAATGCTTGAATAGAAAGTAACACTGTACGAATTTGAAGAGCAGGAGACCATTTGTCTGTATATACATATAAAATAGTTTATAAACTGTTTTCTTTTTGGTATTTTATATTATTAGTTACCTTTAAGGATGTCTAAACAAATACGACCTAATTTGTCAATGTTAGGATGATAAATCTTGGTCAAGAAACGAACCTTTGGAGGTCCCATAGGGTAGTCTTCGGGTAAAAACAATTCTAAGTGAAAAACACCACCTAAAAATACATGGAAATAAAAGATTAGATTTTAAATTATAAAAACAAAAAAAAAAAAAAAAAAAAAAGAAAGAAAGAAAAAAGCCGTAAAGCACTTTTATTATTATTATCTGTTTACTACCTTCGAAAGGGGATTGACTAGGTCCTGCAATAATAACATCAAAATAACGCAAATTTTCCTCATGAGGTGTTGCACTGATTCCAGGTGCAGGATCAGCTAATAAACGTTCTGTTTCCTGAAAAGGAGATAAAAAAAAATATCACAATTGACTAATTAAAAACAAGCTGACATTCATTAAATCATAAGAAGTCTTACTTTGACAATTCTCTTTGGAAGGGCCATTATATAATTTAATGAGTTACAAAAAAAAAAAGAAAAAAAAAATGTACTGAAGTCCTCGTCTACGTATCCTTTTTTTTTTTTTTTTTTTTTTTTTTTTTTTTTTTTGAAAAATTATAGCAAATTTTCATTATCCGCTAATAAATCCATCATCATGAAAGCCTTATAGCAAGAGAAAATATGAATGCAAATATTTATAGATTATCAATAAGAGAAAGAAGAGAAAAGAAAAAAAATATAATGATATGAATATGAGTGTAAAGATTATCAGTGAAGTAGTAACAATTATATTGTCTACCAATCAAAAATTATCAGAAAAGCTAAATAATATACATGGATAAATATTATCTCATTTGTGGAATATATAATATACTTCTCTTCTTCCTACTCTAATGAAATACTGTACATATTTTATGTAGATGTTTAATATGCTTAATAAGTACAGTATTAGTAGCTTTTTTATGCCTAAATATGAAAAATAAAGCAATTGTCTTCATAATATATATATGTGTATATATCTTCAATGTTCCAATATCATGAATAATAAATATAACTAATACCGCCTGTTAATTATACAGATATAATCATTGCTTATTTCACCATATATATTCATGACCATCAGTTTATACATATTAATTATTTTTAAGTTGCTTCATTAATAGATTTATAAAACGATAGTTATATTTTCTTTTACAAAATTCGGAAGAATTCGCTGTATTTATTATTAGTAATAATAACTTAAAAAAATAAAATAAAATAAGCAGATAACTTTTTTTTTTTTTTTTTTTTTTTTTTTTTTTTTTTTGGAACACATCTTTAAGATAAAGAAAGGATAATAAATAATAACTCAAGGGAAACCTTACTAATAGACGAAAGTGATAGTAGTACGAGTAACGAACTTAATGATAAGGACACAAAGGTAGGTAGCGCAGGTAACAGCATGAAATGGATAGTAGATTTATTATATTTAATACATTAAATAAACTAAGCAGTATTAAAAAAATCAACTACCTTAATGAAGGCGTCAAGGGTATTGACTTGGTGGCTAAACATGACTCATAAAATGGATCTATGAATCCTTTTATCATTGGTAGTTGGGCAAGAAAGGTAGAAAGGTATAAATACTTCAGAAATTGAAACAATAATCAAACATGCAAATTTAGTATTGCCCTATTAATTTCCACATCAAATATTTGTTATCAAAGCTTAGCCATGTAAACTGAAGAATACTACGGATTGGATTTATCATTAAAATGAGAGTTACAGGCGTATTTTAAGCCAGAAAATACAATAATTCAACAATTGTCGAGATAAAGTGTAATCAGAGTTAACTATTACCCTTTATTAAAAGTACCTAAGACAAATAATATAAGGAAGAATGGATTCCAACTTATTTGTATATACTTCTTCATGGTCTATAAATTTACTAAGGATGTTCTACATTTCATTGACATTATTACATATAATTCGGTCACAACTAAATACTTTCTAATTCCTTTCTGACCTCAAATATTCTTGTGTTAATACACCCATCATATAAAATCATAAATAAAAATAACCAACTTTCTAGAACTATTCTTTGGCCTCATTGACTTTTTTTATTCATTTTTATTCTGATAACTTAATAGAGATATAACACAGATCTATTATTAAAAAAAAGAAAATAAATAAATCATTTAAAATACTTTAAACATATACTTTATCTTATTTTAATAAAAACAAGACTTTACCATATCTTCTAATACTGATTCCTAACATCTTTTCTCTCCTCACTTCGAAGATGATACCTTCATATCCATAGAGGGTTTAATAAATGATACTGTTAAAAAGCAGCAAAATTTTCGTGTCATGATCGATAGTCTCTTACGAAATATTGTTATCGAATGAGGAAAAAAAAAAGCCTCATAACTAGCCGAGCCAACAATAACGCAGTTACTGAATCTGTTGGTAGAGTATAGAAAGGGATTAAAAACTGCATCTGAAGAAACCTAAGAACTGGAAGCTTTTCATGTTGAAACGTCTTCTGTTGCTTATCCAAACTTTTATTCATCTTCTGCAGTTCATTCATTGTACGAATTCACAGCGATCACAAACTATAATGGATACTTCTTCTTTCTATCCCACTAAACAACAACAACAGCAAATCAATAATCTACTATTTCTACAGATAATAGCTCTCAGGAACCACGACAATCATTTTAATCAAGTGATAATATAACACGATATCATTCAAATAAATAAATAAAAAAGACGATACTATAAATAATACCAAGCCAATGAATCAAAAAAAAAAAAAAAAAAAAAAAAAACTATTCATAAATTATAAAAATATATGCCATTTTACTATATACACATATATATATTTTAAACTTCTAAAAAATACCATAAAAATAAGCTCAAAATAACGATAACAAGACCAATAGATATAATACTCATCATTCTATTCCCTTTATAAAACAAGTCATTATAATTGGATTGATAAAGATGACTTGTAGGAGAAGAAGAAGATGGAATCCATACTAGTTTTTTAGTTGTAGTCTTACCATTTGCCAATAAAGAAGAATGCACATAGACGGAATTATCATCATGACTCGTCTTTTTTTCTAAATCATGATGACTGTTATCCATCTTTATAAAATAACCGCCTATCCACCAACAAGGGAAAAATAAGAAACCAAATAAAAATAATAATGATTGAGTATGAAAGATGTAAGGATGATTCTCTTGTGAATAGATAGAGATAATGTCTTCTATTTCATTTTTTAGTGGATAATAAAGCTTCTTCTTGTTATAAATAAAAGAAGATGATTCTAAAGTTGAGATAGTTCTTTGTCGAAATAGAGCCGCAGACGAATAATAATATAAAAGGGACTCAATTTTGTTCTTGCAACAATCACTCTTTCGATAGGAATTCATTATTTTTTTAAAACTTGACGAAGACCATCTTCTTTTATTTTGACCTATTGAATGCCATCTTTGTATCCTTGTTGTTGGTAATATGTTAGACTTTTTACAGCAATTCCAACTCTTTGATTTTTTTTTCCTTTTATTTATTATCAAACTACTATTATGATGATGATAATAACAATGTGTTACTAAAGAAGATGTCTTATAGCATTTACTAGTAGTCATTATTTATATAAAAGGGTAAGAGAAGAAGAACAAAAAAAAAAACTAGTGGCAAGAATGTATCCAGCAATTTTATGAATTGTAAACCTCCTTTAGCAAACATTTTCTTCCCCTTAATTTATGCTAATAAAATTTCCCAAATTTCTGGATTTATTCAAGCAATAAATTATTCTCGGTAACCATTTATCATACACACGCAGTACTACATTACACTATATAGTCTTTTATTACCGCCCACTATAATAACCTTCGAAAAAAAAAGAAACCACGTTTATATATTAATTTATTAATAATTATAATATGCTGGTATTACATTATTGACATGTAGCGGTAACTTAACTTTTTTTTTTTTTTTTTTTTTTTTTTTTTTTTTTTTTTTAATCCCCCCTTTCCTTCTTCGTTCATATTACTGTAGTTAAAATTTTAAAGGGTTCAAAAATTCGTATGAAAAGAAAGGAAACTTTATTAATGATATACGGAAATTCAATAATAAAATTAGTAACTGTAACATAACCTATGTATGTTACCTTCTTTAAACTATTAAAACTACCGGCATAATATTCAGTAGTTGTGTTTTATTTAATAATCGATCATTCGAGATGAATAAAAACCCACATACACGTATGCATATTATAGATGAATTCAATTGTATAATAAAAGTGCCAACTTTAATGAACGTAAAATACTGTCATTTTATTATGGATAAAGATAATAAATGGCAATGATGAGTGTCAAGTCCTTTTAAAACACCGATAATTATATATACGTGTCTTGATATGTAAATAAGATAAGAATTTGAAGTTAGTCAGTAAAAAGAACTGGGAGAGGTGGGGGGGGGAAGGAAGAAAATGAGAGGAGTTAAAGGAAGGTGTCAATCATCAATGTTAATAATATATACTATAAATTCACAGTCCATTTTAAACTTTTTTTTTTATCTTATTTTTAATCTCCGTATTTTCAATCCTTCACGTCATAGCAGTCTACAAGTAATCTTTTGCTATACCAAAAAAAAAAAGTCCCTTATTCTGTACATAGATAGTTTGCATTATACGATCTTTTTTGTAAATGTCTCAAATTAAGATAGAAATTAGCAGAAAAAGTAGATGTATTTCCTTTCTTTTCCCTCTCCCTCTCTCTTCTCTTTTCTTTTTTTCTTGTGGAGGTATTTTGGGTTTCAGTTTAATAAAAAAAAAAAATCCACTAAAAAAACATGATTTAGCTTCTAGTTGTTTGATTTGACCCCGCAACCGGAGTTGTCCGTTATTAAAAAAAAATACATGTATGTATATATTTGTTTATTCATATTATATAAATATATGACTTCAATAATAATAATAAAGGCTTTCTTCCTTTATCTATCTTTTTCCTTTATCATTACCAAAAAAATTTTTTTTTCTTGTTAAACAATACTATGTCTTCTACTAAAACACAACTTGAAAAGGTATCCATCATTGGTTCTGGTAACTGGGGTTCTGCTATTGCGAAAATTATTGGTACAAACACAATGAGACATTTGGATCACTTTGAACCCATTGTACGTCAATGGGTCTTTGAAGAACAAATTAAGGGACGAAATTTAACAGAGATTATTAATGAAGAACATGAGAATGTAAAATATTTAAAGGGGGTCAAGTTACCTCATAATATCATTGCTATACCTGATCTTGTTACTGCCTGTCAAGATGCTACTTTAGTTGTCTTTGTAGTGCCACATCAATTTATTCATGGTGTCTGTGAGAGAATGAAGGGACATTTAGCACCTGGTGCTCGCGCCATCTCCTTGATCAAAGGTCTCGAGATTACCCCTGAGGGAACTCGACTCTTCTCTGAAGAGATTGCTCGTAGCTTAAATATACCTTGTGCTGCTCTGAGTGGAGCTAACATTGCAAATGAAGTCGCTATGGAAAAGTTTTGTGAATCCACAATTGGGTGTGAAGACATAGAACAAGGTCTTATCTTTAAAAGGCTCTTTGATACACCTTATTTTCGTATCAATGTCATTCAAGATCCTATCGGTGTGCAACTCTGTGGTGCCTTAAAGAATGTGGTCGCTGTCGGAGCTGGTTTCTCGGATGGCTTAGGACATGGCAGTAACACGAAGGCAGCTATCATACGCTTAGGTCTCATGGAGATGCGTAAATTTGGTCAAACCTTCTTTGGTGAAAGTGTTCAAACAGAGACCTTCTTTGAATCTTGTGGGGCGGCTGATTTGATCACTACCTGCAATGGAGGTCGTAATCGAAAGGTCGCTGAGGCCTTTGTCTTGACACGTAAACCAATTGAACTTTTAGAAGCTGAGCTCTTGAATGGTCAAAAACTTCAAGGTACCTTAACTGCACAAGAGGTTAATCAATTCTTGAAGGCAAGAAATATGGAACATGAATTTCCTCTCTTTAGTACTGTTTATCGTATCGTCTATGAAGGCCTTTCTCCTGAAGCCATCGTCATCGATATTTAAAGCAAAAAAAAGCAAAAAAAAAAAGAAAAAAAAAGAGAGAACAAATCTTCTTGTATGTAAATAATAATATTAGACTTATTTTTTTTTTAATAGAAATCATAACTTATTACATAAGATTCATAACACTCCTCCTTTTTCTATTTAATAATAAAATATATACATATACATCTATTTTAGTTAGTTTTTATTATTGTCAAGCGATATCATGATTATATAATATTCTTGTTACGAAACAATATTAACCGTATTTGTATATATAAATATACTTCTTCTGCTTTCTTTTTGAAATAATAAGAATAATAATAAAAAAATACTCATTTTTAATTATTATTTGTGTTTTTTTTTTTTTAAAAAAAAAGGAAGGCTTCAGTTATAGAAGATATGAAACAAGCCGCTTGCTGTTCTTTATAGGTAGTTTTAATAAATTCATTAAAGTCTACTAAAGGCAAAAACAACAACAACATAGTAAACCATGGCCGATAATCGCCTTAAATCAAGTAAATAAAACTTCACAAGGACGTTATAGACTAGTAGAAGAAGAAGATAATCAATTCAGTAAAATCATAAAGTTAACTCTAGTAATAAGTAGTCGACACTATACAGCTTCTTGTTGGCAGCCCCCCTTTTTTTTTTGACAATGTTGCATAATTTAATAACCAATCAAAAAATAAAAATAAAATGAAGCTTGGCGTTTCTATATTTAGAATTAAGCGTTTTCTGCTATTTAATAATTGAAAAAAAAAAGAGGATCTACAATATCACTATTTATTTATTTATATAATTATATAAGAGTAAATAATGCTGCTTACATAAGATAAAGAGATGCATGAGGATATACATGTATAAATTTTGAGGTATTTAAACAAATGGAATAAGAATGGTCATGAACATAAAAGAAAAAAAAACAAATATTTGTATATATAAATATAAGAGTCTAGTGAAGAAAAAAAAAAGGTATAAATGCATAATATAAGGAGAGTTGCAGGCAATGATATATGTGAGAAATAATTAAAAAAAAAAAAAAAGTCTAGATCATGACTTGAATATAATGTGAGTCCAGATTTTCACCTTTTTTGGGAAAAAGATAATCAACATGATTTTTTCCTTCATCTGTTGTTGTAACAGAAGAAGAATAAGAAGAAGAAGAAGAAATGCTGCTACTCATATCTCGTTCAGGTGTAATAGGAGGTGATAAAGATAAATCTTCATATTGAATCACTTCTGGTGTACGAGTAAAATAAGTACATTGCTGAATAGAGGTGTATAATTCATTTAATGATATTCTCTGTGAAGGATCAAGACAAAGGATACGTTGAAGTATATGATTGAGTTCACTTGAGATAGGTAATATCTTTAAGAGTATATTAGGATCATGAACAAAGGCACAGAATGTATCATCATTTAAAGATGCGAGTCTCCATGGATTTCGTCCTGCTGATAAATTAATTAATATAATGCCTAATGCCCATACGTCGTTAGGTGCAGTTGCATAGGCAACACGTTTATTATTTAAACATTCAGGTGAAAAATAAAATGTTGAGCCGCATCCAAAATCGGTTGATAATGTATCCGTAGTTGCGAGTCCAAAATCAGTCAATTTAATGTGATGACCTTTATTAAACACAAGTATATTTTCAGGTTTTAAATCTCTGTGGAAGATGTGATTATCATGACAATAACGAACTGCAACAATAAGTTGTAAAAAGACACTTTTGATTAGCTTGTGATTTCCATAATAAAGATTTTTTTCTGTTATAGCTGAAAAGAGATCTCCTTCAGATCCATACTCAAGTACAGCATGCGTCCAATTATTAGCTGTTGTCACTATTTTTTCAAGTCGGATGATGTGTGGATGGTCCGAAAGGTACGAGTGTAACATGATTTCATTTCTTTGAATCGAGTCGAGACTTTTATTAGGAGGAAAAGACTTGATTGCATATCTCTCGAATGTTTTAATATTTCGTGCCATATAAACTTGCCCATAAACTCCATTATTTAACAATTTAACTATTTCCAAGTCTCCAATTAATGTTCCGATAGGTAATTCTTCTTTCTTTTCAATACTTGTCTTTGTCATTATAAAAAGCAAATAATGAGTAAAACAAAAAAAAAAAAAAGAAATAAGAGAAGAGAAAAGAAAATGAATGCTTTATATTTATAACCTCTTTTTTTTTTTTTTTTTTTTTTTTTTTTTTTTTTGAGGGCGTAAAGGAGAACAAGTTTCCAAATTTAGCATCAAACGCATTTTTTTGCGTCACTTTTTCTGTTTTCTTTCCTTTTTTTTATTTTCTTTTCACCCCCTCCCCTTATTATTACATATCGTTTACGTTTTATTGTTATACTACATGATCTATTTGCACTATTTCCTTTTATTATTAACTTTACTTTTCAGCCTACCTCCTTTTATAGATGCGGAACCAATATCATCGGTATAATAAACACTTGTTTCTATTCTTATTCCTCCTTTTTTTTTTTATTAACACTAAAAATAGTCATCATCATCATCAACATCCTTGTCTTCTATTACTACTACCAATGCCATGGAAATCATGGACATGTTGAACAAAGGTGCTGAATATAAATTAAACCTTGTTATCAAAAAGAAACGTTTATATGATACTATTAAAGCAGTTCATGGCGAATATAATGATGAATTATATTCTTTAGCAGGTGTTCAACTAGAAGATTATGAAGCATTTGAAACATTTGTATTGGGAATTCTTGACATTTACAATCAAACTATTCATCAATCCTTCAACAATGCCTATTATGATTTTCGAACTCCTGCTCTCAAATTAACCTTTGATTTTCAAAAAGCCGTCAAATTGTCTCACCAAAACCTTAAATTTGTTGTTGCTGAATCCTTTTTAGATAAAAAGCAACATGAAGCTCATTCTGATATTGTAACTCATTCTGATGAAAGCTCTAATGAATCAGTAGTAGAAGTTTTTAATGACATGTTAAAAGAAGTGAGTCATATTGCGGATCGATTAGAACAAGAAATGAAACAAAATATGATTGTATTTTCTACTGATGAAGGAAATGTTGAAACTGTCTTGAAATTAGAAAAAACTGAAGGTGAAGAACTAGTTAATTTAGTAGATCAAGATAATAATGAATATGTTATGATGAAACCATTTGATACAACTGTGATTGTAGAAGGTTTGTTATTATATGTATATATTTGTATATATCTTGAATGATGTTTAAAGAAAAAAAAATGATATTTTTATAATTAGATGTTCAGTTAATTTATGATCTTGTTCTTATTCTAATCACCTCATTTGTACTGGGCTGGATGTTTACTTGGATAGATTTACCAGGTTAGTGAAAAGAAAAAAAAAAAAAAAAGGATTTACATGAAATATGTATACAATAAAAATAAAAAATAAAATTTTTTTTTCCTATCGCATTTGTTTGTGTGATCCATATTCAATATTATAAAACCGGATAGCCTTTTTTGGATATATTTTAGCTGGTATTGTAATTGGACCTTCTGGCTATAATTTAATTCAGGTAAGTAATAGAGAAGAAGAAGAAGAAAAGACGCTTATAACATATTTATATAAAGGAACTAGTTCAGATAGAGACATTATCACAACTTGGTGTTGTATTTATCATGTTTGTTCTTGGTCTTGAATTCTCTTTGGAAAAGATTAAAAAAATGTGGAGATTGTCATTAGGTGGAGCCATCATGATTCTATTAGTGACCGTTTTATTTTTTATCACATTGGGAGTGATGATAGACGCAAATATAAAAGAGGCAGTTTTTGTAGGCGTTTGCATTAGTTTAAGCTCTACTGCAGTTGTTATAAAATGTATTAAGCTTGATCAACTAGATCATTTATATGGACTTTTAGTAATGCAAGATGTCATTTTGGGCTTTATGTTGGTAAAATAGATTTCATGATTACTTTTATTTTATTTTTTTCTCCCTCCCCCCCTTCGGTTGTTATGGATGCATCTATTTTTATTAATGTTATGAATTAGGCTATGATTCCAGTTCTTTCCAAATCAGGTACCCAAATCTTTCTTGCTATATTAAGGATATCATTTTCATTTGCTATATTTGGATTTGTCTGTTTTGGCATACTTCGATTGATGCCTGTCATTTCATTTTGTCTTCGTCGGTTTATATCCATTCAAAAAAATCATGAAATTATACTTTTAGGGACAATTGCTATGTGTATGAGCATGTTAATTCTTTCAGTTTATTTAGGATTAGGTATGGAATTAGGTTGTTTTGCTGCAGGTGTCATCCTTCGTTCACGCAAAGGTATGTTTGAAGTTTCCATAAAAGTAATCGAACCTATACGAGATATGTTTGCCTGTTTATTTTTTACTGCTATTGGTTTACATATCTATCCATCCTTTCTTGCATCAGAAGCCATGTTACTTTTCACCCTAGCAGGTGGTGTCATTGGATTCAAATATATTGTAACCTGTATTATTCTCTATCTTTTCAAGTTTGATCTACATAAATCATCTACAATGGCTATTGCATTAGCACAAATATCAGAATTTGGATTTGTACTTGCATCTCGTGCAAAACAACTCTCTATTGTATCTAGAGAAGTTTATTATATTTTAATAGCTATTACATCCATTACTTTAATAGCGACACCTGTTTTATTAAAAATTACTGCCGCAAATAACTCTACTACTACCACATCATTTAATGCAGATATCATACCATTATATCGACAGCAACGACAAGAACATAATAGTAATCAACAAGAAGTAATTTCTATTCCACTTTCAGATACCGAAAAACTTGCATAATATGAAATTAAAATATTAGCAGAGTCACTACTCATTTCTCTATCTCTCTACCTCCCTTTTTTTTTGTTTGTTTGTTTCTTGCTTCTCTCCTTCTCCTCTTTATTAAATTCATAATCAACATTAAGCTGTAATAAATAGAATATTCCTTTTTTTTTGCATTTAATGAACTTCAATTATTATATTGACATTATTATTATTAAAGTAAAGAAAGAAATAAATGAATTCAACGACAATAGCTGCTGTGTATCTGTAGTACATGAATATTTTTTTTTTCAACAATTGAAGAAGAAAAATAAAAACATACGCACATAAATGTATACAAATACATCTTTTTATTTTTTCTTTTTTTTTTCCCCTTTATTTTTTTTTTCTTTTTATCCAATGTCAGAAAATAAAATCACACATCCAGAGTGGGGTGTTATGAAAGAACAAGAATTTCATCCATTAACTTTAAAGCATCAAAAAGACCTTGAAAATTCATATCAAGCTGGAGATCTTTTTACTGATTTTTATTTTTGGCAAGCTAATTTAGGTGGATATTGTATGGCAGATATGAAACAAAGTAAGTCAGTCAGTCATTTTATTTTCTATCTTATATGAGGTTCTAAGAAGACAAAAAAAAATGTTATATAGATGTCGTTGTGTCTTCTGAAAGTGCGTTCCCATTAGTTAGACGTATAGTCGATGGTGCTCCACATCCAGGTAGAAGAAAGAAAAAGAAGAATTAAATAGTTGACAAATCTGGTTATTCGTCATTATATAAATATATCTATATCTATATATTATGTGCTATTGTGATGATAGTAGTTATTATTACTTGAAAGAATAAAAAAGAAGAAAAAGAAAATACTACTACTACTACTACTACTACTACCCTTTAGACTTATCTTAAATCATAGTAGCTGTTCACAATGATCGTCACAAAGCATTCTTATTTATGGAATAAAAGATAAAACACGTATTATTATCATCTTTCTAAAATAATAAGGGGAGATATTTATTTTTGGTTTCAAAACTCGAAAATAGTGACAAACATCAGTTTGGTAATTCTTGTAGTCATCGTAGTATTTTTTTTTTAAGTACATCACATGACATACATAAAAAGGAGTTTTAAAAAGGGTTTATATTATGAAATTACTAAATTAGGTAAAACAAAGAAATTAGGACAACTACACCATTTGTTAGTATCCATTCTATTATACTATTTCTTTTAGGTATATTAATTGCTTATAGCTGTATTTCGACCCTATATTTATATAATTTATCTAATTTAATTTAATTTAATTTAATTTGAACGCTTATTATTTTAACATACACGTACACCCACACCCACACACGTACGCAAAAAAAAAAAAAAAAATCAGCCACATAATAATAATGATAATAAAAAATAATAACAATAACAATAACAATAATAAAGGTCCTTTATATACATGCATATTCAATATTGAAGACTAAGATGTCATCGCCGTTTAGTCGACTAAATAAATGATTAGACAAATGAGAGACAAATAGAGAGTGTAAGCAAGTAAGCAAGTAAGTAAGTAAGAAAGAAAGGCAAAAGAAGAAGAAGAAGAATAAAAAAAGGGGGTTTTTTTTTCTTCTTCTTTTTATATAAAGTCTTTATCTTCTTAATTAGGTAATTAAACAACAAAAAATACTATAAATATAAGCCTTTTTATTTATTTATTTATTTTTTCTTTTTTTTTTTTTTTCTTCTTCCTTTTTCTTTTAGAGGATTTATTTATTCTTCTCCTTTATCAGCCTAGCATGTATCGTAGTGGTAATTATTATTTCATATTTTAGCTTTTTCTTTATTAATTCGTATTACTAACATTTAATAATAGTAAAACAAATAAATAGCTTATTTTTACTTCCTAAATGGACACTTACAATTTTTATTCTTCTCAGTTTATTATGCTGCTTATACAAGGTAGTAGCACTAACCCTTTTTTTTCTTCTTCTTCTTCTTTGTTAACATAAAATATTTAACCTATCTCTTAGTTTATTAGACAATTTCATTATTTTGTATTTAATAAACCAACTACTCTTATTAAACAAGAAGAATCTATTATTTCAGCAGTTCAAAATGAAAGAATACCTTCTTCTAGTCACAAACAACAAGTGGATACAATACATGGAGAAGAAAATCTTTTATTAAATTCCAAAAGTCATAACGAGAACAACATGAAAGAAACTGGCTTTCTTTTATCAACCAACAATCATGATGATTCTATTCATAAAGAGCAACTTGATAATAAAAAGATGAGAGTTACAATTCAACAAAATACAAACTTGTTTGAAGAAGAAGATGAAGGAGAAGAGAAAGAGGAAGAGGAAAAAGAGGAAAAGGAAGAAGAAGAGGAAGAAGAGGAAGAAGAGGAAGAAGAGGAAGAAGAGGAAGAAGAGGAAGAAGAGGAAGAAGTGCCTTCTCTACAAAGTGATAACGAATCTATTATTGAAGAGCCTTTTTCTCCTTCTTTATCAAAGGACTCGCAACCAGCTTATTATTCACCTTTTTCTACTGGATTTGATTTTTTTGGTACAACTTTACCTGTTAGTAAAGAGAATCAATCTATTGTCTTTACAGCTGAAGATTATTCAACACTGTTATCCGAAAAAATTATTTACCCTTACTTTACTCCCTCAGTTGATCGTATTCCTTCTTATACCCCTAATAATAATAAAAAGTCATCATCGCCGCTTCTGGAATTACTCAATCCTTCCACTCACGCCAAGACAACAATTACATCCACCTCTTTTAGTTATTTTGATGAAATGATGATGTCTAATTCACTCTATAGAACAATAAACCATCATCACTCAATAAAGAATACTAGAAGAGACTGGGACTCCATTACCAATTTTACTCGTTAGATCATTTATACTACTTTATTCCATACTAATACTACTGATACTACTACTACTATTACTACTACTACTACTACTAATAATAATAATAAAATGAATTTCTTTTAAAAATCTAATCGTTTTAATGCTTGTTCTGCTTCTTTAACGCAATTTGAAAGTTTATATTTGCGTCCATACTTTTCTGCACTTTTATAGAATTCTTTTGCCTTTTCTTTATCGTTGCTTTGCTATATATTAAATAGTAGTCCTTAGTATATACACATATAAATTTATAAAAGAAAAAATAACCTCTTTATCTTACCTCAAACAACATGCCCATATTAAACAATAAAATACCACAGGTCTCATCACAAAGTTCTTTATCTTTATTCACTTTCCCTGTATTTGGATTCTGCGCTAAATCTAATCCCTTTTGTGCCCACATTTTAGCTTCTTCATATTGTCCCATATTTGAATAGCTTTCAGCCAAATTATTCATTAAAACAACAGATTGACATGATTTTATATCATTTAATGATAATGCTTTCAAGTAAAGATGAATCGCTAATCTATACATATAGAACATGAGTTCAAGTGACATTATAAATATAAATATAATATATATATATATATATCGGCTTTACATTGGTTTATTCCTTGATGCATAAAACCCTCCCAGGGCCTCTAAGGCAGCACCTACATCAGTACTGGTTAACCAATCTGGCATATGCTCTTTATCAAACATCCCATTATTCTTTGATGATCTATCATCATTATCATCTTCTACTTCTTCATAACTTGTCCCTGTTGTTGATGCTATCTTCAACAAATGCTCTACTGACCCTACATACCATAACTCTGCTTCTTCATCTCGCTGCATGGCAAGGGCAATATCACCCAACTTTTGTGCTATTCCAATCACCTTCTTTTGTTCAAGGGGTTCTAATGATGATAGACGACTAAAGAATGCTTGGGGTTGTGTGATGGACAAGGGTTGATCCACGGTTCCTACTAAATGTCTCAGCGCCATGATCAACGTCTGTCTCGCTTCTGATAATTGACCCATCCGTTCTTGTAAACTACCCAGTTGAATCATAATTCCCGTCAAGGGTGCCCCATTTCGTTCGAGTTCTGGTGATGCAAGTGCTAACTGAAGTGCCTCTTTAAAATATTTGAGTGCCAACTTGTCATCCTTGCTGTGTTGTTCGTAATAAAGCCCTTTACGAAGTGCTTGTCGAACAGCGGCTGGGAATTTTTGAATATCGGATGTATAGTATTCATAAAGTCCAAGTCCTAAACAAACAAGCCCTGTACTGATGAGAATGACAGGTAAAGATGGAATTCGAATCACTTGTGCTGGTGTTTGAGCTCGTGCTGTAGTCGTGGCATAATGTCGAAATAGAGGTGATGAGCTCATACAGGGTCGACGTGATAAACATCCTGATGGTCTATATTGATTTTTTGGTATCCATGTTGACTTACGAATCGTCATAAATCGCTTCAACATCATCATTGTCTAATAAATATATATATGTGTGGGGCAAACAAAAAAAAAAAAAAAAAAAAAGAGAACGAGGGGGGGGGAAGGGAGAAGAGTCATTTTTTTTTTGTTTGCCCGCCTTCCCCCCTTTTTTTTAAACTGTGACTTGCATTGTATAATTAGTGATTGTTATGCAATTTTATTCTATTCTATTTTAATATATAAACTTTAAAGTTTTTTAATAACCTAATATATTTATTTTTTTCTATTATAAAAAACCAAAAAGAAGCGAAAAAAAAAAGGTTTATTTTATTTAAATGTATATAGTTGTGTATATATATAAAAAAAAATAATAATAATAAATCAAGAAAAAATACGAAGCGAGGTTTATATGTATATATATATAGCGTGTGTGTGTGTAGTAGTAGTAGTAGTAGTAATAGTAAGGTTAAATAGTATGTTCAAGTAGTGTCCTCCTATAGGAGGGAATTTGACATGGGTAATGTAGTTTCTTTTTTTTTCTTTTTTTTTTTTTTGCCGTTCAGTTAATGTGAAATAAAGTTATGTATGAAAGGGAAGAAGGAGAAGGGAACAAATAAAAAAAGAATAATAATATATATAAACAATGATCAAACACACAAAAAAAAAGGAAAGGAAAAAGAAAAAAGCGCTTATTCCATATCTACAGTCACATTACGAGTACGGAGATCAAGAGCAATACTCTCAGGAGGAGCATTTTCATAGATAACACGATAAATAGCAGTTAAGAGAGGGAATTCTTGTGTCATGTTTCTAGCAGATAAGAAATGGAAAACTTCTTGAGATGTAGTAGTACCTTGAAGTTTTTGACCATTCAACATTTCCTTTTCAACTTCTTCAATAGATTTGTTTGATTTAATGAAAGCAGCAGCTACCTTACGATTACGACCACCAGCACAGGTTGTGATTAGATCAGCAACACCACAAGATTCAAAGTAAGTCTCTGTATGTACACCACCAAAGAATGTCTTACCAAACTTTCTCATCTCCACTAAACCACGACGAATGACAGCTGATTTCGTGTTATTACCATAATGAAGACCGTCACAGATACCAGCACCGAGTGCAACTACATTCTTGAGTGCACCACATACTTGAAGACCTCTCCAATCACCTATCACATTGACATCAAAGTAATCTGTATGGAAAAGTTTATAAAAGATTTCAGCATCCTTAAGATCACGACAAGCAATGGTTGTTTCACCAAATTGTTCTTCAGCTACTTCACTAGCAATGTTGGCACCACTCAGGGCTGCACAATGGATACCCAAGATCTTTTCGATTTCTTCAGAGAAGATGAGCAAGTTGTTGTTCTTGTAATCCAAGCCCTTGATCAAGGAGATTGCCTTGCAGTCCTTGGAGATAACATCTCGAAGTGTTTCACATACCTTGTAAACGAATTGATGAGGCAAAACAAAGACGAGGACATTAGCTCCCTTAGCAGCTTCTTTAACATCAGGGATAGCTACTACATTTTCACCAAGATTAATGTTGGGAAGATATTTTACGTTTTCATGCTTTTCGTTGATAATGTCGGTTAAATTTCTACCGTCAATTTGTTCTTCGTAAACCCACATACGAACTTCACGTTCAAAGAAATCAGAGTGCTTGATGGTGTTTTGAGCACAAACACGAGCAATTGAAGAACCCCTAATAAATACCATTATAAAAATGAATTAGTAAAAGAAAAAAAAAGCCTTAAACAAATCATATCATCAAACACAAACTTACCAGTTACCAGAACCGATAATAGTAACTCTTTGCTTACTAACAGTGGACATATTGATTTATTTTGCTTCTTATAATAATAATAAAAAAACTAGAATTAAAGATACAGTAATAATAATAATAAAAAGGAATGAATTTGAAAGAAGAAGAAAGGAGAAAAAAAAAAAGGCTTCCCTTATATATTTATTGATTTGAGATGAAGACAGAAAAAAAAAAAAAAAAAAGAAGCTACTAAACTCTTAAAGTCCGCTTAAACGAAACCTACCAATGATCATGCTAAGACATTTTTTTTTTTCATTAAAAAAAAGGTTTCATTAAAACTTGTCTAAAACACTCAGCTTATTTCTTGCATGACGTAGATTTAGATATTTCTGCCTTAATAAGATGTCGCTGGCTACCCATGTTGATATGATACTCAAGTAATAATAATGGAATTATCTCATTATTTGATAGGACATTCCAAATAAAAATAATGTATCTCATTATTTGGTAATAATATATTATCTTTATTTTTAACTGTTTTCTATGGCAACTATGGCAACTCTAATTCGGTACTTTAAAAAAGCTACCTTATGCTTTTTTTTTGTTTTTATTATTATGTGCATACACATGCTGTACACTTAAAAGAACTTCGGAGTAATACATTCTTTCCCTCTCTTTCTCTTCCTTTCTTTTCTCCAAATTTACAACACTAAATTAGGCTTAGTGCAAGTACAGTAATGGAAATAGTTATTTCCTGATACATTTTTTTTTTGTTTTCATCTAGTTAAAAATATAATATGGAAATTTCCCTTTCTCTTAATCTCTCTCTCTCTCACTTTTTTTTTTTCTTTAAACGCGTTTTCTATTTAACTTCTTTCTCCTTTTTCTGATTTATTTTTTTTTCTTTCTTTTTTTCCTTTTCCACGTTTTTTATCGATCAAATCAATCAATCAATTAAAAACAGAAAAGAAATTTCCTCAATAATCAAATTTTCAGAAAGAAATCTGACTTTCAAAAAAATATTATTATTATTATTATGGGGGGGTGTAGAAGGGAAGTAGAAAACTACCGATGAAGGTCCAAGTCGGACATTGCTGGAAAATGGGGGGAGGAGAAACATAAAGTGCTCGACCCAATCTGTACCCGATTTTTGTTTTTTAATAGAAAATATTTTAGTGTAGTTGAACATTATTATTAATTTTTTTTTTGAAAGCGTTATTCACTCCTATTAATTTGAAACAGAAACGATGTTGCCAAATATAACAAAAAGAAAAAAAAAGTAGATATAAGACCTGAATATGCAATCTATGTATATGACAAGATAATTTAATATATATATTGGCGCATAAAAGTGTATTAAGCTACAATCATTGTTATGCATATGTGGGGGGGAATGGGGGGGGGAGAGGGGAAGAGTCGAAAAAGGTTACTAGTTACCTCCTACTACTAGCTTGAATAATAGTTACATACATAACGGGTGTTACCAAAAAAAAAACAAGGCACCGAATTTTTTTTTTTTTTTTTAATTGAAATTATTTCCTTCCTTATAAAATAATGGCGTGTTGTACAGCCTTTCAAATCTGTCAAATATCTTCAATGTAGGGCACGTTACATCAATCAAATTTCTTTGATCATGTTACTATATCTAATCATTTTTATGCCTTGATTTATGTTCCTTTTTTATTTTTATTTTTTATTTAAGAGCCAAGAATCATAAAAGATAAAGCTAAACTTAATCTGGTGTATTAGAGTAGCAACAATTATTCCTTTCTTCATTATCGGCTGATACTCAAAAAAAGTGTATTATACCGAGAAATTTAATCTCCGATTATTCTAAATATGGTAATGTGATATCATAAAAAGATTTTGACCCAAACAACTAACAGTCATTAATATACATGAATTAATTTGTAAGTAATAATAATAATGGACAGAAATAGAAATACAATAATGGAACAGCCACCATTATTCAAAGTAAGTATTAAAAAAAAAAACGATGAAGTGCATGTAGCATTTAGGAAGGAGAAATCATGCACTTTAGTAAAAAAAAAAAATTAAAATAAAAATTAAAAACAAAACAAGTAAAATAAAGTAAAATAAAATCAGACAAGATAAGTGTGTATTCCTTAGATATAAAAGGAAGCCAAGAATATAAAAAAAATTAGAAAATACAATGAATATTTCGGCCTTCATTTTTTTTTTCTTTTTAAAGTATTTGATCCATGGATTTCATCCATTTATTAAAAGTAGTTGTTAATCTAGAATCGATATGAATCCTTTTTTTTTTTTTTTTTTTTTTTTTTTTTTTTTTTACATTGAGTACATAAAGTTACAATAGGGTCTAGTTGCCTAGAATGGTTAGTGGGTTTTTTAATCCCTTTATTTTGCATTTATCAGATCACATATTTTTATTTTTTTTTTTTTATTCAACAATATTCTATTTCTTTTCAAAAAAAAAATATACTTTAAATTATTTCAAAAAAAAAAGATCAGATCATGTATGCTTTTATCAAATATCAAATCAGTTAAATCGATCAGCAATAATGCTATAAAGACGTTATTATTAAAAAAAAAATAGGTTTGTTCAGATATTACTAAATCGGGACAATCTTTACCATCTGAGAAATCAATTTTATGTGTAAGATTTTATCGTTATAACATATATCTTTCTTTTTTATACTGATCATGTTGATTATTATATATGAGTGTTTAGAGTCATTCATCTAAAATAACAAAGTATCTTATTGGTAGTCCTTAGTAAGCTTGAGAAGAAAGATATAGGTTTAGATGTTATTTAAAAGAGAAGGACAGCATGATATTCAAGTCTTTTTTTTTTTTTTTTTTTTTTTTTTTTTTTTTTTTTTTTTAATGCAGAAAGAGATCTGTTTGAATATAGTCTATGATACTAATAATACAATTATTATTATATATACACACATACGCTTTATTCTATTTTATTTATCTTTTTCTAATGACAGAAAACGATGGTTTATAATAATTCCTTACAAAGATGATTTGACACTTTTAGTGCTGTCTCTTCAATCGAATTCTCATCCGTATTTAGAGTAAATAAATCACTAATCATCTCGTTATGTTGGCTTAGTCTAATGTATTCAGGCCAAACAATCTTATCAAAATAGTTGGGTGGATCTACCCAATAACCTTCTACAGTGTGATATCCCTGTCGTTTCTCTCGTCTTGATTTCAATGAATGATAACTTGCTGTCACAAATACCTTACAATCTAAAAGACTTGTCACTCTTTCGTCCCAATAGAGCATGAATCCATCAACAAGAATAAAAATATTCTCGTCATCCATCAGGGGCTTCAAGATGGCTTGTAATTTTGCCAATGTCTGTTGGGTAATTAGAGAAGATCCGTCATGTGTGTTATTCTCCTCTTTAGAGTGATAATTTGATGGTAATTTTCCTTCTTTTTGTGCATATTCAATATAATCTGCAAGTTTATCGAAATAGACTGATTCTGGACAATCCCAATTTTCTAATTGTGTTTTTTCATCTATTGGTATTAGAGAGTCAGGCTTAATAAAAAAAAAAAAAAAAAAAAAAGGAAAAAAAATTAGCTTCTATTTATTTTAAATAATGTGAAAACTAATAACCTTATAAAAGTCATCTTGGTAAAAAACAATTACATTTCGAAGCACTTGTCTTAAAATGCGTGCTACTGTCTAAATTTTATGCATTTTAAAAAAGTAAATGTTTAGATTACCATTTATTTTTTTTAATTTATTTTTTTTTATAAATTAAAACTAACCGTTTTCCCTGAACAAGATGGACCACTTGATAAAATAAAGATATGAAAAAAAATTTTTTTTTAAAAAAAAAAGACACTTCCATCGGTTATTTACCTAATACCTATTGTATATATTTCCCCATAAATAACAATAAATAAATAAAATAAAAAGGGTCACAACACAATGATATTACATGATTATATAATATAATCATTTTTAATGAGAAATTTTTTATTGGCCAGTTGTAGGAGAATTCTAAAGACAGCGATCACTTGTTATCATTACAGTATTTTTCGAAATTATTCGCGCACTTTATAAAACTCATTTCACGCACTAACCAAATAAAAATTGATGCATTGACAAATCATTATTTGAACAGTCTTCAAATCTTGACAATGAATGCCTGCAAAATCCTTGGAGGTCGCTTACGAGCACACTGTTGTAAGCTTCTCTGATATTCTCAGACAATGTTTCTTCTTCAAGTAGTATTTCCCTCTTGACTTTACTCTTGAAAACAGACCAAAACTGTTCAATTAGATTTAGTTTAGGTGAGTAAGGAGGGGGGAGAGAGAGAGATAAACACAACCGTAACCATGAGCTTCAGTATACTTTCGAATGTCAACGTGTTTATGAATAGAAAAGTTGTCCATTACCAGTGAATGTCCCTTAAACTCTTTGAATTTGTGTTCATAATTTCTATCGTGCTAGCGATAAAAATTGAAGTAATTGCTAGTTACCATACCCACCTTTTCCTGTCTCTGGCTTCTTGACAACCCCTCCTAAAGCGTTTTTTTTTTTTTTTTTCGATGGTGAAGTGGCCTTTTGGAACCTTTAACTGCACGTTTATTACACTAGAGACTGACATGACTGCCATGATAGTATGTGATTTTGCCTTTGTAATATTGAACACATTTCAAATTTATTTTTCTTTTTTCTTACACGTAAAGATAGAAACCAGTAACATGGACAAAAGTGTATTAATACTTTATTTAAATCTTTCATCATTGGTAATAAAGAAGTGTATATTTGATTCATAATGAATTTAGTAATCCATACACATTTTTTCCATGTGTATACATATACATTAATAAAGAAGAAGTTATCTATCCAGCTATACACTACACATCTTTATTATTATTATTATTATGTTGAGTGCATATTCAAGAAATACGTTAAAGAAAATTCACACTTTTAAATAATATTTAGGAAATAATAGATTTTATTACAATTATACAGTTTATAAGCAATAATATATATTGTATATATATCAAAGAGAGCTAAAAAGTAAAAGCTAGTTAGTAAGAACATTATTTTATAAAAAATAAAATAAAAAGTCAATAAAAAGCCAATTGAACATTCAGGTCTAAAATATGGGGTGGAGGGTCTAAAATATAACAT